TCTTGTAATTTGGTGATCCATTTAAATAGGATCTCCAGTGCCATGCTTCAGCTTCAGCTTCAGCTTCTCTCTTGTAATTTGGTGATCCGTTCAAATAGGATCTCCAGTGCCATGCTTCTCTTTTACCTAATTTTGATCCTAATTCTTGATCAACAATGGTAGTGTTAATGAAGTAAACAGCATCATCTAAAACAATTGGAGCGACATCATCACCTAATTGAACAGCTTCAACAATAGCATCTTCAGAGAATGGGAATTCAACACCATTTGAAGTACCGACAACACCTTCTTCAGTTGAGTTGGTGGATTCAGCGAAAGCTTTTTCAGCTAAAGCTAACATGAAAGCATAAACGAAAGCAGTTGAGAATTTCATTGTTGAACGAGTGGATTGTTTCTGTGAATTTAATTGATTGTATCAATTGATAATGATTTACAACAAACTAAAATTCATCATCTAAGTGATTTTCGATCTCTTTATATAGATTCATCATGAGGCTCAAGATCTTATTGTTGATTCAAGAATAAAACAATTATGAATCTTGTAAACAGTTGCCTCATTGTATAGTTGTTTGGTTGATATCCATTGAGATCCCGATTAGGAAATACCGATATGCATCAAATTTAACGAGGAGAGAATATCACAATTAACCATAAACCGTTTTTAGACTTCAATGGTACAGGCTTCTAGAAGTTAACCAGCATCATGCAAAATTTCTGTTTGAAGTGTGTATTTATTTACCAGATCTCATTAAATTTTCTTGGAAATTAGATCCAGTTAAACCATTGGAATCCGCTTTTAGATATCTCAAATCACCAAACAAAACCAAAACAGCAAGAGATCAATACTTTTTATAAAGCCATACCCCAAAAAGAATGCAAAAAAGAAACAGTATCAGGATTTGAGATCCCAATATACGAGTCTTGAGGCGTTGAAAAGAGTGATATTCCTAGTATCTAGCTTTATAATGATCATATCAGATGTGTTGAAAATTGTAAAATTTCACCTTTAGCAAAATAGAAAGACAATAACTAGAAATATTAATATCACCTCACAAACCACTAGTGGACTAATAGTGATAAAATGCAGCATAATACTAAACAGTCTCCTCATATATCTCACACTTATTGATGTAGTTCAAAAAAAATACGATATAGAAATCGCATCAATTGAAGACCAAATATGGCAATTTCTTTTAACAAACTGAAATCCACATTATGAGATAGTATTAGATGCATGTAATGTCCCCTGAATTCAATAATATCCTACTCGGAAGATCTGTATATCCCTTTCAAACCTTTTATTTCTTTTCAGATCGATCCATATATGGATCTTCAAACTTCAAACTAGATTCGTATCTTGAAAAAATAAGATTTCCACTGGTCACGTGGCGAATAAAACTCCATGATGATGTGTCAATTAGTTTAATGGACCAGAAATCATTAAAACTAAAATAATTTAATAACCAAAGCCCGCTTTTATCAACATGAGTTGAAGTCGATTCAATAGAAGATTGATATATTTGCTCAAAATTATCTTAAAAATCACCATATTCGCGAACTGATAAAGGTATTTTTAACAAATTATTAGCTTAGTTTTTCATCTTTTAGTCCTTTTTTCAAGCTTTACAAAAGTCTAACCAAGTTAATCAAAGATGGATCACTCAAATATGGATCATTCAAAAATGGGACACTCAATGCCTGGTCATGATATGCCAGAGGAACCAATGTGTAATATGAATGTAAGTGTGGTATGATTTTAGGGACATATATTGAGGAATGATATACTGACACCTATTTAGATGCTTTTCACTTGGGATTATGAAAATATGTGTGTTGTTTTCAAATGGTGGCATGTTAAGAGCTTAACTTCATTGATTTTTACTTTAATTGCCCTAGTGGGTTTAGGTGTGGGATATGAATTTTTCAAAAGTAAAGCTAAAAGATATGAAAGTTCACGTAAGTATTATTATTATCTGGTAAACAATTGAAGAAAAGGACTATTGATGTCTTCAGAGGTTACATAAAGACTAATATCTTTTGATAGTTTCATCTGTGGAAATCCCGGAAGGAGTTGATGAAGAAGTTGGATCAGAACAATTGACTAATTTTAAAAAACCAGGTTCTTTTAATCGTTTACAAAAAGCTATATATTATGGATTATTAGTTGGTTATTCATACATGATGATGTTGGTATTTATGACTTATAACGGTTGGGCAATGTTGAGTGTTGTTGCTGGTGCAATTTTAGGTAATTATCTTTATGGTGGTGAAATTAATGAAACTTTGGCATGTCATTAAACATAACTTTTATATATAATTTATGAGCTTTATGATGGAAGAATTATATGTAAGACGACAATTTTCAAAATAAAACAATCAGTTGATGAATCACAAAATATAGCCATGTCATCAAACACCTACTTATTATGAGAAAATGTTGCAAATGAAGTATCTACAATAGGTAATTTCAGTAAAAACGTAAATTATTCATAAACTTATAAAAGCGTTATATAGGAAAGCACCGAAGCTAAATTTAGATAGCAACAGATTTTCTGAAGTTAACACCAGCGTAAACAGCTTTGTCACCTAATTCTTCTTCAATTCTTAAGATTTGGTTTAATTTAGCTAATCTTTCAGATCTAGCTGGAGCACCAGTCTTAATTTGACCAGATCTTAAACCAACAGATAAATCAGCAATGAAAGTATCTTCAGTTTCACCAGATCTGTGGGAAACCATGACACCCCAACCAGCATTGTAAGAATCTTGAGCAGCTTTGATTGATTCAGTTAAAGTACCGATTTGGTTAACTTTTAATAATAAAGCGTTAGCAGATTTCTTTTCAATAGCGGTTTTGATTCTGATTGGGTTGGTAACAGTTAAATCATCACCAACAATTTGGATATCAACAGTCTTTAAGAAGTGAGTCCAAGCTTCCCAATCATCTTCAGCAAATGGATCTTCAATTGAAACAATTGGGTATTCTTTAACTAAAGTAGCATATAAATCAGCTAATTGTTCACCAGTTAACCATTTGGTTGGGTCTGAGTTTGGATTTTTGAAGTCTAAATCGTATTTACCATCGTGGTAGAATTCTGATGAAGCAACATCTAAAGCGATAGAAACTTGACCTTCGTAACCAGCTTGCTTGATAGCAGCAACGATTAAATCTAAAGCTTCTTTTGGAGTTGAAATATCTGGAGCAACACCACCTTCATCACCAACGTTACCAGCGGATTGACCGTAAGTTTTTTTAGCTAATGATTTCAAGTTGTGGTAAACTTCTGAACCAATTCTTAAAGCTTCAGAGAATGATGGAGCATTGTTTGGAACAATCATGAATTCTTGGAAGGCTAAAGCACCACCAGCATGAGAACCACCGTTTAAAACGTTTTGGAATGGAACTGGTAAAACAAATGGTTGTGGAGTTTTTGAAATGTCAGCGATGTGTTGGTATAATGGGACATTTTTTTCACCAGCAGCAGCTTTAGCAGCAGCTAAAGAGACACCTAAGATAGCGTTAGCACCTAATTTAGATTTGTTTGGAGTACCATCTAAAGATAATAAGAATTCATCAACTTTTTCTTGGTTGGTAACATCTAAATTTTCTTTAACTAAAGCTGGAGCAATGATTTCATTAACGTTAGCAACGGCTTTTAAAACACCTTTACCTAACCATTTTGATTTATCACCATCTCTTAATTCTAAAGCTTCATGTTGACCAGTTGAAGCACCTGATGGGACAATTGATCTGAAGACACCTTTGTCAGTGGTTAAATCAACTTCAACAGTTGGGTTACCACGAGAGTCATAGACGTATCTAGCGAAAACTTTTTGAATAGCCATTGTGTAATGTGTATATGTTTTATCGAATTGAGTACAATTGATAGAGAAAGGAAAAAAGAATTCTTCTATTATTACTTATAGTTTCTGATAAAAGGGAATAAATGATGTATTTATACTACAATTGGAATTGGCGAATTGAGAATTTCTGCCCAACGCAAGTGTGGTACCCGGTGGTGTCGTTGTATGGTGAGATCAAGTGGTTTAACAAAATATGGTGCTGAGAAGCAGCGGGTAATGGCTCAGGTGTTGGCCAAAACATCACCAGGTGATGCCAATTTCCCACCGTTAGACAGGACAAGTTGCGATAGAATTTATAACAATAAGTACCAAATCTATTGTTCTCAAAAGGATGAGGTTATAATGGTTGGATTCCTCGAGCACAATTGAACACTTTACACTAATTATCCAGAAAACATCTCTTGAATTGGCCTTGCAATGGCAAGATGCGGGTTGGTTCTCGTCTTGACGTTTAGCGTTTAGCGTGTTAGCGTATATAGGATCCGTCAAGCCACGCACAACGTTAAAGAATTGGAATCTCATGTTCTCATGTTTATCAATTGAAGCTCATGATGTGGTTTGATCTGACAATTCTGTGACCTTATGAGTAATACGACAATTATAGTTATTCACCATTGAGCAAAGGCATTGAAGTTCTAATTGATTATTTCCTGACTCATAATAATAGTCACCTACATCATCCGCATCACCTCCATCAACTGAATCAAATCAAACATCACCTGCGCTCCAAAATTTTTCAATTTTCCACCGTATTCGGATTTTTTCCATTATCGGTCCTTTACGCCAGAAATAAAAAGTATTGTGCGGTGCGAACCGGGATAATAACAGGTACGACCTTTTATACTTTTTCCATCTACATGAATCTCTCAGATCCTTTGATATAAGTGTATATATGTATTCTTATATAAATCTATGTCCACGGTTTAATCCATATGTTAATGCTAATCCACCAGAAATGAATACACTCAACACAGCTAAGAGTAAAGCTGGATAGAATGATGTAATTATGGATTCTTGATAAGCTTTCAATAATTTTGATAAAAGTTCTTTTGTAATATATTTACCATTTTTCAAATAATTTGTATCACTTAATAAATGTTGATATATATAATCACCATGATCAACATTTTGTAAAATTTCTTTCAATTTATTATGAATTTCAGATCCATATATGGCTAATGAAAGTCCAACACCAAGAACTTGACCAATTGATCTAAATAAATAATTCATACCTGTTGCTGCAGCTTGACCTTCTTTACCTGTGATTGCAACAACTGTTATAAGTAATGAAACCAAATAAGATCCATAACCAAAACCCAAGATAGTCAAACCAATAATCAATGATAATTTCCATGAATTTGTTGAATCATAAGGTTCTGGAGTAACAATAGATCTAAATATGAAAGCAAACCCAAATAAAATGAATGTAACACTTGCGAATGAAATCCAAAGTGATAATTTTTTAACTTCAATTTGAATTCTTTTCAAAAGAAACCCAGAAGTTAATGAACCAATACTAACAGATAAAACAATAAATGTTAAAAATCCACCAGATTTTTTACTAGATTGATCTTGAACAATTTGTAAAAAAGATGGAATACCAAAAATTGAACCATTCAATACAAATGAACCTGCAAATGATGATATACCACAAATACCCAAGATTCCTTTAACTAAATCTGAAGGTAAAATTTGTTCTTTAGCAATATATTTCTCAATATAAACAAATAATATTGCTGCAAGTACAAATACAATACCCAAGATAACTCTATTTAAATCTGTTGATAATAATAACAAGAATGATGTAATTGATATAACCAACGTTATTGAACCACCGAAATCAATTCTTGTCAAATTTTCTTTTGTAAATGGTTTTTCTTGTCCAATATTAACATTTTTATAAGCCATAAACATACAAAACACAACACATGGAACTTGAGCACCGAAAACCCATCTCCATCCAATACTTGTGAGTAAAATTGCACCTAATGGTGCACCTAAAGTTTGTCCTAGGGCATAATTTAAATTAGCATAACCTTGAAATAATCCACGATTTTTAGTATCAACAATATCACTAACTATAATACTTGACATTGCACTTAATCCACCACCACCAATACCTGAAACAGCTCTACTTAAAGCAAATTGGAAAATGTTTTGTGAAAAAATACTTAAGAAACAACCAAGTCCAAATGTAAATTGTGCAAACATTAATGCATATTTTCTACCAATTATATCTGAAACTTTACCATATAATGGTTGAAAAGCTGTATTTGTTAATAAATATGAAGTTGCAATCCATGATTTTAAATTCTCTTGTTTGAAATCAGCAGCTATTGGACCCATTATATTTGCAACAACTGTACCATCAACAGCTGCTAAGAAACTACCAGCCCATAATGCAGGTAAAATCAACCATAAATTATATTCTTTAATTGCTTCATTTTCTTGTTCAATTGTTGTATATCTAAGATTACTAGAGTCACTATCTAACAATTGTGATTCTGGAGTTGATCCTCGACTACCATTTTGATTTTCTGTCATCTTTCTTAAAGATCCTTTAATTATTGATTTTTTAACCATTTTTCAGCCGAGTCTAATCTTGATAGTATAAATAATTGGAAACGAAATGCTTTTACTTCTGCATTCAGTAAGCGAGTGTTTATTCGGTGTGTAGTTGTGTTTCGTGTTGGAGTACCATATGAATCTAATGACTCATGAACTTCTTGATCATGAATCAGATTACGATCAAAGCCATAGTTTATCAACGGTTTTTTCAAAAAACAGTCAAAATCATTGAAATTAATAATAATTTATGCAGTATCTTGCTTATATAAACACACAGTACTTGATGACATAAGCAACATTTTTTTCAAATTTTTGTTTTTTTTTCTGAGACTCCAAACAAATTAAAAAAAAGCTTTGAAAAAAATTGAAAAATCGTGAAAGCTTTAGAGGTTTTTAATAAGAAGGGAGCATCAAAATAACGAAAAAATGGGTATGTAAAATGTTGTTTAAAAGTTATTAAATGGTTATAGTTACTAACATGATTGAATAGCTATCGCTAAAAATTTACCACTTTTGAAAAATCATTTCAGAAAACACTGGCAAGAACGTGTCAAAGTTCACTTTGACCAAGCTGGTAAAAAAGCTTCAAGAAGACAAGCTAGAGCTTCAAAAGCTGCTCAAATTGCTCCAAGACCATTAGATGCCTTAAGACCAGTTGTTAGAGCCCCAACTGTCAAATACAACAGAAAAGTTAGAGCCGGTAGAGGTTTTACTTTACGTGAAATTAAAGCTTCAGGTTTAACTCCAGCTTATGCTAGAACTATTGGTATTGCTGTTGATCATCGTCGTCAAAACAGATCAACTGAAATCTTTGAAGCTAACGTTTTAAGATTAAAAGAATACCAATCTAAATTAATTGTTTTCCCAAGAAACGGTAAAGCTCCAGAAGCTGAACAAATTTCAACTGCTCAAGCTTTCCCAATTGTTCAACCAACTCCAGAATCAGAACCAAGAGCTGTTGAACAACAAGAACAAACTGCATACAGAACCTTAAGATTAGCTAGATCTGAAAAGAAATACAGAGGTATCAGAGAAAAAAGAGCTAGAGAATTAGCTGAAGCTGAAGCTGAAAAGAAAAAATAAGGTGTTTAATAATATAATTAATTATTAGAAACTAAAGTATTATATTGAATATCATATTTTTTTAGGGGTTTTATAGTCATTTATCTTTTTTTTTATTTGTGTTAATTTATCATGTCGTTTGGGTTTTAGAGTTAAGAATTGTAGAATGTAGCTTGTAGCCTGTATTTGTGGCAAATAAATATATATGAAAGTAGTATGATCATCATATTACGTAGAATTTAGTTTGATTTACACTTCAAAATATTATCAATACTTAAAACTAGAATTATTATTCAAAATTACAAAATATTAAATCTATAACATCATGACTTTGCTTTTATTAAATACAGTAAATAATTTTATTAAATTTAATGAATCTAATCGAACAAACCGAAACCCATATCGTCATCAGATTCTTCTTTTTCTTCTTCTTTTTCTTCTTCAGCAGCAGCTTCAGTTGAACCTGAAGCAGCAGCACCAGCGGCACCAGCAGCTGGAGCACCAGCACCAACAGTAGCGAAACCAGCTAAGATTTCTTTTAAATCTTTACCTTCTAAAGCAGTAGCGAAAACATCAGCCCAGACCTGTAATAAACTTGTTAGTAAATGATCATTAAAATTACAGCATTATAGTTTAATAAAACACAAGGACCGTAGAGCAATATAATTCAATACTTTCATGGTGTATAATCCTTAACTTTTCACAATCCTTCAAGTGTTTTATCTCATTCCTTCAAAAAAGTGAAAAACTTACTTTGTCAACTGAAGCACCAGCAGCTTTGGTTAAGGTTAATAAGTTTTCAGAGGTGATGTCAAGACCAGCGTCAGACAAGATCAAGGCAGCGTATGAAACAATAGCGTCAGACATTGTTGAATATGTGTTGTTATGATTCCTTTAAACTCGTCTTGTATGTGTATTCAAAGCATTTCTATAAACTTGGTGTTGATAATCCCAAAGCACCCACTATTGGGAGATTCTGGTTAGGCCAACACCCGCGAATATCACAAAATTTCAACCAAAAAATTTCGCTTTGAAAGAAAAAAAATGGAGTGGTCGCGAAAATCTGACTTGTAATTTCAGTGGTGTGAGGGTGTGTGGATTGCCCTTTTCAACGTTTGTGTCAAAATAACAGTCACAAATGGATCTGGAAATATAAGGAAAGTGTCAAAACAATAGAGTACAAAAGGTTGTAGAAGGCTTATATTAACAAATTATACTATAAGAATATTCCATATGATTTAGGTGAGTGCTAATTAGTTAAAAATATTCACAAGGTTCAGTTAGGACTAAGATATAAGCTATAAACGTTTTGCCAGATATCTGAGTTGAAGTATATTACATCACGAATCATAAAGTCTATTACATCCAGATATACTCTGATATATGGGGTAACTTTGTATAAATATTAATTAACAGCATAATTAAGGGTTATACAGATATACCAGGCTACTATGAATAGTTTGATTCCATGTAAACGATAGATCAATACCTATAATTATCTAATACAAAGTGTCAGATATAGATCGTTAAACTACACTTCAAATTCCTATTTACAAGATCTTCTATTTACATAATTTCCAACAACCTTTGGTCACTTATATTCAAAGAACACAAGAAAGGAGAAGAGACTGAAAAAAAAAATTTAACTATACATATAATCATAAAATACTAAATCAATTCAATCTATAATAAAAATTGATCAATGATAATTCAATAACTTGGAATGTTCAAGAACTTTATTTTTTCAAGAAGTTTTCCAAGTTGTTTAACCAACGTAAGTATTCTTCATTTTCTTTGAAGATACCGTAGTTAATGATTTGATGTAATAATTCATCATCAATACCTAAAGCAGCTAAGTAGTTATCTAAAGCAATAACTAATTGTTCATCTAAATTGGCAATAGCTGGACCATGGTATGAGATTTCACGTTTTTGTTCATCTTCAGCTTTTTCTGATAAAGCATCTGAGGCGTTTTGATAATGAGTAACACCTTCTGCAACAACAGCAGCATCATAAGTACGGTAAACTAAATCAAAACTGATAGCACTGTTGTCAGCTTTTTTAACAACAACTAAGTTAACATTTAAGAAAAATTCATCTGGTTGTTTATCTAAATCATCTTCTTCAAAGTTTTCTTCAATAGCACGAATGTTAACAGCTTGGTTAACATCAAAGTATAAGTTTAAAGTTTCTTCTTCAGTTTCTTTAACTAATTTACCTAATGATTGACCTTCAGTTTTAGCAATTTGGAATCCAGTTTTATTGAAAAATTCAGACAATTCTTCTGGTAAGGAGTTATCAGCTTCATTTTCGTGTTGGATTTCACTTTCTAAAGCAGCACGTAAGCTTTCTTTAGCATCATTTTGTCTAATTGATGAAGTTGAGAATAAACGTGGAGCAATTGATCTAGTGGCGGATCTTGAAGCGATTGATGGAATTGAGCTTCTTAAAGCAGCATTTCTATTAATGGTTCTTAAAATATTTGATGAAGCACGAGCAGTTAAACGGAATGACATTGTGATTTGTTTGATTTGAGTTGAATTGTGTAAAGGAATTCAATTAAGGAAAACTTTCTGGTTATTCAAAGGATTATTTGTGTCTTATAATAAAATTTTAAACAGTCGGAAAACTGGCCCTCGGATATATGATCTATCATATTGTGTTACCAATTACATATCGATTGAAAAGATCTGATCTACTAAAAGAACCAATAATGGTTGTTGTTATATTAATGTGGATTGCATTGATAATAGCAGTAATATACAATATGAGTTGCTTCTTCGAAGCCATTGATGTGTATGTATTCTGTGTTCCTAAACTTTTCTTCCTATTTCCAGACGAATAATAAAATACAAATAATTGGGTCTTCAAGAACCCTCAATCAATAGAGAAAACCAGATAATGAAGAAGTCAGAAAACCAAAAATAAATTATAAAACAGTAAAAATTTCAACCTTCATTAGAGAAATTTCTCTTATTTGACGCAGCATAACAATGAAATAAAAATAAAAACAGTAGAAATGGTTTTCTAAAGTATCAAACGAATTGAAAAAAAAAACCCATGAAGAAAATGTTCAATGAGAAATTAAAATGAAATAAACAAGCCAATTTCTGAATTAAAGTTATTGCTCACCATCAGAAACTTTGATCCATTCTTGAACAAAGAGTGAGGAGCGACGATAACGACGTTCTTGATATTTTTCAAAAATTGATTTATGATGTTCTTCTGGGTTACGACAAGCTTCTAAGAGTACAGATGCTGCAGGTCTTAGTTGTTCAGCTGTGTAGCCAGAATAGTAGACATGAGCAGGGGTCCATTCACCACGGTTCAGTAACAAACGACTCAGGAAATGTGCAGATGCAGCTAACCAACTTGGAGGTGAAGCAACAAATCTATAATCCATCACAGTAATTTCCAAAAAGTATTTTGCCAAAGTTCTTGTTTCAAAGTCATAATCATCAGCTTTACTTGTGCGACGTAAAAATGACATTGGACCTGGCCATCCCATTTCAAATTCCAAAACATCGATCATGAATCGTTCAGCCCTTAATATATCTTCAACTGTATATGCATGGTCAACCATATAAGCAATTTCTTGAACACTTGGACAGTTAATTTCTTCATATTTTGCAGCAATAAATAACGCAACAGCACCAACTAACTGAAATCTGCTTAAAGAAACTCTTCTTCTACTTAAAAATCTATCAATGTAATTAACTGTTAAAAATAAAGTTTCTGGTAAAAGGTTGAATCTTGAATGAACTTGGACTAACCAATCTACCAATATGCTACGCATATTCCACTTCAACTCTGTTTGATTTTTCATGTATCCTGGATTTGGTCTCATTTTAATTTCTAAACCATGAAGATAGTTAAAAATTTCAGGTGAATATTCAGCAACCATTGAAACATCGAAAGTATCTTCATCTTCTTCATCCAGTTTATCACTATGGAAGATATCATAGACTTGCATTAATTCTTGATGAATTTTTGGTGTTAATTCAGGCATCAAAGGTTCTGGAATAGCATCTTCATCAACATCTTCTTCATCATAAACTTCAGAGGCTTCTTCCTTGTATTCAGAGGCTTGATAAACCTTTATAGCATCAGCATCCTGGTCTTTATGAACGTATCTATTTTTGATGTCAGCTAAAGGTTGTCTGTTATATTCAGAGGTTGTGTACCTTTCAGTATTTTCAACACCAGCTGGGGCTTTATTTTCATCATTTTCGTCTCCAAAAACTTTGATTTTTTGACTTGGTTTGTCTAATGACGTTCTAGAGATTCTTGAGGCATTTGTTGATACATTTCCAAGAGCAACTCTATTTGTGGTAACTGCTGGTTGTTGAAGCCTTTGGTGTTTTGTTTTCAAAGCTTGTGAATTTTCATTTGATATTATTCTAACACGTTGGGCTTCAGACATATTGAATGTAATGATGTTGATATATTTATGTGCGATTGGTGGTTATGTTTATGCAAGGGAAAAGTAATAACATAAATTTGATGCTATTAAGTTCGGAAAATAATTTGTTCACTTGGGAGACTAATTAATGATAATTGAATGTATGTGTTTAAATAAATGCCAGTTAAGAAAATAGAAATAGCAATGGGTTTATGGTAATCTCTAAATCTTCTTTGATGGTTTTGAATAATAATTGTTCCAGTTGTTCAACAAGGGTTCTTTAATGACAATAATTATGATGATTTAAACAAACAAATAGTAAAAAATGAAATAAGCCTGTTAAACTATTGTAAGAGTACCAATATAACTTTCACCTGAACACAAAAATGGATTAAAGTAAATGGAAACACAGCTTTTGTGGATATTTAGTTTTGTTTGAATTAATCAATGTGTACAAAAACTAATGAAATTTTGAATATGGTAGGAGTGATTCTTTTTGCAACTTGGAAGTAATTGAAAGAAAGGTTAAAAAGCGAGAGACTGTAAGTTAATTGAGTAGTGCCTTTCTGTAACAACTTGAAGTATGTGCAATCAGTGATCAATTGTGTTGACTGTTTGTGAAGTTGGAATAAGTTGAAGTTGTTGTTATGTTTTGTGAATAGTCCTATATGAATTTTGTATTTGTTTTTTCTTTGTTTTCTAAACCTCATCGTTTCCATGGCAAAACTCTAAGCTACGCTGAAATTCACGGTAAGAACACGCTTCTGTAAACAAAAAACAAAAACAGTCGCGAAATCTCAAAAAAACAAGTGCTTAATTTAGTAACCATGGTGATCTGGAACAAAGATCTTGAAATCTTGAATCTCGAATCTCTTCATGCCTGAAGGACCATGTGGAAAGTTGAAACATTACTACGTTATTGCCTCGAAAAACCAATTGAATATATTTGTTTATGTATTTTCATTATTCATTAGTGTATACTCTATATAGTGTACCATGTATATAGTATCATGTTAACTCAAAACCAGCCTCAGAGTTTATAGCATAAATAAGCTTTTCTCTCAATGTTTTTTTATCTTTATAATCTGGTAATCTTAACATGTTTGTACAAGTAGCAGAGGATGGCAATGCATCTCTATGGCCTAATGACTTATCTAGGAAGATACCCAATCTTGGATTTAAAGCCTTGAATCCTAATAATGGTGCTCTAGGAACAGAAGTTACAAACTTCACCAATTGAAATCTATCTGTATTAGACATCTCTTCCACTACTTCCCAAAAGTATTTAACTGTCAAATCGGTTGGCTCACAATTTCCGTAATGAACATTTTCCTTTAAATCGTTAATATCAACGTCCTTTTCACCAGATATCAACATTTGGACTTCATATGGATTAAACATTGCTAACCATTCTTTTGAAATCATTCCAAATAAACCATTTAAAAATGAGTTACTTTGGATATTAATCAATTTGTTCAATTTGAAGTTTGACACCTCATGAATAAACTTAAGTTTATTGGAACTATTGACTTGTGTAATTGAACCATTCGGAATTAAATCAATAGATACATTTTTATTATTAATTTGTTCATCAATAGTAAATGTCAAATTCATTGACTCCAATTCTTCATCATTCATGTTTAATAATTTGACCAGATTTGAATAAATATCTTTATCAAGACTTCTCAAGTCATCAAATGAGTTTTTATATCCCGTATTGAATTTAGTTAAGAAAAATGGTGAGAAATTTATATCAACTAAAACTCTTTCGTAAAGACATTTACCTATAATTCTTCCTAGAAAGTTCAAATAATTGAGTGATTTTAACTGTTCTTCACTTTCAACTCTATATTGGTATTTCAATCCAATTTGTGGATTTGGGTATAACTCATGACTGTCATTTTCAACAAACAAGTCCTTGAAACCTTCCTTAACTGTACTTGTTAAAAATTCTTTAGTTAACCCACCACCATCTATACCTTGTTCAACTTGACCATGTTCATTAGTGAAATTAATCTTCAAAGGACCTTTAAAGGCTTCTCCCAGGGTATTAAAGCTTTCATATGCATCTTCTAGCATGTGTCCTCTTCTAATGTTTGCCCATTGTCTGGATCTTGTTGTGAATAATGAAAAGAATGCACCATCACCCAAGCCTTCTTTATCCTTATCCATATCCACAAGTAATTGGAAAATCTCAACACGTTTATAGAAACTGATGAAAAATGGAGCACGTAAAAATATTTTCAATAGCGGTTTTTGATCAGCTTTCAAAGTAGAAAAAATCCTTGTATCAACGTCAGTATCTGAGTCATCTTCAATTTCCTCTTTGCGCTCTTGATAATAAGTAATTAAAGTAACTAGATGTAATATATCAACTTTATTATTAGGTATTAACCATATTGATTTATCAACTATTGATAATCTGGAGTCTTTCAAGTAAACTTGATTTAATACTCTGACTGATAATGTTTCTAGTAAACCCCAAGCTTCGAATTTTGGTATACTTTTCAATAGTTTTGATTGATTCCAAAATAAATTCAAAACAAATCTTTTCAAAAATAAAGCAATTTTTTCAAATTTTTCTGAATTGAAATCATACTTTTTGAAGATCTCATAATCATTAGATACAATCAAATAATATTGAAAGACTTCTAAAAATATGTACAAATCATATTGTATGAAATTTAGATTTGGCTGAAAAAGATTATCTAAAGTATCTTTTGGAAGTGAATATATTGTGGTCTCTTCCATATTTATAAATTCTTTGAATAACGGGTGTTCAATAATAGAGTTGACCAAATTTTCAAAACTATCAGGAATCATATAAATAATGAAAGTTGATTTTAAATTTGGCTTTAAACGGATTAGTGAACCATAGAGACGAGTTAATATATGTGAATCTTTGACATTCTTCGTTACTGCTGAAATAAATTCACGGTTATAAAGTTGTTCAATTTTTTGATTCAATTCATCGTCAATTATCTTTCTTCTCAGCTTTTTGGATTCAAAACCATAATCTTGTTGATAATCCTCTTCATTTTCTTGAACGAAATCATCTTCTGACTTTGTTGAAATTGTGACTTGTAATGATGATAAAGCCCATGATATTGGTGAGATTTCATGCACATCGAATGTTGTAGCGCTGTTGATAAAGCATGTCAGCACAGTCAACACTTCGTCTTCATTTAAATGTGAAAAAACAGAAGAGTCAGTAATATTTTTGTCTAAAGTTTCAAAATTAATAACGAAATTTGATAATTTATCTAAATTTGGAAGAGTTAGAAACTTGATATAATTGGCAGTTTCCAGTGGTAAATATTTAGTGATAATAACCACAAGTTTATTGGCAGCATCAAAATGACCTTGCTCCGAAAAGAGACCAATTATCCTAGTGAATGCATTTATGATTTTAGGTGGTTCAATTTCTTGTTTTGGGTATAATCTATCTGAAAGTGAGAGTATGACCTCTAAAACCCTTTCATCAGATTGATTGTCAAAATTTAGCTGATTCAATGTTCTTGTTAGCACATTTAATAATTCATTGTGAACATTTTGATCCAAAATTTTGATATTTTCTTCAGTTAATAAGTCACTTAAAGTTTGAATATGTTGTACCTTGCGTTCATTGATTTTGTATAGCGTTGAATAAAACAAGGAAAAATGACGAACAATGAAATTGATGTCTTGATTACCTACAAGACTCTCCCATTGCAATGCAACATGCTTTTTATATCTTATTAAAGCCAGGTGTCTTCTAATAAACGACTGAACTATGATCACTGATTTTTCCCTAGCTCTTTCCTTTTCTCTTTTTTCTCTTTCTCTTTGAGTATGAAGCAAAATGTTTGTCCTATTGTTTTTGAAGCCACCTCCTAGATTGACAGTTCTCTTCTTCAATTGACCATTGAAATTCTGCATATTTGCATTAACCACAGGTCCGTCTCTTTATTCCTGTGTTGTACTCAGGGTGTGAGTGGCAATAAGAATTGGATTGTCTATTATCACCAAAATGACACTATTACAAATCTGAAAATTGCAACAGCCGAATAGAAAAAGTGACAAATAAAGTTTATAGATTTCTTCTTGTAACCCCAAATTTCCTGGAAAATGTGTAGTCTAAGAAAGCGCTTGATTAGATTTGTAAATGAGTTGCAATTGTATGGTTTAATACCATATAAGTTTTATAGTACTAAAAAGGTTTAAATTTGAACTTTTAAGTTAAGATCGTTGTTAGAATCAAATTATACAATTGAACGACATTTTGCGCAAAGTGGCAAGAAAATTACTTGATATAGTAATCACCCTAAACTTTTGCGCAAGTGCTTTAGCTAATCGGCGTAATCAGCTCCTAAATTTCCGCTTTCAGCGAATTTTGACGATTTTCCTTTTTCGACAGCCAAAAGTTCCATAAAAGACAGGAAATTCCAAAATTATTGTGGATAAATTTATACCAGGTACAAAGGTTTCAACTTTCATCAACTAAATCACCAAATAAAACCGTCAAGATTACCATTTCAAATACTCATACCTATTATTGAAACCGTCACTGGAAGAAGTACACTTTATCAATTTGAAGAAACTTTAAAGAAAAGTGTTCAAAAATCTATATTTTCAACAAAGCCTAAAAGTACGCTGCGCTTTTTATCCATTCCAAAGTCAAATAAAACTTAACCAATAGAGCTTTTTCATACCGCTGTGATCAGATTTGAAACAAAATCAGCCATAAAGATAGATACACGAATAGTGAGATATATATCGATACACTTAGACCTTATCAAGAGCTTTACACGTTTTTTTGGTGCTTATTTTAAAGCTTGATTTTCGTGCAGAGATAAGGGTCTCCATATTATTTCCAATCAATAAAATTTATACATATAAAGCAAAAACATCAAAAAATGACTATACCCTTGTTATCTGAACTTTTGATAGTATTATCAATTATACAACATAAAGCATGGTCCCTTCCGTTGATGAAAAGAGAAGGTGATGGTTATATTGATGATGGCGAGTCTGCAATCACCTTGATAATAGTACTCAGTATAACGGTATGTTCAATCATGTTGGGACTTTTGGCTGTTCTGCTCTGTGCTTTACTTAGATTTGCTTTGAAGAAGAAATATCTAGCGCTAGAGAACACAATACCAGGGTCGTTAGATGATGAATTTGAAATTGAAGAAAGATTGAGTGAATTATCCCCAAATGAACAAAACCTTTATAGATCAGGTCAAGATTTCATTAAACAATACCCACCTGTTAATGAAGAATTATCACTTTCAACACATTTGTTAATACAAGAAAAGGGGATAGAAGCTTGGGATTTCATTCCTGATCCTAATTTACCAAATGAAGCTATTTTCATCAACAATAAAACTGAAGTTAATTTCACAAATTATGACTATCAATGTTCAATTCAAACAAATCTACCAATACCCAAATTAAATGACGTCTATTATTTTGAAGCCAAAATATTTAGTTTAGAAGACCCAGAACATACAACATTATCCATAGGTCTTTCAACAAAACCTTACCCTTATTTTAGATTACCAGGAAGACATCATTATTCAATAAGTTATGATTCGGATGGATCAAGAAGATTTAACAATTCCTTTAAATTGAACGAAAAGGAAAGTAACGTATTTCCAGAATTACAACAAGGTGATGTTATCGGAATTGGTTATAGATGTCGTAGTGGTACTATTTTCTTTACAAGAAATGGTAAAAAGTTAAGTGAAAAGTCTATTGGTGGTCATATAAAAGGCTTCAGAATGAACAACATTTTTCCAATAATTGGATCTAATAACCCGTGCTCAATTCATGTGAATTTGGGACAATATGGTTATGTCTTCATTGAAGCTAATATCAAGAAATGGGGTTATGCATTGAAAGAAGGTACAAGACCACCTCTACCTGAATACAATTCATCGAATAATGATCTTTTAATAGAGTCGTCTAATGAAGATGATGACGAAATCATAGCACCACCAGACTTTTATTCAAATGCTGGTTATCAATCTTCAATTGGATCTAAAAAGAGTTTTAATGACAATATTACCTTAAACTCTTTACCACCAAATCCACCAACTTACGAATCTGATGATCAAGAAGAAGACGAACAATTAATAGCAAATACTAGTAATAATCAATTTTTAGGTGTTGATGAGGTTGAAGACTATGAAGCTAGAAATAGAAATAGTTTTGAAGTTACACCGGACGAGGAGGAGTCATAAGGTTCATTGAACAATTTTTATGAATATGAATAGTTTACATAATAAGGCAACGAGCAGGGAGCATTATACTTGTTTTTATGAGAGATACAACGGTTTAATATATGGTTTTTTTCAGTTTTTATTCACGACTTTAAAAACTTTTAAAGCAACTGATACTGCGATAATCCATAATTTATTGTCAACCAGTCAATACTACTAAATATCGAATTATGCGTAAATACATGTATTAAAATTAAAAAATTAACAAGAATGCTTTTTGTGTTGATGGCTCTTTGTCAACCATATGTTCTCTATATTATTTTGATTAAGTTTATTTATTAAAATGGATGATTTTCAGGTGGTTCACTTCCATTATTGAAATGATTACCATCATTTAAATCTAATGGTGTCCCTGCAGTACTTTCTTCCTTTAAAAAGTCATTAAATCCATCATTTGGATCATTTACAAAATTTGGATCTTGTACAAAATGTTGAAGTAAAGGATTATTATTGAACTCAAATGATGATATCTCATTATTTTGGTTTTGGTTTTGAGCTTTATTGTTTTCATTCAATTGTTGAGGTGGCTGTGGATTTGGATAGTTATTGACAACGGTTGTTGGTGATTGTGAACCCAGTCTTTGAGGTAACGAAAATTCTTGTTGTGGAATATTTGTACTATTATAATCCAGTATAAATGAATTCATAAATTTCAAAGATTGTTCAGATCCAGTGAAAACATGAGGTAATCCAGATCCACCAACAAATGCATCATTTACTTGATGACCCTCACTAAAATCATCACAAATTGACCATTGATTTATATTTTGTGCCATTGTTTGTGAGAAATAAACAGCAAATTTTGGTGGTTTGTTTAGTATCAACTTGAGTTCACAAAGACTTTTATTGGAGTCATCACCATCTGCAGTGATACTTATTGAGCAATTGTTAATTAATGAAATTGGATAAAATATTCTAAATAAAATTTTTGAAGTATCCGTTATAGCACTAAAAAAATAGTTTATTTCAAAGTTTTTTCTTGATATTATAATCATCAAATCTGTAGTATTATTCATGATTTCATTGATAGAGAATGGGGATAAATTCGATAAATTCTTCACACTAAATATGTTATCATGGGACAAGTTCCCGCTTTTGATACGCTTCCAACTCCCAACAGTAAGTGATTTAGCGTCCATAAAGAAATAATTGTTGTTTAATGTCAATGGTATATTATCATACCTTGTAGCAGATGATACATAACTCCCCACACCAAAAGTATATGGATCTTCCTTCTCTGTGTGTTGTAATTTTTCAAGTTTTCTAGATTTAGCTCTTCTATTTTGGAACCATATACGAACACTTCTTTCAGGCATACCAGTTTGTTCACTAATTCTTTTCCTCGTCTGTGCGTTTGGATTTGCATTTATATTGAACTCATTTACCAATAAAGCCAATACTTCACCAGAAGCTCTTGTTCTTTTTTGAGTGTTGTCATTATGTTGTTGTAATTGGGAATGAAATTGGGATTGTGATTGCTCATTTCCTTGAGGTGATGAATCTTGAAAATCTGAATACATCATATCAGAATTGACATTAGCCATTAGAGCTTGATCAAATTCATGTTGTGTATCAAAGAATTCATTGTCGTCTTGGAATTCTGAAAAGCCATGTGCTTGAAAGTTTGAATCCATCTTTGATTTATTTTTATTTATCTATATCCTTGCAAATTCACTTTATCAGCATTGACTATGAAGGTTGAAACAAAAGGCTTGTTGTATTGATGAGACGAAAGCTTGCAGGTTGAAATTTTAGTTTGAATCTTTTGAATAAAAGTATTATAATTCGCTTTTAGTACCAGATAAAAAAACTAGGACTTTGCTTCTCAGTCAAAACTTTAAAAATAAATGGGTAATTATTTGATAACAGCTAGCTTGAGCAACAGTGGACGGATTTATTATATGAATTATGAATTCCTTTATGTGAAGCCACTTTTTGATAGCAGAATTATTTGTCTTGAAATGCTTTGAACGGTGTAAATTCTGTTCAGAGCTTATACATGTGCATCATTTCAAGGTTGGAACTTGGATGTCTTTTTTTCCTTAACTTTTCGGTGATGTACTTTTTGAGTCGGAAGTCGTAAAACATAGATCAGATGCGGCACCTAATTCCGGTCCCATGTGGCACATAAAGAACAATAAATAACTTCAAAACTCAAAAGTTCAAACGTTCCTTAAAATTATATCTTTACTACAAGGGACAACGGTCATAAGAAACAATAACTAGAACATAAATCACTCTATAAAAAAAATCATCAACAAAAACCAAAATAAATAAAACGCTAATCTTACAAATGAAATCAGTAGCCTGCTACTATTCCAAATCTTTCATTCTTTCTTCAATGATCTTATCAACATCTTCATCGTTATCTTCCTTAACAAATCTTAATCTCTTACCCAATTTACGGGTTTTGGATTCACCTAAACGTCTCTTGAGTAATTTACCACTTGGTAAGACTTCAGTTTCGAACTCACCGTCATTATACAGATACGATGATGCTTTTGCTTCAGATGGGGTACCAGGTGGTAATTCAGTATCTAAAGTAATGGTGTTTTGTCTTCTGCGAGGCATAAATCTAGCCAGTCTTGATTCATCTTTGGACCAGACCCATCCTTGTTTCATTTGATCAAATGCTTCGGACTCAATTTTTCTGCGAATTTCTGTGTTTTTCTCCAATACTCTAAAAATATCAGAGTCGGTTGGCATAAACCAATTTCTCAGCACTTGCAAGATAATATCATACAATAATGGCATTGCAACAATGATCAATAAACTTGCCCACCAGGTAACATCTTTACCGAATTTCCAATAAATACCCTTGAAAACATCATAAATTTTACTTGTTTCTTGCTTATATAAACCAGGTAACAAACAACACCATAATAGCCAACCAAGACACGAAATCAAACAGGAAGCTAAATTCATTGAAGTTCTATCATGTTGTTCCAAATATTGTATTTTGATGTTGATTGTAAAGACAATGGCTGTAAATGTCAAAACACCACAAGGATATAACGAGTTATCTAATAATGCAGAGTAGCCCCAGAGATACCAACTTGAGAAACAAATCAATACTGATGTCGAAGCTGCAACAACCATCCAACCAATAAATATTCTCAAGTTGAAAGCTTCATTCAAACGCCCTTTTGAATATAATTCAGGGACAGCTAATAAGGTTGCAGGTTTCAAATCTTTTTCAAACATACCAATACACAACACTGGTAATGAAGTAAACAAGGTATTGAACATTGATAATGACCAAGGTTCATACAGTGAAGTACCTGTGAACATTGTATTTCTCTGAAATATGGCTTGTGTCAAGTAAAAAAGTAATTCTTTATAAAATGTTGATAAAACAAACTTGGAAGTTCTGACATAATTATAACGACCGTGAACCAATAATAACTTTTGCAAAAATTTGAATTGAGCAATTGAATAATCTGAACTTCTGGCTGCTTGTAAACCTTCTTTACCAGTGATACCAATACCAATATCAGCACTTTGAATCATTGCAATATCATTAGCACCATCACCAATCGCCAAAGTGACTAAATTTTTATTCAAATTACGGATATTTGTAACCATCATGGCCTTTTGGGAAGGACTAGCTCTGCAGCAGATCACTGAGTCAGTTTTGGTACATAATGTAACAAAAATCGAAAGAACAGATGGATCAGCTTCAAAATCAGCCAGTGTAGCACCATCAATAACAACCACACAATGTGCAACATTACCAGCTTTCAATTCTAAATCTGCTGCATTCATTTTAGTGATCACATCTTCATCATTTGAATCCAAAATAACAACAGTAGAGTAGTCTTTAATCAATTTACATGAGTAACCAATATTAATAGCAGTCTCTCTTTTATCACCAGTCAACATCCACAATTTGATACCTGCTCTTCTCAACTTTTCAATTGTATCTGAAACACCATCTTGTAATTTATCTTCAATTGCAGTAGTACCTGCCAACTCTAAATTATTCTCTAGCTTACCACCCACCTTTTCAATCAAATTTGCTCGATCAATCAGTGATGTTTTAGCACTTGCGTATTCGAGAGACCATTTTTCATATTCATTCTTATCTAGCCATCTATAACCGTATAATAATGTTCTTAGACCTTCAGTTGAAAATTCTTCTATATGTTGTAAAGTTCTTTCAATGATGTATTCCTCGTTCAAAACCAACTTATCATTACCAATATAACTTTCAGTGGAATCAATATTATATTTCTTACGTTGCTGTAAGTTGAGTGACTCTCTTGCCTCACTAACAACATCACTTAGTTCATCATCATCTCTCTTTTTATTTGATAAAAAATCATCTATTGAGTTAACATTGGAATTTATTGAGGCCCCACCAATTGAAGGTCTAGAGAATTGTAAAGATTTTCTTGAGCTTGGAATATCTTGTGATAGACGCTGCTGCAACACCAATTGGGCTTCGTTAGCTTTTCTTTGTGATGTGGACTTGAAAAGTTCAGCCTGTTTTTGGTTAACCAACTCAGAATTTCTTAATCTTTCCATGATAATATTATCAGCACCTTTACAAATCAAACATAAACGCCCATCTGGAAACTTAACCACGACAGACATTCTCTTTCTAGCTGATGAAAATTCCACAGTATCAGTGATTGTATAAACCTCGTCAACTGGATCCGAATCCATCCCATTTGGATAAGTTCTGATAGCCAAATCCTTATGATTCTTACCAAAAACGACATATCCCATATCCCTAGCTGCTACAACTAAAGCCAACTCATCAGGCGACGATGCTTGATATTCAATATCCTCTTCATCTTCTGAAATAGATTTAGGCAAACATGAATGACACAAAGCTAATGATAGAATAAAAAATTTGGCCTTCTTAGAGAACAATGTATTTGGGTGTACCTGGATATATTCAAGTAAATCTAAAGTTGACTTGAAATTTTGCGCATCATTTTCGCCAGTTTCTGCGTTTGATTTTGAGATTTCTGTTCTTTTGGATAATGCAGATGCTAAACTTGGTCTACCAGTATAAACTGTATTACTTTTTCTAATATCAATTGATGGTCTGGTCTTTGAAGAAATATATCCATTATCAGCATCATCACCACTACTTGATTCATTTATATCAGTAATTTTCCCGTTATCTTTATTAGCAAAAACCGAAGAATCTGTTTTGTGAGTCCAAGAAGTACCCGCAACACTAAACTTTCTAAAAATCATTAAATTATCAGTCAAAGTACCTGTTTTGTCACTAAATACATAGCTGACTTGTCCTAATTCTTCTAAAATGGTAGCAGTTCTTGATTCACACGGTGTATTGGAAGGTTTGTGATACATGTCAATATCCCAATGTAGGAAACCAGATTGAACAGCTTTGATAATTTCAGTTGTGACATACAACGATAAAGGAATCAATGTATTATACATAATGATGAATGACATCACTGTTGGTGCAATACCTGCTTCTTGATTGTATAAATACCATGAAGTATCCCAATGACTGTTCAAGTTTAATCTTTGAGCCATGAATGAAAACAACGATAATGACAACACAACAAAAACCATAAACCCAACAATCATATTGATGTATTTTTGCAATTTTGGAGCTTTAATTCTTGGATTTTTGATGGCATTCATTCTGATTTTGGATTCTTCACCTGTGAATATAACAAGACCAATAACATTACTTGTATTTCTTATAATGGAACCTCTATAGATAACATTTTCTGGCCCAAGAGGATATGTTTTACCGTCAAGCTCTAAAACACCTTCAAAATTATAAAGATCTGTATTTGGATCTTCAAAAGTGACACCAGCTTGGAAATTCTTTAAGCCATTAGCCGTATTCATGATATTTGTAATTTTACGATGTGGTATCCTTGATTTCAAATTTGTTTCCCCATCAAGATCCATTGTTTCCACAAACACTTCATTTTCATTAACACCATCCGAAGTCAATAATATGATATCAGCTGGTACCGGTTCATCTTGTTCTAATTTAACAATGTCACCAACTTTTATATCCTTCCACTTGATCTTGTTAACCGAAATATCTAATTGTTTGAGATAATTGTCCCTTGTGAATGTATTTGGCTGGTTGAAAGCATCTTGCTTCCGAGGTTGATCATACTCATATTCTTCAGGATCTAATCTTGAGACAGAGTTATGACTTGTAGTTCTTGACAGTGAATAAATTGACGTATTATCGCCATATCCCAATGCTCTTTTACTATCTTTATGTTGAACAATCTTGGAGAATTGATTATTTTCTTTCTTATCCAGTAAATGTCTTCTCCAGTCATCATACCCTTCTCTGACAATTGAAATTGTGATGAAAATTAAGAGTGGAACAATAGTTGTATAAGTACCAGTGGTCGACCAAGAAGGAATCATTTGTAAAATAGCCACTGTAAGAAAATAAAGGTTTGCAATTTTGGAAAATTGGGCATATAATTGACGCGGTAAGAATGTATATATTGAATATCTGGCAGATGTGATGACATTGTTTAAATATGGTTTTTTATACCTTTCATCTAGTAATAATTCGTCTCCTTTCTTGGATTGCACAGTTGGGTAAACTGAATGATTGAAATCTTTGGTCAATGATACTGGAAGTTTACGACCATTTTTTGAAGTTTTATATGGTCTGATATTAAACATAAAATTTTTGACATCCTGTAAAGTTTTGGATAATTTACCTCTTTGACCAGAATAAGTTTTCTTTCTTGAATCATGCCTTATTTTCTTTGGTTCTTGAAGCTCTTCATTGTCTGATGATATAATAGATGATCTGAATTCACGATTTGATTGATGGACTGGGTTTGAAGATTGTTCATTCTCTTCTCGTTCATCTAATGAATTAATTTCTGCAAGTGGACCATTTTGATTATTTTGATCATTTATTTGAACCAACTCTATGTTATCAGCCAACTGACCCGCCGGAGTACCACTTTCTGTGTCAGATCGCAGTTGTTTATCAACAGTTTTATTGAAAAGTTGAGTTCTTAATGAATAACCTCTTTGTCTTTTTTTGTGTGATGGTTTTTGATTTTGATTTTGATCCTGATTCTGATTATTAGGTATCTGATCAGCCATTATGATCGTAATGACACGTTGCTATGTCTAATACCTTGACTTTGTGAAAGATTGTACTAAACCAACTGGTCAAAACAACGGATTACTATTAACTTTCTTTGGATCAATAACGAATGTAATGTTTAATACTAAAACGTTTTTTTTTTGAAGCCCTTAAAATTTGACCGTTATAGCACGGTGCAATAATACTTATTCAATTGCTGATTATGACAACGACTTTTAATGACAGAGCGGGCTGTTAAACTCTGATCTATGGGTAGAAAGTGAATGTGAAGTAAAAACTAGGTGACCTTCCAAGGTAAATATCCTTAATAATTGATTTACCGCTGTGTCAAATCAAATCAATCAAAAGCGCAATTGACTGTGCTAAATCGATTCGAAAGGGCCTAAATTTCGGGCTTGGACTCTGGAGTCAAAATGGCAGTGTAGAATACAAAATTTACGGAAATTCTGTGGTGCGCTACAAAGACCAGTCAGTAACTTGGAGAAAAAAAACACACACTAAAGTTTAGGGCTTGAAAATAACTCGTCACGTGAACCAATTCAAATACACGTGATTTTCCTTTAAATGTTGCTATAGAAACAAATGTTTTTGTTTTCATTGAGATTTTTTTTTAAATTAAGCGGTTGTTTGTACAAATGTGTTGAAACTTGGTTCTTGATAAGTTCATTCTTGATATTTAGTCTGATATAACACTTCCATAGAGTCTAGACCACTTTGCAACAAGGTGATTGAAGCTAAAGCAATTACAACAATGTCGTCTGTTGATGATCTGGATGATCAATTGTCCTCTATGAGTATATCTCCATCGAAGCTGCCTACTACAAAGAAGTTAGATCCCAATCAAAAAAAGCCAACCAATGCCGCACCAAAGTCTTCAAGTATATTCCTTAAAAAAAACTTTGGATCTTTAAGCTCTCCAAAGAAGAAACCATTAAATAAGAATACTTCATTAACCCCAACCAAGAAGCCAGCAGCTTTCAATAAAAATGCTTTCTTCAGTGATACCCCATTAGCTGTTGATGATAAGAGATGGAATAATAACAAGCAGTTTTTTTCTGAGTTTAGCAAACAAAAGTTATCTCCCAACAAAGATTCTTTGAATCCAGTAGTTATTGATTCACCAATGAAACAAAATGAGAATGTTGATCCAAGAAATGATATCCAATTTCACCAGTCAGGGTTTAAGAAGTACGCAAATGAGGATTCACCTTTCAAAGATCCCTACTCAGCATTAAACAATAAATCAGTATCTAGAACGGGTGCTGCTTTCTTAGACTCCCCAGATCAATATGCAGATGAACAAAAATTAGTTGATAACTTATTAGCTAAGATCGGTGAAGATGACGATAGGAAAGAATTAAAGAAGCTACAAGAGCCAATTGAGGAAAAAGACAGAAAAGTTAAAGGACTAAGCGTAAATTTGCTAGACCATCAAGTTCACGGTTTGAAATTTTTGCGTAAAAGGGAACGTGATAAGGTCATTCATAAAGGTGGTTTGTTATGTGATGATATGGGTCTCGGTAAAACTGTTCAAACAATCGCATTGATAGTGAAGAACAGACCTGATGCTGATTATATGAAAGATTTAGATGATTTGGAAAATGATGACTTGAATATTATGAATAAAAATGTTCCTCTAAGAAAGTTTAAGGCTACTTTAGTTATTTGCCCTGTTAGTTTGACAACCCAATGGTCACAAGAAATCAAAAAGTTTGCTCCCCACTTGAGAGTCCTGATATTCCATGGTCCAAATAGAGCAACTAATTACAAAGAACTAAAGGACTATGATGTTATCATCTCGTCTTATGACACAATTAGATCTGATTTTGAAAAAGAAAAATCCCCTATATATCAAGGTTATTGGTATAGAGTTGTTCTTGACGAAGCACATACTATAAAAAACAAAAAAACCAAAACATCAATCGCAGCATACAATATTGAAAGTTTAAGAAGATGGTGCTTGACTGGTACACCAATTCAGAACTCGATGAGTGAATTGCAATCTCTATTTATATTTTTAAGAATTTCTAAATTTGCTAATGAAAACTATTGGAACCTCGTGATCTCAAAGACATTGAAGCAAGGTAAAGCCAAAGAAGCCTTTTCCCTGCTTAAGGAAGAGTTAAAAGAGATAATGTTGAGAAGAACAAAAGCTATTCTACAATCGACCAATTTCAATTTACCACCAAAAAATATTCATAGATGTGAAATTCAATTTACAGAGCTTGAAGAACAATTATACACAGACTTGAAAAGGCATTTTGTTCATAGCCTTGAAGATCAATTTGAGGAAATTGCATTTCAAAATAAAGACCCAAGCCTCAAGAAGTCGTATGAACCAGGTACATTATTCAGTAAACTATCACCATCCAAAATTGGAATTGATAATAAATCTTCAAAAAGTGACAGATCCAGAAACGAAAAATCCTTTTCGTTGTGTGCAATTGTGTATCTATTAAGATTACGCCAAGTTTGTTGTCACTGGAAATTATTGAGTGACTTGAGTGAAGAAGATTTGGAAGAGTTGAATAAATCTTCAACAGTTACTCGTCAATCTCAGCAAGGTAATGTTTCCCCATCAAAGAGAGATATGGATGTTGCACAAGAATTAGACGACATTACAAATTTTATGAATACACTTACTGTGAAAGAAACTAAATGTGAAATCTGCTTTGTGGAAAAAGTCAAAGGTACCGATAAGGTTTGTACAAAGTGTCACGAGAAACTGGAAAAGAACAAGAAATATGAAGGTTCAAAGGTTTTGAAACTTCTCGAAATCTTGAAGAAGGAACCAAAGAGAAAAACAATTGTATTCTCACAATTTAGGGAAATGTTATTATTGATGGGTCCTATTTTGAAAGATCATGGTATATCTTCTGTTAATTACGATGGTCATATGTCATTAAAGCAAAAAGATGCTGCGTTAGAAAAGCTAAGAAACAATGAAGATACCACTGTGCTTTTGTGTTCATTGAAATCTGGTGCTTTAGGTTTAAACTTAACCGTTGCATCTCAAGTTGTTATTTTTGATCCTTGGTGGAATCCCCAAATCCAAGCACAGGCTATTGATAGAGTCTATCGTATTGGTCAGACAAGATCAGTTGATGTTTATGAGTTTGCTATCAAAGACTCTGTTGAAGAGGAAATATTAAAATTACAAGACCGGAAAAGAAATTTGGCAAAGGCAATTACCGATGGTGATAATACAGCAAAGAATAAATTATTTGAAAAATTAAGCTCTAATGATTTAATCAAATTGTTTGGTCTAGGAAAACAATGAATAAACTGATGATGATTCTTGCATACAAGATTTAATGTAATAGTAGTATATAGTACTGTACAACTTACAAGTATAAATAATTCACATTACAATTTCATTTTTATTTTTAAGTTTTATTTATTATATCTAACTAGAATCCTCTAAAAAATTTATTTTTTTAAAGCTTCAACAGTGATTTTGTTGACTCTTTCAAAATCTGCAAAGACTTCAGAGTTGATTAAGTTATCTTCATGCAAAACTTCAACCAAATTGAAAGCTTGCTTAATGAATTTGAAGCCTTTAGAGAGATCTTCTTCAAGATTTGAAATCGAGTTATGTTGGCCTCTAAACGCTTCGAAAACTTCAAGTTTGGCTCTTGCCAAATCACCATCTTGTTGAAAATAGATATCAAAGACTGCCTGGAACACAATCCCCAAGATAGTATTTGGTGTTCCTTCTTTATATGGAATTTGAGACACTAATTTCCTCCATTGTGAATTTGTTTTATCCAATTTTGAAACTTCATTATTTGCTAACGAGTTGACTAATACACATTCTAACAATTCTCTAATATTATTTTTGACTAAATCAATTGACGATCTGAAAGCTAATATATTTCTGGAAATAGGCCCTATATATTGTGTTTGTTTCTGTTCCACTTGGAGAAATGTAGCTAATCTTGCAAATAATAGAACTGTTCGACTATTTTTCGGATCTGTGGTTGTTGAATTACCGATCAAAGATGGTGTAAATGGTTCTGTAATTTGGAAGGCATTTAATTTGATGAAGATCAATAATGTCAATAGTTTTTCTTGATGGATCGGATCAAAATTTTTGATGGCGAATAAAGATTTAGACCATTTGTTTGGAACTAGTTTACCATTTTTAAAGTCAATTAAACCTAACAAGCTCAAAGTTCTTAAAGTAGATGTAGCTATAATTTCATAATCAGTTTTCAATCTGTCAGCTTCTTGAGAAACACCATATTCACCTATGATCTTTTTACCAAGTAAATCATCCTCTTCTAACGAGTTCAAAAATGAAGAGAAATTGAATGTTTCAGTATCAGACTTGATGACAATTCCATCAATAGTAGTTGACATTGGTGGATACATCTTGTTGTCAAGTTCAACATCATCTTTATCGAAATATTTGACAAAATGAATTTTCTTCACTTGATAATATCTATTGATAGATTGTGTCAACAAATTGAGTTCTTTGTTTTTGAACGCATTGACTGTTGAGCTAACCAACGATTTGTACTGAGATGGAATACCCCCATCTATTGGTTGATTTTCAAAATAAGTACCATAAACGACAGACTCCAAGATCTTTGGATTTATTAAACCTAAGGATTCATAAAAAAAGTATTCATGAGGTAACCTTTGACCAATAATATCATGTATATCAGATGGTGGTAGAGTGTCAGGATTTGGAGGTTCTATATGTTCATCATAATGTGATAATTCAACTCTTCCATTTTGTTTCAATACCGGTAAGTATTGTAGAGCTAAAACACCTTTCTGAAATCTGGTCTTGACATCTTCATTGTTTAATGCTGAAATATTTGAATAAATATTACCACCACCATTAATAATTGAGAGACCAATATGGAATAATTGTTGTTGTGGGTACCCATTATAAATTGGCAATGTGACAGGCTGTAAGTCACATCCAACAGATACAGCGATTTCCAGTAATTGTTGAGGACCGATTTGAAATTCATTTAAAAGCCTGCGTTTTTCAACGAAACGAAATACTTTTTCTGGAAATTCGAATGCAAAGATATACTTATCAACATTTGGTAAGAGTACGCATTCAGTTGGACCATAGATAGCATCAATATATTCAGTTTCATAGAAGTATGATAATTGAGCCCAGGACAGGTATGGAGCGACAAAATACTCAAGACCCAAGTCATTAAAATAGTCAATCAAATCTCTAGTAATTGCTTCAAATGTAAATGGTGCATTGTAGTCTCTAAAAGTGTCATGTGGGGTGAAAGGAATTGAGGTTTGGTTTTTAGACTGGTAAGAACCATAATGGTTCCATGCTCTCTCTCTGAAAGTTTCAGCTGATGAATTCTCCTTAGAGTTTTTCAAGTCGTATTGATCCACAATATCATTACCACTGAAGACAAATATTGGTGTAATATTTAACTCCCTAAACAATTGGACATCGGATCTAATGTAGGTTTTCAAAGAGTTTGGAAACCCACCAATAGCATCAATGTTCAGTTCTCTTTTGGATCCCAACAGCCTAGAAAGGTAGTGGTTGACATCAATACCCAATCTAGAGTTTTTGAGCGTTTCCACTGGTAGTGTTACCGGTAAGTTTCTTTCGAAGAAATATTGTTCCAGAGATTTGACTATAGGCATTGAGCACAGTTAGTAACGCGTCTTGCAGAAATAAGTAGCACATGGTACTCACTAGGCATATTTCAATCAATCAAACTATTGAGTTGGGGCTTGCAATGGAATTGTATTGTTCTTTGAAATTAAACGCCAACGTCTTTTCATTGTAGTTTGTAAACACAGCTCTGAACCTGAATTTTGACGTTCAAGACAACTTCCGAATTCGCGGCCTCGAATCTCGCGCGTCTTTGGAGCTTTCGAAATTAATTGAACAGCGTATCCCAAAATAATGGGTCTAATTGACTTGAAAAGAAGTTGTTCTACTTGACTTCTAAATTTGAACTCAATTGACCCTCAATTTCACTGTATACTCTGTGGAAGTTACAAGAAAGCAATGAAGTTCACATTACTGGCCTTAACCTTGTTTTTGGCGGTCACCAATGCCTTGAGTGCATCAAATTTGTTCAAGCATAAAGAAAAATCCAAATCAAATGTCATTAAGTTAACAAAAAACAATTATGAAAGAATTTTAGAAGGTCCAAGGGACTCATACATCTTACTCTTACTTACAGCTACAAATCCACAAGTTGGATGTACTATTTGTCAACAGTTAAGTCCAGAATTTGATAAGCTTGCAGACTCATGGTTCTCTGACCATCCAGATGGTGATAATTTATTCTTTGCAAGATCTGACTTTGCTGATGGATATCGTGAAATTTTCCAAGCTTTCCAATTGAACAACGTCCCAAGACTCTACTTGTATTCACCAACTGAAGATACAACAAAATTCAATGAAAATTTACAACAATTACCTGTTCCAGGTAACAATTTGGGTCAAGAATTAGCAGCAGTATTAAGTGAACTTACAGAGAAAGATGTTAAAATTTATGAAGCAGTTCCATATGGAAGTATATTAATCACAGCTATATTCACATTTTGTTCAGTCTTGTTGTTGAAAAAGAACTTTTCATCAGTTTCAACTGTTTTCAGCAATAAACCATTATGGGGTGGGTTAACTGTTTTTTCAATCTTGGTTTTCATCACTGGTTATATGTTCAACGCAATTAGAGGTATGCCATATGCTAGAACCTTACCTGATGGAAGAGCCGAATATTTTGTCTCAGGTCAACAAGCTCAACTAGGTGCTGAAACTCAAATTATGTCATTCATTTATGCGATTTTAGCATTTTCATTTGTTAGTTTGGTCACCAGAGTTAAGTACATTAAAAATGAAAAAGTTCAATTCATTGCCGTTGCTATAATCGTCTTTATAATTTTGGTTGTTTATAGTGCATTATTCCTTATCTTCAAATTCAAGAGTCCTGGTTATCCATATCAATTATTAAAATTATGGGGTTAAGTTCAAAGAGGGCATGTCAAAGTTTGAATACAATTCCACAAAATACATCTCGTATAAATATATAAATGCAAATGCTAGATGCTAAAGCAAACAAAAAAAAAAACGTTTCATAAGTCATAATGGTTGTAGTCATATCTTGAGTTTTATTCTATCCACCCTTTGTTCAACCTCTTTCAATGTAGTTTGTACCTTAATTAGTCTCTTTCTAAGTGATATAATGCGTTCGTTGGTGTCTTTAACATCAATATCAACAATCATTTGATCATTATATTTCTTCAACTCTATAGTTTATTTGTTAGCCTTTAACCTCCCAAAATTCTTTTGAATAATCAGTGTACATACTTTCTTCCATTATCTTGAGTCTGGCGATCAATACAACTTGTGATTCATGTAGTGTTTGCAAGTGGTTTGATAAAGCCTCTAATGGACCACCGACGAGTGATTGAACAACAAGCTCCATCGGATGGATATCGTAGCGCTGTGATTGTGAAAGTGGTTCTCCTTCGGTGGGGTTGAAGAACCTGAAGTCCTCATTATTACCTGATCTTGACATTTTTCAGTAAATTAATAAGATAGTCGTTAATTGTGAAGGTATAGTGCACTGTTGTGTTATTATATTTAGTGAATAATTGAATTTTCTTACTAAGCTTAGCTGGGATTTTTCTAGTATACAAAATTTAATCAGAAGAGTAAACAGACCAAAAGAAGGGCACAATAAAGCCAATCACAAACCACATTAACTGAAATGTCAAGTCTAAATGCATTTAGAGAGAGTGAGTATTCTAAGATATGTTAAGAGTACATCAAGTGGATTTACTAACAATTTCTCAGAAAAAGTTGCCGTAATAACGACAGATGGGAAATACTTTGTCGGTATACTAGAAGGTTTTGATCACCTAACGAACTTAATACTCACTGAAACTCAAGAAAGAGTAATATATCAAGATGAAGAAAGCATAATAGAAGATTTAGGTTTGCAAGTGATACGAGGCGATTTGGTTTCATGCGTAGGGCTGGTTGATGAAGAGTTGGATAAACAGATAGATTGGACCAAAGTTAAAGGTGCCCCTCTAGTGAAGACAAAAAAATCAATTCAATGATTCAAGTTGATAGACTTCCCTACGGAGCCTGGATGTTCAACAAAATATGTATTTATAGAAATGTGATATGATGAAATACAAGCTAATTAATAAGGTGAAGTGTATTTATCTAAGGAATGAACGTTTAATAGAGTTTATATAATAATAAGAGTTCAATTGTAGATTTTTGGGTCAACATATTTCTTTTCTTCACCAACTGCAACATATGGTGGAATTCCAAATTGTTTTAATTTCACAGCCAATTCTAATAAATAATCAATAGCTTCGTTGTACACTTTAGCCTTCCAAACAGTTTCACCCCAGACATAGATACCATGTCTTCTAACAATAACTGCTGTAGCACCTGGATATTCTTCGATTGCCTTTTGTAGTGTATCAGTCAAATCTTCTTCATGTGCTGTATTTTCAATGATTGGAATGGTCAAAGTATCAAAGAAACTTAGATAACCTGGTTCTGTAACTTTAGGAATGGCTTTAATTTGTTCAATATTAGCAATTTTGAATTCCTTTTCATAAAGCAATGAAACCATAACTGCAGCTTGCGAATGTGTATGTATACAAGCACCAGCATTTCTCATGGTATAAGCTGACATGAATAATGGTGTACAAGCAGATGGTTTATAAATCTTCGGAGTTCTCAAATATTTGGTAGATTCCAAGTCCATAACAAACATATTTTCTGGGAGCATACGTTCCTTTTGTACTCCTGATGGTGCAATAAAGATCTTGTTCCCATCCCTTATACTTATACCACCACCAGTACCTGTAACCCATCCGTTATCATAGAAAAGTTTACATAATTCACAAATCAAGTTGGCTGGATGGTTTGGATCTGTACTTGTGATCAATTGATCTTCCGGGTCTGTAGTAGCCTTCTCTGGAGCAGTTTGTTCCTTTGAATGATTGCAGAAGCAGCTTGACATTTCAAATATGAGTGAGTTTGCAATATTTCTGTATAATGAGAGATTGATTATTAGATTTGATTATTTTGTATTTTATATCACGATGTCTTAATTCCCTTCAACACATGCTCAAAAAAATCCGAAATGATCCTCGCCTGTAATATGTACGCGCTAGAAATCAAGCCACAACATGAATAGATTCACGAATCAAGGTGGATTTGTGACTATAAAACAAATACTACACTGGAGAAATAAATATGATTCGTAAAATTTCATTAAAATGCTTTAATTAAACAAGAATATGCTGCATATATATATAAATTATTAAAATAAATAAAAGCTTAAAGACCCATCTCCATGGCAATGTCCTTTGCTAATGGTTTATTTTGTAGTGCTTTGGACTGACTGATACTTTTGACCTGACTTGGTTTTCTAGAAGATACTGAACTTGATGAATTAATTGTAGATGGTTTAAATCTATAGATTGTATCAGCAGCTTTTGGAAGATCGTAAAACCAACCTCTTGAATGTAAAATGTTCATAAATGCGTCTATAGTTTGTAAAGATTGTAAAGTCCTTTTAGATCCGATAATGATTAGCTTTGATCTTGCTCTTGTGATTGCAACATTGACTCTTCTCCATTCTTTTAATAAACTACCAGCATCATTTCTGTGATTTGATTTGACAAGAGAAATAATAACACAATCCTTATCTCTTCCTTGAAATTGATCAGCTGTTAACATTTCAATATCCTTGTAATCACTAAACTTTCTGTAGAAAAGACGAAGTTGAGCTCTATAGAAAGACATAATACCTATGCTTGATTGTTCAACTCCACACAAAACCATACCCTGAACTATTTGGTGAACCAATTCAGCTTCTTTATGATTTTCAATGTTTTCCTTAGATGCAGATTCTTCACATCCTCCGACATTATCATGGTTCAAGAATAGCACTTTGTTCTTATCATCTAAAATAGCATCCATCCAGAATTGATCAGGTGTCACATCTTGGGAAATAACTTCATTTAATCTTCCTTTTTCAGGTATTCTCAATTTCTGGTTTGCAACTTCATCTGAGCCGCACTTCAATCTACCTTCATAAATGATAGTATTGGATAAAAGCATAATATCACTACACATTCTGTACTGATGTGTTAAGTCAACAACTGACTCTGGGTGACTTTCACTCAATGATTTGAACAAACTTTTTGAAAGGCCAGCTTTTGCATCTTGGTTAACAATCAATGGAGGTAATTGATAATGGTCACCCACAAGAACGAATTTATCACAAAAGCCCAACGGACCAAGACATACAGGCATTGATACCTGAGATGATTCATCAACAATACAGTAATCAAATCTTCTCTTATTGAAAATCCAATCAGATATACCAAGACAAGTTGTAGCAACAACTGGAGGTTCCATAAATGCCTTATCCAAATCCGATTTAGACTTTATATCCTTTTGGTATGGTGAGAATTCTTTAATCTCTGGGTGAATTCTTGAGACGCTTCCTAGCCTGACGATTCCTATATCATCATTCTTCATCTTAAGCAAAATATTATCAACTGCAGAGTGTGTATATGAGGTCAAAAGAACTGATTTATTTTGACTCACTAATAACCTGATCAACTGTGCAATAACAGTAGTTTTACCAGTACCTGGCATCCCTAGAAGTAAAGCATAATCTTCAGCAGAAAGTACTTTATCAAAAGCTTGAATTTGGTCAATATTGAAACTGTGGCCTTTTGGTAATTCATAAAGTACCGGTTTAGCCTTGAAAACTGGCTTCCTTCCTTCGACAAATAACTCTCTTTTATGAACATCACCATCTTTTAAGAAGAGATTTAATAAATTAAATCGAGCCAGCTTCATACCATGAAACATCTCATCTTTATCAATACGATATGTTAGATCACCATTTGTTGTACTATTTCTTTCCATCGGTCTCAAAACTGTCTGGTATGTTTGGTTATTTCTAACATCAAAATTATCCAACTTCACATTGTTGTTCTTCAATCTTCTAATTGTTGAAATTGTGATCTCAGTTGGTCTAACACTAAGAACAAAACCTGAACAAAGAGCAAAGTGACCTGATTCATCACTTACTATGATTCTATCATGCTTGGATAATTGAGATACATTTAAAGCAGCAGCACCTTTTGTATTTCTTTCAAATGTGTAAATGTACTTTTTGCTCTCGTCACCCTCTTCATCAATGGCACCTTTGATAACCAAGTTACTCAAGCATTTTCCCGATGTCTTTTCTCTTGTAGGACCATCAGTTAGGAATAGATCACGTTTCAACATATTGATGGAACCTTCTTCTTTGGTTATGAGATCATCCCAATAGTTGAAAAAGCTTTTATGAGAATCCTTATTCAAATGGCCCGTGATATCATCGTAAACATTATCTTTTAGTCCACTTTCATTGGCAGTTCCATCTTCCATGAGCTTGTTATAAGTCATACACTCAGATACAGCGTAGCAATTATCACACTCTGCTGATTTTTTTAATTCTGGTAATGCTCTTGATCCTTCCTTCAAATAGTTGGACAATAAATTTCTGCACATGACCAAATCTTTGAGCTGTCTATGATCAATTTCAAATTTTGTTGTTTCCTTAAGACGAGTGTACACAAGCATAAAAAATCCAACGTCCATTTCATATCTATCTTTTAAAAGTAGAGTATAAAGTGAAGCTTGTGCACCATGAGCTAACTGTGCTCTATTACCAGACTTGAGCTCCAATGGTGCAATAAATTTACCGCTTTTACTAGAGCTTTGTAAGTTTGCTTCAATTGTAACATCAATCAATCCTCTTAACCCATATATTGGAGACCAAATATTTTCTTCAATGTCTAATATATTACTAGCTGAAAACAATGATTTCTCCCTCTTTCCTGAGATTCTAATTCCGGAACGCTGTAGTGGTTTATCAACTGCATAATTCTCATACCAAGTCTTTATATAAGGTATGTGGTTGCTAACTTCACCTCTTATGCTTTCTTTGGTCTCATCTATAACCAAGATTGTTAATAAATTATCATCAAGCTCATGCTCAAGTTCCTCATGCAAAAATTCACTTGAACAGTTTCTCTCTCTCAATACCGCTTGAAACAACGAATGGACAATTTCACCAACTATCAATGCCATATTATATTCACCTCTAAAATCCAATCTAGTCTTAAGAACTGACCGTCTATAACAATTTATAGTATCACCAATCAACGTTGCTGATAGTAGTAAGTCAGGGTTCCAAATTAATAAATTATCACTATCTTTATCAACCAGCTTGTAGCTTTCCCCAACTATGTGAATCACATCCTGAGCACCAATATCAAGTTTCACCCAAGGATCTCTAACAACAATCTTTGATGTATTACCATTTCCATCAACAGCGGTCAAAATTTTTTGATCCCTTTTGACATTCTTCTGTGTGAATGATGTGGTCAATACATGCTTGACTTGAAACCTTTTGACATTCTTCCTCTCAACTGCACATTTTGCCAGATTTTGTTCTTCCTTTTTGTAATGTTCGATTTTAGTAGTATCAGTTCTTTCAATGTCCTGTTTGAAAACCTTGGATCCTTCAAAATCAATTTTTTTGATGCGTTCTTCTTGAGTAGTCAGCCTGGGCTCAGCATTAGTTTGTGTGTTAGGCTGTTTCTGTGTAAGCTTCTCCTCGATCATCTTATCAAATTCTTCATCATCTAAGTCATCATCTTCGAGGGTATCGTCGAAATCATCGTTATTTTCCAAGGTCTTTTGGCTTAGCTTCTCTATTATATTTTCAACCTCGTCTTTCTTCAATATGGTTGGTTCCGGTTTAGCAACCTGTGTAGAGCCTTTCTCTAGCACCTTATCCAAATCATTCATAAAGTCATCACTAAAATCATCACTAAAAAAATCACTTGAAACATCAAACGACTTATCTGGTTTTGTATCATTTTTAATATCTTGATGGTTCAATTTCACAGGTATATTAGTTTCCTCTGGTCTCTTTACCTCTTGATTTAACTGTTGTTTAGGTTCCGTGAGAGTTTCTAGGTTCTCCTCTGTTGTGTCAAACCCGGATTCAATGGTACTAATTAAACTTGTAATGTCCTTCCGTTTGATATTTCCTTGAAGTGGTGTTGCAGGTGAATTAGTTAAAGAGCGATTTGCCATGATCTTGGATTTCTGACCTGTTAATGATTTGACACTATTACATCTTGGAAAACTATCACTTTTTGGTATCAAAGATTTTGGTGTTGATGTGAATTTTTGATTCGGGTTTGTTTTCAATGTAGTAGGTGATCTTTGGGATGCAAAATTATCATACATCATTGATTGATACTTGTTAGAAACATTATTCATGGGATCTATCTTTAGTAGTTCTGTTGTTAAAGGAGATGACGGAAGATTTTTTTGATTAGTATCACCTTGTTTGATCTGCTTTGGAGTTGCAGCCCAAAATACGTGGTCATCAGAGCTATGATGGTCATTCCTTATTATTTCTCGTGACTCCTTCGATGATGGTGAATCTGTCTCTTGTTTGGGTATATTTGGGTCAACTTTTATTTGTTTTAATGGAGTTGAGCAATTCAGATTATTAGTTGGTGCAAATACGTATTTTGTCTTTAACTTGGGAAATGGTGAGTCGTTTTCCTTTTGATTTATATCTTTCCTCCTCTTTTCCAGACGGTGCTTGTTAGGCGATACAACCTGTTTAGCATCTCTTTTCCTATCAGACATGGCTCATGTCTCTAATATAGCTTCTAATAACCAGATGGTAATATTCTAGTCTCATCTGTTTTGGTTTTGTGATGCGTAAAATCTTAATCGCGCTCGCGCAACCGCGTTTCAGCTCGTGATAATCACGTGAATTCTCTTCTTGGTTTCAACTTTCCATTATAATGATGGATTTTTGAAGAATTAAAAACAAAATGTTCAGATAGATACGCTTAGATCATTGTTACCTCAATATCCGTATTTACCGTATTTACCTCTCACAGAAGTAGGATGAATTGTGGACATTCGATGCGAAACGAAATGACTACTGATATTAACTATAAAGGGAAAAGATAAGATGCATGAGTTTATGAAAAATAGATTCGAGATTATTTTTTGGGGATGTTCTATACTTCACAGAACACACCTTATAAGTTATTACCAAAGTAATATCATTAGTCAACCCTATATTCTATAATAGAAAATATGCCAGAACGTATTACATGGGAAGCAGTCAAAGGACAAGGTAATTCACTTTTATCTCCAGCCTACAAAAGCAATGGCCATGTCTTTTTATCTGGATCAACAGGACAAGATCCAAAAACAGGTATCTTTCCGGGTGACGTTAAGGAACAAACTGAAAATGTCATTCAAGGTTTGAAGAGAACCTTAGAAGCTTCAGGCTCTAGTCTTGATAAAACATTGAAGGTTTTGTTGTTCATTTCCCATGCTGCTGATGCCGCTGCTATCAATGAAGTTTATGCTAAACATTTTACTACTAAACCAGCAAGAAGTGCATTAGTGGTAGGTTTCCCAAACCCAAAAATTAAGGTAGAAATTGAAGTAGTTGCTGAGTACAAGGAAATCAAAAGTAAGTTATAATGTGGAAATGTATTTAGATTAGGACCAATCCATGAACTGGTTTTGTGGAATAATAAATGTCATCAATACTCTGTTCTCTATTATATGTGGCGCGGAAGAAAGCATTCAAGGTATAGGTCGAAGTTAAATCGACATTTTAAAGTAGATATATTACAATTAAAACTCATAGTAACTAAATCATATGGTCTAATTCTACTATTCTATAAACCCTGGTCTATAAATTTCTTTATTTCCTGGTACATAAGCTCCAAAATTCCACGACTATAAGTACGGTACACCATACCAACCTTTTAATGTTATTGAAGAAGTGTTGGCTTCGGTGGACCTGAATCACTTCATGCTATATGACAGTTCTATTGATGATGTATTCCTTGTAGAGTCATAATCACACATTAAAAGGATGTCAAATATTTGTCTTCTTTGTTCGATATTCCTTGGTTTTGCATTATAAATCGAAGTTTCAATTCTGATATTGTGGCAATTGTTGATCTGACAGTGAACTCCTTTTTGTTATAGGCTGGATAGTATTATTTTAGGTAGTTTTCAGTTGTTGTGTACCATCCCTTTCTAGTTGATTAATAGTTGCATTTCTATGTAATGAAGTATATTGATAAGAAACCTCCTCCAAAAATTTTATAACCTCCCGAAACATAGAATTGATATCATCTTCTAATTTGTCAACATCTTTAAATAACTCCATGATCGATGGTACTAGTGATCTAGATTGCATTATAAGACCTAGAAATTCCTTCTCGTCAACTTGGATATGCGAATCAATCCGTGTTGCTAATTTCTCAGAAACATCCTTAAAACTTTCGATATTCTTAATGAAACCAAAATACCGTCTATGATAAACCTGATCTATTCCTTTTATCAATCTATCAGCCTCTCGTGTATCTCCTAGATTCTGTAACTCTTGCTTTACTCTATTCCAAGTTCTAATATAATCCCGATTTGCTTCTCTTAACAATGTTTCTAGCTTTGGAGCCACTGAATTGAATAGTCTAACGAGCATTTTCACATCTATAAGTTCATTTTCATCTTCAAGTATATCTTTATATTTCACACCATGTGGTATTTCACCCGACATAATCTATAGGCTGGCTTTGTACTAATTAATGAATCACTAAAATTTAAAAGCACGGATCTTGTTCATTTAGAAAGGAATTTAGAATTGGTATTTACAAATTACAAATACTTAAGATATGCCCGATTCTTATGTAATCCGATTGATCCAATGACACAAAAAGTAGGTCTAAGAACATTTTATTAGAAGGCTTTCAAGAACCTTTATCATGGAAACGAGTAGCACAGTCTAGTATTTTCATTAGCATCTTATTGAAAAGCATGTCCACGTAGTAGATTTGCTTCAAAATCGCTTTTAAAGGTGTGAAAGTATACACAGGTCGGAATTGAAACAATTTGTATGGTGAACATCACGTTTTTTTAACCTCGTTTCTGAAGAACCACCTAACAAATACACACATAATTGGCTGTATGTCAACGATTATAAGAACATAAAACAAGTTGAAACGTTTATTATCAACCTTTTGAATTTTGAGAGCTCTGTATCAACAACACATTATTCAATATGATACATTCTGTACTAATTTGTGAGTTCAGGTTTTATCGTGTATTAAAAATGACCTTTTATTAACTCAGCAATAGTTAACAATGATTGTCTGCCTCGTCTAATGAAATTTTATACCCCAGTAGTAAGTTGACTGATCTCAATCAATTCACACTTGTCTTGAAATGGAATCTGACATTTAAAATAGGATATTGAAACTCAGGTGCTTCTTTTGCGTCAGGTATACGCGTTAGTGAATCAAAGACAATCAAATCAATCTTCTTTCCTTACACCACCACCATTACTTGAAGGAATTGAAGATATCAAAGTTATTTATAGACATTATGCTACATTATATTTTGTTTTCATAGTGGATGACCAAGAGAGTGAACTAGGTATATTGGATTTGATTCAAGTGTTTGTACAAAGTCTGGATAAATGTTTTGAGAATGTGTGTGAATTGGACCTTGTCTTTGGATGGCAGGTGTTGCAAACAGTTTTAGAGTAAGTTGAAACAATAATATATATCTGCATGGGCTAAATATTAACAATTATGAACTAGAGAAATAGTACAAGGTGGACTAGTGATTGAAACAAATATCAATAATATAGTGAGGGTATGTATTCAAGAATATCACGATTCAAAATTGACAACTAACAAATTACAGGCGGTGGATCAAGCAAATGAAGAAAAAAGTTATAGCATATCTGCAACATCTGCATTTTCAAACGCAACAAGCGCTTTGACGGCAATGGCAAGAGAAGGTAGATTGGGGTGGTCAAGTCGTTAAGAATGTACAAGGCAAGTCAAAGTTCATAAAAGTTGTTGAATTTCTATTAATATTCAATAATTTAACATTTTAAAAATTAATTCTATGTACAGGTTTCATGCAAGTAATAACGTTATTAATCCTTAAAAGTTCACATATCAAGCCGTGATATAATTATAAATTCCAATTTCTCCATTCGTATAACATTAAAGCGTAATCATCTCCATCCAAACCAAGTTTTCTTCTTTAACTGTTCTTCAGTTTCTAATTTGGTCTTCCTTTGTGTTTCCTCGAGTTCTGCTCTGATTTGTTCAATTTCTTGTAATTGTTTTTGTTCTGCAACTTGTTTTTCATACTGTTGTTTAACATCTGCTAATTGTGTACCATGGTTTTCTAAAGGTGATTTAATTGGACCAGTCATCCATATAGGATCTTGTGAAGCGGAGGTTTGTTTCACAATTTTGATAAGTTCTTCTTGTTCTTTTCTTCTAAGACCTCTTTCTCTTTCATATTGAGCTCTTAATTCTGGTGATAATCTATTAATTAATTCTTCATCTGTTGGAGTAGCGTACAAATATGCGACAACACCAAAACCAACGATACTCGCACCAACTGCGTAAACTCTAGCCCAACGATACCACAAAGGTTTCTCCATATTAATATCTTCTATAAGTTATAAACTTGCTCAAAAGTGTGATGCAAGAACAATCACCAGTATAGACACAATTTTAGCTAGCACTATTTATTTTTTTTTGCGAAAGCCAATCGATTTCGTTTTTTTCAAAGGTTGGTAATCAAAATATAACGGTATACGCACTCCGACAGCTGAGTCAGCATAATAGGAATTCAGCCTTTATGATTAGCTAAAAATACCTACAAAGGTTAAAGAACTAAACCACTCTATATTCGTTGATTCATGATTAAACGAGTTATTTAAGTTACTCTATATTATTAATAAATTAATTTTTCTTAGAAAAAAGACCCAGTTTGACCAAAAGGGAATTGAAAAAACACAAAAAAACATTAGCACATGATGGATAAATACTTCAAAAACTCAAGTAAATAATTCTTTCCATAAGTATGGGGTAAATACAGCAATTGCAGTTCCTAAAATGGTAAAAATTTGAATGATTGATAAGGGCAATAATAATGGACCATTATCCAAGAAATTAACAGCAATAGAATAGAATGCAACTTTAAAAAAGACCCAAGTCAACAAATATGGCTTTGGTAAAAGACCACTCAAGAACCCAACTGGGATGTTAACAGCGTCACCACCTCTTTGGAAGTATTTGAAACAACCTTTTTGTAAGATTTTTAAGTTGTAACTATCAGCTGCAAACAAGGAAAATAAGGCAATTGATAAAATGTTAATAACTGCATCTAAGTTTTTTCTTTCAGCATGGAATTCTAAAAGAGCTTCAGAAACTGCATCACGATTATCAAGATTTGGTATATCCTCAAATAGTTTCAAGAGTAATACTGTGTCACCTAAACCAACACTCATACCACCACCAGTTAATGGATGTCTCATATTCAAAGCATCACCAACAACTAATAAGCCTGGAATATCGTTTAGTCTGGCTGTTAAGTAAGAGTTTGGATGTGTTTTTAGTTGGTCTTTCATAGCTTCTTTGAAAGATGGATGTAGTGATTCTGGTAAATATGGTAAGACTTCTTCTGCTAAATATTTTTTAATATCTTTTGGTGGTTGAAGACCAGTATAAGCACATAAAGCTCTTGTATCAGTTGGTGTAATTTGATAAATAACAACAGGGGCAAAATTTGGACCTAGGATGACATGACCAGTATGTTTAACTGGCATATCAGCATTTTTCAATTTTAATGCAATGAAATGGGAGTTTAGTTTTGGAACATGATTTTCATTTAATGATTTTCTTAATCTTGAAAAGATACCATCACATACAACAGTTAGTGCAGCACCGTAGTTTTGTTTTGTTCCGTCTGGAAGTTTGACTGTGACACCTTCGATCTCACCATGATTTTCAATTAAACTTGAAACTGTTCCTTCCAAACATGTGATTAAACTTTCATTTTTGGCTATTTTTCTCAAGTTTGAAATATATTTACCGTGTTCAAAAGATACCCCCATTTCACGTTCACCATCTTCAAATACTTTTCTTGATATGGTTGAATCATCTAAAACTTTATCATTCCCATCAAACACACAACCTTTCAAAGGTTTAAATGGTGCAACATCTGATTTGTAAGGATAGGGTATAGCAACTTTTTCACCCCCATAGAATACTGTGTAACCAGTAGCAGGTGTAGCTTCAATATTATTTATAGCTTGAATCATTCCCAATGATCTTAAAGCTCTCAACCCTACAGGTTGCATCAATTCACCAACGATTCTATCTGGCTCTCTCCAGTCTCTTTCAACCAACAAAACTTTACGACCTTGTCTTGCTAGCCCAACAGCTATAGCAGGTCCAATAGCACCAGCCCCAACAACAATAGCTTCATATTCAAACCCTGACATATTCTTTATTATTTGATTTGATTAATATAAATAAGAACGCTTCCTTCGAAAAGATATATTTTTATTTTCTTTTGGATAACTAATTCCAAGTGAGAAATTTATCAATGAGTGTGATTAAAGTGAGTGGATGATTTTCAAATATCTATAATAGAGATTCAGTTGTCTTTATAAAGAGTTGGTTGAAGATACTTCTCGTTCAAATGTTTGGTGATGGTTCGATTTTAATTAAACGGTTTTCCAAATTTTGTGCAGAGTGCTTATGTAATATACGAAATAATAAACGATAATTTTTCTAACTATAAGATCTCGTATGAAACGTGATGTCACTAATAACAGTTTCGTAGAGGAAACCGATATTCTTCATTGGGTAGATCTCGTGTCATTTGGTTCTATATGTGTGCTATTGGTATAGTTTTACTAAAGCTCTTACCATCTACCTCCACCGTTTCCTGACGTTATTGATTGATAAAAACTATACAGGTAGATGATCGAGATTCTTGCGCGAACTGAACGAGACGTATCGAACCACGGTCCACCAGCCTCTTCATATATTGGTGGCGCCGCAAGGCTAACTTATAAATAATTGCCCATTAGTCAAATTCATCCTCATAAAAGATAAGCCTCTTTGAACAAATAGATCATATTTCATGACCCAAAAAGTTAAACCACAATCATCAATGGTGAATAAATAATTTTGAATATTTGATAGTAGAACGCGAAATGTTCCAAACCGACCTTTGTTGTCCTCGGATTTACTCACTTTTGGCGTATTTACGTTGTTTTGTTTATATACCTTCAAAGTTCAAATCTATGAGTCTCAAGTCACAAAACATTCCCGCCCTATAGTTCAAGAAAATTATAATATAACAGGTGGAGAACATGTCACTTAAGAAGTATAGTGATGTCAGTCAGAGGGCTTCCACTTTTGAAGAAGTTAAAGTACAAGGGAAAACATTTGCATGGCCCTATGAAACACCATCTTCAACTGATATGGCTAAATTAGGATTTTATTACAACCCAAGCAAATCTCTGAATGATAGAATCAAATGTTTCTGGTGTAAGAAAACTACTGGGAACTGGAAAACTACAAAAGATTTGGTACGTTTCCATCTGGATAAAAGTCATGACTGTCTACTATCAAATACATTACAATTAGCTGACATTTTGTCAAATGATTTAGAATCACATTATTCTCCAACTGATTTAATGCTACAAGACCCTTTATCTACAGATGCATTTGAATTAAGGTTGCAATCATTTGGTGAGGACTGGTATGCTGATAAAGAAAAAAATGCTATTCCAACATCCAAAAATTTGGCTGCTGCTGGTTTCTTTCGCATGGATGATGCTGCTTATTGTATTCATTGCCACGTCTCATTAGAAGGATGGTCTAATGATGATCATCCAATTTCTGAGCATAGACTAAGAGTCGATAAGAAGAAAATGAAGTGCTATTTTTTGGATCAACTCGAAAAGAAAAATAATCATAGAACTTCATTGAAAAGAGATAGTAGTGTTATTGAAGAAGCTGAGGATGATGATGAAGAAGAAAATCAGAGAAAAACATCAGGATCAGACCTTGTTGAAGAATTTGCTAGTGAACATCAAGAATCACAAGATAAACATACATCAAGATTCATCTCTCAATCATCAGAAATCGCATCATCTTTACCTTCATCGAGAATCTTAAGAAAGAAGCAAAAAACAAGCTATAATGAGAGTGATGATGAGCAAGAAGATGCTGCTAGTTTTGGTATAACAGCTAATGATGAGGACTTCAAAGAAGTTAGTGATATAAATAAAGACAGTGTTGAGGATGATGCTGAACAGAGTGATGAAAGCTTTGAAATTGATCAACCGAAAAAGTCATCATCAAAATCAAAACTAAAATCAAAAACAAAAGAGAATAAAAAGAGTAACACCGAGAAGTTGGTGGATAAATCCAAAAATAAGCCATCTTCTTTTAAATCCAAGATCCTTGATAGTTCGTTTGATGAAAACGACCTGTTCGCCACTAATAAAGTGGAAAATTTAAACATGTCTCTTCAATCTGATTTAAAGTCATTATCACCTGAAAGAAACACTAGATCTATAAGCCCTCAAAAATATCAGACAAAGTCAAAGCCTATTAACTCAAAGAATGATACGAATACAGTGTTGAATGATATTACAAATACCGTATCTAAAGGTTCAAGCTCGTTCAAAAAATCCGTTGAAGCCCCATCTCTTGATCCAGAATCTGAAGATGATGACCCTATATTACTCGTGAGTAATAGTACCACAAACTCAAACAAATCTGGTGTATCGTCAAATAGTAACTTAAATGGTCAAGAGATTCGTGATGAAGATGAAGAAATCCATAATTCTTCATCGAGAACAATCAAACCCCCAAAAAGTCAAGATTCCAAAGGTACTTCAAATGAACTTACAGGAAACCTTCACCATTCTGATAGCAATGGACTCAAAATTCAAGACCAATCTAAAGAATTAGGACATAAACAACCAGAAGAATTTGATGAAGACGAGCAAGAGGAAAGTGAAATTAAACAATCACCAAAGAGAACAAAACAACTCAAGAAAATTTTTTCATCCAGCTCGCCATTATCAAGTGGAACCAATTCACATACAGATATTAAAAGTAGTAAAAGTATGTGGGAATCAATATCAAGACTTGTAAAAAGCCCTGGAATAGAGAGAAGTCGGAGTCCGTTCCTTGACGCAAGTTATAAAGGTTCAGATAAAGTTGAGGATGCTGAAGTATTGATCGGTCCTGATGATATACCGTTGGAAGAATCAACAGATCATCACATTGTTTTAGATAAAGATAATACCGTACAACCAAATCCTACAGCTTTAAAAGAAATTAAAGATCATAATAGTGAGAACGTTGAAGATAGTGAGAGCTCATCGACATCATCCAAGTATCATAGTGCTGAAAATGTTTCACAATCTGGAGAAAGTGATGATGATGGTGATGATGGCGAGAAACAAATTTCTATCGGGCTTATGGATACAAACGATTTATTTGAGCATCTTGAGCCAATAGAGACTGCTAAAAATTACCTTGGTGAGCTCAAGGGTCTTGGTTATGAATTGAATGATGATACAGATGGTAGAGTTTCTTACTTTATTAACGAAATGCCTGATAATGAGATAAATATGACAGTAAGCGAATGGATCAAGCATTCAGCTCTTCAAGGAAGTCAACACGTAAAAGAGTTGGGTCAAATGCTGATTCAGAGTTATGATATTGAATGTGAAAAAATCAAAGAAAAAATTAGAAACTTACCTACAGCTTAAGCAAGTTAACTTGATACTTGAAAATAGTTACCTAATTAATGCATAATATTATTATCCAACCCTTCAATTAAATTACGTGTAGAAAAATAAAACTCCTATATTATTAATTCATTCGGACATTACTTCATCTTCATCTTCAGGTGGAGGTGCAGCAGGTGCAGCCTGTACTTGAAGTCCAGCTTGTGCTTGAAGTCCAGCTAATTGGTTTGCTTGACCACCCGCTCTGAAAAAGTTAGTTAACCTTTGTAAATTTTGGATATTTTCTTCCATGCGTTGACGGCCATCTTGAATTTCTGGAACTTGATTCAACGCCCTAAATCTCTGAGCTTCTTGTGGCTCAATGGGACCATCTCTCATAAAGAAACGGTTATTGTGGGTTTGGGCCAGAAATAATCTGGTCATATGATCTCTTAGCATAGCGACACCCTGCCCTGAAAATACACAAAATAATTTTCTTTGGTTGTCATTAAAATCTGCAGGTGGTGAACGACAAAAGGTAGTTATATCTGGTCTCAGAAATGCCGAGATACCAGTCAATGATAAGTGAGTTAATCTTGGACATGCCTGCAATAATTGGAAAATTGGGTAGAGGCCAATATTAGTGCAGTATGACAAATGAACTCTTTCTAATGTATCATCATACCCACGACGTTGGATCAAAGCCAGAATACCAGCATCATTTATGTTATTACACTTCACTAACCCAATTCTTCTAAGTCTTGGTAATGATGAAAGCTCAACTAAACTCAAATTTGTTAATTGCGCACAACAAGCAAGGTCAATATACTGTAAACGGTGGCAGCTTTTTATCAATGTCACAACCCCGTAGTCTGTAATATTACTACAGTGACCCAAGTGAATATAATGCAAGCTTTTACCTAAAGCGGCTAATGACCTCAACGAGGAATCAGTAATATTCAAACATTTGGATAAAACAACATTTCTTAATCTTGGTGCACATTGGACAATTGCCTCTACCGCTCTATCCGTTATTCTCAGACATCCTGTAAGATCAATGATCCTCAATCTATCCAAGTACATCTCTTCAGGGATTACTCTGAACAAAATATCGGACACATTTGGATTGTGTGAGATTCTAAATTCTCTCAACTGGTCTAAATCACAAAATAATTTTTGTAATGAAAAATCTGTGATATTTGGGCAGTTATGGACATCAACCTCAATCAAAAATTTACATTTTTCTGTCAGTTGAACTATTGTGTCATCATTTAAATTGACACAGTCAGAAATTTTTACCCTTTTGAGCATTGGACAGCTGTTTATAATTCTGAACAAGACCGAATTGGTAACTGTAGGGCATCCAGGAGCGTATAAACCTTGTAACCTAGGACAATTTTCAGCCAATGCAGCCAATATTTCATCAGTTATATCCTTCACACCTGTCATATCTATTGATTGTAATTTTTCACATCCTTGTAATATATCCACTATTGGTCTATGTGACAATCTTGAGCAATTGACAAGCGTTAGTCTTTCCAAGTTTGTTGAACCAGCAAATAAACTCAAAAACTCATCATCAACTTTATCATAAACAAATGAGAGGTTTAACCGACGTATATATTGTCTATAGTCCCAGTAAGTTGATGTTCTATCTCTTCTCATAACTTCACGTATTCCACGTAAAGCTTGATTATCCATTAATGAAGGTCTAAACCAAATAAGCTCAACTAGTAAGCTTGCCCATCTCTTACATACCAACAATAAAGGAACCAAATCAGGCTTGTGGCGGATGTTTGTAAAAATCAATAAAAGCACTTCTGGTGGTAATTTATGAATTGAACTTGAGTAATCTTCAATAGGTGATGTTTTGGCAGATGGATGAGAAGAATTCCTTAAAGACATCAAATCAGATGTATCAGAATCAAAATCATCTAATTCTATTGGTATGTTGGGACGTCTGAAGCTCCTGTCGTTTTCGACTCCCATGACACGTCTTGATAATGATGAAACAGATGACGAAGCTGGTGAATCTTCCCGTTCACTGTCCATGGTATGTGATGTTTGATATGATAAGATGATAATAACCAGATGAGAAATATAAGGAGAACACTTCCTTCTTATGAATTAAAAATATCAATGGCTCCAAAATGTGTTGAATTATATTGCTTCTCGTACAATTAACTTTTTGCCTTTGTAATTTGATCTGTTGACAACAATTCTGTGAAATTGAATTAAACACCTCAACCCACTCAGGATTTTAAATATCACAAAATAAATAACCCACGACTCTGATGAGCCAAAGAAGGGAACAAGAAAAAGATAACTAAGACAAACTATAAAAACTGTCTCTTATAATTATATCTTTGATCGCCTTTTAATCAATCACCGGATTCTTGTACCAAGCTAGTTTTAATTTACAAAAACAAAGCGAGCTACATCCAATTCCGACGCACATTCGCGATACAAACCCCGGAATTTTAATTTAAAAATCTTATGACTCTGAGGCATCATGCTATCATGCTAGCACTTTTTTAACTCTTCAATCATCTACATTAATTGGAAAAAAACAGTAATTATTCATTATATATATTCCAATGGACAAGAAATATCCAAAGGACCTTTTTCTGATATTATTTATATAAGATATAGTGTACATATGCGTTTAAAATGAAAAAATGTAACAATTTGAGCGTAGGAAAAACAAGATATTGTGAAGAATTAAAATTGAGCTGCTCCATAACCATACTGAGGTTGTTGCTGGTATATATTTCTATCATTTGGTCCATTATTATATGGGTTTGCAACAAATGGATCTTCAAATCCCGATGGCTGTTGTAAAGGAGCTCTCACTTGTTTTGGTTGAGGATCGAATGATCCTAAGTTGTCACCATTGTAAAATCCATTAAATGGGACTTGTGCTTGTGGTAGAGGTGGAACAATTTGTGATGAATAAAATTGATTTTGGTAATCATTCATAATTGGTTGTTGTTGTGGATCTTCATAAAACCCTTGTTGTGGTAAGTATTGTTGTGGTTGTGATGGTGAAATTAATGAGGGTGGTAACTGTTGATTTCTAAATCCTCCGTTTGGTGTTGAACGTCTGTTGTATATCCCTTGTGGTGATGATTTATTTTGTCTATTTTTACGTCCATTTGAACCACCATTTGAATGTGTTCTGTTGTGGCGGTTATTATCACCTCTGTTTGATAATCCAACTTCATCCATTAATCTCTTGTAACCTTGATATGAGCTGACATTCAACTCTAATAAGACTCTTCTAACTTGAGAAATAACATGTTGGCGAGTATCTGATTCTAATAATGGATTTGAAATAACTTTGAAGATAAAAGTAGCACCGTGAACATTATCATGTAAAATTTGTTCTAAAGTCTCAGGAGGTCTTGAAGAACTTTCATCTTGTGTATTACCATCTTGAACACCAAAAATGGCATTTAGAATTAATCCCTTAGCATCATTTTCACCACGATGATTTAAAATCTTCAAAACAGTTAAGCTTGCTAGTTTATGGGTGCATAACTGAGCTAAATGAGGAATCAATCTTGGTGCTAATAAAACATGTCTGTTTGGTAAAGTACAAGTATCCAAAAACCAAGTTATCAATAAAGCAGCATTTTGATTAATGGCCAAATGCTCAGCATGTAAAATAATAGCTGCAGAAATCAATGCGGTTTGCTCAACCGTAGCTTCATGACTTTCCAGACAAGCTCTGACGGCTCTAGCACCAAATCTATTTTGGGCAATTTCCCAAAATCTGGCTAAAATTACTTCAAAAATAAAATCATTCCAAGGAGAACCAAATTTTAATGAGCATTGAATCACATAATTACCAAATTGATCATTCAATAATGGAACGCAATATGGTTTCAAACTTTCTGCGACAATACGTTTTTGAATTGGTGTATCAGCAACTGTAATCATTTTTTGAGCAGACCAAGTACCGTTTTTATGAATACCCATTTGTGCTAAGAAAGGAGCAACTTCTTTTAGCATAATACATTTGATAGATTCTGATGAGAATTCAAACAATTTTTGAACAATTGTATTACCAAGATAATCACTTGATAATTCTGGTAATTCATCCAACATCGCAATTGATAATTCTTCGATATCAAATTGGGTTAATGAGTTTGAATCAATCAACTTTCTGGTTTCTCTTAGTTTTGGTGCATCATATTCTCTAATTGGCAATGGTTCTGGTAAAGGACCAAAATCATTACTAAACCCTTCGTAATCTAATGATCTATTAACAATACTTTGAATGGTACCAGAATTTTCAGCAATGCCTAACTTTTTAACAGCTTGGTATAGATCCTTGACCATATGTTCCAAAGTTTGTGGTTCCTCATTGATAGTAACAGGTGCAGAATATGCGTGATCTTCTTGTTGAACAAGAATTTGTGGTACAAATGATTGTTGTGATTGATTTTGAGATTGTTGATTTGGCTGTTGTTGTTGTAAATTGAATTCTTGAGATGGCTGACTTGATAAAGATCCTGGAGATCCGTCATTTAAACCAACAGTTGGTTGAATTTGAGTAGCTGGTAATAATTTAGCAAAACCAACTAAACATGCAAAACCTGGCATTAATTCTTGATGATTCAATTGAGCCTTAGCTTGCATTGCAGAATCGATATTTTCAAATTCAACAATAGCATTTTCATTACCTTTTAAAATACGAACACTTGATAATTTACCAAATTTAATCAGCAAGTTGGCTAAAGATAAAGGAGAAACTGCTTGTGGTGGTAAGTTTGATAAGAATAAAGTATTTGTTGGACCTAGTGAAGGATCTTGATAAGTTGAAGTACAATTTAAAAATCTTGGATCAATATCATCCAATAATAATGGTTGATCTTTCAAAAATGAGTGTTGAGCAATATGAGACTGTGACTTTTCATATTCTGGAGTTTCAAAAATTGAATTTGAGGCAAAATTATATTGAATTGGTAAAGAAGCATCAGCACCATTTTGATAAGTTTGAGCTCTTGGTCTGTTACCAAACCCTTGATGTTGTTGTTGCTGGGGTAAAATTTGTTGTTGTTGGATTTGTTGCTGAGGATCTTGAATAATTTGATTATTTTGTTGAGTTTGTTGATTAGGTGATTGATATGATTTTTCTTCATCCAAAGTTAAAAAATTTTGTAGATAAAAATCTGTAGATGAATCATTAATCAACGCATTATTTGTTGAATAAGCTCTTGCTCTATTAACGTCAACTCTATTTAGTGAATCATCTAATACTGGGGCATTTTGAAATTGAGTTTTCGTTGGAGAAATTGACAACCTTGATTGGTTGTTGATAGCACCAGTTGGTGAGCTTCTGTCACTCATGAAGTTCACAGTACTCAATGCTGGAGCTGTTTGATTTGTACTTGTTGCAGAAGATATTGGTTGTTGATCAGTACTCCAGATTGAGTTTGACTCAGATAATCCTAATAAAGATCCAGAACGTAATCTTGGGCGCCCAGTTTGAGTTCCATTAGCAAAGTTAGAGCCATTTGTTGAGTTTGAAATTGATAAAGTTTCTATGTTCAAAGAATTTGGATCATAAGCATTGAAATTTGGAGAAATTGCAGAGTTTGATGAAGAAGCATTTGAAGTTGGTGGAGCTAATGAATTTGCATTGAATCTTGAGGGCAGGGTTCCAGCTCTAGTTCTTGATCTAAAGCTTCCTAGATTACTTGTTCCAGTATTTGATTGTTGAATTGGTTGAGGATTTAATTGATCACTCATGATTGATAGTGGAGAATTTGAACGTTGAGGAGATAATAATGGGAATTGTTCCGCACTGTCACTTGGGACAGAGAGAAACGATTGAGCGTCTTGGTTATTATTGCTGTTGTTCATGGATTTTGTTGATGTTCTCCTCGATTTAGAGCATGTAATGAATTGTATGATTGTTAACCCCTATTAATAGAATATTTATCCACTAAATTTTATCTTCCGTTGTTCAGCCTATTCAAGGAAAACAATGAAAATGAAGTTTCAACTCTAGTTTTGGTTAGTATATAAGCCCTTGACGATTTGAACGAATCCTTTTGAGGTACTGTTCTCTTTTTTTTCTTATACTCTACCCCAAGTATAAAACCGTTTTTCAGTCTAAATTTCCAACAAGTTGAAGAGAGAAAAAAAACTTGATTCTAGAACACACAGGTCTTTTCGGTGAATGATTCTTTGAGTTCTAGCACAATACCAACAAATGAAAAGGTGGTTTAATAAGTACTCACTAAATATTTCTTGTATAATTTGTTCACTTGCTTGACGAATGTCACTCTATGGATGTTCAACAAGCTTTATTGACAAGTTTCTTCAAATTTTGGAAGTTTTTTGGATTGAGCGGATGTTGAGTAAACGGAAAGAACAATTAAAGCGTTGAGGCCTGTATTCAATGTAGTTTATTATTGATAATATTAGTTATTAAATTGATATTAAAGTTGAATGTCCTCAAGCGCCACTTGTTTGTCGTGAAGTTGATGTTTTTGGAGATGAAAATGTCAAAAGTCAAGTTTTAGTTTTCTTCGAAGAGCGATTGTTGGAAGATCGAACAGTATTTATTTGATGGGTTAGCAGGAAAAAGGAGAAGCTCAAGTTCGCGATTGCGACGTTGACCCTAAAGCCTGATTCTGATAATTTTAGGCTGAGATCGAAACAAACGCAGCCTAATCCTACACGAAAAACGTCGGGCTGGGATATTGAAATACTAGTCTTGGTTAAATTATTGAACTCATCATTATAATTGAGAACAACTAGTCAGTTGATCGGGAGATGTGTTATTGTGAAGCTGTTTAACTAGTATACACCGTACATACTACACCATGGATAGTCCATAAATCAAATCCATGTACATTTGAAGCTAACGATTTTACCTCCACAATAAGTAACATATCTGATTTGAAGGTACATAATTTGAGATTTGTAGACTGAATATGATATCATGCCAAAAAGGCTATTTGAGTATATTGTTTAACTCAGCTAAAGCTAATTAGAATTATAATTGTTATATATACGGTTTTCTGCGTGTACTCGTAACTCTAATAATAATTGGCCTTGGATTATAAGTTTCGAAACAGATTCTAGTTAATCATATTATAACGATAGCCTATTTTTGACTATTGTGTTTTTGCTTTTTTCATTGCTACTTTTAATCATGTTCATCGAATCAAAATTTCAATTTCAATTTGTGTCTAAAGGCACGAATTTTTGATCTTCTTACTGTTCGAACTTCGAAGTGTTCTCGAATATCAACCTCCCAGCTGGGGCCAGTCGGTGTGGGAAAGGCGAAGCCAACGAAAAATTTTAAAATTGATTTTGTATGGGATATAATTTCGCGACAATCGGATCATATGTATCACTACATCATAGACTGAAATAGTCACCGTGTCACGACTCCATGTTTCAACTTCAGACACTCTGGACTCTGGAACCTGTAACGAAGCTCTAAAGTAACCCTGAGCGCTCGCCTAAGAAGTCACATCTTCTCCACAACTGCATTTTACCATCAATTCATCCTATTATTTCACTCCTGGCTGCTTATTTACTGACCAGGGATCACTGATTACGTATACCTTTTGGTTTGTTTTTGATAATCTCCGAGACAACAAGCAATTATTTATCTTACACGACAAAAAAAGACAGATGATCTTTCACGTGATACAAAACGTGATCTTCTTGGAAGAAATTGTCCCAGCAACAGAAGCTTTTTCCAAATTGGTAAATTGTAAACAAGTAAACAAGCTTGGAACTTCAAGCATTTGTTTACAGAAAAAAAAACAAAAGACATCGTTACATGGATTGAAGTTTCAAGAGACACCACCCAATAAAACAATCACGTTCGCTACCACTACTTTCAAGACTTAAGTTATCACTAGATAATTATCATATAGTGCAACTCATACCCACATTAATTTCAAATTAAAGAAAAAAAGACGCCAAACTTCAAAGGCGTGTCAATCGTATTTATAAGGCCATATTGAAATTCAGCTAAACATACAATGGCCAAACTTGACTTTGGTGCTCCATTGATACCTAATATAATGGCTATAGATGATAGTGATAATGAAAGCATAGATGAATCACATTCCTTGATAAAAAAAGAAAGACATAATCACTCTGTTGATGATTTATTACATGCTATTGACAAAAATATTTCTTCTGCTTCATTTCATAGTGATAGTCTATTACAATTCAACTCCAATTCATTCAATAGCGATGCTTCAGATGATCCAAGTCCAATCAAACCTTTAAGCTTCAAACAACAACATCAACAGCATCAACAAAATTTAAATGATATTTTAAATTCAGTACAAGATTTTGGAACTCCAATGAGTGAAAATATAATGCAAGAAATTCCAAGAGCACCATCTTTTGATGAATTAGAATTCAATACCAAAGTCAATAGAACTTCTTCATTATCGAGACTTAGTGGACCTAGAAAATTATCCAGCTCTTCAATTTCAAGAACTTTATCAAATAAATTGCCAAATTCAACTAGTTATAAATCTATAAGTGGTCAAACTACAAGAGATAATTCCCCTTCAAAAAAGTCTGTTTGTTTTGAGAATTCACCTCCAAAGATAATGGAATATGAAGAGTTCACTCCTGAACATTCTGATAGTGAACAAGAAAATCAATCATCATCTGAACAAAATGATCAAGATCCATTTTCATCAAATTGGAAAGCTAGTGTCAAATCAACAATTCATCCATTACCTCCTCTTCCTCCAAAACATTCATTCGGTGCTTCGGTTTCATCACCAACAAAAGATACCTCTTTAGGCTCATTAGATGGCTCGTTTGAAGATGAAAATAATGAAAATATAAAAAACATAGAATTGACAAAGAGCGAAATTGATCAAGATAAACGAGCATTAACATTAGAAAAGAAATTAGATCTTGTTTTAAGTTCAAGCTCCATATCTGAAAGAGTTCAAAACGATGAAATCACAAGAGGTTCAAATAGTCCGTCTAAACCATTGACCAAAAAGGAAGAAGATTTAATTTACAACATCCAGACTAAGCAAGAAATTGAAGCTGAACAATCACTTAGGGACGCTGCTAACTTATTTGAAGTTGACTTGCGTAATAATGATAAAGACTCTAGAAATTTAGCTTTAGCTCCAGAACTAAAAAGAAGAAATTCAAATAATTCCTTGAGAGATGAAGAAAGGGAACTAACTACAACTGTGGTTCAAAATGTTGAAGCTCCACTAATTTCAGATGATGGTCTAAAAAGTTTCGATTCTCAACATGGCCCACAAGAGTCCTACAATAACTCAAATGACGATTTGATAAGTTATCAATCAGCATTAACTAATAATGATACTGGATCTTTTGAATCAGCAACTGAAATCTTACATGTCAAAACTGAAGATAATGATGAACTAGATCAAAGTGTTGAAGAAGATGAAGGTCCAATTGATGAAGATACGAATCAAGAATCTTTCATGAGAAGTTTGGATAAATCAAGTGATTATGAATCAAATAATTCAATTGCAACTCTTAGAGATGATAATACCCCAACTCCAAATACTCATAAGAAGAAATTATCATTAAGTGAATCTATTAATAGCGGTCTCTCATATATTTCTTCATTTGGTAGAAATGTTAAAGGTGTTATGCACAGAAGAACTGAAAGTGGTAACGTTGCGGAAGGTTTATCTGAAGATTATGCCAACATAAAGAAAGAAGAAGAAGAAAAGGAAGTTGAAATTCCTAAGGATGATGACAAATTCATGAAACCTGCGTTACCTTCAGCTGATACACAAGATATACAGTCAAGTCAATCTTCAATAACTGAATCTACTTATGAAACACCAAGAAACTCAATTGAACCATCAAGTGATTTGAATATAGAATCAAATATCGGGTCATCTGTCGAGCCTGGTGAACGCTTACCATTATTAGATAATCAAACAGCTGAACCAACACCTCAATTGTCAAGTGATGAATCTCAAAATGATGAAACTATTGATTTATTAGATCTCCAACCACCATTCAAAATTACAGACGGAGAAGAAGATGAAGATTCTTCATTTAGTGATGAATTCAAAGAGACTGCTTTATTTAACGTATCTGGGTCTTCCCAAGATGGCAATTATCTACCAACGGGTCTTCAAATTCAATTTAATGATAAACAAGAAGATGAAATCCCAACTGATGAGTTGGATGAAGATAGTTTGAATGATATTGAAGACTCCATAAGAAGCAATAACTCAAGCTTTCTCAAGTATGAGCCTGAGCCTGAAGAATTTGAACAGTCATTTCATCAAGAAATCAAAAAGGAAGATTTTGAGGAGGAAGAAGAAGAAAAAGAAGAAGCTAAGCATTATGATAGTGAAGATGATGATGAGGATTTTGTTACACCAACTCTTAAAACCGATCATGATCTCAAACCTCAACAACCAGAAATTAAACGTGAGCTCCCTTCCTTCAACAGTACATTATTTGATGATAAAGTTCCAGATGATGAAGATGATGAGTTAGTTGAATTTAAAACGCCACCAACAGACTATATCAGCATTTGGCACAATTTACCAAAATCAGCCTCTCCAAAACCTCAATATAGTACATCTTTAAGAAAAGTTTCACCTCCTCAAAGAGTTTTGAAGCTGTTAAATAGAAGAATCAGTTCAAGTGGACATAGTGATGTCGAGGAAAGTAAAAGAAATTCAATGTTATCTGAAGGCTCGTTTGACTTATCAAGAAGAAATTCATTAATTACAACTTCTGCTTCAAAACCATCATTTATAAGGGTCAACTCAAGAAACTCACTTTTAAGTGAAGTCAAGAAGGAAGACATTTCAAGCTTCAGTAATTCTTTGAGACCACAAGATTCATCAATTTACACGAATAGATCATTAAGAGAAGAAGGTCCATCATTCTTGGCTGAAAGATCCTTAAGGGAACAAGATTCAATTGTTAATTCATCAAATATTTCTGGTAACTTATCAGATCTGAAATTACCAGAATACAACAACTCTTCAGACTTTGCAAGTGCTTTTAAAGATTGGGCTGTTGAGGATCAAGTAGATAATACAAACGTCTTGAAAGAACTAGAGAGAGATGAAACAGATAATTTAGCTGCTGCAAAGAGATTGAAAGATCCAACAAATCCTGAAGACATCAAAAATATTTGGGAGAATGGTTCTAATGAGCGTACACCAACACCAGATAGGGAAGACAAAAGCCGTACACCATCTATTGACGCTGGTAAGCTAAAGAATTTTATTGAACAAAATGGTGTAAAAGGTGAAAATGCTAACATCAGGTCATCTGAAGCACTTGGTGAAGTCACTGTTACTAAAGATGAATACCATGGAATAGATTTGGAATTTGATCAAGATTCACATTTCACCTCAGTCAACAACTCCAAGTATGAACCCCAAGAATTTCATAAGGTACATGAAGAAGAAGATTTTGATGAACAAAAAGAAGCTGATGAAAATTTTGTTGATGCAAAAGAGGAGTTACAACAAACTCCAGTCACAAAAATACTTTCTGACGATCTATCACCAAGAGGTAAAAGGTTCATTTCTGGATCATCACAGAAATTTGATGATATAATAGATCTTAATGAGGAATTTAATAAAGCTTTACAAATTAGAGAGCATGGTTATGCTACGAGACAATCAAATCAAATTATTGTTGCAAAGAGTACTCGTGATGATCTGTTAGATCCGGCTGAATTATCTAAACCTTTGGTTCCAGCTGTTGATAATGCTAATTACAATCAAAGACAACAAAATATAAGAACTAAATATGGTGATAGGGTTCCAAGTACTAGAATTAAGACACCTTTATCATCTGTTTCAGGTGATAACAAGGCTAATATTCAGTCCAATCGTCCCCTTGTATCTGCTCCTGCTCCTGTTCAATCTAGACCAGCTGCTGCCGTTAGAGTTACAAGTGATGATTATAAACCAGGAGAATTAGCTATGAAGAAAAGAGAAATGATCAAACCAGCAAGAAAGAGTTTTGTTGTGCCAAATGAAGATGTGATACTTCCTAAAAGTGACCATGGTAGACTTTACATTCACATAAACTCATTAAACGGTGTTATACTGGACCAAATAAAATATCACAAAGCAACTTTCAAAATTTTCTTGGATAATGGAAAACATGTGATCTCAACTCCTAAAATGACTTTAGATAATAACGTTAAAATAGATAAAGAATTTGAAATTGCTGTTGAAGATAATGTGACGGACATATTTTTAACAATGAAAATCAATTATCACACTCCAGATCAAGAATTAGTTGAAATTGTTGAAAAGATACCAATAAAATCTAATAGATTGAGTCGTATAATGGGTTTGAAACCAAAGTTTGTCTACGAGAAAAAATTCGTTACCAGACAAAAAGAACGTGATGATTGGGATGATAAATTTGCAAATGATGGTAGTTTTGGTAAAAACAAAATTGGATTCTCAAAAAATGATAACGAAGTTACTGGTAAATCAAAAAATTACTTAATTGAATTATTTAATGAATGGGAAACTGTCAAACAAAGTGAACAAGTATACAAAAAACCTGCACATCTTGTTGCAAGATTAGATGTCACTATGTTATTTATCCCAAGAACTTCACCATTAGAAACTTTGCCTCCATCAATTAAAATTGGTTACAAAATTGCTGATCATTTGAAAGAACAATCGGGCATTGCTTTTGAAGGTTATCTATTTCAAGAAGGTGGTGACTGTGAACTTTGGAAACGCCGTTTCTTTAAACTTGAAGGAACAAAATTTATCGCACACCAAGAAATCACCAAAAAACCAAGGGCTCAAATCAATTTATTGAAATGTATTGATGTTTTACATGATGGGAAAAAAACTGGTAATAATGAAAGAAACTTTACTGATGAAATTTTAATGAGTGATTGTTTCAAATTGAAATTTCTAAATGGGGAGATAATAAACTTTAATGCAGAAACAAAAGAATTGAAAGAACAATGGATTTCAAAATTAGAAAAAATTGTGGAATTGAACAAATTTCACCAACCTTGGGTTAAATCATTAGCTCAAAACATGTAATATAAGGACAGTGACATAATATATAATTTGTCAATAATAATTTAATATAATATAGTATTTAATAAAGACTTTTAATAGCGTAACTGAACTACATTTTACTTAAATTTTTTTTCATAAATATTGCCTTGATATGCAAATTATTTGGAGCTATTATACACTGATTAAATTCATTCATTTATCGTCTACCACGATTTTTACGTTCACGATCTCTATAATTATTCTCATTCCCGCTACCCCATGAATTTTCTCTTTCCATTCTATCTCTTTGGTCTCTCTCTCTTGGTGCTCTTGGTAAATTTGGATTAAGCTGTAAATTTTTCGGTTCATCCTGTGGGGGTGGTATACTTTCACTACTAACAGGTGGTGCTGAAGGTGGTACTGGTTGTGACTGTGGTACTTGTGCTTGTTGATGTGGTAAAGGAATTGGTGGTTGACCAGGTAATCCACCTGGTGGGAAACCTGGCATACCCATCATCATTGGAGGTAGACCCATTGGCATCATCGACATCATAACCTTTTGAGGGTTGAAATCTGAACGTAATTTATCTTGCTTAGAGCAGTAAGCTGTCCATGTGAATTCGTCGAAACCAAAATTAAAATATTCTGAAACATCAGTACCAGGTTGTCTCCATGGTTTTTCTTTTAAATCTTGAAGATTGATTGATGTTATTGGTTTACCTTCATAATCACCAACTTTATTTAATTCTATTCCAGGAACCCTAGTGATGGTTGCCTCAGTTGTTGTTGATTCCTTGTTTGAATCCTCCGTCTGTGTAATATCTGTGATTTCATCAATTGCTTCAGGGACTGCTGTTGCGGCTGAGGCTGCTGTGGTGCTTTGATCTTTTGATGCTTCTGTCTCGGTAGATTGAGCTTGTTTAGGTTCTTCTGATCCAATAATGAATTCAATATCTGAGTCTGAATCTGAATCCTCGTCGTCTTCGTCATCTTCTTCTTCCTCCTCCTCGTCTTTGTCACCTTCATCGGTAGCTTGACCTTCTGATTTTGAATCTTTACCTTCTGCTGTTACTTCTTTACCTTCTTCAGTAGCCTCTAGTTTTTGCTTCTTAGTGACTTTATTATCGCCTTCATCTTCTGATCCATATAAGAATGCTTCATCGTCATCTTCAATTTCCTTCGACATCTTTAATTCTGTAAGATATCACTTAAATTTGCTATAACAATCTTCGGTTTGGGTTGTTTATACTTTCAGTATATTACGAGATGGTTTATTAGGTATTTCGAAAATTAACTTGAAAATTGTTGCCCGGAAAATAATTTAGTCACGTGTATGATCATCTGATAATCTCTAAATTAAATATTCAACTAAAAATCTGAATAAAGCTCAAAATTACAAAAAGTAAATATATTTCAATGGTAAATATGACATTATTAACACTCTAAATATGCTTTAAAGCTCTTTTGAAGGAAAAAAAAATTTCGGATATTTTTTTTAGGGGTTTTATATCTAAAAATTGAGATTTGGTGGTTATTGAAGGTCTTTTTTTAATTTTTAATTAATATAATATTTAAAAAATTATATATTAATTATATTTAGATCATTTATTCCACAGGAGCACCAGAAACAATAATATTCAGCTATTAATTAGTAAATATTGGCCATGAATTTTTATATATTATTTAATTAATATATTGTAGTATTAATAAAATCCGCGCCGTTAATCTCCGATATAATCTTAAATCTACACACAGCACAAATTCTATCATCCAGCTATCGTACTTTATATTATATATTAGATATTATTATATAATTAATTATATATGTTCAGCTGGACTTAAGTACACTATTTCGTAAATAATTTGAGAATATCTGATCATATTTGATATGAAGCTCTTGTCATATGTTAGCAGATATCGACGCCTAATGTTTAATTGGATACTTCAGCTATATATAATATCGAGACGGCATGAAAAACTTAATGGAAATCAATCTGACATGTTTGATCCACTCGTAATCAAGATAGTATTAAACATAATATGAAGTTTGGTTTCTGAATGATGCATATAGTAATTAGCTTAATATTTTGGACGGGATCTACCTGGGCTAAGAACATATCAAAAACAACAGGAATTTAGGTGAAGTTCGTTTAGATGGAACTAGTTAAATGTAAAAGGTTTAAGATTTCATGAACTAGAACTATTTGTTGAAGAATAAGCGTCAATTGCATATGGGTCAGAAAAAAGGTTGATTCAATATCGTTGAGTAAAGCATCGAAGTTTTGTATAGTTAATGAATCAAATAATTTTCTTTTCTGATAATATTTTTGGCATTTGTACTTGATTTACTTGCTCATTACGGTATTTGCGAGTATTGATTATAACAAAGAACGTGTATAATAATATATGTGTATTATGTATCTCATATCCCACTAATCGAAAGAAAACCCCAAATTATTATAAAAATCATAATCAATAAAAAAAGTAAATTATAATATAAAATAATTTCAAAGAATTGAAAAACAATATGCACATTTGTAAAGCAATCATCACAAATTTAGTAATTGATCATGGAACTATGACCCAAACCCCATGTAGCCTAATATCCCACGAAACCTTTATAAACCAGTTATATGAAATGAATTGAAAACCAACAAAAAAAAATAAAAACCACCAAAGAAAATATTAAAAATTATATATAATGAAAAATATAGTAACAAAGAACAATAAAAGAATATAAATATAAAAGAAAAGAAATAAATGAGAATTGAAAAACAAAAGCGGTACCAGCCCTTCTCTTACTTGTTGTTATTTGGGAATCAAAATTTGGTTTGATTATAGTATTCAATGGTTGCCAAATTCTTTAATTCAGTTTGGTATTCAAAATCCAATAATCTCTCCTGTGGATCATCTTTCAACAAACTGACTTTTAATATCAAAGTATTAATGAACTCATCTTCTTCATCATCTTCAACAGCATATTCAGTAACACCAGCTGTGAAATTTTTATTATGACCATTCAAGATATCCATTGGGTTCAGTTGTGTCAGTGATCTTCTCTTTTTGATCATATGTGTATCATCATAAGAGTTATGTCTCTTCAGACGAGTTGAGGAAACATTTTGTTTATATTGTTGTTTGATGATGTTTTTTGAAGTTGTAGTCTTGGAGTATTTGACAATATCATGTCTCAATTTTTGCAAATATCTAAAATTTCTAATCAATCTTTCAACCGAATCACATCTTGGGACTGTTGACTTCTCAGACACTGAATGAAAAGTACATGTAATTTTCTTCTTGCAAGGTGCATTGTTCAATCTTGTAATAACATTACATTTCAAATCTTCATGATCAAGGTTAAATATTTTGAAGTCATTTGATGGTAAAGTTGGTGGTTCTTTCATTATCCAATGTTAGTACACAATGAACTTTTTATACTTATAAAAAAGAATAATAGAAAACAATTTCCATTAGATCGTTGCAAAACTTTGTAAAAGATAAATCTTGAAAAGGAAATATAATGTGTCAATGAAACAGATATTGGCTTTATTGGTATTTGACAATTGATTTTGACTAATTAACAGGAAATCTCTTGCATGAACTTGGGTGGTTCAAATTAAATATGAGTAAGCAAAATTGGAGATGAATATCCTTCTTCAAATTCATTTGGTATCATAATAATTCTAATCTTTAAAGAGATTGAACATCTTGACTAGAAAATAGTTTGTGGTATCATTGTTAGTTGTTATGTTGGGGTATCTGAATATGTTTTTGAAATGTGGTATCAAAAAACTCAAGAGCAAAAAATTTTTGGTTTTAATGCTCTTAACATCATATGTCTCATTAACCATCATACAAAAAATTATAGAATAAAATAATCAAATGTGAAAGAGGGTTTTGTAGACAAGTGATGGAAATAAAAAAAGTATCAGGCTTACCTTTGATTGAATCAACTGAATTCAAAATATAGTTATTGTCGGAATCGACTTCATTGTTCATATAATCATCATCATAACCTTGGTTGAAGACCTTTGTATTAGATGGAGTCTGTGATTCAGCAAAAGCTTCATCAAGTTCACCACAGCGGCTAATGTCATTATTGTCATCTTCGTAATCATCATTACCAAACAATTCATTCTTATACGCCATGTATGTCAGATCATTTTGTTCAACTTTATCAACTGGTCCCATAATTTGTTGATCACCAATTTCTTCATGATCATGTTCATCCCATAAGGAATTTATGATTGATCTTTCAGAATCCGAGCTTGAAGTAGCATAATCATTAGCAAAATCACCATTTGCAAGTATCAAATCTTCATTTAATTCAAAATTTAAGTAGTCATTAACATCAAATGGCAATTTTGGAGCTTTATAAACAGGGCGGTTAACATCAAATCTCAAATATCATGAGTTTTCCAAAATAGAAAATAAAAGTACTTACCTTGATATTGAACCTTTAAGTCACTGTCATATTCATTTGCAAACATTTCAATATTATCTGGGAATAAAGTCATCCTTATGCTATGTTTATGCGTTATATTTTGAGTTGTTATTGGTTAGCCGCTATATCAAAAAGTATATTAGATCTTGATGGAATGGTATAGAATAATTTGCAAGTTGATTAACAAGATAAATTGTAAAAAAATATAAAAATGGATCAAACTTGATGCTTTAAATATGATTCAAAATTGAAAAACCCATGAACCTTATCACCTATGTGTGGGTATCAATTGTGTAATTGTAAGTTTATTTCAATTTAAGATTTGAAGTTTATTAACCACATAATATAATATAATGGTTAATGTTACTTAAATTTGCCCTTATCACTTATAACGGGGCCAATTGTGTATAATAGTCCAAAAGTGCAGCCAAATTTGCCTTGTCTTTGATCACCATGCGTGATAATTCAATTATACACCAGGTTTTTTACAATTCTAGATAATTTAAAATTAAATTTTCAAAGTTGTAAATATTTCAAAAGGTTAATTTCCCCGATCAAAGTGTTTACCTTTATGGGAAACTCTGCATCATATGAACCATAAAACATCAACTTCACAATCAAGAGAATATCACCACCGGACAACGTGAACTTATGGTCGTACCCTGACGCACTATTAATGAAACAGAGCATTGGACCTGAAACTCATGTATGAAGCGCCTTGATAAGATAATATGTTGCATCTTGAAACTTCAAGATATCACTGATTCACTAGCTCTCAAATCTGAACAACATACATACTGTTTTTTCAAAAAGTAAACAAGATGTAAAAAAACACTAGAATACGACGCGTCAATTTGAAAGATTTCGACAAAAATGATAAATTTTATAAAAAAAAGGAAATAGGAATATTTTGGCGTTTTGTAATACTGTAGATCTCTAGTCACTAGTTACAAGTTATTGAATGGGGATTGTGGAACCATAAATCCTGAACTTTAAAATCAACTTGAAGCATGAGCGATGTGCATGAACAACAAAACCACAAATTTAAAGTTGGTGCAATATGAACTTTATTTGTGAATATTAATAATATGAATGAGCTTTGCATATACCGTACAAACTTACAACTAGCTACAACACAGTTTGTGAAATTCTGTAATTTAATGGCTTTCATTATTATTTGATTCTATTATTTTAAAATGCAATGTTGTTTTGAATCAAGTATGTACGACCGATTCATTAATTGTAATGATGATGAGGCGGTTTTAAAAGATGCATTATAATTGATACCCCCATATGTTCTAATTACAAAATCCATTTATATATTTGATTCTTGATCTATAACATGATCATAATTATGGTACCGATGACCCATCATAATTGGGGAATCATCAATAAAATATACACTGGAAATAAAAGGCGCGTATGGCATCAATCATCTAGTTTCAATTATTATTTAAAGGAGGGATGTGTCTATATGCTTATTTTCCTCTTTGAAGATCAGTGAAGATCAACTTGTCAAATAATTTTAGCCGCTTTAGCACACATATTTATTACGATAACCAAGATTTCAAACATCCAATTTATCTGATCAGCTCCCTAATTTTCATTTGATATATTATTTAGAAAAAGCAAAGATGGTCGCCAAAAGGAAAGATCAACTTATAAGCGAGAGATAAAGTGTAAAATTCCGTCGTATTAGCCGTTCATAATATTAGCCAGATCAAGATGATCTAGATCCTAGAGATTACAGATTCCCCAAGTAGCATATATATTTTGTAGATTAACGAACTACATTTATAATCGAGTTTCTTACAGTAAACAAACCAACTTCTATAATCATAGTACCAGTACTAATATAAATTGAAGTTCAGGCGGGTATAATGCGTACTACTAAGAATCAAACAAGATAAGAAAGTACTCGATATCATGATGATCAGATTACCATTTAAACTTTCTTATCATACTCCAATGCCACAACTAATGATTTTAAACGTAACTCTATTCTAGAAGTACTATTAGACACGAAAAAACCCCATCAAGCTGTTAACCTCAACTATAAATCTGAGACAATCTTTTGGGACAATGAATCGGCCTTCATCGATGAAGATTCAATCAAATCGCGATATAAATCACAATTCACTACAACACCCTGAATCATATTAATAATAGCTTGTGGCCTGACTAGTATCTACAGCCAACTTTCGATGGATCAATTACCAAACAAACTCAAGTATATAACTCAACCAAAGCAGCTCAAGGAATTAAATACGTCTACGGTCTGTGCGTTTCAAAGAATCCGAAAAATGCATAACTTCAACTGCATGTAATTATCAACTTGATGATTTGATCATGTACATCATTTAATGTATATTAATGGTTCACAAGTTGGGATATCATTAACTTATAGTTTCACGAACAAAAATTGTGACAGCCTTAGTTGAATATAGACATTAAATAGGAGGAGTTATAAGCAGATCTATTTCAAAAAAACATATAATTGTAGATCTAAAAATCACATTTATTTATACCAGAATCACGTAGTTATCACTGACATTCGGACAGTCATGGTAATAAATCCCCTATATCTCCTTGTCTTTCATGATTCATCTATATATAGACCCTGATGATCGTAAATTTATACTTCCAATATGTGTGAAAGTTTAATTCCAATGAAAGAAAGCTGTGATATGGCTTGAAGTTTGATTGGCTAATTCTAACGGATCTTTAAGGCCAAGTACTAATGGAACATGTGAATTTAAGGGATGAATGCAGTTAATTATAAATTTCCTGCAAACTTCAAAGTTACTATAGCGATTTGACACAATAATTTTTAGAAAATAAAAAATCAAAAAATCAAAAAATCAAAAAATCAAGCTGCTGTTATTTTTTATAAAAATAAAGATCAAAGTTGAGAGCTTGAGACTTATATCATGTGATATAACTTAGGGTAGTCACAAAAATCAGACTTCCAAACACCATAACAATTCTGACTTGTCGCGAATATTTTTTGTTTTCAAAGCGAGAAAAACACAAAGCGGTAAAGACAACACCAGCGCTAAAGTTAACTCACCCATAGTTAACAAACTAACAAACACTCATTTTTTCAACGAAAAATTCGCGAATATCTAAACTACGTAACAAAATTTTATTGCTGTGGTTGATTTTTTTGAAAAATTGTGTCCCATTTCGGATTTGGTAGAGAGTTGGGATAAAACAATTTTTTCAAATCTTCAGTTCTTTCTACAATTTACTATACGTATAATATATACAACAGAATTATACAAAATGTATGTGATGATATAGTATAAAAGAATGGAATGATGATGATAATGGAGTACTATAAACAAGAATAATGAATGAAAGTTAAAGATGTATCAATTTGTCACTGTTTAATGTTGGAAATTATTGAAATTATGATGAATATTTTATCAAGTAAATTATTAAATAATGAAAGTAAAACAAGATATGAATAAAAGAAGGAAAACCATAATGAATAAGAAATCAAAACTTATCAAATATATCTAGGAAATAACTAATGGAACATCAAAGTCATTTAATCAGATTCTTTATTAAAAAATTTCATCATATAAATTTAGAAATAACCACTATCATCTAATTCCATCCAAAAAAATGCAATAATAATCAAGTAATAATGTAACAATATACTAACTAATTAATTACAGGACTAAAAGAACAAAGAAGGTTGGGATCACAGGTAAATTCGGTGTTCGTTACGGTTCATCATTAAGAAGACAAACCAAAAAATTAGAAATTCAACAACATGCTCGTTATGATTGTTCTTTCTGTGGTAAAAAAACTGTTAAAAGAGAAGCTACTGGTATCTGGAACTGTCACAGTTGTAGAAAAACCGTTGCTGGTGGTGCTTACACTGTTTCAACCGCTGCTGCTGCTACTGTTAGATCAACCATTCGTCGTTTAAGAGAATTGGCTGAAGCTTAAGAAGTTTACAATAAAGATATATTAAAATTTTATTCTTTCAGGTTGATGTTAATATTAGGGCATATTGTTTTATAGTGTATGTTTTTTAAAACTTGTTGAAAATCACATCAAAATATACAATGGTTTTTTAATGGTTATAAAACAAAAGAATTTTAAGTTATAAATTGTAGATAAATATTGTAATGTGAATGTATAGATGAACTGTGTTCTCAAATTTACAACTCGATCATGAGCTTTAGCTTTAGCATGTTGAATCTTGATCGTGTACTAATAGTAATTATGACTTGACACCGAAACAATTCACGGTGTACACTTGGGTAAAACTTCCACCCATGATTTAGAAGATATACTGTGTTTCAAATACTACAGTCATCTGTTTGCCGTTCTCTAGTTCTCAGCTCAATATTAATTATTGTGTATGTCGATGTTCTTTATGGTATTATGGTCAATTTAATGAATATTAACACCGCCAAAGTCTAGTACATGATTTGAAGCACTAAATTATTGAAAATCATGATTCATCACTATTACTAATTACAAGCGATTTATCTTATTTCAATTTAAAGTATATATATAATTGTGAATTAGTAATAGTGATGAATCATGATTTTCAATAATTTAGTGCTTCAAATTATAGCTTAAACTTTTTTGGTGGTCTATAAGTCTATGACTATAATATTGAAAAGCTCCAAGGTAAAATAGTTTATTGAATAGGCCTTAGGGTCAAGGTCTCAATGTACAAGTAACCAGTACCTAGAGATCAAAGTATAGAGTTCTATATACTAGTGTATAGTCATTAATATCTTGTAACCACTGTTTATTATCTTCTTATACCAACTTCCTCACTTTGATCCATTGATGTTCGTGATGTATATTACAATTAACAACTACCGATTGGAAAGATTCAACTGTGATCCTATCATGACTGATGAAATAGATAACTTCTTTCAATTGAGGGTAATAATAGGATATGATTTCATGCAAATGACTATTATATATTAAATCGGTCATAGATCGGGAAAGTCATGTGCTAGCTATTGTAGTTAATTTAGGCTTGAGTGCTTAAATGGGTATAGGTTTTTCCATTTACCCCAGATTTTATGAAGTCGAAGCTAAACTCGAGTCAAATATTATTGATTCATATAGCAAGAATTGGAAATAAATATAACCATATCGAAGAAAGAAGGAGGGAAAGAAGTGGTAATAAAAATATTGGATATATACTATATACAGAATATAATGCAGACTTCTTATTTATCTAAAATAACGTAGAAATAACCATGCTTTGTAAGTACTTTTTCTGATGTTTCTGTGATAAAATTCCATTCTTCCTTCTGGTAACTCGGCTAATGTGAGGTCAGCTTCTCCTTTGAAAAGATCTCTGCCTAGCTGTTTAGACGGACCCCTGGGTCCTCTGCCTACCAGTTCTCTGCCTATCTGCCTAGCTCCACATTTTAAATAAAAATTCCGGTGGACCAGTATAAAAATTTAAATAATGATACTTTTGTGTACAAAAACCATTGACCCGTTATTATCCAGGAGAAATGGTATCCTTGTGACAAGTAAATGATTAAGATGATCATGATTTCAATTTAATTTGTTATAAATATTGGATTAAATCCCTTGAATCTAATTTCTGGTAATAAACAGAATTGAAGTTAATTGATATATCAAGTTCATAATTAAAACCATGTCATCTGATAAAAAAAGATCATCAAGTACAGCTGTGAATTTAATAGCTGGTGGTACAGCAGGTCTGTTTGAAGCATTATGTTGTCATCCATTAGATACTATAAAAGTTCGTATGCAATTACATCGTAAAAGTGGGATAGTTAAAAATCCAGGTTTTATAACAACAGGTGTATCAATTGCTAAAAAAGAAGGTCTTACTGGATTATATAAAGGTTTAGGTGCAGTTGTTATTGGTATTATACCAAAAATGGCTATAAGGTTTTCATCTTATGAATTTTATAGAACTTTATTAAAAGATCAATCTGGTCAGATTTCAACAGGTTCAACTTTCCTTGCAGGTGTTGGTGCAGGTATTACTGAAGCATGTCTTGTTGTTAATCCAATGGAAGTTGTTAAGATTAGATTACAAGCTCAACATCATTCAATGTCTGATCCACTGAGTGCACCAAAATATAGAAATGCAGCACATGCAGTTTATGTTATTGTTAAAGAAGAAGGTTTCAAGACATTATATAGAGGTGTTTCATTAACAGCAGCAAGACAAGCAACAAATCAAGGTGCAAATTTTACTGTTTATTCTAAATTAAAAGAATATTTAGTTGATTATCATACAGAAAATGGTAATAAAGGTGTTATACCAAGTTGGCAAACTTCATGTATTGGATTAGTTAGTGGTGCAATTGGACCTTTTTCAAATGCTCCATTAGATACTATTAAAACAAGATTACAAAAAGAAACAAAACAAGCAAATGCCAGTGGTGAATCAATTAAACAAAGTGCATTAAGTAGAATTGTTAGAATTGGTAAAGATTTAATTAAAGAAGAAGGTGTTGGAGCATTATATAAAGGTATTACACCAAGAGTTATGAGAGTTGCACCAGGTCAAGCTGTTACATTTACTGTTTATGAAATTGTTCGTGAATGGTTAGAAGAAATTCCTGCATTATCAAGTAATACAGCATCAAAATTTGAAGAGTAATTAAAAGACTAGTTTAGATTTAAAAGAATGATATTTATATTCAATTAAAAATAAATGTAGATTAATCTTATATTCAATCTAGCCGCTCTGATGTAGATCTACAATTGTATTAATTTATGAATGATATTTATATTCAATTTAACCGCTCTGATGTAGATCTACAATTAAGTAATATAAATTAGATTCATTAAATAGCTAAATATTATAAGCAAAATATTAAATAAGACATTAAAAAATAGACATTATATAAAAAAAGAGACATTATATAGTATAATTTGTATAGTAATACATAGCAAATTAAATATTAAGATTAATAAAAAACAACAAAAAATTGATGAAAATATGATCATCTAGGTAGGGGAAATTAGCAAATATTGAATAGCAAATATTATTGATTGATTGGTTGTTTGATTGATGAATTGAAATAGCAAATTAATAATTAAAACAAATGTTTAGAATTGAAGATATCTTAATCAATAAGATTTATTTTATGAGTTTTGGTATATGAAATAATAAACTTAGCAAATAAATATATGTATAGTTGAGTTGATCATAATCATTTTTCAAGATGAAATACTTTAATATAATCATTTAATTTTTTTGACTGATTATTATTTAAATTAATTCCATTATTTTTTTCAACTAATTTTAATTTTTTTGTTGTTGTTGTTGTTGGTTTTGTTAATTTTTTTCAATTTTAAATTTTGATTTTTTTGGTAATGAATTGGTTGTTGATGTTGTTGTTGTTGGTTGAGATGGTTGAGATGGTTTAAATGGAGATTTTAATAAATAATCAACTTGTGATTTTATTAGGTTTGATTCAACGTTAAATCTTTTATTTGATTCATTGTTTTCAAATTTTAAGATGTTGTTTTGTAAATTCAGATGATTTATTGTGTTTAAACTTTTTTCTAATATTGAATTTAAATAGGATTTATCTAATTCAATTTTATCATCATTTAAATTTGTTGTTGAATTTGTTTTTAAATAAAAAATCATATTTTTTAACATTATTTCAATTGATTCAGATTCATGATTTATTGTTGATGATTGATTAAATAATGAATTTAATGGAGATTTTAAAAATCCTTGATTAATTTGGTCTTTATCATCATCTTTATCATCAGATTGTGAATTTAAAGGAGATTTCAAATGATTTAAATTAAATTGATTTGATGAAGATTCAGTTGATGTTATTAAATGAATTGGAGTTTGTGGTTGTTGAGTATTCATAATATCAAGTATATGAAATAACTTATACTAGCTGTTTAACGCGTATGTTATCTTTGATTATATTAAATTAGCAATGAAAATGTGATATATCAATTAATAAAGTATTAATTTAAATGATTAATCTAAATGATTAATGATATTAAAATATAATGAGCAATCAAATGATGTGTGTATAGCTGATGAATAGATCTTATTTGTATTATAATAGTAATACCAATAGTATACTAATAGTATATAGTGTATGGTTGTCAGGAGAGATGATGTATCCTAAGAGATAATATTAAATGATATAAATTTTGATTTAAATGTAAAAGAAGGATTCAAGGTAATTAAATTGATGAGATGTTTCTTAGGTGATTACTATGAATTTTTTTTTTCCCTTGTTTTAATAAGCGAATAAAGCGATCCTTAAAAAATAGTTGCATTGAAGCAGCCATGAGCAAGATTTAAACTGAGATTGACGATTAAGGAGATTGGAAGATTACCAAGGGGGTGGAATTTGAATACGATCTGTTTTGAAGTTATCAAGTAGTACATGTGTTGATAAGATAGTGTACTATTGACTAGACTGAGGATTGTACTAGTTACTTACTTATAAGTTCTAAGCACCTTAATTGCCACTTAATTTACTTAATCGGGTAGTTACCCATCAGGGAAGTTTAGTATGTGCATAACTTGACTAAGGCGCACAGTACTTAATTGTGCAAAGGAGGGTAATTATTGACTGATGTATATACACGTGACGCATCACATGATATAATTTTCAGTACAGTACTTATATAATTTTTACATGTTTATTACATCAGTGATTACGTCACGATAAGTACACATTTTAAACATTGCATAACTTTTTAAATTCACATTTTATTTTTTAATAAAGTTTGGGTGCAGGTACAAAATAGTGAAGATTGAATTATTTTGTATTTAATTATAAGATCTCGTATTAATTATATTAATGTTAAGATTGTGTTTAGTATTAGTATGAGCTTTTATTTATATACCACAGTTTCCCATGATCAGTTCTCGAAAGACGCGTTCAGGATTCGTTCAAAGTGCATTCACAGTTATCAAAACTTTACATATGTATCCATTGGTACATATCACTCCTGAAGTTGAAGTACTTATAGGAGTCCTAGTCCTGGTCCTATTTCAACAGGAAAGGGGGTGAACAGTGAACACCAACACCAACATCAACTACTTCACCATCATCAACAACATCACCTTCATTGCCACCTTCTCATAAATAATAGTGTAGTCCACAAACCGTTAGTAATCTGAATCGTGTAATCCTTTAACGATTTCAAGATCCTCAGATTCACTTTTTTTAAAACTTTCACGACTTAAATTTTAATTTTTAAAACTGTCCAACGTAAACAAAAAAATTTAACGTGAATTTAAAGAAAAACAAATTAAACTACTTGTGAGATCAAGGCCCAACCTATTCTTATATCTTGAATAGAGCGATTAACTACTATTCAATATCTAATTCATCAAATCATATCAATAATAAAGTCTGGGCATCTAAAGATATAAAAGACTATATTCATTAAATTACCGCTCTTCAAAATACCCTATATTATTACTGCTATTAATTCAAATACATTGCATTCAATCTTAGTAACCATTCATAATTACATTTCCATATACAATTTAATCACATCATGAGTGTTGATATAATATCTACTCTACAAGATCCCGAGGCATTTCATAATGCAGTTTCAACAAATGAAGGTATAGAATCAATAAGATTAAATTTAATTCAACATTTAGATAATAAAGAACAAGAAATTAAACAATTAGAAAGTGCTAAAAAATCTTTCCAAAAAGCTTCAATGGAAATTGGTAATGTGCTTATTGCAGTTGCTATGGGTGATTTAACAAAACAAGTTGAAATTAATGATGAACCTGATCCTGAAATCCTTAAAGTTAAAATGACTATAAATACAATGGTTGATCAATTACATACTTTTGCAAGTGAAGTTACCAAAATTGCAACTGATGTTGCTCATGGTGAATTTGGTGGTCAAGTTAAAAATCAAGGTACCGTTGGGATTTGGAGAACTTTATCTGATAATTTAAATGTTATGGCTTTAAATTTAACAAATCAAGTTAGAGAAATTGCTGAAGTTGTTAGAGCTGTTGCTGGTGGTGATTTATCAAGAAAAATAAATGTTCATGCCCAGGGGGAAATCTTAGAATTACAAAATATTATAAATACAATGGTTGATCAATTGAAAACTTTTGCTTTTGAAGTTACAAGAGTTTCAAGAGAAACTGGTGTTGAAGGTCGTTTAGGTGGTCAAGCTGTTGTTATTGGTGCAGAGGGGATATGGAAAGAATTAACTGATAATGTTAATGCTATGGCTACTAATTTAACTAATCAAGTTAGAAATATTGCAAATGTTACCACTGCTGTAGCAAAAGGTGATTTATCCAAGAAAGTTACAGCAGATTGTAAAGGTGAAATCTTAGATTTAAAATCCACTATAAATCAAATGGTTGATTCTTTACAAACTTTTGCCCTTGAAGTAACTTCATTAGCTACTGATGTTGGTATAAAAGGTATATTAGGTGGTCAAGCCGTTGTTAATGGTGTAGAAGGTGCATGGAAAGATTTAACAGATAATGTTAATGCAATGGCTACAAATTTAACAAATCAAGTTAGATCAATTGCAGCTGTTACTACTGCAGTTGCTCATGGTGATTTATCACAAAAAATTGATGTTAAAGCTCAAGGTGAAATTTTAGAATTAAAATCAACTATAAATAAGATGGTTGATTCTTTACAAGTTTTCGTTAGTGAAGTTACAAGAGTGGCAAAAGATGTTGGTATTGATGGGAAATTAGGTGTCCAGGCTCAAGTTTCTGATGTTGATGGTTTATGGAAAGAGATTATTACAAATGTTAATGTTATGGCTGCTAATTTAACTTCACAAGTTCGTGCTTTTGCTCAAATTACTGCTGCTGCAACTGATGGTGATTTTACAAAATTTATTACTGTTGAAGCAAGTGGTGAAATGGATACTTTGAAAACTAAAATTAATCAAATGGTTTTCAATTTAAGAGAATCAATTAAAAGAAATACTGCAGCAAGAGAAGCTGCTGAATTAGCCAACAGAGCAAAATCTGAATTTTTAGGTATTTTTTCACATGAATTAAGAACTCCATTCAATGGTATTTTAAATTATACTCAATTAACTTTAGATACTGAATTATCTCAATATCAAAGAGAAATGTTATCAACTGTTCATAATTTAGCAAATTCTTTATTAACAATCATTGATGATATTCTGGATATTTCTAAAATTGAAGCTAATAGAATGACAATTGAACAAGTTGAATTTACTTTAAGAGGTACTGTGTTCGGTGCTTTAAAGACACTTGCAGTAAAATCCATTGAAAAACCAATTGATTTAATTTATCAAGTTGATGCATCATTCCCAGATTCACTTATCGGGGATTCTTTTAGATTAAGACAAGTTATATTAAATTTAGTTGGTAATGCTATAAAATTCACTTCAAAAGGTCATGTTAGTTTAAGTGTTAAAAAGGCAACAACATCATTAGAACAACAAATCACATCTACGGTACAAAATAATAATTTTGTTATTGGTCATGATTCTTCAACAATTGTGGAATCAAATAAAGCTCCAGAAGATGATGTCTTGGTATTAGAATTTTGTGTTTCTGATACAGGTATTGGTATTAGAAAAGAAAAATTAGATTTAATTTTTGAAAATTTTACACAAGCTGATGGTTCAACAACAAGAAAATTTGGTGGTACAGGTTTAGGTTTATCAATTTCCAAGAGATTAATTCATTTAATGGGTGGTGAAATTTGGGTTACATCTGCTTATGGTAAAGGTTCAAGATTTTATTTTACTATAGCAGTTCGTCCTGTTAAACAAGTTTTTTCAAAACAATCAGATGCTTTATTAACTTTTAATTTACATCAAATTTTATTTATTTCAACTGAACATACTGTGGAAGAAGCTGAAAAAATTGAACAAGAATTAAGAGAATTAAATTTAAGACCAACAACAGTTCGTAAAATTGAAGATGCTAATTTACAAGAACCTTGTAAATATGATGTTATTATTATTGATTCATTAGAAACTGGTAATAAATTAAGATTATTACCTGATATTAAATATATTCCATTTGTTTTAATACATAAGAGTATTCCAAGTTTAAATATGAGAATTTGTTTAGATTTAGGTATTCAATCTTATGGTAATACACCATGTTCAATTATGGATTTAGCAGGTTATTTAAAACCTGCATTAGAATCAAGAATTGTTCCAAGTGATGATGATGCACCACAATCTTATAATATTTTATTAGCTGAAGATAATTTAGTTAATCAAAAATTAGCTGTTCGTATATTAGAAAAATATGGTCATGAAGTTACAGTTGCTAAAAATGGTCTTGAAGCTTTTGAAGAAGTTAAAAAAAGTAGATATGATGTTGTTTTAATGGATGTTCAAATGCCAATTATGGGTGGATTTGAAGCAACTGAAGAAATTAGAAAATGGGAAAAAAATATGAATCCAATTGATCCATTATCTGTTAGAGTTCCAATTATTGCATTAACTGCTCATGCAATGTTGGGAGATCGTGAAAAATGTATGCAAGCACAAATGGATGAATATATTTCAAAACCATTAAAACCAAATTTATTAATTCAAACAATTGCAAAAACAATTCATCATGTTAATAAATTAAAAGAAATTGCAAGTATGAATCCAACAAATAATCAATTAGCAAATGAAGGTTTATTAAATTTACCATCAAATGGTAATTCAACACAAAATATAACTGAATTAATTGCTCAACATCAACAATCTTCTCAACAACAACCACAAGCTAAAAGATCAAGTTCAAATGAAGAATTAGGTAAAGTTCATTATTCAATTAATGATCCAACAACATTAAATAATTTTGCCACTGCATTATCTCCTGCATTAAGAACATCAATTGAAAGACCAACATTATCAACAAATAATAGATCAATAACTGATAGTGCTGTTAGAACTTTAAGTTCAATAACTAATTCTCCAATTGAAGGTGAATTCTCTACTAGTCCTTCGAAATTATTACCAAATCAAGATGATTCAAGTAATAAAGATAAAGATGGTGATGAACAAGTTGAAATTTAGGCCAAAAAAAAATAAAATAATAATTTTTAGCATATATTGTTGTGTGTGTGTGTTTTTTTCAATTCTCTCTTTTTAATAAAAAAATGTTAGTGTATAGTACAATTGCATGTATATCATGTGTGTTTTAGATATTGTTTTGAATTTTATAAAGAAATGATTTAATGAATGTTTAGATTTTAATCGTGATACCTAGTAACTCTTTACAATTAAACTAATCATAAAATACATCTATTCATAAGTCCATTAATTTCTATACATTTTTATCATTTTTAAAAATATTAATCAATTGTTTTTCAAAAAAAGGTAATAAAGTTTCAATAAATTCAGTCTTCATTTCTTCTCTTGGTATAAATTTTTTCTTATCTTCTGCACTTGTCCCTTCAGTTTCTTCATCTGAATTTTCTTCATCATCTGATTCATCAAGTTCTAAAATATCATCATGATTTAATCCAAAATCATTAGTATTAAAAATTTCAATATTATTAATTTTTTCCCAATTTTTTTCAATTAAATCATTTTGTTTTTGAGTCTTGGTTTCAAGTTTTTTGGAATATATAGAACGTTGTAATTTTATTGAGTTTATAATTGAATCTAATTCCATCAAGATTTCAGATTTATTTTGTGAATTGTTTAATAATTCTTCAATATTTAATTTTTCATCTGAGGTTGAAGTATTTAAATTTTTGGAATTTCTTAAGAAATTTATTATATCATTTAACCAATTTATAATTTGTTCAAAAAATCCATCAGAATCATTTAAGTAAACATTATGTAAAAATTGATAAAAAGCATCTTGATGATTATTCAAAACTTGCATAATTTCATCAACGATTTTATTTGTATCCATTGAATATATATCATTATTTAATTGATCAATTTTTAAAATTAATTCATTCATAAAATTTTCAAAATTTTTAAAAGCAATTTCAATATGAGAATTTTTAAAAAGATTAATTAAAGGTTGATAAAACATTGATAATAAATCTTTTAAAATTGAAGTTAATTCAGGTTCTGACCAAATTTGTTTCAGGATATTTTTATCATTATTTTTAATATATAATTTAAAAACACTTTTTAAATTTGAATATAATTCAGATTTTTCATGATTAATTAAAACATCATCTTTATTTGTTTGTTTTAATTTTTTATATTCTTTATAACTTTCAAAAACTTGACCTATGGAATCATCATCAATTGGTATTAAATCATTTAATTTTGGTGTTATGATGATTGTTAATAATAAATCTGTATTTAGTTGTTTTGATTCTAATTTAATCTCTTCTAATAAGTTGGAATCTTCAACATCATAAATGAAAAATTTTAATCTTTTAATTAAATTTGGATAATTAATTAATTTTAATTCTAATTCATCAATAATTTTTTGTTGATTTTTTAAATCATCATTTAAAATTCCAAAAAATAAAGTTTGTAACAATGATTTTCCACCAAATGGACTTGCCATTAATAAATCAAGCATAGTTTTCATAATCATCATTGGATTTGTAAATTTTAGAATATTAATCATTATACTATATGGTAACATTTTATGAAATCTTTTAACTTGAGAATAAAATTCATATGATGAATCATTTCCCAAAAATAATTGATAAATTGTTGCAGCAATATTAATTTTACACCAATCAATAAAATTTATTAACATTGGTGATAATTGATAAATATGAGATTTAATTTTAATTTCATTAAAAATATCTAATAAACCATTTTCATCTTCTAATAATTTTAATCTTAAAGGTAATGTTTGATTTTTTAATAAAGAAATTTTTTTAAAAGTTTCAGATTGAAATTTAATTTGATTTAATAATAATAAAAAATCTAAATTTTCACGAATTTTTAAATCAATTTCTTCATCTTTTGATAATTTAAATATTTGATTTTTAAATAAAAATTCTTTAATTAAATCACAATGACTAATTTCATCATCTTTTAATAATTCACGTAGATAAGCTCTTAATGAAACTCTTGTTTTTTCTCTTGGTAATTTATTATTTTGTGGTGATGAATTAGGTTCAGTATTATTTGATTTTTCTTTATTTGGAGATTTGAATAAGGATTTGGAAGGTAAAAATTTTGGAGTTTTTGGAGATTTAGGAGATTTTGGTGGTTTTGAAGTATCAATTGATTCAATATCTTGTGATGGATTTATATTTAAATCTTTAAATAAATTTGTTAAACTTTTCCTAATTTCATCATCATTTTTTTTAGAATTAATATCATCTTCATCCTCCTCCTCCTCCTCATCATCATCTTCTTGTACATCACCAATTTCTACTTCAGATTTAACTTTTTTAGGTAAATTTGGTAAAATTTTCCCCGGATATTTTTTCTTCAAATTATGATGTAAATTTTTAAAATCATTATAACGTCTAGCCACAATAATTGTTGAACTTTCATCTAATTCTAATTTTGATTTAATTATAAATTCAAAAACCCATTCATGATTTTTAGTTATATTTAAATTTGACCAAAAATTTTTATTTGATTTTTTAATTAATCTTACACCTGCAACATTAACATTTATTCCATTTATGAAAACATCATTTGAAATATGATTTTGTAAAGTTTCCTTTGATGGAAATATAAGTTTTTCCAGTTTATTATTCTTGGATAAATTTTCTTGTTGACCCATTTCAAATTTATCTTGTTGATAATATAAAGATTCATTTGGAGTACCAATACCAGAATTATAAAACATAAGGATAATTCTTTTCAATTTTAAAGAAATTTTCCTTCTCTTGGTTTCTTCATCTCTATCCATTGATTCACTTAATTGTAAACTCATAAAATGTTCATAAAAGACTTGAACTTTTTTAATCCAAAATAATTGTTGATTTTGATTTTTTGAAGAAAGAAATGGCATTGTAAGGACGAATTTGTTAAAGAAGTATCTTGAAAGAGGGAAGTCAGAAGCAGCAGCAGTACCAGCAGCATCAACATCACCAGCAGCAGCACCATCATCACCATCACCTTTCTTCACAACATATTCATTTGGATCCAATTGAGTAAATGGAGAACCAAATTTCCTTAAAGCCAACGCATCATTGAACTGAACAAACTCTTTTTCCAATTGTAATCTAAGCAATTCTCTCTTGAGATAGTGTTCTCTTGTAGGCGTGAGATCCATTGATTAATTGATTTGTTGCTGTTGTTGTTGATGAATTGTTGATTTGAATTGTTACCGCTGTGAAATTAAAATATAAACAAATAAAGCAACAACCGAACACCGATTAAAGCAAAGTATAAAAGAAGTGGAATATCCATGGAAAGACAAATTATTAAATGAAGATGATGATCAAGAAGATCAAGATGATAATAAAGATAATAGAAGACATGTTACTAAACGAGATGTTCTCTACAATATATTCACATATCACATTCATTATTATTCACTTTGTTCTAATTCATACAATTGTCGTATCTGAGATTCAGCATTCAAGAACTTCTTTGCTTCATTAATTTGTTGTTTCTCTTTAGCGTTAGTCTCCATAGTAGTGATCTCTACTCTTTGCTTTTTACCATCCTTCATTAAACAATCTTGAAATAATCTTTTGAATGGATAACAATTAACTAATCCTCCATTAAATGTACATTCATATTGTGTTATTGATTTTAATGAACATTTAGCATCTGATAATTTTTGATTCAAGTTATATACTCTTTGAAGATCTTCTTGTATTAGTACTGGTGTGGGTGGTGCCATATTAGTCCTTGTGTATTAGTCTTGATATTGATATCCTATATTTTATTACCTTTCTATCAATTGTATCATCAATGTTACTCGTATAATATAGAAATTTGAATTATTGATTATATAATAAATAATTAAAAATATTAAAATGCCAACCACAAGGGTCGAGTGGAAGAACACTGTCATTTCAACACGTGTATGTTTACATTTTTTTTATTTTTAAACATATGTCCAATATGAATTGATTCAACTTGAAATTTCAATGTTAAAACCATAGATTATTTAGTTCTTGACTCAATCTATATCATACACAATGGCCACTCAATTAAAAGACCAATTAGCCAAGCTATATCCATCCCACCAAAAACCAAAAGATTTAAAATTCACCTATGGTACCGCTGGTTTCCGTACAAAGGCAAATATCTTGGATAGTGTGGTATTTACTGTTGGTATCTTAGCATCTTTAAGATCAAAATTCCTTAAAGGTCAAACCATTGGTGTTATGATCACTGCATCACATAACCCTCCTGAAGATAATGGTATTAAAGTTGTTGATCCAAAAGGTGAAATGCTTGAACAAACTTGGGAATCTTATGCAACAATTTTAGCAAATGTTGAAAATCAAGATGAATTATATAATGAAATTATCAAAATTTCTTCAGATTTGAATATTGATCTTGAAATCGAATCAAATGTTATTATTGCTAGAGATTCAAGAGATTCAGGTCCTGCATTAACTCAAGCAACAATTGATGGTTTAGAAACCTTAGGTACTAAATATCAAGATTTTAATTTATTAACAACACCTCAATTACATTATTTAGTTAGATCTATAAATACTTCAAATTTTGGTAAACCAACTGAAATTGGTTATTTTGAAAAATTATCTCAAGCTTTCAAATCAATTATTCATAATCATAATAACTCTACAACTACGGATTTCCAAAAAATTAAAATTACAATTGATGCAGCAAATGGTATTGGTGGTCCAAAAATCCAAGAATTAATTTCAAATTATTTATCTGAATATATTGATTTTGAAATTGTTAATAACAATTATCAAGATCCTCAAGCTTTAAACGTTGGTTCTGGTGCTGATTATGTCAAGACAAATCAATCTTTACCAAATGGTATTAATCCTCATCCATTAAATTTATATTCTTCATTTGATGGTGATGCTGATAGAGTAGTTTTTTATTATACTGATTCCCAAAAAAATTTTAAATTATTAGATGGTGACAAAATTTCAACTTTATTAGCTGGGTTTTTCAAAAATTTATTAGAAAAAATTACTGAATTTAAAGATTCGACTAAAATTGGTGTTGTTCAAACTGCTTATGCAAATGGTAATTCAACAAATTTTTTAACTGATGTCTTAAAAATTCCTGTTGTTTGTACACCAACTGGTGTTAAACATTTACATCATGAAGCTGAAAAATTTGATATTGGTGTTTATTTTGAAGCTAATGGTCATGGTACTGTTTTATTTTCTGATGAATTTATTGAAAAATTATCTGAAAAGACTCCATCATCACCAAATGAAAAAATTGCAATTGATACCATAATTCAATTATCAAAATTAATTAATCAAACTGTTGGTGATGCTATATCAGATTTATTAACCGTATTAATTGTTTTATTCATCAAGAATTGGAATCCATCAAATTGGGATGATGCTTATACAGATTATCCAAATAAATTAGCAAAAGTTATTGTTCCAGATAGATATGTTTTCAAAACAACAGATGCTGAAAGAAAATTAACTTCACCAAATGGATTACAACAAAAAATTGATGAATTAGTTTTAAAATTTAATAATGGTAGATCTTTTGTTAGAGCTAGTGGTACTGAAGATGCTGTTAGAGTTTATGCTGAAGCTTCTACTAGAATTGAAGCTGATCAATTATCAAAAGAAGTTTGTGAATTGGTTAAGAATTCTGTTTGATTTATAAATAATCTATTTACTGTTTTAAATTAGTTATAAAATGCTTTATGTTTTTGTTTATTGAAGGCCCTGATGTAGTTTTTCCGTGATCTAGTAATTCCGATGAGTATGAAAAAAAAATTATTTACCCATGAGACAAACTAACCAGATTATATACTTCCAACATATCAACCAAAACAATGGCAAAAAAGAATAATAAAAAGGATAAAGAAGCTAAAAAAGCTCGTGTTGAAGAAAAGAATAAAAAAAATTTAGCAAAAGCTGAAAGAAATACCAAGAAAAAAGCTAAAAAAACTGGTGAAATTGATGAAGATGATGTTGATATTGATGAAATTTTAGCAAATTATAAAAAAGAACAAGAAGCTTTTGAAGCTATAAATATTGAATCTGTGGAAAGACCTTCTAAAAGAATTAATTCTTCAATGGTTGCTAATCCAAATCATGGTAAAAAGGAATTAATTATATTTGGTGGTGAAAATACCGTGGATAATATTTCTGCTTTTTATAATGATTTATTTACTTATGCCCCAGATTCTGATCAATGGAGGAAAATCACATCAAGGAATAGTCCAATGCCTAGATCATCAGCTGCTATAGCGGCACATCCAAGTGGTGTTATCTTATTACACGGTGGTGAATTCTCAAGTCCAAAACAAAATACTTTTTATCATTATTCTGATACTTGGTTATTAGATTCAACAACAAAAGAATGGACCAAGATTGAAGATAAAAAAAAAGGACCATCTGCTAGATCTGGTCATAGAATTACTATATGGAAGAATTTTTTCATAATGTCTGGTGGATTCCGTGATTTAGGTTCTTCAACTTCTTATTTACATGATCTTTGGGTATTTGATATTACAAGTTATAAATGGACACAAATTGAATTCCCACCAAATCATCCAATTCCAGATGCAAGATCTGGTCATTCTTTGATCCCAGATGCCGATGGTGCATTGTTATGGGGTGGTTATTGTAAAGTTAAAGCTGGTAAAGGTCTTCAAAAGGGTAAGATTTTAACAGATTGTTGGATGTTAAAAATGAAGAGTGATTTATCTGCAATTAGATGGGAAAGACGTAAGAAGCAAGGTTTCCAACCATCACCAAGAGTTGGTTGTTCAATGGTTCATCATAAAGGTAGAGGTGTATTGTTTGGTGGTGTTTATGATTTTGAAGAAACTGAAGAATCTTTAGATTCTTTATTTTATAATGATTTATTTACTTATCAAATTGAAAGTAATAGATGGTATTCATTATCTTTAAGAGCACAAAAGGCTAAACAACAAAAAATTAATAAAAAACAAAATAGAGATGAAGATCTTGAAAATGTTTTAAATTCTATTTTGGAGAAAGCTAAATTAAATGATGATGATCAAGATGATGAAGATGATGATGAAATTGAAGCAGAATTGAAAAAATTTGATGAATCTGAAGAAGAAGAAACTGATAGTGAAAAGAGAGAATATCCAATAGTGAATAGTTTACCACACCCTAGATTTAATGCTTCAACCGCGGTTGTTGATGATACTTTATTCATTTTTGGTGGGGTTTGGGAATTTGGTGAACGTGATTATTCTATTGATAGTTTGTATTCTATTGATCTAGCTAAATTGGATGGTTTGAAAATTTATTGGGAAAATTTGAAACCAATAGAACATGCTGTTAAAGAAGAAGATGAAGATGAAGAAGATGAAGAAGAAGATGACGATGAAGGTGAAGATGACGATGAAGAAGAAACTGAAGATAAGAAATTAGTTGCAGAAGAAGAAGAAGAAGAGGAAGAAGATATAATAGAAGAAGAACCTGAAATTCCAGATCCAAGACCTTGGTTACCACATCCAAAAGCTTTTGAATCTTTAAGAGCTTTCTATGTAAGATCAGGTGCACAATTTTTAGAATGGGCAATTTCTCAAAATAAAGATGCTCGTGGTAAACATTTAAAGAAAAAATCATTTGATTTATGTCAAGATCGTTGGTGGGAAAGAAGAGAACAAATTCGTATTGAAGAAGATAAATTAGAAGAACTTGGTGGTGTTGATGAAGTTATTGAAAAAGATACCACTAAAACTACAAAAACTAGAAGATAGATCATAGATTATTATTAATATAGTATAAAATTTTATTATTTCTAATGTACAATATTTATAAATTTATATATAATGAATGTAATGTTTATATAAATCATGCAAAATGAATACCAACTTGATGGAATGCATATAAAAGTCTCAAGAAATCATTTTGATCACATTTACCAGCTCTTTTTTCAGATAATCCAGTTTCAGTTAGGACTTGATTAATTTTTTCTTTAACAGTTTCTAATAATCCATTTTTTTTACTTGCGTTTTCAACATCCATCATAGCATCACCATCTAATGTAGCTAAATATGTTTTGTAATTTTTTTCTAAAATTTCTAAAATTGTTGTTGATTTAAAACCAGCTGCAATTGTTCTATTCTTTCTAACGAAAACGATTCTTAATAAACCATCCCATTCATTATAATCAACTTGGGGTCTTGGATTTTTAATCTCTATTCTAACAACACTAGATTCAACTTGTGGTGGAGGTCTAAAGTTATTTTTACCAACTTTCATAATATGTGTGACATTTGCCCACATTTGAACATTTGCTGATAATCTACAATATAATGAATCACCTGGTCTTGCTAACAATCTTAATGCAAATTCTCTTTGAAACATCAGTATGGAAACTCTTGGAGGTCTTGGTTGATTTATTAATTTGAAAACTAATGGAGATGAAATTTGATATGGAGTGTTACTAATACATATATCAAAATATGGTAATTCTGTCTTCATAAAATCTCCCAACATAATTTCTAATTTTTTTTCTACTGGTGTACCATGAACTCTTTTAGTTAATTCAGCACCCATTCTTGGATCCATTTCCACAGCAAAAACTTTTCTAGCCCTTTCCAAGATACGAACAGTTAAATTACCAGTACCTGGACCAACTTCTAAAACAATATCTGAAGGTTTAATATTAGCTTTATCAACAATACCTTGAGCTATAAGTGGATTTTTCAAAATATGTTGACCCAAATCTGTATTGAACTTGAAAACAGAGTTCATATGTTTTTCAGCAGCAACTTGGTTTTCACCAGCACCTGAATATTTCTTTTTACTTGTTACTTTGGCCATTATCAACTATACTTTCTAACCAGGGAATGTTTTAAAAGTCTTAATTTATTTCATTTAGAGATCAAGCTCATCGCATAAATTTTTTTCTTATCCAAAAGTAATGTTGGTAAGAACACTCCATCAACAGATTTTCCGCGAATTAGATTTTTGTCCCACTCTTTGAATTCCCAAACTTCCCCCAGAAAACAAACAACAATCACGATCCACAATTACTAAGATTTAATAAAAAGGTCGATCAAAGCTGAAAATTTTGAATATATCAGAAAATGGACAAAACTTTCACCGATGTTCCAAAAGAGATCAAACAAAGAGCAAGACAGTATGTTGAATGAAAGATTGTTATTTTTTCAATCATATACTAATTTCGAATAGTTTCCGTTTGATCTTTGCTGGAGTTCCAGTATTTCTCGTGACAAGTTATTATTTATTCAAAAGAGGTAAGTATAAGAATGGTTTGATTTTGAAAGGGAAGCTGATTTTAACAATTGGAAATAGTCGCATATGATGAAGGTAAAAGAGTTCAAATAGGGGAAAAATTAAGTGATGGGTCGCTTAGACCATTTACAGAAGAGGAAATTAGACAAACTGATGAGCAAAGTTGGCTTACTAAATTGTTTGGTAAAGATAAGACCCAAAGGTAGTCTATCTCATATCAATGTGTGAATTCTTTATTAATAACAGGTTTCATATATATGTGAAATACGTCGTCTCATTGTCGTATTATTGCAAGAGGTCAATCTCATATTTATTATTATTTATTTATATATTTATTAAAACATAAGAACTACATATATCCCGCAAAAATAATTACTTAACATATTTAACATTTATTCCCTAAAAATCACTTCCCATTGTAGTCTCTTATTTGTATAGTTATTATCAACATCTAAATCAAAAAATGAATATATATTACAAAAAAAATTACATCATGTCATGTCTCTTCATTTCCAAATTGGTTTTTCTGGTCTATCTAAAAATCTCTGTGTTCTAACCTCTGCTGATGATCTTCTTTCACCAAGTCTTGAACCACCTCTCTCAATTATTTCTTTTACTGGTGTTGGTTGTGGTAATAATGAACGTCTTCTAGATTCAGAATTTCTTGAACTTGTTCTTTCAACAGGTTTAACCATATAAGATGATCTGACTGGTGTTTGTGGTATCATTGAATGTCTCTTATTCAAAACACCTGCTCTTGATGGTGGCCTATCAGATTGTGTAAGTCTTGTTGATGCCATGGCACTTGCTGGTCTATTCAATTTTCTTTGGATTGATGATTCAACAGGTTGTGACTTATCTTTTGATAATGATCTTTCTCTATCATGAGCTCCCAGACGAGAGCTAGGTCTAGGTATTCTAGAAGCAGTTGGTTCTTTTGATTTAGATAAAACAGGTAATCTTGAAACTGATGACGGTACTTGTAGTGATCTTCTTCTATTTAGATCAGATGGACGTGGGGTTTGGAAAACATCATATTTATGACTATCAATTTTCAAAGCTTCTGGTGTTTGTACTTCTTTAATTGGACTCATTGAAGATTTGCTATCACTTTTATCCGATGGTGGACTTGCAAGATAATTTTTAGCTATTAAATTTTCAGTTTCTTTAGATAATGCTGTTTTTAACTCAGGAATCTTTTGTAGTGAATGTGCATCTAGTGTTGATGAGCCTGGTTTCGATGGTGTACTATCAAGTTTGTTATGTTTATGACTATCAGACAGTATATGTTTCGGCACGTCATTAATATCCTGTTTTATAGCAGATGTTGGATTGGTTTCTATCATAATAGGTTTTAGATTCAATTTACCCATAAAAAATTCACCAGCTCTACTCCTTCTTTTATTCTTTACTGGTGTATTATCACTATCTTCACGTTTCGAATTCCCATCATCTAATGATAAAGTTTTAAATTTCTTAAGTTCCTCCAAATCATCATCATCATCAGCTTCTAAGAAAGGTAAATATTCATCTGGTATTGATTCTTTAACTTCTAGCCAACGTTCAGCTAACCCATTACTTTTTTCCACTGTAGCAAAATCAATTAATTTTTCATCAATAGCTTGGTTTATAACAACAAATGTATTATCAACAATATGTGTAGTATATTTGATTTTCTTTAGAACTTGTGATTCAATTGAAGAGTTGGAATCTTTTAGATGTGATAGTTTTGAAGTTTCTTTTTGTACACTAACAATCATATATGACATTTCTGTATTTAAATAACTGAAAATTTCACTCCATCTTTTATCAACTAATTCAAATTTTAAATCATCAACTTCATTTTGTAGAAAATTCAATTCTTTAATTAATGAATTATATTTTTGTCTTATATTAGCGATATTAATTTCATCTAAATCTTTATGTTTCTCTTGGAACTCTTGAATTTTTGATGGTATAAATTCTAAACTTGCCCTTAATGGATCAACTGTACTTTTCAAATCTAAAAATTCTTCATAAAGTTGATTTTCAATTTCGGTAAGTAAAGGTAATCGAAGACCAGATTTTTGTTTAAATAATTTTTTGGTTAAAAGATCTAGATTGAAATTTGGAGCATGACGCACAGGTGAACTAAATCTTCTTTCATGGATTCTAAAACATTTCTTTAAGCAACTTTCCAATTCATTGTTTATTGAGTTCATTGTAAGATTGAATATTTCATTATATTCAGTAGATACATCAATTTCATTTTTAAATTGTGTAAAATGAGATTGTTTAACCTCTAATGTAATTTCTCCTAGAACATCAAGTTTATCAAATATACCAGAATCAGCAATTTTCTCATCAATTTCAAAATTAGCTTCTAATAAATTTAATGATTGTAACACAAGAGAATCTATTGAATCAATTTTTCTATGGATATCATAATATCTATTTCTTCCTTCTGCAAGCCAGTTTAAATTTTGCTTCAAATCAAGAGGTAGAGTAGAAACAAACTGGAATATCCCCTTAACATCAGTAATATAACTTAATACTTCATCAACAACTTTATCTAACCGATTCAGATCAAATGGCTCTAGGTTCGCGATGCTTTCAAACAAATTGAACTCTGACCGTACCGTAAGTATCTCTGAAAGCCTCTGTACCATATTCCCCTGTTAGTCTAGCAATGTCCTTGTGGTTCTGTGGTGTGTGTTTTGTTGGTTAAAATTGTGTTGATGTCTTTCTAGTTTCAAGTTTGAACTAGTGTATCATGTTTATATTTTGTGTGCCCTTAATTTGTTTGTATTGATTTAGAGCCGATCAAAATCAAAACAAACGCGCGCCAGAGATCAGTCGCGAAAATCGTTCGCGAAATAGTTACCCGTATAATTGTATTTGTATATAGATATTATTCAAAGAAACTATTTATATTAATAAAGTCATTTGTACAATTAAGAGTGGGTATACATAATAGTTAATATAAATATGGGGTTCATATAAATATGCAAAAAAAGATGCTTGAAATTCATTGTTTTTGTTGTACTTCTTCAATCTTATTAGGATTAGACATTGCAGCTTGATCAAAATTTATATCTTCTAAACCTTTTTGAATAATTTCCTTCTTGATAAAATCTTCAGTAAATTCATCAATTTGATCTTCATATCCAGCTTGTTCATTATTATTTGATCCATTTGGATGCTTTTTTGGTTTTTTATCTTCAAGTTCATTTTTATCTTCATTTAATAATCTATATAATGCACTATGTCTATCTGAATATAAACGTTCAAAATTACCAATTTCTGCAACTTTACCATCATAACCCAATACTATAACCATATCAGCTTTTCTAATTGTTGATAAACGATGTGCAATGGAGATTGTGGTTAATTTTTCATCCTTCATTAATTGTTGTAATGTTAAATTAATTGCATATTCACTTTTGCTATCTAATGCAGATGTAGCTTCATCCAAGATTAGAACAGCTGGATTTTTAATTAATGCTCTTGCAATGGAAATTCTTTGTTTTTGACCACCTGATAATAAAGCACCTCTTGGACCAATTATAGTATCATAACCATCTGGAAATTTTGTAATAAAATCATGACAATTTGCCTTTTTAGCAGCTTCAATTATTAAACTTTCATCAACATTTGTTTCTTTTAATCCATATGTAATATTATCACGAATTGTACCAGACATTAAAATTGGTTCTTGTTGAACAACACCAAGATGTCTTCTTAAACTTTTAACACTATATTCTGAAATATCATGACCATCAAGTAAGATTTGACCTTTTGTAACATCATAATAACGTAATAATAATGATGTTACAGTAGATTTACCTTTACCTGAAGGACCCACTATACAAACATTTGAATTTTGTGGGATTTTAAAGTTTAATTCATTGAATATTTGAATTTTTGGTCTTGTTGGATATGAAAATGAAACATCTTTAAATTCAATTTCACCCTTTGGTTTAAAGACTAATGGTTCACCAATAGTTGCATGAATTTTTGGTTCTCTATCAATTAATTCAAAAAGTCTTGATGCTGCACCTGTACCTTTCATTAATTCTGAATAAAAATTAGCTAAATTATATGTAGCATTACTTGCATATTCTGAATACATCATAAATGCAGCTAAGTCACCAACAGTCATTGAACCTCTAGCGACTAAGACAGCACCATAACATAAAATAAGTAAAAATGAAGAATCACCAATCAATGAATAACCAGTATAAAATTTAGCATTTAAATAAGCTTCTTGTCTACCTAATCTAAATACATTCCTTATAGCACTATTATATTTACGTAATTCTTTACCTTCAGCGACAAAACTTTGTACTGTTTTAATACCACTTAATTGTTCTTCACCAACTCTTGTTAAATTACCAGTAGCTTGTTGAATTTTTCTAGAAATTGCACGAACTCTTGTACCAAACGCTAGCGCACCCATAATAACAACTGGGACAAATACAAACACAACTGATGCTAATTGTGGACTAATCATAACCATTGCACCAATACCAGCAGTACCAACAATCCCAGCTTTGAAACCATCACTTATATTTTGAGTCATAGAACGAGAAACAATGAAAGCATCAGCACCTAATCTTGAAATTAAATCACCAACTTTATTAACATCAAAAAATTCAGCATCTTGAGATATAGTTTTTTTAATAACATTTGATCTTAATCTAGCAACCATTTTTTCACCAAGAATTCTTAATAAAATAATACGACCATAATTTGCAGTGATACCCACGGTTAATAAAGCTGCAACAACACCAATGAATTGATATAATGATAATCCATATATGATTGGTGGTAATTCACCATCAATAATGTTTTTTGTGGAATCTATAACAAGACCATAAGCTTTTGGAAGCATAAGACCCACAGCACATGATATTAACAATAAAAATATGGCAACTGCTAAAAGTTTACTATCATATTTGATCAATCCAAATAATCTTCTTAAGTCACCCCATGCTAAAGATGTTTGACCTTGTTGTGTTTGTTGTGATGATTGTTCAGATTTTGATTGATCAATTGAATCTTTACTTTTTTGTTGGGTTCCTACTGCTTGAGGTTTATCATTTAAATTTGGATGTATTTTTTGTGATGGTGAATCATTTGATTGTGAATATGAACGATTCAGTATTGAATAATTTATTATTGGATCTTTTTTATTTATTAAATTAGATATTAATGGATTTGATCTATATTTTATATTTTTGGAGATTGTAGAGAATTTTGAACTTGAAATATCACCATATTGATTTATTTTTGAAGGATTCAATAATGATTGTTTCACTAGACAATTTGAAACCACAGAAAGTTTTGATATTGGACGTTGAGCTAACTTGAAAGATGGTTTCAGTATGAAAAACATGACTCTTACTATTTCTTTATATGGATCTTTGCATTAGTTGAAGTTGAAAAATTGTTTATGACAAAGACGATGAATATTTAATAACAGAGATTTGATTAAAATTAGCTGAGAATAAAAAGCGAATATTGATGAATATAAAATGCAAATGAAGAACTTTCCATCAATTTATAAAAAGTCAATGTGTTGATCGAAATGGCACCTTTTCCACTTTATTTGGTCATATAAATTTTAACTCCAGGCTCCAAAAGTCCATTTGTGCTGGGAAACGAACGCTGCCGAGTGTGCGTATCGGTGAAAGAAAGCCTACAAATGGATCCACTACTATGAACTACTAGTAATTGATTACTACAAGTATCAACTACAATTGTATGTGTTCAATGCGTTTTGTATGGACATTTATTTCATTTTAAAGTGTATGTTTTGTAGTCATAATGAATTTTAAATTGTATCTCTAATGTTCAGTTAGCATAAGCTTATTTCTTTAATGGTTGAGCATCTTGAGCAACACCGTTGACGAATTTAAGAACTTTAGCATCTGAAGCTTCTCTGGCCTGCACTTTTTGAGTGTTGAATTCTGGCTTCAAAGATTTTCTGACAGTTGAAGCAGCGATTTGTAAGTATTTGTTAAATCTGTTGATGTGATTGTTAGTATTTTGTTGAGCCATATTGACTTGAGATCTGGCAACAATTGAGCACAACAAGCCAATTGTTGTCCCCAATTGTCTCCCTCCATGGTGTTGACACGTACGAAAAACCAGCTTTTCTCCAGGAAGACATTGTGAATATGAATGATTTGATCTAGTTGACTTGGAACTTGTTCTCTCTCAATTCATTCAAAGTGTCTGTTTAATCTCCCTTTAATTCTTGAAAAACACCAAATTCTGAACAAATTTGATTTGTTCTGAAAATTACGCCTGGAAATGGTAGACTTCCTAAAGAGGTAGCCAAGTGGGTTTCTAATTAGTATTCATAAAATTCAGTAATCAGGGTTACATCTGTGGATTCGCGAAGAAAATATATTTAATACCCATGCGATGAGATGAGCTTTGAATGGATCTCTGTTTGATTGTGGTTGTAAAGGTTCAAAGGGTCCAAGGTTCATAATGACAGTCTCTAGAGATCATTACTACAAGCTCAGTAGTGACATTGAGCAAGAAAGAATCACTTCTTCAATCGCATTACTTACAGAGTTAAGTGAAGCTAATGATGAATCTGAATGGGAATATGCATTAACTAGATTGATTAAAGGTCTTTCATCTTCAAGAGGTTCTTCAAGAGTTGGGTTTTCTACATGTTTAACAGAATTGATCAATATAAGACGTGAAAATGGTTCATTATCCCTAAAGCAATTACTTGAGCTCATAAACACCAATACTAAAGTTTCAAGCTCAATGAATGGTAAAGAAGAACGTGCTGTCTTGTTTGGTAAATTATTTGGTTTACAATGTATTTCTAATGTTAATTCTGGTGTTTTTGCCTCAGATATCTCAAGTGAAAATTTCAAATTATTCACTGATAACTTATTCGATCTTGCTTCACAAAAATCATGGATTAGAGAACCAACCTTATTTACAATGGTTGGATTATTAGGTTCAGTTTATTCTAAATTAAGTGAAGATTTAATTCTTTACGTTTTCACAAAATTAGATGAATATCAATTATCATTAACCACTGAAGGTGTTGCCTTATATCTATCTGTCCCTTCAACTTTCAGAAATACTACATTAAATTCAACAACATTCCAAAATCCAACTTGGAAAGAAGCTGATCCATTAAAACAAGTAAATATTGCATCTTTAGCTAAAGTATTGAAAGATGTTTCCACTGGTGATGATTCGGATGATAACAATACAAAAGGTAATAATAAAAAAAAGGGTTCTTGGTCACCAAGATTACATTTTGTTTGGCCATTAATTGTTAAAGAATTAACATCACTTAATAATAATAATAATGAACCAATTGATCAACAAGTTGAAAATTCTAAAAAAAGAAAAAAATCAAGTAATGAAGGTAGAAAAAAATCCAAATCAAATGGTAAAAATCCAAATAATTCCACTTCAGAATATATTAATATTGCAGAATTTTGGAAAGTTATTATTGACGAAGGGTTCTTTAGTGAAAAAGCTTCACATGAACGTAAATTTTGGGGATTTGAAATTTTTGAATTATTATTCGAATCAGTCCAACCAGAACAATCATCTCCATTATTTACACAAAATTTTATGAGAACTTTAATTAATCAAACTTCAGATAGTAATAGATTATTAAATAAAGTTGCCAAAAAGACATTAAACAAAATAACAGAAATTTCAATAAATCAACCAGAAAAGATTATTCATGTTTTACAAAATGTCCTAATTGGTGATTTTGGTAGTTTACAATTTGATAGATTAACAAAATCTAAAACTGTGGAAAAATTATTAACTGAATCAAAAGCAAATTCAACAATTGCAAAATTTTTCATAAATGTATTGAAGAATCCAATTGTTAAAAATCAAGATTCAGGTAAAGAATCTGAACTTAAAACACAAAAATGGGCAATTGATCAATTATTACATCTTGTTCGTGGTAAGAAATCTTCAATTGATATTGAAACTGATTTAAAATGGTTAGACTCAGTATTGAAATCATTAGTCCATATTGCCTTTTTCAAAAAATCAGATGAAGAAGAATCACCAATTGCAGAATTTGCTCAAGAAAGATTGAATTCCATCTTATCAGATGTTGTTACCATTGAACGTACTGATAATCAAACATGGTCTTTCAAGACATTAAGTTTCTTAACTGAATATTCTGGTGAAAAAGTACCAATTTTTGAATTTGATGAAGAATTAGGTTCAGTTAAGGATAAATCTTTGAAAATTTTAAAAAAAATTAGAAATAAAAGAGAAAGTTCAAAACATATTGATAATTCAAGACTTTTAGTTTTTGAATTATTATTTTCTATGGTTACAATTCAATTATTTTCTGGTGGTGCAGAATCTGTTGATACTTTACAAGAATTACAAGATTATTATCATGCTCATAAAAAGGAAAGCGCTGATGATGAAGATAATGATGATCAACAAGATAGTATTATTGGTATTGTTGAAATTCTACTAAATTTTGTTAGTCAAAAAAGTTCATTATTGAAAAAATTAAGTATGATTGTATGGGAAAATTTTTGTGAAAAAATTGATTTAGGTGCATTAGAATTATTATTTGATGTTATAAAGACCAAGGAAAATAAAGAAGGTCAAAAAGCATTATTTGAAGGTGAAGATGAATTTGTGGATGAAGATGAAGAAGAAGAAGAACATAGTCATGATCATGATGATGATGATGACGAAGATGAAGAAGAAAGTGATAGTGAAAGTAGTGGTGATGAAGAAGATGAAGATGAAGATAACGATGAAGTTTCTGAATTAGATAAAAAGACAAATCTTGCATTAGCTGAAGCTTTAAACATTTCTCAACATAATGGGGAAGTTACATTTTCAAGTGATGATGAAGATGATGATATGTCTGATGAATCTATGGATGATGAACAAATGATGGCTATTGATGGACAATTATCAAAAATTTTCAAACAACGTCGTGATGCTTTAGACAACATTCAAACTGGTAATAAAAGAAAAGCTGAAGTTCAAGATGCAAGATCAAACATCTTGTTGTTTAAACATCGTATTCTTGATTTACTTGAAACTTTTGCTAAGAAAAATCCAAATAGTGAATTACTTGTTTATACAGTGGAACCATTATTAACAGGTTTAAAATTAACTTTAGATAAATCATTAGGTACAAAGATTCATAAATTATTGAAGAATAGAATTTGTAAATCAAAAATTGAAATCAAAACTCTTGATAAAGATTATTTATTTGAATTACTAAAAAACATCCAAACAGATTCATTAAAAACATCAAATACAAATGATTTTAATCTTTCATCATCACAATGTTCAATCTTCATTTCAAAACAAATTTTAGCATTAGATGAAACTTCAGCTGATTTAATTATTGATCAATATACTGAATTATTGAAAAAATGGTGGACTAAGAAAAATTCAAGATTAACAAGTTCAATATTTTTCGATTTTATCAATTGGTTAAGTTCCAAAAGAAGTCAAAATTAGATAATTATACAACTCATATATAGATGTATTATACTACGTTTTGTATCATATGATATACCAATCGCGTAGTTCTTGAACATTTCATAATCGCATGTCATTAGTATATACTGGATGTTAAGAATTGATTGCATAACACTTAAAATAAAAGGATTCATCATGAGAATTGAAATTTAAAACAGTAATAATACAATAAGAATCAATAAAAATACATCAAAACAAAAATAGAAAATACAATTAATCATAAAATAATAAAGCAAAACAATAATTTTTTAGCAAAGAATCAAAGCAAAATCAAAAGGGATAAAATAAGTGGTATCATTTTGAAGAATATGGGTATCTAAACGTTCTTTTGTATCATCCAAATTTTGTTCATTAAAAACTTCAAGTACTTTCAGGTATTTCCTTTTTAATAGAATCAGATTCATGATTTTGAGGAGCTGCGGATTTTGCTTTTGCCTCATTACTTCTTTTATCACTTTCAATTCTATTATTTATCAGGAAAATAGCAGTTTGATTACCAGCACTTGTACCAACTAACGTTATTTTACGTTCTTTAGATTCTGGATTTGGATCAGCAATTTGAATTTTAGAACCTGAAGTATCTTTAATCAGTTTTATATTTTTACCACTTTTACCAATAACATTACCAACATATTCATTAGGTATGAAAATTTCTTGTGTAATTTGTGGACTACCACCAACGCCACCAGTTGAGCTTGCTAATGGTAAAGTTAATGGATTTATAGGTACATTCATAGAAAATGGTGGTCTTTGTTGAAATTTCCCATTATGATTTCTATTATGTTGTGGTCTTGCAAAATTATTAAATTGTAATAATTGACGTTGATCAAATTGTGGCAGTTGACCAAAATTCATCATTCCATTGAACAGTAATGGGTTTGGTGGCAGCCCCGGTTGATGATGTTGTAAATGATGTTGTGGAAGATTAAGGTGTTGCTGTTGTTGCTGTTGATGATGTTGGTGTTGTTGACCAGGATCATAAAATATGACTTTCCCTTTGAAGTTTGGTTTATGAGTCAACACTGTTTGTGCAACATAATAAGTTGCAATATGAATAGAATCAGCTACACCTGCTATTGTTAGACAACGATCTGTAGAAAATGGCATTGAATGACTACTTGCATTCAATTTAGCTGCTGAATTTTCTTCAATTTCTTTGAATTTACCACCTTGTTTACCAATAACATAACCAATAACTTGATGTGGTATGAGTAATTGTAATGCAAAATGATGTGAATCAACAGTTGATGGAACGTTTTCCTCTTCATCTAATATAGCTCTTGTCATTAAACCAAAAGCTTTAGCAACATTCTCTGCAGGACCTCTAACATGGATAACACGTTCAGTAACACCACGAATATTCTCACTAACGTTTATTCTAGTTCCTGATACTTCTTTAATATGACTAATCTTTTCACCACCTTTTCCTACAACTAATGCGGCTTCTTTAACTTGACACAACATTCTAAAATGAACATAAGTAGGATCACCATCTTGATGAACTTTATGACTAGAAATGGCCCTTGAACCTTCGGATGACTCGCCTCCAACAGCAGCAGCAATAGCGGAGTTGATATCGTTATTCTCTTGATTGTCTTCTGTTTTGATCATATCATGATCTTGTGCACCGTCTTCATCCTGTGCCTCAACAACTTCAGCGTCCAGCGCGACTCTCTTGATCCCAGAGTTTGACTGGTCCACAGCATTGACCTCTTCGTTCTTTCGCTTGAGCATGGCTTTCCTCTTTGAATAGCAGATATTATGTGATTGATAGCAAACAGCTGAAGTCTGATAGATGTGAAAGTTCAGTGTTTTGTTGAATCGCGTGTACTTTGAATTTTGTGCCTTGATTTAATTTACAATTTACCATTTGAAGGAAAAATTCGCGGTCTGTGATGGCGATTTTGAAATAACTTTTGTTTATCAACAAGTTGAATGGTTTGGAAACAGGTGAAAGCAAAGGATATTATGAGTCAAGAAGAAGCTGAGAGAGACAAACAGGAAGAAGAGTACATTGAAGAGGAAGACGAGGATTTCGATCCAGAAAACGGTGAGTTTTTACGACAATTATCAAGTTGAATATTACTAATTTCTATATAAAGCTCAAGATGATAACTTTTCCAGTGATGATAATGAAGAAGATGAGAAAGTAAGAAAGCCTGTGAAAGGATCTAAAAAGGGTGCTAAAGGACAAGTGAATGATGATGGTTTGGATTATGAGAAAGAAGTTAAAAGTGCAAATTATAGTAGAATAGAAAGTTCGGAAGGTGGATTAATTAAAACAAGAACTCAAAGAGCCCAGGAAGAATTACAATCAAAACAATATAAAGATGTGAATAATGTTCAAAGCTCAGTTGATGTAAATGATCTTTGGAAGCAATTACAAGAACAATCACAGGCAAGATTGAAAAATCGTTATAGTTCATCATCTCCATCACCTTCATCTGATAATATTCAACCATTAAATTCAAATGAACAAATCAAGATTAAAAGAAAATATGAATTTGCAGGTGAGATTGTTACAGAAGAGAAATTGGTAAATAAAGATTCTGCAGAAGCTAGAGAATATTTAAATTCAATTAAAAATAATCCAAAATCTGAAATTGAAACTAAAAATGGTTCTAAAGATTCTAAAGATGGAAAAGAATTAAAACAACATGATGGACCAAGATTAAGAATCAAAAGGAAAAGACCACCGTTATTAGAAGGTATAATAAGTGGTGCTATAAAACCAAAATTCAATACATTAGAAAAATCCAAATTAGATTTTGCACAATTTGTTGATAAAGAAGGTATTGATGATGAATTAAGACAACATAATAAAGATGGTTATTTAGAAAGACAAGATTTCTTGAGTAGAGTGGAATTTTTCAAAGATAATCAAATTAAAGAAATTAGAAAAAAGGAGTTGGCTAATAAACAATAGAACTGACTGGTCCTTCATCAAATCATTCGCCATTATATATAAATCTTTACGACCGTTATGAAATAGATGTATTAAAATATGTATAATTTTTTCATTATAAACTTAATTTAGCAAGTTTCAATATATATATATATAGCAATTATAAACTTATGACCAATATATATATTGAGTTTCCAAATTAATCATTCAATAGCTAATTAATATAATCTGACAAATTTTCATCCTCTGGTTGATCCAAGCCAAGATCATACCTGAGGTGCCTCAATACATAAAAATCATGTCTTTTGAGCTCCCTTTGCCAATCGATATTATCTGCATTATCCGAAAGAATCCTCGATCGGTTAAAATCCATCAATATAATCTCTCCTGTATCTTTAGTTTTTGAAACATTTTCCAAGCGAATATCTCCATGAGAAATACCTAATGAATGCAATTTCTTGACTACTGGGATTAAACCACCACTAACATCAGCTTCATTTTCCAATGACACCAAATTATCTAAATATTCAAATGCAGCAAATGATCCCAATTCAGGCGCAGACCATTTGTTCTCATCAATAATGACACCTGAAGTGATGAATAAAGGAACCTTCAAGCATTCATCAGGCTTGTTATTCATGAGCTTCTCATTGTTATAATACCTAACAATTTTATTCACATTCACTTCATCATGAACATTGTGGTTTAAAAACTTTTGAGTATATTTTTTAGCACGTTTGAATGAGAAAAACTCATCTTCTTCGTGATCTATTAGCTGTTCCATCATATCATCTTTTATGTACACTTTAATCAAAATTTTTGAATCTGGCTTTTGGGTTATCAATTGTTGCAAGTGATCTTTATCATCTTCATATATATAGTTCATTATTAAATCATGAAAGTCTTTGCAATTAACTAGATAAAGTGTACTAAGTGATGGGTGATCAAGTTTATTGAGTTTTGTAACCTTATTATACCCTATAACTGGTTCATGAAAATAACTATTAAAAATATCCCTTGATGTAGGCGCATCGGTTCTAGATGCAGTACCAGCTGAATGAATACCACTTTGACGGGACATAGCTTGACTCATGTTTGAGCTTGGTGGTACATCTCTAGATTCTGAATGACTAGATGTTGACGAATGAGAGCTATCACTAACATTATCACTAAACTCATCAACGAAGTTACGTCTCAAAATTTGCCAAAATGAATCATCAGTACTATCATCTTCATGACCAAATAATGCAGCTCTTGCAATGAAAATAGCAAATAATAGTGTTGACTCCACCCTATTTAACTGGTTGAGAGTCTGGTGACCTTGATTCCTTGGAGCTTTCAAAAACCTATCATTTGATATTATACAATCTAATGTTACTGATTTAGTCTCCAAGATACTTTTGAGATCATTCTTCTCTTTTGGAATACAATAAAAGAAACTATATTCATTATCAGTGATTACTCCAAAACGTAGTTTCAATGAAATTGAGTATTTAAATGCTTGGGTGGATATTTTCTTAAATTTTGATGAAGTTTTGATAAATTTATCCATTTTCATTTGGCTCGAGGAACTTTCTCTAAACACACGTGGTTTCTTTGATTCAATCAACATAATAGGAGATGTAACTGGAGAGTTAATAGCAGCGCTGATATGATTGAAGAGTAGCACAATGTCAATCCTTTTGTTATTTGGAGTAGTAAATTCAAATGCTGGGTGACTTTGCCCAATACTCTGTTTGACTGATATGTTTGTACTATTGTTGATCATGAGAGCCCTTTTATTTGTATCTTTTTCAGTAGCAAAATTCAACAACTTCAGTACTGGTGCTACTACATCATTGTAATAGCTTAAACTATGTTTGTATTCAGGATCCGTGGTATGATCAGCAAAATGTTGTCCATTAAAAGCATCACTTAGTAGATTGTTATAAAATTCAAGCATCACTTCCAAACCATATCCATCCGCTGTACTAGGTTCTAGCAACTCATCTAATTTAATTTCTAATTTATCAACTTCACCATCAATCCATTCAGTTGGTAATTCATCATATTGAAAATTTATACTATCATTGGTATTACCTGTAGAAATGGACCGCTTCATGCCTAAACCTTTTTGAGATAAATATGTATCTGGCGGATCGAGAGATTCAGCAGCATTTCTTAGCATAAAACTTCTCTCGTCATTATTGGGAATTGGCCTGTAGTTATTTGAAGTATTAGCATGATCATCTGTGAGTTTATTTTGATTCTCCAAAGTTAAGTCAATTTCTGTATGAAGCACTTTAGTTGAACATAAAGATTTTGGGAATACAAAGAGCATCTTGTATATTTTAGCGAACAATTTTTGATCTAAGCATGCATTTCCGAACTGGGTTTTAAGGATCCATTCTCTTATCCTTTCTTTGCTGGTTAGATAAGAAGCTAACACTTGTATTAGACTTAGATTTATGATAATTGGATGAAAAGGATTCCGAGTTACTTGAAATATCTTCCAAAACCTTGTATTTCGAATTGTTTTAGTCAATAATTCTTCATCCACATTCTTCAATATTGCTTCTTTGTGGTCATCAAAATATCTTTGAGCATCAAGAATCGACATTGGTTTTAGTATAATTCGTTCTTTGATACTTTGGTACTCGGCTTGTAAACCGGTACTGGGATCATCTGGAATGAAAGGAATGTATGAAGGTGGAAATATTGAGTTCATGATACTCTCAAAATTATCATAATTTGTCGAAGACATATCGAGCTGCATTGATCTTTTATAACCGTAATCTATATATATACAATTATGATCATGATTAAATTAGGATATATCGTTCCCTGAATTTTTAATATTTAATATATAATTATATAAGCTGATCATTGCATGCAAATTTAAAAATAATAAAATTCTCAAATAAAATTCTCAAATTTAATTCGCGAATTTATTTGCGCTTATATATATATTAGATTTATATATATTATAATAAATTAATATAATCATTATAATCAAACCAGCAGCTCACATGTGTGAAGCTATATTAAATATTATATAATAGTTATTATATATATTAATTACAGCTAGCGCCCTGCTAATTATAATATATAATATAATATATATATATATATTATATATATAATAGCTATATTGTATATACATATGTGATCATATAATTAGCGAAAAGTTCTAGCAAACAGCTATATAACTGCAGCAGAGCTGCAGCTATAAGAATTAAATAATTAGCGCTGCTGCAGTATACTATCAGAAGCGCTATATAGCTGTGTAATTACTAGCTTCGAATATAATCCGATCACTTTAGATACAATATTCGCTTAATTTGACTTCCCACATGTATATATACAGGACGATCTTCATGTTTTCAACTTTCAAGTACTACAATTATTTCCAATATTCTATCTAGAAGTAATAAATTATATCATATCTAAATTTTTATTAAAATTATCAAGACTATATGTAAGTCATTAATGTATATATATACATTATCCTAGAATATTGATCACCATATTATTGCTCTAAATCAAAACTTGGGTATTCCAAACATTGTGCTCGATACCTGTCTTATAATGTACCAATAAACAACACTCTCTATAAATGAGGAACACCAAGTGAGGTCAATGTCATATTAACGATACTGAAAACACCTTCACCTAAAACTAATCCAGAACTGAAAACAATCATTGCAGTCTTACCTTCATGACAATGTTTACATTTCTTCATCCAAATATAAGCAATAACACCACCCAAAAATCTTGCAATTGTAAAAGATGGAGTATTATAAATACCCACACCAACTGCAACACCTGAAGGTAACCAAACTAATTTATCTTGAACACTTGGATTATTCTTGAATACATTTTTAATCAATGAAATTATACCAAATATTAACCCAAATAATAAAGAAAATTCAAATGCATATGGTGGTAAACCTTCACCTGTAACTAATCTTGAACAATCAATCCAAATAACAGCAGTTGGAATTCTGAAAATTTTACTTGGAATTTCATAAACTAAATTATAAATCTTGTACATCACAGCACTAAGGAAAATTGACCATACAGTTCCAATCAATTGAGCAATAAATTGAGCTCTTGGTGAAGCACCTAATAAATGTCCAGTTTTTAAATCTTGCATTAAATCACCAGCTTGTTGAGCACCAGCTTCTGCTATAGCACCAGCGACTAAATTAACTAAAACTGAACCTGGATGATCCTTTGGGATGATTAATGCAAAGATTAATTGTGATAATTTACCAATTCCACTAACTGGATTTAAATCAGTTTCACCTAATGCTCTAACCCCCAAAACTGATAAAAATAATGCTAATATTATTGCAATGATTGATGAATAAATAGGTACGATTTTGGTACCAAATAAATAAGTCATTGAAGAAATACAAAGTATTGAGGATCCTAATAATCCCCAAACCACAGTATTGGTATGAATTAAATGTTGTGGATCAGCTTCATTATCATCATAACTTCCAGTAGCACTTATTGGATTCCCATTTTTATTTAATCTTGTAGTTGCATTATAACTAGTTATTGATTTTTGATAAAAATTCCAAATTGATTTTATTGTAACAACCAAAAATGCCACTACACTATCACTAACCATCACTGCTAAACTAATCCATAAGATCCAACCTTGGGCACCAGTTTTCCAATCATCAATTTCACCAGGTGCCCAACCTAAATTTTTTGATAATGGTGCTAAGATACCCCAACCCAAGAAGGCACCAAATAACATGTATGAAACAGTTGGTAATCCCATTATAATACCTTGTCCAATATAAGCAGGTGATGGTTGAAAAGTCCATAAGTAATCATTTGCTAAAAAAGAACCAAAAATTGGTAAATTTCTTAAAATTGGTATGAAATATGATGTTATTGTATATAATGAAGATATTGAAAATGTATAAATTAATGATGTAATGTTTTCACTATAAGAATCTTGGTCTTGATTATTTGGTTTTATTAGAGAGCTATCTAATAATGGTGAAGATTCCGAAACAGGTTCTTCAACTTGTTCTTGATGATTTGAATTTATTGAAGATTCTTCATTTGAATTTGATTCTTCATCAGTTTCAATTAACAATTCATTATAATCACCATTTGCTCTTGCATTATTTGTATCTTCATGACGAATTTCACTATTATTTAAAACAGAAATCAAGGTAGCAGTTGCACTACCTGATGGGAATGGTAATTTTTCCTTAATAACAACTTGTTTTCTTAAAGGAATTGCAAAAAAAATTCCAAAAAAAGCTAAACCAGTTGACCAAATTATCAAATCTATTGTTGAAAATTTAACTAATTCACCTGTACCTGATTCATCAGATCTTAAGAATTTTTCAATAGCAGGTATAACACCAACAAATCCATAAGCTAAAGGACCAGTCCCCACAGCAACTGATATACTTTGAATAAATACATTTTCCACATCTGTGAATTTATAAGATAAATATGGTTTTAATTGTTTGAAAATAGCATATGCTAAAAGTGCAGATGGTAAAGACATCATTGAAATCCAACCTGTTTGGAAAGCAAAGAAGAAATTTGATATTAGAACTATACTACCGATGAATAAACCTGTAATTATGGCTCTTGGAGTGACTTGCCTTATATCAGCTTTTGAAGCAAAGACATCTGAATCTGGTGGAAGTTCTATTGCTGGTGTAGTCATTATGATTGTATTGTATTGTATTGTATGGAGTCTCTTGACTAGTTTACTCTTGATGTTTATATTACCTGACGGACTTGTATCTTTAATACCTTCTGATTATGAGATAAGATACAATTTGATCTCAACACTGAGCAACCCAACAACCCAGTAACAGATCAAGAATAGACAGACCTTAACAATAATGGAATATATGATTCAGATACTCTAGTTCATCAACGGAAGAAACAATGCTTTCAAATCTTTTATCAGTGTTCGATCTGATTGCAAACTATGGCTCATCAGATTAGTAATTTTCATTTTCCCAGCCTATGAATTTGCAAAGGTGAAAAAGACCCGAACGGGAAGCACGACCGAAATACGAAATACCTCATATCTACAGACTACAATCACAAAAGCATCAACAAAATAAAATACATTACTAATAGGCCAAAGCCCATGGTCTAATCTTCTTCTCCAAATAATATATAGTTCAAGATATCACTTAATGTTACAACACCAACTAATTTCCCTTCTTCATCAACAACAAATAATCTATGTAATCTTGATTTTCTAATATTATCCAATATAGTGGCTAAATTATCATTTAATGTACATGTATAAACACCTTCAAAATCATCAGATCTTCTCATCAATGCTTCTCCTACACTTAATGATAAATCATTATAAATCCCACCTTTAATCAGTCCCAAGACATCAACAGCTTCATAAACATTAATTAACTTTTCTTGTTCATCAACAATTGGTATAGAACTAACTGAATTATGTGATAATAATTGAATAACATCAATAACTGGTGTATCCATAGTTGCTGTAGAAATTTCTTTATCAGTATTTGCAATTTTTAAATTTTTTAATGATTCTAATAACATTAAAGTTTCTTTACAATTTAATGAAACAAATTTTAATATACGATATTGTGTCAAGACACTAACAACAATTTCTCTATGAGTATCTTCATCTTCATCAATTAATGGGATTCTTCTTGATCTTGCTTCAACCATCTTAACACATGCTTCATATAAAGGTTTAAAAGGATGTATAGAACCAGTATCAATAGGTTCTACCCCTATAGCTTTTTCAACATCTTTTAAGTCATTTAAAGTTAAACGATCAACAAATTCAAATTGATCAGGATTTTGTTTATAATATTGTATTACATTTATAAAATCTTGTGAATTTAATAAACCAGCAAATCTTGAAGTTTTTGGATTCCATAAAGGAGCTGAAACAATATTATTTTGCAGTAATATAGTTAATGATTTTTTAATTAATAATGAAGTATCCAAAACAACTAATCTATATGAAACTGGTAAAACATCATAAGAAGTTTTAGATTTTAAAAATTGTCTAATTGCTTGAACACCAGCTTTTTGATCATTTCTAATCTTGTTTGAGTCTGGAGTGGTTGATTCTGTTCCAATGTGTGTTGATTGAAGTCTACTTTCAATTGATGGTATACCAGACATGATTATACTATGTTATATTGGTGATGTTGTTGTTGTTGATGTTGATGATGTTGTTATTATAAATATCTAAACCCCCAGTCTAAAGTCAATAATATTAATGAAGCCTGATAGAACGTAATGCACCACTTCCACCGTGATAATAATAGCTTAATGAATTGAAATAAAAAGATCCTGTCTTTAATCTACTGTTTCCTATTCCCAATATGTCACTGGTGTAATCCATATTCAAAAATGGAGTTTTTTGTCTCGTTGTTAAATCGCGCCCACGTACAAACCCTAAAACAACACTACAAACTACAAAAACTCACGTACAAATACACACGAAATGAACAAATATTTATTACTAACAAACACCAATAATCTATCAAACCATCAATCAATCACCACCATCACTTCCTCTTCAAATCACCCATTCAAACCTATCAAACACCTTCAATTCCTACCCCTAATAAACCCCAAAATTCCCCAATTTACCCTGTCTTCTCTTCTCCCAAATTTTCACTTTTTTTTGCCATCCCGCGAATTTCAAAATTTCTATAAAAGGATCAAATCCCCATTAAATTTTTTCTTCAAAAAAAATTATTTTCTATGGTTTTAGTTCTTTAAATCTCTTTGCCTTTTGGCTTAGATCAAGTGTAGTATCTGTTCTTTTCAGTGTAACAACTGAAATGTTCTCATTGAGAACTTTTAAATGTTACCTTTATTTTTGGAATATGGTGAAGGAATTGTATTATGGGCTTGCTCATAAATTCCTACACATTGGGGTCGTTGCTCTTGCACTGCAAGCTTCTGACCCAAACCCCCTTTTTAAAATTTATTTCAATGAGTTCATTGATTTGTTTTAAAAAGAAACACTACTGACTACAAACAACATTATATTGATTCAAATGCAAATTTTATTTATTATATGTTTATATATGGTATAGGAATTATTAGGGTATAGATCACATGCAAAGAGTATATTCATATACATCATTATATAACACATCAAAATGGTTATCTTATTGTCATGATTTTAGACATGTTTTTACCATTGGCAATTGTACTTGATTGTTCTAATTTTTTAGTATTATTGAACACTTTAAAAAATTTTAAATTTTCATCACCACCAACAGTTGCTAATATTGATCCATCTGGTGATATATTACCAGATATAATTCTAGAATCATGTGCATTTTCAATTTCTGCAACTTTAATCTTGTAATCATATGAATAAACACTAATACAATTATTTGGATAACCTCCAGTGGCAACAATTTCATTACCAAATGATGTTGATGACCCCCAATGTAATGATGATATTTGTGATCCTGTATAAATTGTATTAACTCTTGCACCTGTAGTTGTATTCCAAAAATGAATTTGTTTATCTGATGATCCTCCACCTGTTGCTAATAATGAATTCATTTCTGGATGCCATGCTAATGCTTTAACTGCTGCTGTATGTGTGGTTTTGGTAAATTGAGGTATTGAACTTCTTGAATCCCATATACAAACCGTATTATCATTTGATCCTGATGCAAATTGTGATCCATCTTTCCTATATTCTAATCCACAAATTTCCCCAACATGATTTTTCAGTACATCTGTTATATGATTCTTGATACGAACATCATTTATAAAAATTTCACCTGATTTGGCACCTGCTGAAACTAAATGATTTGACCAAGATTGTGCACCAATTCTAATACCTGCTTGAGTTTTCATTGTTCTTAATTTAGAACTTGTTTCAATATCCCAAATTTCTATTGAACCATCATCTTTACCAATAGATAAATATGAAGAATCTTCTGACCATCTAACTGATGATATACCAAAATCACATTCTGTTAATAATGCAACTTCACCACTTGATGCATTCCAAATATAACATGAATTATCTAATGCAATAGCTAAATAATTATCACTTGACCAAGTTATTAAATTTAAATAAAAATCATCAATAAAACCTGGTGCATCTAAAACTCTTTCAGGGTTGGAAGAAATTTTTCTTGATCTTATAGGATCAATTGTTGATTTAACACTTCTTGAATTTTTATTAAATTGAGAATTTTGATTTAATTGAACACAATGTTTACTTTGTGGAGGTAATGGTTGATATTGTAAAATTCTTTGACCAACTTCTAATCCACAAGCATCTGCAACTGATTGTTTATAAATGATTTGTGATCTTGCTTTAATATGTGCTGATGGGGAAGCATTTGGTGGAGGTAATGAATCATTTTGTGAAACTCTATTATTTGATGATGAATATCTTGAAGGAATAAAACGATCAGTTTTAGTTAGATTATTTGATGTAAATGATGGATTTTTCTTTAAATTATTATGAATTGTAGAATTATCCCAATCTGAATGAACAACATTTAATCTTGTTGGTGAAGTTAATGATAAAGTTGAATTTGATTTTTCTCTTATAGGTGATTGATATGATAAATTTGTTCTACTTGGATTACTTGATAATCTTGGTGGTGAATCAAAAACTGAAGTCATATTGAAGAGGTTGTATTTGTTAAAAGTAATATAAGGTCCAGCCTTTAAAATATTTCTTTATTATGTATAGTTTGAAGTTGATCTAATAAAAGCAAATTTGATTTATAACTTTCAGGACCTGCCCGATTTGTAAGTTCTAAATGGATAGACAAATTGGGAGCTAATATAATAATAAAGAATGGAAAGGAAGGATTGGAACCAGTATAATACCTTAATGAATGAATGGAGATATTATATCAAATGAGTATGAATCTTTGTTAATGATGTTCAACTTTGTTTTTATGAAAAGCAAATTTGCTTTTTGTAAACTAATATTTTCTAAAAGAAATTCCAATCCCTCGATTCAGAGCCTCATAATTTTTGAAACCCTGGATATCAATTTTTTTACCATGGAGTTTTGCATTTCTGAATATTTGGTTTTGTGATGTTTATAATTTACCAAATTCGGTAAAGTAATTATGATCTTGGTGTGTCGCTAAACAAAAAAATGAAATGTGATTAGGTAAGTATTGTGTAATCAATATAAGTAGAAATTAATTGATATCATTGAATACTACATTTAAAGAACTTGAATTGAGTAGTATTTCTAGTAAACGTATATCACCAGGAAATTCATGAATATATTACACATCTATCTACCAAAAAGGCCACTAATCATACCTCCATATCACCTCCATCATTGTACAACTTTTTTCAAATCTTCAAATTTTTGTTGTAAAACAATTTTTCTTTCCTCCACAGTATCAATAATATTCTTTAACTTTGAAAGTGGTATTGAGATATCTTCAGTAGTTATAGTATTTCTTTCAATTAATTTTAAAGGATCACAAGTGATTTTTAAACTTATTGAAAATCTCTTCAAAATTGAAACAATATCATTCATAGTTAATTCATTGATTTTTAAAATATCTATATCTTGAGGTGTCAAAGTTGTTGATATCCCTTCAAGAGTAGTTATAAGATCATCCAACAAGATCAATTGAGCAAAATCTGTAATTTCATTAAAAACAGTCAAGATTTCATTTTTATTAGTTATAGTTTCTTGAGAATTTATAAAATTTAAATGATTTTGTAAATTATTTAATTTTAAAATATCTTGATCCATTGATTCTTTAATCCATTGAATATCATCCCTAAGTGTCTTATGAGTTAGTTTTGATGATAATTTTGAATAATTTGATGTTATTAAAGTTATGAATTTGAAAGAATTGAAAATTAATGGATATATTTCTAATGTTATTGCTCGTAAGATATCAATACCTGGATCTGAATTAGATGGTGGTAATTGTGACATGGTTAATTAAATTTATGAGGGAAGTGAATTGATTGTTTTATAGATCTTGAAGCTTTGGTAGAAGCTGAGATTTGGTTGACTATTTGTATTGTTGAATCTTTGAATTTTCACTTCGATATAGATTCGCGGTTTAAACGTCATAGATTTGACGTGATGAACTAACCAATTAAACACTACAAGTATATTAATCCAACTTCATAAATCATAACATTAACTTTTAATCTAAACAATTATACTTTGAGTCTATATTTGATTCAAATTTCACTAAATACAAATCTTTTATTAATCCCCAATTTTTCAATTCTTTCCTCTTTAAAAATTTCATATTTAAATTCATCAAAATTATCACCATGTTTATTATTCTTCAAAGTTTTTCCAATAAATTCATTAAAACATGGAGAATTTTTAATAATATCTTCATTTAAATCTTTTAATAATTCATCTAAGTAATATAAATCTTGAATTAATTCATTATAATGTTGATCATATTCATTAAAATTTATAATCATTATTTCTGTGGTAGGATTTGTTGAAGTGGGACTTATTGACATTTCTGGGGTATTAAATTCAGTTGTTGATTTTGAATTTTGTAATAAACATTGGAATGATGATAATATTGAATTAAATTTTGTGAAAATTTCATTATATTCTTGATATAAATTTAAGATTATTTGGTAATCTTGAAATGATTCATTATGATTAATTGTTAATTTAGAGTTATTTGATATTGATTTTAATACTAGATCACATTTACCCAGTATTGGAAATATCTTTATTTGTAAATTATTAATTAATTTATATAAATCATTTGATTCATTATAATATAATTTTGAAATTTGAATTGTTTTGAGTAAATTTTTAATATAAATAACTTCTAATGATTTTATACAGTTTTCCTTTATGAATAACTCAATATAAATATTAAAAGTATCAATTAAACATTTTTGAATTTTTTCACATTGTGTAAATATTAAATCTGATATAATGTTATGATCTTTTTTTAAACCTTTAATCATTGTACAATATTGTATTATATGGTAATAATGATAGATGATGATTTCTGATCTAAACTTTATCTTAATTAAAACAATAATTAAAGAGTATATAAACCTTTATATAACTCTAAAACTTAAATTTGACTCATTGACTCATATCTTGATATAAACAAATTCTGACACAATTTGCACTTTGCACATAAAACACTTTACTTATAAAACAATTTGACTCATTAACCGAAAAACTTTAAAGTGAAAATTTAAAAAATTCAATTTTCGGTAATTTCGCAAATGATTTCTTAATTCGCAAATAGTGCCAAAAGTGAAAATAATAAAATTATTGCGAAAATGAAAATTGGCACACGAGTTTTAATTTTGTTTTTTGTTTTCAGTGATGATCGAATAAATTTGATTGATATATAGCTGATAGCCTGATACTGTCCAATAAAGTAATCAATATGATTTTATTTAATTTGGTTGCATGATTGACAGTATGTGTTGTACCTTATGAGTTATATAGTCTTGTGAGTATTCATTGGTTAGAACTTAGTACTGTGTAAGTGTTATCTTCTGGCTGCCTTTTTGACTGCTTCATGCTTTGTTAAAATTGACTGCTTTGATAATGCTAGATAACCCCATAGAAGCATGGAAGATGGAAGCATAGGCTATAAACCGTAGTGTGTGGTAATTGTTGTACTGGCACATGGCTGGAGAAACGTTGATGATATTTTAGTAGCATGGCTATTAGCGATGTGCACATGGGTTAATTGATCAGAAGACACGTTGTTGATTGTTGATTGTGTCACATGGCCCATGGGGAGAGATACTTATTCTGCGTGCTCAGTGCTGTCAACACATCAACACCTGTCAAGGTAGGACCATTACACCATTACTACACAAACTTCCATTGATCTATACCATACTCTTATACTATACACAATGGTATCCACTGTCTACTCTCATCAACAGTCCTTCCACCAGTCTTCCTTCCACGCCCTGTACCCTCTGCCCAGACTTCCTCTGCCTAAGAGTCGTGTGCCAGTTCCCTTAAATAAAACTCTTGTGACCTTCTTCTACACGTGGGTACACGTGCCACCAAACACCAAGACAAAAGATAAGTCTTTTCAGCGCTTAAACTCATTTATTAAATACCATGGCACGAGATGCTTTAATTAATATATTATCATGGATTTAAATAAACATTCTATTCCAATTATTCTGTAGTATCTTCATCATAATAATATTCATATCCCATTAACACCAACATGTCTTTGATACCTTCACCTCCTGATTTGAAACCAACAATCATTCAAATGCAAAATAATGATGATGATTTAGATAAAACTCCAAATGTAAATCCAAATGATCCAAAATCTCCATTACAACAAGCTATAAATTCAAATTCATCACAATCATCATCACAATCAAATCCAAATACCAAAAGAAAAAGAAGACGTTCTTCATCTTCATTAATATCACAAAATGAAATTGAAAAAAGAAGAAGAGAACACAAGACAGCTCATTCAATAATTGAAAAAAAAAGAAGAATTAGAATGAATAGAGAATTTGAATCTTTAAAATTCCTTATACCAGCTTGCAGAAATAATTTAACAACTTCAAATAATAATGGTGAAGGAATGTATAAATTAACTATATTACAAGCAACTGTTGATTATATTAAATATTTACATCAAGTTATAAATATTCAAAATGATGAAATTTTAAAATTCAACCCAAATTTTAATGATCAAGAAGATTTAAATTTTGCCAAAATTAATATTAATACTGATCTTTATAGAAATTTAGATAATGATTTTAATTTTAATAAATTATTTGAAGAATTTAATCAATCAAAAGATGATGGTTCATCAAGTGTCAATTCATCATTTCCCAAAAAGACAATAAAAAATCAAGACCTTAGTTCAACTAAATCTCAACAATACTTAGAACCAACAAAATTTGAACCATTACCATCACCATTAATAACACCAGAATTATTCCCAAATCAATCTTCATCATCATCATCAACTCCTTTTGATAATTATAAGACAATAAATCCAAATTTTCAATTCCAATCATCAACAAAATCAACCCAATCAACACCATTAATAACACCAACAACAAAACCAATAACTTCAACCAACACCACCACTTCATCAACTCAATTTCAATTACCAAAGCCTGCTTTATCAAATCATAGTTCAATAAGTTCCACAACTGATTCAAAATTATCAATGATTCAAGAATTTACTTCTTTCCAAACAGATCCGGATCGATTGGAATCTTCAGCTTCTGATGCTTCAAATGTTTTGTTAGCTATGAAAAGAGATCGTGATAGTTCTGTTGCTTCTATAAGGTCACTTTTAAATTGATTTCATATCCTAATACAATACAATTTCAATTTTAATATTCAATTAATACCCATGATTTTTTTGTTTAGTTTTTTTTATTTATATTTATTCCTTTGTTTTGATATGTTTTTTGTTTTATATTCTTTTATATAGTTTAATGTCTTATGATTATATTGTTTTCATGATGTGGAGTTGAAGATATTGTAGATTATGTTTGAATGTTATCAGTTGTCAGCTATCGGTATACAATTTTTTTTCAATGAGCTTCGGGTCTCCAAAATTATACCATATCAACTATTTTCACCTTTTGTTTCAACTTATTTGACTACATATCACCTATAACATACAAATAAAACTACTCCTATGTAAACAAATACTTTACATCATAATATATCAAACCATTTGTTATATATTTATTTATAGAATTAAAACTTAACATATCTGCCATTTTAACTATTGTCTGTCAACGTGTCAATACTTTCTGTGTGTGCCCCATTCCCATTTCTCTCCATAGCCAATTTTGAGATTTTGAGAATTTAAACCCTTTTCATTTTCTATTGCTTAAACGAAGAAACAAATTTAATACAGAATATTTATACGACCATAGTTATATCAACTGATCGTTTAAGAAATCTAATCAAGTCTCAACTTTGCATTATAACACATAGCCATTAGTCATTACAATCATCAGCCACTGATTCTAAAAAAAGACACATAATACATATTCCATATATATAAATCATAATGGGGATCAAAAATTTCTTTAAAGTTAAACCACCATCAGAAGAAGATGTTGATAAAAAAGTTAGAGATGAAATGAATGAATTTGGTATACCCATTAAATCCAGTAAAAAGAAACCACAATTATTTTCTGCTTATAATAATTTTGCAAATGATAAAAGTGAAAAAAAAATTTATGCTCCAAAAGGTTATGAAGATCATGCTTTAAATAATAGAGGTGAAAAAGTTATAATACCAGGTCAACAAGATGGTAATAATGGTCCTTATGATGATGTTCAACCTCAAGGTCAATCTCAAGGTCAAAGTCAAGGTCCTTCAAGTTCAAGTTCAAATCCTTATTCTACATTAAATTCAACAAATAGTTATGGTTCAAATAATTCTAATCCTTATGGTCAATCAACTGCTATTTCATCAAACCCATATGCTCAATCATCCGCTGCATCTTCATCAAACCCATATGCTCAACAATCTGCTGGTTCTTCAAACCCATATGCTTCTCAAAGAGGTCAAAGTTATGATCAAGGTTCAATAAGAAGTTCAAGAACTCAACAAGGTCAATCATATGGTAATAAACCACAACCTAATCCTTATTCATCAAAATCAAGTTTATCAAAACAACAATCTTATGTAGGTAATTCAAATCAAACTGCATTAGATGAAGAAGATTTAAATGAAATTCCTGATAATTCTTCAACAAGACCACCAAGTTATAGACAACAACAAATGGAACATCCAAGAGATCAACAATTTGATTTTGAAGATTTGAATCAAGTCCCTGAAGAAGAAGAAGATTTAAATCAATATGGTGATCAAGAATTAGAACAAGAACAACAATTATCACCTGAAGAATTGGAAGAATTAGAAAAACAAAGACAAGAAGATGAAGAAGTTGAAGGTATTAAAAATCAAATGAGATTTATCAAACAAGATTCAGTGGCTTCAACAAGAAATACTCTTAGAATGGCTCGTGAAGCTGAAGAATCTGGTAAAAATACAATGGGGATGTTGGGTAATCAAAGTGAAACAATGTATAATATTGAAAGAAATTTAGATTTAGCTAAGACTCAAGATAAAATAGCTAAAGAAAAAGTTGCAGAATTAAAACATTATAATAGAAATATTTTAAAACCTTCAGTTCAAAATCCTTTTACAAAATCAAGAAGATTAAGAGAAAAAGAAGAAAAAATTAAAAATGATCGTTTACAATCAAAATTAATTCAAGATCAACAAAGAAGAGAATTATCCCAATCAACAAATCGTATTAAAAATTCATTAAATGATGGTGAAAACCCAGCAGATTCAATAACATCAAAATATAAACGTGAAAAATATTTAAATCAAGCAAAACAATATCAATTTGAAGCAGATTCTGAAGATGATGAAATGGAAAATGAAATTGGTGAAAATGTTGATGAAATTGGTAAAATTGCAGGAAGATTAAAAAAATTAGCAATGAATCAAGGTGAAGAAATTGATAGACAAAATTATAGATTAAGAAATGTTGAAGAAGAAATGAATGATTTAGATATTAATGTTCATCTGAATACAACAAGATTAGCTGGAACAAGATAAATGTTTTTTGTTTTAATATATATATATATATACATTAATGAAATGAGTATTTATAGTTTTTATTTTAATTTTAATATGATTTGACATATTTATGTCTGTTTCTATTTGTAATTAGCTTCTGTAGTATATGATTTTCTGTAGTCGCGGGTATATAGTATAAAATATTCTCATATATATGAAGTTAAAAAATCAACAATCTTAAAACAAACTATGGATTTAATCAATTGAAAGTACTTCATAAGCATCGTATATACTATTATACCTTGATATATTGATCAGGCTATCCGTTATATGTGCTATATTGGTATAATGTCCTCACAAAATGAAGCTGATTTTGACAATCAAATAAACACATTATCTTCACATTCATTTTTTTCTGATACTTCAAGAACAAGTGAATTACAAGATGATTTCCAAAGATCAAAACACAAGATTTCACTTAAACCAATGTCACTTATTGAAGCTAATGAGTATGTTGAAAACAATAGAGAGATTATTATGAATAATGTGGATTCAGAATTAAGAAAGAAGATAAGATCAATAAGGTTTTGGAAGATATTTGATATTAATAAAAATCCATTTATTCCATGTCCAATAATCATCAATATTAGCTTGACTCATGTTTTATGTGATTATTTAACAGATCAATCCAGAGTCAAAGAATTGAATATCAAATCAAGAATCCCAAGCACAAGTATTCCATACATTTACAAGTTGTTGTTTATTATCCCAAGATCATTATCTTATACAAAATTACTACATACCATTGGACCATTGGCTGATGAGAATGAAATCAAACAAAATCTAAGCAATAAGGACCATAAAACTTTAAAATTTAACTTGATTGGGTTCGAAAGTGGATGGTTGAATGATGAAATTGATGCATTAGAGGAAAAATTAGACAAGTTGTTAGAACCAAAAGATGAATACGCTTTAAAAGTACTGGTCACATTTTATAGAGAGTTATTATATGATGTTTTCAAAGGTATGAAAACATCAGATGATACAAATGATCCAAATTATAAGCTTAGTATAAGCTATTTCAATGATGTTGTTGCACCAGTGTTGGAATTGTTCAATTTTGCTAATGAACAAGATACCAATAAGAGGGCTTATATGATTAACAATGCTACAAACATACCAGTAAAACAATTTTCGGGTAAAAGCTACCCAAAGTTTGAAACTAGAACTAAACCTGAAGGTTCAGGAGTTGGTATTTCTATTTTGAATAATCAATTAAATGTTGATCATGTTTTGAATACACCAAGGGTAATTATGAATATTGAATCTGAAAGTCCAAAGCTCTTTAAGGAAACTTCAAATGAACAAATAAATATTGCAAAACTCATTAAAGAATCTTCACAGTTTCAAGAGATTATGAAACAATCGGTAAACCATTCTATATCATTAAAATCATCGTTTGGAGCTATACAGGATTATGAAAATACTTTTTTTTATCTTCTTCCAAAGAAGGATAACTTGAGTCTTGAGGATTCTGAACCATTAAGCTTGAATTTCATGATTTCAAATGATAGCCATCAAGATTCACAATCCTTGAGTCAAATAAACAGAGTTGAATCAAGACTCATGTATGCTATATTCATTTCACAGATTCAACATTTTGATAAACATTCAGATGCTAATGATGACGAACTTTGGAATATTTTGCGTCGCAAATTCGTTGTGAAACCTGAGGGTCCATCAATTGAGAATTTAAAGGTTGAACCTGGCACTACAGTAACTGACACATCAACCGATAATACAGTGGTGATAAACTCTAATGTGGATGATTTTGCAAAAGATTCTAAAACCAATACTACGGAAACTTCTAAGACTTTTCCTGAGCCAGTCGTTAAATATAGTGATATTTTGAAGCTTGAAAAGTTTGATTTCCCTTCACTAAGTAATCTATATCTTGTCGATTGCAATGAATTCCAAAATTTATTCATCAACTACATATATGAAGAGGATAGAGACGATTTAGAACGGTTTGTAAACCAGAACCCTAATTGCAAAATCATAATCAAAGCTTATGTGAAAGATGAGATGATGCAACATCTAATTGATAGAGAAGAATATAGTTATGTCGATGATTCTTATTCGTTTAAAAGTGCTAAAGAATATACTGAAGAGTTTCTAAAATACAATGTTATTAATGAAATAAGAGTAAACTTGATACTAAGGAAATACAATAATGAAAAGCTAAGAAATAAAAAACCTGATGAATGTTTCAATGTTCCATTATTCCTCACATCAGGTGTCATCATTGATGAAAACAATTGGTCTGCACCTGTGGGAACTTTTGTAGCATTCCAATTCTTAGATAATTTGATATCATTGAAAGATGAATCTGATATTAGTGGTGGTTTAATCCCAGTAATCAAGAAATTGCATTCTATGGGTATTTCTCATGGAGACATTCGCTTGGAAAATGTTTCAAAAATCGAAGATAACGGGGAGATTGTTTTGATGGATTTCAATAGATCTGAAGTTCTTTCGGACTATAAAGATGACATCAATTGGCAAAGGGGACTTAAAATGGATGATTTTTCCGTATTAGGGTCTCTCAGATATGATCTAGGCTTGCAACAGCAAGATGATGAAGATTTTTCAGATGTAATTTAATAATTTAAAAATTTGAAAAATTTAAAAGTTTATAGTGATGTGTCTCTAACCGGAATGTCGCGATTTTCTTGAAAATACGTAAATTAACTTCGATTAAATAAACAAACATTGAAATTACATCGAAGACCAAAGTTGTGATTGAATTACGAAGAAATCAACATTTGTTGTTTTTAAATCATCATTTATTCAAATCGGAATGTCTAATAATAATCAAGTACAGCAACAGAATGCTAAGGCGCCAATGTCCCATACTCTTTGGTCGCCGATAGACACAGTTAAAGATGTTGCAGATTCCTTAGGTTTAACAGATTTAAATGATGAAGCTCTGAGAAATTTAGCTATGGATGTTGAATATAGAATTCATGAGATACTGGAACAATCTGTTAAGTTCATGAGACATTCTAAAAGAAAAACATTAACAACTAATGATGTTGAAAAATCATTAAAAGTCTTGAATGTTGAACCTTTATATGGTTATGATGTTTCAAGACCTTTAAATTTCAAAGAAGCTTTAGTTGGTAATGGACAAACTTTATACTATGTTGATGATGAAGAAGTTGATTTTGAAAAATTAATTAATCAACCTTTACCAAAAGTGCCTAGATCTTCAACTTTTACTGCACATTGGTTATCAATTGAGGGTGTTCAACCTGCAATTCCTCAAAATCCTTTAGAATCTGAAATTAGATCTCAACTGCCAGTTTCAAGAGGTGCTATAACAAATGTTTTGAATGGTAATGATGCTGTTACTTCAAATAATACTACTGGATCTAATACAAACGCGGGTTCGACAGGTGTTAGTGCTAAAGATACAGAAATTAAACCTTTAGTAAAACATGTATTATCAAAAGAATTACAATTATATTTTGATAAAGTGATACAAGCATTAACTAATCAAGAAGATAATGAAGAAGTCCTACATTTGAAACAAGCTGCTTTAACTTCATTACGTTCTGATCCTGGGTTACATCAATTAGTTCCATATTTTGTTCAATTTATTTCTGAACAAATCACACATAATTCAAATAATATTGCCTTATTATCAACAATGTTGGAAGTCATTTACTCTTTACTTTCAAATTCAAATATATTTTTGGATCCATATATTCATGCATTAATGCCATGTATCTTAACATTATTATTAGCTAAAAGAATTGGTTCACAAAATGATGATGAACATTTTGCAGTTCGTGATTTTGCTTCAAGTTTATTAGAACATGTTTGTAAACATTATGGGAAGGCTTATACAACTTTAAAACCAAGAGTAACACGTACTTTGTTGAAAACTTTCTTGGATTCAAATAAACCGGTGGGGACTTTATATGGTGCAATTATTGGATTACAAAAATTAGGTGAAGAAGTTGTTAGAATTATTATCTTGGGGAATTTACAAAATTGGTCATTAATTGTTTTACATTCTTTAAAAATTGAAGATAAAAACTTATTAATTGATACAATTATTAAATCTTTAAGAGTATTAGTTAATGATGATTCTAAAAATGAAATGGATGTTGAATTAAGTGATGAAGAAAAATCTAAATTAAAGAAAAGAGTTGGTGAAGAAATTGCAGAATATATAATTAAACAAGATGATAGTAAACAAATTTCAGATGCAATCTTTTTTGGTGATTTAGAAAAATAAGTTTAATTTTACAGAGTTTCAAATATAAATGTTTAATGTTTTAAAGATTCATAACTTCGTAACAATTAAGTAGTATATACAAATGCATCACTTTGAAGGGGCAAACAATCTTCTTCTAGCACCTTTACTCATTGGACTACCCAATAATTGAACATCTTCAGGATTAGCAAAATCTAAAGGTTCACCTGGTCTTCTAACTGATGATCTAATAACAGTTGGGGTCTGTACAACTTTTGGAGTTTTAGCATATTCAATTGGAGAAGAACTTGTAACTTGTGTAGTTATTGTATCTTTTGGTGTAGCTTGATTTAATGAATCAATATACTTGACAGGTTTTTGTGGAGTTGCTTCAACTTGTGAAAATGACATTGATGGTTGTTGTGGTTGAGAAAATGATGTTAATGTATTATGAGAATTTGATTTAAAAGTTGGAAGTTTTTTACCAACTCTATTGAAAATTGATGAATTACGTTTTAATGTATTGGTTTCAGGTTCTGCTGGTATGACAGGTAATGACATATCAACTTGTCTCTTGGATAATTGTGATGCATTGAATGATGTTGTTCTTTTCAAATTTTGTAAATCACTATTACTTCTAGATAATGAAAGTTTCAGCTCTTGAATATCTTCAAGTTTGACGTTTGATGAAGTACGAGACAGGGAAGGTCTCTTGATTTCTGATAATGATCCTGAAGCTGCTGATGACGAAATTGAAGCAGATCTTTTCAATGATGGTTTTTCAGATTTTGATAAAGAAGATGATGATGATGAACTGGATTTTGATTTCGATGTGGTAGATTTTGTTTTGAATGAAGGACCTTTAATCTTTTTCAACATATGTTTTACACTATTTGGACATTTTTTATTGAAAAATGGAATGACGATATATGAAAGGAATTTGGATGTAGAATTATCTGTTGATGAAGATGATGATCCCATTAATACATTCCAAATACATAGTTTATCAATATAAACATCCAAGTTTTGATTATGTGTGAGTTTTTCTAATTTATTATTCTCTGTATTGGCAATTGCACTACCATTTATAGTTGGTGTAATTTTTCTTCTACCAACTAATGATTTTTTAGTTAATGATTTTTTCTTATTTGGTTTCTTGAAAAATTTAACATTATCACGATCATATACATGGATCAATTCAAGAAGTAATAGGATTTGTAAATGTAGTTCTCTAATCTTGAAATTGTTTAAAACGTTTGATAAAGTTTTATTTGTTTCTGTATTTGATGCCGAATGAATATCAAAATCAATCAAGTTTAAGGATTTCTGAATAAAACTTTTCCTATAAATATCTTCTTTCTCGTACAGCAAGTTGGAGTTTAAGATCCCATTATTACTCATTAAATGACGATTATCGAAAAATTCTTGATCTATTATAAATTGTTCCAATATTGATTTATATTCTTCTTTACTTGAACATAGAGTCAATAATCTTGTGAATGTTGATTTGGTGAAAAATGTTAATGGGGTAGTTAATAGATACAAATTGTCAAAATAACGATCTAGGAAATAATCAAATGGGTCTGTTGTAATTTCAGATTCTTCTTGAGGTAAATTTGTTGATTTAACTGGTGAGCCTTCTGTAGGTGGTGTCATTGAAAGTTTTAGATTGTTTTGTTTCTCTTTTGGTAATTGAATTGACCAGTGTCGTATCATATCATTTGATTGCTTTATTGGTTCCATTATTGAATTCTGATTAATATCCATGGGGTCATTGAGATAATTGATGATATAATAATCATGATTTAGATTTGTTAATAATCCATATTGGTCTTTCGAATGGACTGTGAGTTTTACAAGGCTTGTTTCGTTGGATTTCTTCTTCAGCTCTGTACTATTAGACTTGAATACTCGTGATTTATTGTTATTGATCAATTGGTACTTATTTGAAGGTTGTAAATGGTTCACCTTATTGGAAACATCACCAATATTCAACGGTATTGGGCCTAATAACGCGAGAAACAATGGTTCTTCCTGTGCACCACAGCTGATTTTCACCAAACCCCCTGTGGACCCTGTACCACTATCACCATCCTGAGCAGCGTCTGACATGGCTACCTTCTCTAAAGCCTTTGAACTCTGGTCTAGACCTTTCATCTCATGCCATACACAGCTTATAATACGCGTTAATAAAGAGCTAAGAACCGGAATTCAACAGAAATTCTCTCAAATTAATTTTAAATTTTGGCCTCGGAATTCATTTGATTCGGCCAACCAAATTCTTAGAATGGGCATAACTCAATTTCTTAACTTCAAGAATTTGCACAAGTTGGAACTCTACAAGTTACCAGTTTACAAAGAGAACATCACACGCAAAACTACTTTCCACAAAGGACAAGAACTGAGTATTCACATCAATTCACCTCAAAGGAAGCTTTCCAGAGACGCGCAAGATATCACTCAAAAAATAGTCTCAATTCTATCTTAACAAAAAGCGCTCAACACAAGGTTATTTTCTGTTTTTTCCACAAAGTTTAAAAGGTTTCAAAATTGCACAGAAACGTCCACTCTGGAAAAAAAAATCATCAGTCCATATTCAACAAGAAAAGAGTTATCCACTTGTTGTCATTTAGTGAACAACTCATCATAGAAAGATATCTAATCAGATCAACCTACAATTACCACATTGGTGCTCTTTTGTACAAGTTTAAAGTTTAATAACATACAAGGGTAAGAAAAAAAGCTACAGACTTTAAATTTTTGCCTCCTGTATTTCATCAACATATTCAAAAAGACAATAACAAATCAAAGAAAGAAAAGGACATCCATTCCAATTTGATTTCATAAGCTTGATTTATTATTCAGGTTATCATACATTTGCAATCCCGTATTTTCTTGTGTCTTTATTAGAAAGTTCAGTCAATAATTTACAAAAAAAAATCTTGAAGCTTCCTAATCTATTCATATACATATTAAGAAGCAAAAAGACAAGTTCAAAAAAAAAAACTATTGCATTTTAACGCTCATATACATTCATATTTTAGCAACTTTTTTCATCTTTTATCGTTTTTAATTAATTTTCATCATGTCTGTTGAAAACTCACCATCTGCTGCTCAATCAACATCAAATCCTGCTACTGCAACTACCAGATCAGCTAATTCAACAATCACATCAACCACTGTTTCAACTGCCACTTCCGTCAGCTCCACAACCACTCCTTCTTTGACACCTTCTAAACTTCAGCCAGCTCCAGCTCCTCTGGTTAGCGCTTGGGGTAAGAAATCATCAACACCACAATCAGATGCTTCCACCACCACACCAGCATCCAAATCATCACAAAATGGTACACAAAGGGAACAATGGCCAAGTGCTAAAGCTGCTTTAGAATCAGCAGCTACTGCTAGAGAAACATCATTGCCTTCAAGTATACAAACTTCTCCTTCTGCTTCCAAGAGTGCTACTATTTCTGGATCAAAAGTCAAAACTGGTAAAGAAAAATGGGTTCCATTTGAAGCTAATATTGTCTTACCATCCGCCTCAGGGTCTAATAAGAAGAAGAATAATAATAGAAAGAAACAAGGCCAAGGTAAAACACAACAACAACAGCAACAAGGTAAAGGTGGTAAAGATGGGAAATTTAAAAAAACTAATGGTGGTGATTCCAAAGCACAAGGATCCAAATCCACAGCGGCAAGTGATAAAAAGGTTGAAAGCGTTACTAAAGGTGTCGAAGACTTGAAGGTTGGTTCTAAAGTATCACAAAAAGAAAATGGTAATAAAGAACCTTCAGTTCCATTGGATCCTTTAGAAAATAAATCTTCAAACACCACTACACAACAATCAACAACAAAAGCTTCCACACAACAATCAAATGAACATAATCATGTCTCTTCTGAACCATTAGATCAATCGTCATCAACTAAACAAAATGTTCAAAATGAAGGAAGTAGCTCACCATATCAACCTCAACCAGCTCAAAATCAAAACTATCAACACAATCCACAAAGCAATTTTAGAAAGAGATACTCACATCGTAACTCTGAACCATCCAACAATTATAATCAATCATACCAACAAGGCGGTTACAATAACCATAAAGGTGGGAACCGTCGTTACAATCAAGGTCAAAGAGGTAATTTCAACAGTTATAGACATTCTATTGCAGGATCACATTACAACAATGCTTCACCATATTTACTGAATCCAAATGGTATCAATTATGGTTACCTACCCGTTGTCCAACCTCCTTTGAATTATGCTAATAACTTTTATCCAAATCCAAACTCAAGATCGAATTCAGGATCACCTGCTGCAAATGATAATTTGGCTCAATTAAATGGTGTTAACGCTGCTCCAATTGATTTGATTAATAACTATTATTCACCACCAATTGTTTATCAACCATATGAAACACTTACTATTATAAGTAATCAAGTTTCATTCTATTTCTCTATTGAAAATTTAGTGAAAGATATTTTCTTAAGAAAGCAAATGAATTCTAAAGGTTTTGTCCCATTAAAGAAATTAATCAGTTTCAATAGATTAAAATCATTAACTGGTGGTGATATTCAATTATTAAAAAATGCCATTTTACAACTGCCTCATTTGGAACTTGTCAATGATAAAGTTAGAACAACTGATAAATGGGAAAACTGGGTTTTACCATTTGAAAATCGTGATGAAGCTGGTCAAGATGAAGATGAGCAAACAACAACTACTAATTCAGAAGCTTAGGTCTCATGATTTAATCAACTCGACATAGATAAAAGAACAATATGAATTTTCAATGTAACTTAATACAATGACTTAATGCCGGAAGACAATGACTTTGTTTGGATTTTATAAAATTTTGATTTATTATGTTTTCGTCCTTTGTGTGTTGTGAACCTTTTTAATCTTTGATATCATCATTATAATTATAATCATCATAGCTGGCTATAAATGACTGGTTTAGCATTGGGTTTCACAATTCACTCACATTCTTTTTTTTTTTTATTTATTAACTAATACTTTATTTTGTTTTTTTTTTTTCTCAAGTCAATTAACTGTTGTTTTCAGTTAATGCACTTTCACTTATTTTTCTTTTTTATTTTTAATTGATTCATAAGAATCATCATTTGTTTTACCATATAACATGAAAATGTTATAACCTTTCTCAACAATATCCCATTATATGTGTTATAATGAAGGATATTTCATCAAATCTGCTTTTTTAATCTTTATATCTTTTGAGGATATTCGGATATGTTTTTTGCACTTAGATTTTAAAATTTGTCCTGTTTGCTATTGATGTTGATATACTTCTTATTGGCCTATTTAGCATCTATTAATAAAAGTTTTAATCAAATTTAAAAAGTATAGTTGTAGTGGTAACTTTGACAGGCTATAGATAAAGATTTTCGCGAGGCTTTAGATAATAAATTGGCCGCACCAAAAAAATCAAAATGATAATGTTTTAAACGTCTCGAGCATTTAAACAGAGAACAAATCGAAGCAGCAGCCTTTATATACAACAAATTTAAGCTAAATATAAATTTTAAAAAAAAAAGGAGTTCCAAAAAATCAAAAACAGCTACTCTTCTATATTTCTGATATTTGGTGATCATACAACTACTAAATCACAAACCACATCCCACCTTCATTTCATTATACATTACAGAAGAACATAAATTTATAGATGGGTAGCCGATCAAAGTTTTATGATATACCTGGTACACATACACCACATAATCACAATGATTCTACTCCTTTATTAAGACGTCGTCGTGACTCGTCATATTTTAGACGTTCTTCTAAAGGCGGTCTTGAACAACAAACACAACAGCAATCATTAGATGATGATAAAGATGAGATTAATAGTGATAAATTAGGTACTTTTAATGGTGTTTTTGTACCCACAGCTTTAAATGTTTTATCAATTTTAATGTTTCTAAGATTTGGTTTCATCTTGGGACAAATGGGTATATTGGGGTCTTTTTTACTTTTAATCATGTCATATTTTATTGATCTTATGACTACACTTTCAATTTCTGCTATTTCAACAAATGGGACTGTTAGAGGTGGTGGTGCTTATTATATGGTTTCAAGATCATTAGGTCCTGAATTTGGTGGATCTATTGGGCTAGTTTTCTATATTGGACAGGTTTTAAATTCTGGTTTAAATGTTGTTGGTTTTATTGAACCATTATTGGCAAATTTAGGACAGGAAAATGGATTAATGTTTCAACTACTTCCTGAAGGTTATTGGTGGGAATTTCTATATTCTACATCATTATTGTTCATATGTATCTGTGTTGCATTAGTTGGCTCTCAATTAGTGTCTAAAGCTGGATTTTTGTTGTTTTTCTTGTTATTAACTGCAACAATTTCAATTCCAATTTCTGCACTCTTCGTTAAGCCATTCTATGTTCCAGAATTTGATTTATTTTACTCTGGCTTATCATGGAATACTTTTAAAGAAAATTTATACCCACACTTCACAAAAGGTGCAGCTGGTTCATTGTTAAAGGGTAAAGAAACATTTAATGATCTTTTTGGTATCTTTTTCCCTGCTACTGCTGGTATATTCGCTGGTGCAAGTATGTCTGGTGATTTAAGAAAACCATCAAAATCCATTCCAAAAGGTACTTTATGGGGTTTACTTCTAACATTTATTTGTTACGGTTTAGTCATTTTATCTTTAGGTGCAGCGGTCCCAAGAGAATTATTACATAGGGATATTCAAATCATTCAAACAGTTAATCTTTCAAGTGCATTAGTTCTCTTAGGTGAATTTTCAACATCTTTATTTTCTGTCATTGTGGGTATTGTTGGTGCTGCTAATGTTCTACAAGCTATTGCTAAAGATGCTATATTTCCGGGGTTAAATATTTTCAGTAAAGTTGATAAGAACTCAAATAATCCTATCAATGCTATTTTATTCACTTGGTTATTATGTCAATTATGTCTTTTTGCTAATGTTAACCAAATTGCAACATACATTACAATGGCATTTTTGATGACTTTTATTGTTACGAATTTAGCTTGTTTCCTATTGAAAATCGCATCAGCTCCAAATTTTAGACCTTCATTTAGATTTTTTGATTGGCATACAGCATTTGTTGGTGGTATTGCATGTGCTATCGCAATGTTCATTGTTGATGGTATTTCTGCCACTATTGTTGTTATCTTTTTAATTGGATTGTTCTTGTTCATTCATTATATTTGTCCTCCAAAACCTTGGGGTGATGTTTCACAAAGTTTAATTTATCATCAAGTAAGAAAATACTTGTTGAGATTGAGACAAGATAATGTAAAATACTGGAGACCTCAAATTTTATTATTAGTGGATAGTCCTAGAAGTTCATGGAACTTGATTCATTTCTGTAATCATTTGAAGAAAGGTGGTCTTTATATATTAGGCCATGTTATCGTGAGTGAAAGTTTTCAAACCAATTTTTCAGAATTCAAAGAACAACAAAATGCATGGATCAAATTACGTGATTTGAGTAAAATTAAAGCATTTGTTCAAATTGGATTAGGTCCTACTCTACCATGGGGTGTTAGAAATGTGTTTTTAGGATCAGGTCTTGGTGGTATGAAACCTAATATTACAGTTTTAGGGTTCTTTGATATGTTGAAGCATTATCCAAAGACTGATAAACACCTTAAATCACAACAAGGTAAACCACATACGGGACATAATGTTGTTAATATTGAAAGTTTACCAACTGATAAGTGTCGTAATGAGAAAAGAGTCTCAATTCAAAATTGGGTTCAAATATTAGAAGATTTGATTTTGATGCAAGCAAATGTTGCTGTTGCTAAAGGTTTTGAAAATATGGAAATGCCTACAGGAAAACAACATAGATTAAGTTACTACAATAGAGATTTTATTGATTTATATCCAATTCAAATGACCGCTGAAGTTTTTGATAAAAATGGTGAAAAATCAGCATCAACTACAAACTTTGATACATATACTTTGATTCTTCAACTTGGTGCAATTCTAACTACAGTTCCAAATTGGAAAAAAACACATAGATTAAGAATTGTTGTTTTTGTAGAGGATAGGGCTGATACTGATAATGAAAGACAAAGGGTTCAATCATTAATTGAGGTTTTAAGAATTCGTGCAGAAATTCTTGTTGTTTGCTTAGCTGATTTTAAAGTTTATAATACAATTGTTAAAGGAGGAGATGCAAATTTATCACAGATTGATTCAGTCTTAGACAATGAAGATTGGTGGAATGAATTGAAAGGTGCAAGAGAAAATGAACGTCAAACTAGATTTAATATACCTTCAATATCTATTGCAGCACCTTATATTACTGATAATCATGGTTTACAAAACAAAAAATATAAACTTTCTAAACTTCAAAAAATGGGATTATCATTCAGTATGACTACCAATAGATTGTTTAATGAAGATATTCATAGAGCTGCTGCTGATACAGATTCTGAAGATGATTCAGATTATGAAAGTTATACCAGTGAATCAGAATTTGGTAATAACAGTTCAAATTTTGATCAACTGAGAAGAGTCAGAACAGAACAACCATACAAAACACCAAGTGCATCTAATTCTACAACTTCATTGGGAAGTCATCTTAACGTTCCAAAGAAAGGTCAAACTGATCAAGCTAGACATATTGATAGAATGCCATCTTCATCTTCAACATTAAACCTTGCTTTACAATCTGCAAAGAAAAATAAAAGACCAAATTTTTCATCTGAGAAAGTTCCACGTTCAAAAGTCATTGATGATGCTACCGGTGATGAACCTTCTATTGTTGTTTTACCAGATCAAAAACAAAAGAAGGGGAAACATATTCCATATATTCCTAAAGCATCATATAATTCTGGTTCAAATCAAGAGCCAACTTATGGATCAACTAATCTTAAAGAACCAGTTTCTCCCACAACTTACCCAAACGCAATTGAAGATGAAAATGAAGAAGAAGAAGAAGGTCTTGATATTAATAATTTGTCATTCAATGATTTACCGGCCAAAGCACAACATTTGATTTTGAATGATTTAATGAAAACAATTTCAAAAAATGTTCCAGTTATCTTTTCTACTTTACCTGCACCAGTTATCGGGACACACTATAGTGAGGAAGATTGTAAAGAGTATTTGGAAAATTTACAAGTTTGGTGTGATGATTTACCACCAATCTTTTTGATAAATTCTCAATCCATGACTGTTACTACTGCTTTATGATTTATATATAAAGTTGTCGTAACTTCTCTATGCACATATATTAATGAAATATTTTTTTAGACTTTAAATTTGGATCGTAGCTTATCAAATATCACATCAATACCTTTTGGAATGCAAAAGCTAGATAAAAAGCTGCTGCTTCCTTTTCGTCGCCTTCAACACCATAACTACCATCAGATCTTCTCATACCTTCGACCAATCTTGGATTTAATTTTTTAAACCAAGTTGGAATTTCTTCCTTATAAAGATCTAAGAAAGGTTTTTTGTATGTTAATTCAAGACCAAATTCATCAGCTAAAGATCTTAATGATTCAAATGGAACAACATATTCTGGAACATTATCAATGGCATCTTTTAAGAAATAAGTATATCTTTGACCAAAAGCTGGACGAAATTCACCATTACGAGGTGGTTCATTATCGAAAGTCACTGAATAAATAGAATTACCAAATGATTTTTCACCTGGTTGCATTTTAGAAATTCTTTCTTTAATAAAATCTGAACTTGGAATTGTACCAATGAAAATACCACCAGGTCTTAATGAACGAGAAACATTTTCTAATAAGGTTCTAGCCTTCATTTCTGTTTCAAAAGCGTAATGCATACAAAATTGCATAGAGACGATATCCACATCAAGTTGAACATGAGGATGATCATTCAAAATGTATGGTAATGGTTGACCGAAACAATCACCTGTAATGAATGTAGATTGAAAACCAGCTTCATTATTTTTATAACGTTTGATTGCTTCAACAATAGATGCATTTGAAATATCTATACCAATATATTCCGAGATTTTAGCCTGATCCCATTTGTTTATATCACCACCTTTACCACAACCTAAATCCAAAGTTCTCCAACCTGGTTGAGCATAATTACCAATCAAGATGTATTTGATAACATTATTGAAATTTCTCAATTTAATAATTGGCGATAAATTTCTTCTGGAACGTTTAGCTACATAGGCTCTTTGATTATAATGCTGTCTAACAATTTGATCCAAATTTTCATTTCTCCTATTTTGTTCTTCTCTTTCTCTATTATGTTGTTCTTCATATCTTTCTCTTTCTTGTCTTGCTCTATATCTTTGATCATCAACTCCTCCTCTTCCACCGGGTCTTCTAAGTTTTTGAGGTGGACCATCCGTATTAGATTCTGTAGGTGGAGCAGTTATAGGCTCTGAGTTTGCATTATGAACCATGTTGTAATCTTCCACCTTCATCCATGCTGGTCTTTCATTAGGATCTTTAGCAGTCTTTTTGGCCCATGGTGGAGGAGCTGGGGAACCTCGACTTACTGAAGGAGAAGCTGACCTTGTATCACCACCTCTGCGACGGGATGAGAATCCAGATGGTTGAGCAGCTGGTACAGCTCTTTTTCTTATTTTATTAGGATTTTCTGGTGCTTTGTCCTTTGGCTTATCGGATTCTGTTGTTTGATCTTGAGTTTCTGAAGCTGTAGTATCCTTGGTTTCAGCGGATGTGGTTGAGTTTGAGCTTTGAGGCTCTTCAAATTTCGGCAGTTCTTGTTCTTCAGCAGACATTTTCAATTGATTCTTCTTTCAAAGTATCACCCAATTCGTAACAGTGTTGAAATTTGATGACTTTAATAATTTGCTAATGGAAGTTGAGCTCTTTTGATGAAGTACGCGAAAATCATTTGGTGAAGTTTTTCCAAAAAGTAAATTTGCGTCAAAAAAGACCATCGATCGTAGAAACTTCACCAGCATAAAGCAGCTTTTCAGTGGGAAGAACAGCATCTTGTGAGCTTTGGAACTCAGTCAAGAGCCACTGCTTTGGAAAGGTTAGTTTGGACATTTGGAACACAATTTTAACGGTCTTCCAATACTAAAATGAATAGATACAACAACAGCCGCCCTGGAGGATACGGTGCTAGAGGACGTGGAGGGTATAGCAGAGGCTACGAGAACCAGTCCAGATACCAGGATAGAGACAGAGACAGAGCTTGGAACAGGGACAGAGACAGGTATGAGAGAAATATAGGGAGAGAGAACGTCCCTGTGAGACAGGATGTTCAAGTTCAACATGAAGTGAAGACAACAACAGACTCTGAGAAACAGTCACAAAATGGTGAAGCACCCAAAGAGGATCAGGCTAATTCAGATGATGTAAAGAAGCAAGAAAGACTTAAGAAATTACAAGCCTGGAAGAAGAAACAAGAAGAGAGAAAGAAGCAACAAGAAAGTGCCACCAAAACTGCACCATCTGCAGCTATATCGCCTTCACCATCAACAACTGAAATACCCAAAAAGCCATTACTCAAAACAAAAAGTCTGACATCAGCAAAACCTAAAATGAAATTTGGACTTGGTAAAACTACTAAGAAGAACAATCTATTTGCAGATTCTGATGAAGAAAATGACACACCACAGAAACGTTCTGTTTTCATTCCAAAAGCCACTAATGATGATCATGATGATGATAATGATACGCATATGGTAGATGCTGATGATGGACATTACCAAGATCAGGCTAATAAGGCTGATGAAGATGAAGATGATCCATTAGACGCATTCATGAGGAAAATTGAAGGTGTAGAAGAAGATGATGATGATAAACCAAAAACTAAACAAGGTGAAAATGGAGGACCAACTCTGGATGATGAAGATAATAATGATGAAGTAGGCCAGTATGAATTTAATGATGATGATGAAGCAGGTGAATTATTGAGAAAATTGAAAACTAAAAAAAGTAAAAATTTACATATTCCAAAATATAATTTAAAAGAAATGGAAAAATTTCCTAAAAACTTTCTTGTTCAACTTGAATCTATAGATCCTGATGAAGTTATTAATTTTAGAGTTATGAATAACATTTTTATCAATAATAAATCAATTTCACCAGTTATGAATTTCTATCACTTTGGTTTAGATGCACAAACGCTAAACGTTATCAATAATGAACTATCTTTTGATAATCCAACAGCTATTCAATCTCAAACAATTCCAGCAATTATGTCAGGTAAAGATGTTATTGGTATCGGTAGAACTGGTTCTGGTAAAACCATGTGTTTCCTTTTGAGTATGCTAAAGCATATTAAACAACAAAGACCTTTAGCAAATGGTGAAACAGGTCCATTAGGTTTGATCTTGTCTCCAACAAGAGAATTGGCATTACAGATTTTTGATGCTTGTCAAGTTTTTTTGAAAAATACAAATTTAAAAGCAATTTGTTGTACTGGTGGTTCTGAATTAAATAAACAAATTAATGAAATTAAAAAAGGTATAGAAATTGTTGTTGCAACACCTGGACGTTTTATCGATTTATTAACATTAAATAATGGTAAACTTTTGAAAACAGATAGAATAACTTTTGTTACCTTAGATGAAGCTGATAGATTATTTGATTTGGGATTTGAACCACAAATTAATCAAACTATGAAAACTATTCGTCCTGATAAGCAATGTGTTTTATTTTCAGCTACATTCCCTTCAAAATTACAACAATTTGCAGTTAAGATTTTGAAGAAACCAATCATTATTACAGTGGGTAATAAACAAGTTGTTAATGAGACTATTACACAACAAGCTAAATTATTTGATGATGAAAATGATAAATTTAATCACTTGTTGAATCTTTTGGGTAAACAAGGAGACCAAAAAACAATCATATTTTGTGATTCTCAAATTCAAGTAAATTTCATGAATAGAAGATTAGTTGAAAAGGGTTATTCACCAGTTCCTATCCATGCAGGTTTACCATCGCATGAAAGAACTGCAAATTTATCAAATTTTAGAAAACAATCAAATATATTGATTTGTACAGAAGTTTTATCTAGGGGTTTAGATGTTCCAGATGTTAATCTTGTTATATTATATAATGCTGCTAGAACTTTTGCACAATATGTTCATACAACAGGTAGAACTGCAAGAGGTAATACTAAAGGTACAGCAATATCATTATTATCCAAAGGTGAAGATACACAAGCTTATATTTTGTATAAATGTATGGTTGAAGATGAAATTCCAACTGATATTAAAGATTTAGCTATAAGTTTTGAAAAAGAATTGAAAGAAGGTAAAAAGAAAATTAGTAGTGGATTTGGTGGTAAAGGTCTTGATCATCTTGATAAATTAAGAGATGAAACTGAAAAATCTGAACGTAAAAAATATGGTGAAGATGAAACTAAAAAGAATGTTAAAGAAAATGGTAGTGATGACAATGAGTTTAATGGGAATGACAATACAAATGAAGATGATGAAATTGATTCAAGTTCAGATTTGAATTTAGATATTATTTATAATTCAAAAATTGATGGATCAGCACCTGATAGTGGGTTATATAATGCAAGAATTAATATTAATGATTTACCACAAAGTGTTCGTTGGCATGCAACAAATAATGCATCATTATCTAAAATTACTGAAGAAACATCAACTTCTATTACATACAAGGGTCGTTATTATCCAGAAGGTCAACAACCAAAAGAAAATGAAGAAGCAAAATTATATTTATTAGTTGAAGGTTCAAAAGATTATGAAGTTGCAGAAGCTGTTGAGCAATTGAAACAATTATTCATGGGTGGATTAAAATCTAAATCAAATGAACAAAACGGTAAATTCTCTTTATAGAATGGATAATCTCAATATATAAATGTATTTTATTAAATGATATAAATTTCTATAAAACAATAAAACAACTGTATACCATTATATGATAATCATATAATACTTGGAATTAAATTGGAGAAAAACTATGATTCCATATATTATTTTCTCTATAGTAACAAAACAATTTAAGCAACACTAACGATATGAATGCAAACTTTAAACCTAACAATAGTAGGGGTATCTAAATTAATAATGTAAAAAAAACCTGATGGAATGCTTTATATAATCTTATAATGCTGATTACATTCATGATATCATCATAGTACATTCCATATGAACTAAACCTTCTTTTTAAAAAAACCCAAAACTCATCACACGTATATAAATTAAAATTAAAGAAAACAAGGATAAATGTAATTAAAATAACACAGTCAATAAATCAATGAACTATTTGTTTAATCATAAACCAAACCTTTAGTTTGTCTCATCTGTACAACTTTTTCACTTTCTTCTTTGAGATGTTTTTGATTTGATTTTGATCTTTCTTTATCTAATTTTTGACCTAATTGACCTTGATTATTTGACTTTTGTAAATAACGTTCTTCAGCAGCTTTTGCAGCAGCTTCTTTTGGAGTCAGAACATCAATTATAGGTTCAGATCCATTAGTTAATCTATGTCCACTTGTTGTATTTGATCTAGCTGATTTTGTTGATTTTGAACGATTTCTTGGTGATTGTTTTTCTAATCTACTAACATTTGGCATTTGTCTTTCAGTTTCTGCACTAAAACAATTCCCCATTATGACTTGAGTTTAATTTTGAAGTGAACGTAATGATATGATAAATGTAGGACTCTTTAAGCTAAAGAAACAAATAGTCAACCAGAATAGAATCAATATAATCAACTAATTTTCTAACATTTAATTAAATTTTATTTCTTGGTTCTTTTGTGGCCTAACACGGCTCGGTGATTTCAATTTTTGAAAATACATAAGTTTCGGTTTTCATCGCACAAATTTATTTAAAATAACCGTTATTTTAAACGGTTTATACTGAACTATAATTTAGAATTGAAATTTGAAGTTGTACCTACTTTCCACAATTCCACGGCGTTTGGTGGGAAATTGGAAATCCAAGCGGAATTGTAAATCAAATTATTGCGGGAGAATGTTGAAGTAATGGGCATTGAAAGAAGTCTGTTCTCGAAACTTGAACATTCGGCCGTTGATCAATTGAAGCCTCATAAGAATGCATTGTTTTGTTACTTTCAGCTAAAGGGTTTAGTTATATAAAATATTTCAACCTGCTTGGACAATTGATCATTAGTGGTAGTCTGCGAGATCAATGTATAATTAGGTTCTATGTATAACTTTACGAGCACCTGAATACATTTGATTGTAGTCTCTTACATGACGTTGTGTAACACTTTATAATGAATTAACAGATCCTCTGCTTCTTATATGTTATCAATATTAGACAAAAATAAAAGCTAATTTGAAATATACTCTTACTTCAAAGTTGATGCTGGTAGATATTAGGTGTTGATATAATTGTTGGGTCAACTTTTTAATTCATGACAGCATAACAAAATGGATATAGTCGTACATCACTTGAAACAATTTGATTGCACAGCTGAGCTTATAGAATACATAGTATGTTTTTGAGCAGTATCGAACAACTATATTGGTTATTATCTAGATTTTTTGTTGTCTTGATATTAATCTCTTCTATTCATGCATCGACCCACGATGTTAATTAATGTCAAAACAGATCCTAGATAATACTGTAAGTACACCCGCTGCATCCAGTAGTCAGTCAAATCCTAATTCATAGCTATATGAGCAGTACGTCAATATAATTCATAGATCTCAGCTGAGTGAAGCGTTCAATTATTCCATGATGATATCTCACCTTATTATTTGAACATAATTCGCGGACGTAACTTATACCCATAAATTTACTTCATTGCACTAATATTAATATATCACCTAAATTACTTCCGAAGGTAGCTATAAATATAAATTGAATATATATTTTACAGTAAAAAGGTTAAATAGAGACTAGTCTCTTAACTAGACCATTAAAATTTGATATAAACGTTTGTGATCAATTGTTATATACTTTTGTGTAATTAATCACTAGTTCCGAGGGTTGGAAAATAATTTTTATTTAACCGTTCACCAAACCACAAAACCACAAAAAAAACACATTTCCGATGAATTCAATGAGAACCATAAAACTATGAACTTTAAAGTTGAAGTATACATAACGTAGCGTTTATTATGCATCAGCTGTAAACTTTATAACATTAATAGCTTCCTTCTAGCAAAAAGGACCAGCGTAAATTGTGGCACAGGGTTTCATTAAATTTAATTTTACCGACCCTCGGAATTCAAAAGTATTTCTGTCATGATTTGCGGGCAAACCAATAATATAGCTAAAGTAGTAAGTATAACTAGATCTACTGACTTTATATGATATGTATAACGAATATAATTAATCTGTATTATAACTTTATATATAATTCTATTTACATGAATTTCTATGATACAATTTGGTATTAATGGGAATGAAACATAACTTAATAAATCAATAAATAACCTTTTTTTAATTCTATAGCTTAGTAATTTAATAATTTGATGATCTAATTGAATTAAATTGAATTAATTCAACATTTGAATCATCAATATTATCTAAATCTTTGAATAATTTTGAAGTTATAACCCCATTTTGAGAATTTGATTTTAATCTTGAATATTGAGTTAAATCACGACAAAATTCACCATATTTTTTAAAAACTTGAGCAAATAATAAAGGTCTTGATTCAATTTGTGAATTTGCAGTTGCATCTCTAATTGCAGCCCAATCAGCATTTGCTATATATGAACTACCTTCTAAATCACTAAATTTTAATAAATCATACCAACTTTCTAAAATTTCAGATTCTGAAACTTTAACAGACCCAAGAGATTTTAAATAAATTCTTCTTGAAACTTGAGATTTTTTTATATTATAAATATCATAAGCTTGATATAATGAATCAATTGTTGATTTTGTTTTCCAAATACCAATTTTAGAAATAATAATATTGAAAAAAGGTTCATCAATTGGTTTAATATCATTATAAATTGAAATAATTTCTTTTAATTTTAATAACCCATTTGAAGGATCTTGAGAATAATGTTGGAAAAATAAATCAAAAAATGTATTATTTAATGATGATGAAATACCATGATGAATATTTCTACCATAAAATTTTGTAGCAGCAGTCCAATCATTCAAAACATTATCAAAAGTTGAAGGATTTGAATTATATAAATTTTCTAAATATGTCTTAACAGCAGAAACTTGTAAAGTTAAATGATATGGCATTTCTTTATTTATAGCTTTATTAAAGAAAGAATTTGCCACAATTGGATTTTGACAATCACCAATAAAACTTAAATGAGCTTCAATAATATAAGGTAAATTTGATTTATTAACATCATCACATAAAGTTGAAAATAATTCTAAAGCTAAATCATTTTCATTAGCAGCTAAACAAGTTCTAATCATACCAATTGATAAATTTGGATGTAAATTTGAAGTTAATTTTAATGATTGATCAAATAAACTTTTAACATCTTGGAAACTTGAACCAGCTTCATACATTAAAGGTAAAAGCACACCAACAACTTTTGGATTTAAGAAGACATCACGAACAGATTCAACTTGAACACATGATGACCAAACACCAATAGCTTCTTGACTTAAATGTAATTCTTTTAAAGAAGTTAATAAATGCATAGCACCAGTATCATTTATTCTTGAAGTACCATCCAAGATATCATTTGTAATTTCTCTAAGACAATTTTTAACATAAGTTTCCATATCTTTCAAAAAAGATCTTGAATCGTAATCAGGTTTTTTAGCTAATCTTGTTAATTGGAAACGATTTGCTCTTAAACCATTATGTAACAGATGAATTAATTTTGATAAATGATGAGCTTTAAAATCTGGTGTACCTTTTAATTCTTTATATAAAGTGAATCCAGTTTGAGCATTTTCCCAAATAAAAGCTTGACCACCTTTTGTATTGAAAGAAGCAGTTTGATTAACAACATCATCAAAAGCATTTAATTGATTAAACCAAGGAGATTTTGGATCATTACCTTGATTATTTCTTTGATAAGAATTTTTTTTGGAATTTGATTTTTTATTATAAGGTTTATTTGAATCAATAGATGATTGATCTTGATTTTTTAAAGCTGCAACATCTTTAATAGTTTTAGTGAAACTAAAGTTGTTATTATTATTGTTGTTGTTGGTATTATTATTAATTTCTTGAGAAGTTGATCTTTCTAAAGCAATAGAATTAAACCTTATTGAATGATTTAAAGAATTTCTAGCATTTGAAACCACTTGATTTGCAATTCTTGTCTTTAAGACGTTTGATTGAGTAATTCTAAACATGATTGAATAATGAATATATAATTCTTTGAATATTGAATGATATGAATATTATAACCTTTATATATATATATGAAAGTATAGCCCTTTTGTTAAACGAAAGATAAACTTTTTTGTTGGATTTTATATATTCTTTATATCAATTTGAGAACTTAACAATAGTATAACGGTTTACCCAATATTTATAGAAATGAACAGGACACCGATACCAACTCCTGATTAATTTATAATTTCTTTCAGGGCTTTGTGACACAAAAAATAACCTGATGTTTATTAAAATTATGAATCTGATGATGGTTTTACACCGTATGACTTTTAAAAAAATTGGCCACTGAAAAAATAGTTTTTTGTTAGGGCCAGTGCGATGGGTAAACAATAAACAACAAGAAAATGATTGTTATTTGGTTGATGAAGCGTGTTTATTGGGTAATGGATAATATAGTGTTATTCTCCTTGCTTAAAGGATTAAAATGGTGTTTTCAGTGATTTAAAAGTGTTGATTTTGAGTATTTCCATAACACTTTCAATCTTTCAATCAGTCATTTCTTTTAAAATTAAATTTGTGGGTGAACTGAAATTGAAAATTATAAAAATAATTGAAAATAAAAGTGCATTCATCAAGATTCGAATGGGTGTTGATTTTAAAATAAATTAATTTGCCACCCTCCGGATTCGAATGGATGACTATTTCCCCAAAACGTTTTTGAGTTCAACATTTGTTTATACTTTTAAAACTAAACTTTATAACTTTAACTTATACAACACCATTAATTAATGCAAAGATATAGACTAAATCTATACAATACAATCCAATCAACAACCATCAGATCACTCCATAACATGACAAATTTTAATAAAAATCCATATGGTATTAATGATCATAATTCCAAAAAGGAATATGATGAATATATAACCAAAACATTAATTCAAAATGAAGAAAATTTAAATTCATTAACTCATCCAGGTTGTAAACCTCAATTGAAATATGAAGGTATTAATCCAATCCCAGATGCAAAACCTACCACTGATAAAGTTTTCTTTTTTGATATAGATAATTGTTTATATCCAAGATCTACAAAGATTCATGATGTTATGCAAGAATATATTCATGATTATTTTGTTCGTACTTTAAGTATCACAGATGATGAAGCTTATAAATTACACCAAGATTATTATAAGACTTATGGATTAGCTATTCAAGGTTTAGTTAAGTTTCATAAGATTGATGCATTAGAATATAATAGAAAAGTTGATGATGCTTTACCTTTACAAAATATTTTAAAACCTGATTTAAAATTAAGACAATTGATCTTGGACTTGAAAAAAACAGGTAAAATTGATAGATTATGGTTATTTACAAATGCTTATAAAAACCATGCAAAGAGAGTTATTTCATTATTAGGTATTGGTGATTTATTTGATGGATTAACATATTGTGATTATAGTGAAACATCATTAATTTGTAAACCAATGGAGTCAAGTTTCGAGAAGGCAATGAAAGAAGCAAATGTTTCAAATCCACAAAATTGTTATTTTGTTGATGATTCAAATTCAAATATTGAAACTTCTATTAAATTAGGTTTTAAAAAAAATATATTATTATTAGAAACTGATGATGATTTAGTTAAAAGAAAAGTCGAGGGAAGTATTATAATTAAAAATATTTTGGAATTAAGAGATGTTGTACCTGAATTATTCCAGTAAAACATACATAATAAACAAGCTACTTCAATTCAACATGATAGATTCATATATATTCATTATAAATTATATTATTATATTATATTATCACTTTCACTTAATAAAGTAGTTATAAGTAACAACAATGATTTAAAACTAGCTTGATCTGAATTTTTAAAACTTGTTGTAATTTTATTCCTTAATTTATTTAATTCATTATTAATAATTTTTAATTCAGATTTTAATTCTAAATCAATATTTTGATTTGAAAAAATTTTAAATAAACAAATAAATTCTTTACTTAATTCATTATACTGAAAAGAATCAGGGTCTTTATTATTTAAATCAACTAATTTGGATATAATATAATCATATAATATGAATTGAAATTCATTATCATCTGATGTGAATTCAATCTTGATTAATTCTGTAGGATCTTTATAATTCCCCAAAAAGACATTCAAACAAATATTTTTCTTTAATCTTGATAAAACTAAGAAATTTTCATCTAATACTTCAACAAATCTTAAGAATAATTTTAATTCATTAGTTAAATTAAACCAAATTTCCAAGATATTATTAAAATTTAAAATAGTTTTGGGGGATCTAACTTTTTCATTATAATATTTCCATTTTATAATTTGTAATAATAGAGAATTAATCTCTGTGAATTCACCATTAATATAAAATTTCTGATCCATGATTATCAAACCAATGATTTTAATGATTAATTCAAATTTATCAGGGGAATAATCACTTAATAAAACTTTGGAAACTAAGAATTTAAATTTTAAAATTAATAAATTTATAGATTGTAATGTTAACATTGGATTTAATTTTAAATCATTATTTGTAATTTTTTTGTGTGGTAATGCACCACCAATTTTGTTCATAAATTCTTGAATATCTTGAATTGATACATTTTGTTCTAAAGATTTATTAATCTTGGATATTTCTTGTTGAATAATATCAATATTTAATTCATTAAAAATATCAAATTTATTATTTTCATCATCATCATTTGTAAGTAATTGTCGTATTCCTGGTATTAAATCAATTTCTAATGGGATATCATCATCACCTAAAGGTTTTGTATATATTGGTTCTTTCCAAAATTGGAAATCTTTTAAATTTTCAATATTTTTAGATAAATATTCAATATAACCTAAATCATTTTTTGCTTGAGGATTATTTAATTGTGAACAAACCATAGATTCAGGAGTTTCATTATTTAATTCATTTATAGCTTGAGTTTGATCATCCATGTGTAATTTTTGTAAAGAATCTGATTTTTTCAATATATTTAAATTTTCATTATTATTTTTAAGTAAATTTAATTTTGGTTTTGGTGGTAATTTTAATTTTTTATTTTGATTATTTGATTTATTTTCAAAAAAATTTGATCTCTTGTTTGTTAATTTTGCTATTGATTGAGTTTTACCACCTGATAATAAAGTTAAAGGATCTAAATCATTATCACTTTCACTATCATCAATTTCACTTTCATAACCATTCTCTTTACCAACTGATTTCTTAGGTGGTGATGGTGAAGGTGTAACGACTGATTCTTTCATTGTTGTTCTAGGCTTGGTTGCCCTATTTCTCATAATTTCCAGTATGTTACCCATGTTGATGATAGTTTTGTTAGCTAAGTGAAATATAAGTTTAAATTGATCTAATTATTTTCAGTTTATAATATATTTTCAATCGCGTGTGTTATGTAATCAATAAGTTCTTAATAGATTATGATCATATTCTACTCAATTAGTATTATATTATAAGCTATTATCTTATACTATATTATTATTGTCTAGTTGTTACTTTCCTTTCATTTCCATTTGTTTATTGATTAGCCGCTGTGTTCTTTGTTTGTTTGTTTGTTTGTTTGTTTACGCGTACTAAATTAACCGCCGACATACAATTATATAAAGATCATCAAATCCCTGAAATTCAAATTTAATTCAAACTTCTTTTTATATTCAAATATTTTATACATACAAATTACCATTGATAAATTGTCATTTGTTCAGCCTTATGAGATATCGCTTTGTAATTTAGCTTTGTACTCTGGAAACAAATATGTTTTCATTAATCATATAAATAAATTGATTACAATTACTATCATATCATTTAACCATTGATTGAGTATTGTATTGATCAAAATATAATTACCATTTCAAAGTATAAGTACTTATCAATATATAATATACAATATACTTTGTCCTTTTTAAATTGAACTGTAATTCATCTTACACAGTAAACAACTCGATTGGTACTTTATAATAAGGCTTCTGTTTACTAATGCTTATTATTAATTTCCATTACAAGCCGCTCAAGTATTCAATTATCAGCTGTACGTATTATTCAATAATTCGCATGGTAATTAATTATATACAAAATATCGATTATATATCCAATGTTGACTATAGTTATCATAATATAGAGTCAAAACCTTTATAACTCGATAAACAATTTATATAATATTATCTACAAATCAGTTCACATCCTGGTATATGCAAGAAAATGAATAACATCATTTATTGTAAAGAAGATGGATTAATTATGGTTTAAAATTAAATAACCAAATTCCAATAAATATCTAGTAGATGCCCACTGTAGACACGTTTTAATGAAAAGTAATAATATGATCAGCTTTGATTATAATCAATATAATAGCTTATGACTTTTTGATTATTAACAAGTTCATGGACGACATTAATGTGCAAAACATTTATAGTGAATATAAACTTACCATTAATTATAATCTAGTTATAATTCTGCAATATGAAAAATGTCGGTATCACTAGGTACCATCTCTAACCTACAACAGGTTATGAGTAACTAGTTAGATTCAAACAAAGACTTTATGGACACACTAAGAAGACACCTAAAAGGCGATCACTTAGATGTATTTAAACTAGTATATTAAAAGTAAGAAATTTTAAAGATTCATCTTTTTTAGATATGGTCTGATGATCAAGGAAAAATGCTTAGTCATAAGAGACATACTTGCTTAGTAATCAATATAGCTAATTTCAGATTATTTATATATATTAATATTAGTTCTATAGACCATCCATTATATAAATGAGATGCAATGTATTGATTCATATACATTTTTAATTATTTGTATGATTGTGTTTTTATTGGTAATTAGTTAATTATCAAGTTATTAGCCGCTGAATTATATATAAATGTTTACAATTTTATAATTACATGACCACGCACTAAATTAACCGCCAACAATTTTATTATATAAAGCCAGATGAATTCCATGTATATTATTCAATCTATTTCAATTTTCATTAGTATTATACTGACTATCTCATTGGAATGACCTTTGATCATTTATAACAAATAAATCACAATACTCACCATTAGTAATAAGAGTAATTTAATTAATAAGGTTAAGATTATCATCATTATCAAACCAGTAATTATATGATTAGTGGATCCAGGTGTGCATCGGTCTATCTGATTATTTATATTACTATTTAATCAACCAACATGATTACTATACAAATTATGTATCAATTCCTAATTGATCAATTGTATTTTAATATATTATTGAATAACACCAGTTGTATTAACTATGATCATATAGTTTATATATACACTACAATTATTATTATTTAAATTAACCATGTAATTAACATTATTTCTTTATAATCACGCGTACTTAGCGTTAGCCGCCGAGTTGAATTATTATATATAAAGAGATCAAATTCCCCCATTTTTCTAATTCAATTTTAAACATCAATATAATTAACGTTGTGGTTTCCTTCAAGGTGATCTTCATCAACACGGTACAGCACTAGTGCCTTGAATTTTTTCTATGCTTTTTTAATCGGATTGATTCTAACTAAGAGTTTCCAATGTGATTGCATGATGTTGTTATACTCGTTCTATATAAATAAATTGACTAAACAATTACTATCATATCATAGGTCATTATTGATTGAGTATTGTATTAATCAAATATAATCAATTACAAAGTATAAGTATAATGCAATATACAATTTACTTTGTCCCATTTTAAAATAACTTCATGTAGTTTCATATAAATCTAGCTGACTAAAGAATATTACCATATTCAACCCGTATAATCTGGTGGTACGCTATATATACTATTCACAATCAATATGAATCATTAATATATCTACATGAAACAAACACGATCTTAAATCTTCTATGATCGAACATAAATTGTATGAAAAATGACATTTATTTAATTGAAGTAGATGGATATCAATTATAGTTTAAAATTGAATAACCAAATTCAAATAAATATTAGTAGATGTCCATATCTGACAATATTAATTAATTGAAAGTATTTAATTGAAGCTTTGATTCTTTAGCTTACTAACCTTTAAATTATCATAATTTCATGGACATTGATTTGAATATAATGTAGTATATTATGTTGAAAACTTACCATGAAGCTAATTCAAAGGAGGAAGAATTTTTGTGAAATTTATATCAGCTGGGTTTTGTAACGTCATTAAAGAGCGATCTGAATAAGGAATATGGTAAAGAATTAAATCTTCATCAAATTCTGGAAATTATTTGATGCAAAAAATTAAAACTGTATATATTTGAATTCAAATTAAATAAAAGTATGAAATCAATTGATAATATTGATCCTTGACGTTTATATTTCGATCGAAAAAAGAAAAGCTTAGTCATTTGGTACACCCTTGCTTAGTAATATATACAGCTAAGTACACAAATTTAGTTAATTTAAAAGGTTTTAATTGATATTATTGATACAATTATCTCTTACCTCTTCTTTCCTTTTCTGTCATTGTTTATTATAACTAAATTGATTAATTATTCGGTGGTCGATTGATCAATTTAATTTTAATTGTGTACCCAGTACTAAAGTAAATTAATCGCCGATCGTTACAATTATTATATAAAAAGATCAAACCCCCTTGTTTTCATTTCGGTGCGATGCATACTTAAATAGATCAACTTCGACGGATATTCTAAGTAAATGCTTCTGCTAAAGTTAGTAATTATTTAGGTTGTGATCCTCATGAAATTTTGGTAAGGTGTTATTTGTTTTAAGACATCTGATAGTTTTTTCAAAGGTCAAGCGTTATAAATATTTTGATTACATTACTTTCATATCATCATGATCTTAAGGTCACTATTGATTGAGTATTGTATTAATCAAATATAATCAATTCCAAAGTATAAGTTATTAATATACAATTTACTTTGTCCATTTTAAAACAACAGCTTGTAGTCGCAATTGAGTACATGCTACACAGTGAATACCTTATTCACCCCTTTTATGTTTAACTACATGATTTGTTACTTTATCAATCCCCTTCTTTAATTGATATTAATGTTAATGATCACAAGATGTTCTACAAATTATCAGTAAACTTACCGGGCCTCTATTATATAATATGTTGAAAAAAAATGATTAAAACATTTATTCTAACGAAGATGGATTAATTATAGTTTGAAATCAAATAACCAAATTCATATCTAAATGAGTTGCGAGTGATACATGAACATATTTGAATCAAATTAGTAGTCTAATTTAGCTTTTAACATGGCTAATGACTAATTGAATTTGATATACTTTATAATAAGTGCATAGCACGTTAAATAACAATATCGTTATTGAAGAATATGATGTATCAAGTCTATTTCCTGCATAAATCATGTTATTTATTTGGGTTATAAGCAACTAAAAAGAATCTATTTTTTTTAAAATCAATCAAAAAAGAATTAAAAGCCAGCTTCCAGGATATAAAGATTAGTTGATATTAATCAAGGGATTCGTATTTTGATGATCAACAAATTTAAAAATTTTAAAAGCTTAGTCATGTAGTACACTCTTGCTTAGTAATCGCTATACCTTATAACTTATAACTTTGTAATTGTAAATTGTAAAGTCAAAAGTCAAAAGGTTTTAATTATATGAAATCATGAAATAATATAAATCTGTAATGAATGCTATTGGTATGATACTGTGTATTAATATAATATACATACTGTATAGGATGCTAGATGATCTAGATGTAATAGTTTGCCGGTATAGTACTAATCATATTGTATTTATTATCTATATATTATCTATTTATTACTCTTACAAAGTATTACAAGATGTATTAATCTTTTCTATCTATATGTTCTACTTAATTTTTCTATTTTATTCCATTTGTTTACTAAACAATTAGCCGCTCACTATAGTTTCAATTCAATTAGCCGCCGATCCCTAAAATCAATAATTTATAATTTATATAAAGAGGTCAATTTCCCCTGATATTTTAATTTTAAATTCTAATTTAGCACTAAATTTTCATTTAATATTGTTAATCTTTTCAGACTTATAAATTTGTGTTCATCAACAGGATTGTGATATTGAAACGTTCAGTATAAAATCAATAAAACACTGGTGCACTACGTTCACTTGATTTTTTTTTTTGTAAATTGGATATTGGTTTGGCTATTATATCATATAATATATTTATACAAACTATGATTCAATTGATAGTATATTGATCTTGTTGTATTAACAATATCATTGAATATATGAATAATTGTACGTATGATCATTCATATAGTTTATATACACAATTATCATTTACTATTTTAAAATTATATAAATATTGTAGTCGATTATAATCCATATTTGCTACGTTACTATATATTATATATGCAATCTTTAGGACGTACTGGATAAAATTGCATATATGTACTATAAGCTAAAGATCATTCAAGGTATTTAAAATCATATCACATAAATATATATCATTAATCTATATATGTATCTATACCATGTTTAATTATACATTATTCCTTTAATCGATCATAAATTAGCCGCTGAATTATCTATAATATTGTACATTGTTTACGATAAATTAATTATGGCCGATCCCCGATCCCTATAAAATTATTTTATATAAAGAGATCATTTACCCCTGTTTTAAATTTTGAATTCTTTCGATTCAACATTTTAATGCCTGAACTTTTCATACCTTCTCAGATATAACACTTGTTTTGACAGTTTTCTGGTATAATGGAGTATTGTTTTTAAAAAAATTGCAGGATTATAATAAAGTAACGACCGATGGAATTCTACGATGTTATTTGTTCTGATATGGCTGTTAATCTCATTTGATTACATTACTATCATATCATCTCACACGTTGATTGAGTTTTGTATGATTCAAATTTTAAACATTTCCAAAGTATAAATATGATAATATACAAACTACTTTGTCCCATTTTAAATAAATCGTAATAACAAAAGCGCATGCTACTCACCCCTTTAACCTTTTATTTTTAACTTATCTTCACTGATTCATAACATATGTATTCATGATCCCTTCATTTGAGCTAAAATTTGAACAATTATAATAAGAGAACAGGTGATTTACTCAAATACTATATTATAATTAATGAATCACAATATCTAGAAATCAAAAGTACACATCATAATTGGAATTGAATAATAACATTTATTAAAAGAAAATGGATTAATTAATATAGCTTAAAATTAAAAAACCAAATTCAAATAAATATCTTATAGTTGTCCAATTTAGACGTAATTTAATAAAAAGTATATTGATGAAAAGCTTATAACTTATATAACTCCAACTTTTTAATACTAGTTATAATTTCATGGACGTCAAATTAATCTGAATATAAAACTTACCATTATAATTGTTTCTAAAAATTTGAAATTCACTGCTAATTATAATTCACCGGCTTATAAAACAAATACAAAAAGTTTTAATTTACGGTATTTCAATGTCCAATTAAGTCATTCCAAAAGATGAAGACAAGTCAATACATAACAAACCTTCACCAAAAATTATGAATTAGACAAAATATGAGACCGAATATTAAAATGAAATAAGTTGTAGAAGTAAGGAATCTTTATACCCCTTAACTTTCTTTTAAATAATAAAGAAATGCTTAGTCATGTAGTACACTTTTGCTTAGTAATCGCTATACCTAGCTGTAATATATATGAAATAAAAGTATTGAAGATTATAATCAATTAGGTATTCATCTTATGATTTGCATTAAAATATTGCATTTATTATTTAAATTATTTTATTATATGACCTTTTTTTTTCCATCTGACACGTAATTCATATTAATCAAATTTAATTATAGCCGCTGAGTTATGTATGACATGTTTGTAATCGAATTTTGAAATTAACCGCTGAGTTAATGTATAAAAATAATATATAAAGGGATCAAATCCCAGATAATTAATTTAAAATCTTATTATGTATATTGGATACATTATTTTCGTCGATCTGTTTCTTTGATTGGGTTTAAACATCCAAAGGTTAGAATTTGTGTGGAATGTCTTTGAATTCCATCATGCTCTTGATGATAAACTAGATGTGTATCGTTTTGCAAATACCTTCAATGCATAATTTGTTCAGCAAAACATATTTGATTACAATTACTACCATATCATATCATATCACTGATTGATTAAGTATTGTATTATTCAAAGATTATTTCAAAGTATAAGTTAATAATATACAATTTACTTTGTTCCATTTTAAATTGAATTGAGTTGTAATCATAGCGCCCAGTAATATATCATGTAAGAGATCATTTTTTATTAGTATACAACCATTCCCTTCTTTTATAATATAATTTGAAAATATATTTGTATATTGAGCTAATTAGAAGTGACTGATTGATCAAATCTTTCTATGCAATATTAAATTATTAAACAATTAGCCGCTGAGTTAATATATTGCAAATTTACTTAACCGCCGATCAATAAATTTATTATATAAAGAGATCAAATTCTCCTGTTTCAATTCAAAATACTCTAGTGGCAAATTTTTTTGGTGAAAGTACGGCATGTAATATCTGGAAATGTATGGAAGTTTTCATCACATAACTTGAAGATAATAATATTCTTTGAGTGAATTCATATTCTTATTTACCAATTATTAATATGATTTATATATTTATACAAATTATGTATCAATTCATAATTGATCGATTGTATTAATATATCATTGAATTACATTAATTGTATTCTATTAGTTTATATATACAATTATTATATACTATTTTAAAACTAATTGTAATATATAGTAAATAGCTAAGTACAATATATATTGATTAAGATCAATCACAATATCTACAAATGAACAACGTCAACACAACCTCTTGATATGAAAAAATAAGGAATAACATTTATTTTAAAGAAGATGGATTAATTAATTATGGTTAAAAATTAAATTACCAAATTCAAATAAATATCTTAGATATGTCCAGTTCTATAGACATGATTTTAATAAAAGCGTTATATAATCAGTTTTGATACAGCTCATAACGTTTTCAATTATTATAATGATCCATGGACATGTTAATGTGCAATTAAAAATGTAGAAACGAACTTACCATTATGATTAATTATTAGCAAACTTCACATATAAACCCCCAACATATATGATCAAATTCAACACAATTAAAGAATTTGAGCTAACATCAAGAGCTATAGAAAAAATCTCAAAATATTAAAATATATTAAGTTAAAGTAATTTTAAATTAACTAGTTAAGAAATTTTATATGGTGTTGATCAAAAATTAAGGAGAGAAATGCTTAGTCGTGCAACTAACCCCTTGCTTAGTAATCGATATAACTAGCTTTGATTATTTATCTCATTAAGAATAGTTCTATAGACCATCCTTGGTATGAGATATTTAATGGGATATTAAATGCTAAATGTGGTTTTATTTCCTTTACATTTAATTTTTGTGTTTTTCTAGTTAATTATTAATTAATATTGAAATTATTAGCCGCTGAGTTATAATTATTATACAAAGAGATCAAATTCCCCTGTAATATTTGAAATTCAAATTTATTTAATATATATTATATATATTTAAACAATATTACAAGCTGTACCTATGGTTTTGTTTCCGCCATTACTATGAATGTTGCTGTTCATTTCCACCATCTCATAAGTTTTCTTCATGCTGTTCTAGTATAAGTTACATAATTTGAGTACATTACTATCATATCATTTCACCATTGATTGATTGAGTATCGTATTAATCAAAGATCACTTCAAAGTATAAGTATGCAATATAGAATCTACTTTGTTCCATTTTAAAATAACTTGTAATTGAATATATAAATAACATTATACAATAAAAAACTTATTCACCTCTTTTTGGTTTAACTTCTGGTAATTTAATATATCCATTAGCTTCTTTTAATCTAAATTGAACTAATTTAATTAATTCATAAACAGTTGATAAGATTGGAATATCAACTTTATTTTCTTTTGCAATCCTCACTACATTACCCAAGATAACTTCACTTTCAATTTGATTCCCCTTTCTAACATCAACAAGCATTGATGGTGCATAATAAATATCAATATCTGATTCAATCATAAAATCAATGAATTTTTCATCCAATTCAACACCATCTGATTTAGCAACTTTGATAACTTCCTTCATTGCAGGTCTTATAATTGATTCCATACCATTTGCATAATCCATTCTACCAGTATCTAAATTAACAATTGAACAAATAGTATTCAATGTAGCATTATAAATTAGTTTTCTCCATCTAACATATTTAACATCTTCATCATAATGAACAGTATTTTTACCATTTGAATAAATTTCAATAAATTCCCTTGTCTTGGATTCTTGTTCCTCCTTGGAAGTAACACCATTATCAAAATATCCAACATTTAATATATCTGTAGAAACATGATCAACAACACCGCTGAAATTACTTGAACTAATCATTGAGACTCCACTTAGAACAACATTACCTGGGAATCTTTCAAAAACTGGTTTTTCAATACCAATCCCATTTTGTATTAAGATAATAGTTGTATGTTTTGGAGTAACTGCATCAGCATAAATATCTTCAACATTTGAAATATCTGGTATATTTTTAGTTATAACTAAAATATAATCAAAAGGACCAAATTTCAAAGCATCTTGAACAGTTTTAACAACATTTGATGGTTTATAATTTGGGATATGACCATAATCAACACTCTTTAATTCATAGCCTTTTTCAATTACACGATCATAATCTGATCTAATAACTGCTGTGACTTCAGCCTTGGAACCATATTCAAGGGCATAAGCAGCCATTATACCGACACCTCCTAATCCAACAATCAAGACTTTTGGTTTACTTTCTGACATTGTGGTGTATTTATTCTTATTCAATTGATCTATAATCATTCAATTGACTTCAATTGACTTCATCTTCTATCAATTTTGGAATCTTTCAACACTTTTATATACTTTTAAATTTAAATGCTTAATCACCCAAATTTATTTATTCGCGATCAAGATCTAAATCATACAGGGAAATTTTGACCGAATCAATTTTGATAAGGAAAAATGAGTACAATTGAATTCTCGAAGAAATGAAAAACTTATAGAAATGGAAATTAATGGCTTATGATGATACAATTACTATTTGGGAATAATATAGCGTTGTGTAATATATATATTACTAATGGTTTATTCACTATCACTATCACTGGAAAATTCCATTGGTTTTAGAATCTCATCTAATTTACTAAATTTTAAAGGTTTATCTTTCTTTGTTTCTTTAGTTTCTTTAGTTTCTTTAGTTTCTCTATTTGATTCAATCCTAGAAATCTCCATAATATCTGATGAATTAATCATTGATGAATCACTTATTGATATAACACTTGTATCAACATTTTTAATCTTATTAATTGGATTCTTAGGTGTTGCAAAATCCAATTTTTTCTTAACTTTTGGAAAACTCATATCTTCTTCATCTTCTTCTAATAATTTAATTCTATTTTTATTTGTTGGACTTGTATTCATCGATTGTTTTCTTAATTTATTACTCTTTATAGGACTTTCTTGAATTGTACTTTTTATAACTGTTTCAATTTTCGAAGGTGATTGTTTTATAGTTTTCATAGGTGATGACATTTCAATTAAATCTTTTTCAAATTCTTCATCTGTTTCGAATGTATTATCATGATCTGAATCATCATCTGAATCAATAATAAATAAATTATTTCTTTTAGGAGGTGATACTGATGGCTTTAAAGAAGGTATTGGATTTTCCTTTTCCTTTTTCCCATTTGAATTTTTTAATAAATCTAATACATTTAATTTTGATTTAGGTTCATCATTCTTCTTCTTTTTAGGTATAGGTTTTACCTTAGGCTTATCTTTTGGTGTATCAATAAATCCCATTGATAATAATGTATTATTTTGTAATGGTGCCTTCTTTCTTGGTGATCTTTTCTTTGGTGAATTTAATTTTTCTTCTTCTTCTTTTTGTTTTAATAATTCTTTTTCAATGTATTTGACATAAGTTTTAGATGTTTTTGGTATTAATTCACTTGGGATCCATTCTAAATAACCCTTTTTAGGCATATTAGAGTCTAAACCTTGAGTAGATTTAATTAAAAAATTTGGTAAATAATTTTTATATCTAACCCCTAAAAAGTCTAGTTCAAATGTTCCAATTTCTTTTGTAATGGTTTTTTCAATTTCAATATCATCTTGAGTTAAATCATATAAAATATTTTTCAATAAATAAGCTTGAGAAAATGTTTTTATAAACCATAATTCAACATTTAAAACATTTGGTGGTGGATTTTGTAAATGATTATCCAATAATTCTTGGAAATTTGGTTTAATTATCCATAATTTTGTATCATCTTCATTATCAATCTCTGAATAATTTGTCAAGCCTTTTTGAAATTTGAATAAATCTTGTCTTAATAATGGATAAAAATATAACATAACAATATAATCTGGTGGGAAGTTATTAAAATTCCCATCTTTAATTAATGATTTTTCATTTCTATTAAAATATTCTTTAACATTATTTGAAACATGCTCAAACATTGTTTTTTGGAAATTTTTATAATTTTCTCGTCTTTCTAATGGTTCAGGTAAATTTTCATCATCATGGATATATATTTCTTTTAATTCTTTAGCAAAATCAGGAAATTTTTCATATGGACAAGTTGCAACATAATTTTTAATATAATTTGTTGATGATAATGCAACCTGTGAAGCTCTTTCAGAACCAAGTCCTTTAACACCATGATTATAATCAGCACCAACTAAGATTGAATATAATAATACTCTCCATTGATCAAATCCTGTTCTTGAAGTGATTTTCCTCAGGTCAATTGGTGTAACCCAATAATATGAACTTGATTTACATTTCATCATACTTGCTCCTGCAGGTTTATCATCTTCAAATTTTGAAAAATTTCTTAGGATCTTTGTAGCTCCAAAAATTATTGAATCGCTATCATTACTTAATACATAATCAACAATTCCTAATTTTTGTAAATTTGCAGCTTCTGCTTCTGCTTCTGCTGGTGACTCAATATATGAAATATTCCATTTTGTTAATTCTTTTTTCAATTCTTTAATATACTGAGGATCTTTTGAAGCAAAATTAACATCTCCCATGGTTTTTTTGAAATTTAAATATTCATCATCAAAAATTTTAGATTCAAATTCAATTAAATTATCATCTTGAACATTAAAATTTCTTTTAAAGAAAGGCTTGAGAGGACCATCAAAAACCAAAACAAATGAAACATTTAAAGAAATTAAAAATTTAATTTTGGAATGGAAAACTTGTAAAATTTTACCAATTTGGAGTTTAGAATTTAGTCTATGAAATTGATTAATATCAGAACCAATAGCTTCAAATAACCATTGAAAGGCATCAATTGCTAATCTTAAAGGTCTTTGATGTTCTTTATAAAAATTTGTAACTAATATAATAAATGGAAGTCTTTCATCAAATCCATCTTTGATTATTTCCCATACTGATGGTACACCCATTGACTGAACTTTTTAGTATATGAATGAGTGATTATCTTTGGAATAAAGCAAATTAATAATATAGCAGTATGTATATGGAGTAAATTTAGCACTGTTTATTTTAATTATAGCATCTCAACTTGAATAATTGATGAGTAAAGCTGTATATATAACAAATATTTTTGTTTTGGTTTTGATGAGTATTAATTATTTATATTTTTGTTTTTGTTATGGAATGATTATGTCATCTTTGTGATTGTGATTATGTAATACAATTTTAATTATGAATGAATTTAATTTAAAATGATTTAAAATGGAGAAATTGGGAGAGATAAATAGCGTAATGTATATTGATTGGGATATATATTATACTGAGGATTATAATTGGCTAAATTTGAGCAAAAAAAATTGGTAAATTTTTAATTTCAAAATATTCATTAACTTCAATAATTTTATTTTTATTTTGAATTTGCATAAATTTAATTTTTATTAATTTTTTTCTTGCTTAATTTTAGCATTTTTCATACATCATATAATTATTTGGATAATTTGAAACAATATGATAGTTTTTTTAACTATTGTTTCCATGTAAAATTAGTTAAATATATTTAAAATAAGTTTATTCAATATGGCTTATATAATGCTTACATAATCACAATAGCTATATGTGTAACTTTGAAGTTAGTATCATATGAGAACTTTACCACCGGATGAAAATACTTTTAAGTATAAAAGTGTAAATTGCTTATGTAATTTGACGAAAAATCAGAATAAGTCTAACACCAAACATCGAAATCGTTTGTAAATGGTACCATTAGATAGCCTACGACCATTAGTATCCACCCATACTGTTTTGTTTTTGTTTATATTTCTCTAATGTGGATTAATTTAAGTTCAAAGCTTTTTAAATTTTTGGAAAATCAGAGGAATTTACTATGTGTTTTTCTTCCCAGCTTATGTAATAAAGTATATTTGTATAGTAATTTTCATCTGGTGGAAATTTCCTCGTATCATATGAAATGGTATGAATCGTAATCAGAATAGTAGATCATGAGGTTTATTTGCGATCGTATTCAATTGTATTACGATTCATTAACTCTACATAAATCAATGGTGACATATGACAGAATGATCTAGCTATATCTAATTGACTTTAGCTTTGACCATTAATAACCACCATCATCTAGTATTATTCGATTAGCAGCATTGATATGTATAGTGAATATTAACTAAATTATAATGGACGATTTACAATCAATCAAACTAATATGCCTGTTTAATAATGAACCATATCAGTCATATTATTATAATCCCAGACATCAACGTAAAATAAATCAAATCGCTGTTCTTTCCTAATCCGGTAATATAATTAATAACCATAAAACGCGTCTCATTTAAATCAAATTATAACGTTGAAAATTACCTGATATGGATTGTAAATTGTAATAATTTATATGATATACAAGACATTGACACAAGATACAAGAGTCTTGAACTTTATTTGTATCAGTCCACAAGTATATAACCACCGAGACAACAGGACATATTGAACCACTTATTAACATCAACACATCGTGACTCTATTGTTTTGTGAAACTAAAAATTCACATAAAGATCCACGCGTATACAAACACTAAATTGAGTATCTTTACAAAGATCTAGATTTTAAAGATACGTAACGGATATTAAGGTTTTATACCATTACTACTTTAGCCATTTTGGCCCCTGATTCCTGAAGCGTAACCATTAATTAAACTAGTTTCCATGCCTAGTAATGAGCATCAACATAAGTATAGGATGATGTATACAGTATATTTAATGCCGAACCATTGACCCCAATTGAACTGACCAATTGATCAATGGTTCATACCCTTGTCATAAAATACCAAGCTCATCGAATGGCTTACATTTGGTGTAGTTTTATTTTATACAATTTTCACGGGTACTTAAAGAGCCATAGTTGACATTGAAGTGTCATAATAAAAATTAATTTCTTTATTCAATAGAAGTCAAATTGATAATAATTAATGGAAACGATTAATAATCGGTATACTGGTATACAATATCTTCATTATAGTACAATTTGATCTTCACCTAAACTTCATATCTTGATTTAAACCCGTTTCTATGTAGATACTAGAATAGTGGTTTTACGGGCCGAACTTCAAAGTACATAACTCGAAAGTGCAACCTCAACTGGCATAATAGTAGATCCATGCAACAAATTGACGCACCAGTCAAAAGGTAATCAAAATATCGATTAGAAATCGAAGTTGAACAAGAAAGAATAGTATAAAGTGTCTTGTATCTTTTTTTATTTGGTAAGAAGTTCAAAGGTACGTTGCGTTTATTGATAAAGGTTTACAAAATTACATCAAAATCATACTATTGCCTATACGTCAGTACTACCAACTACCAGCTCACAAGAGCACTCTCTTGTTTCAAAGGTATTTCATCACTTGAATGTTAACACGTTGAAAGTGACTAAGGCTTTCTTGAAACTAAATCTCGGATTATTCTACTATAGTCTGTGAGCAAGTTTAAACCCTTTAGCATATCGTAGCATTAGCAGTTGATAAGCAGAATAACTTAGTTCAAACTTCAACTGCTAATCTCACACAATAAGATCTGAATTTCACTTATCCAGGCCAATTTGAAACTTCATTTTAAAATTAAATGCCTGTTTCTCTAGGTACGTTATTTTCCCTCAAAGAAATCCATGAATTGATCAGCAATGTATACTCATAATACTTACTGATTCTAGCATTAACTACGAACATTTTTATAACGGATCTTGCTTCTGTAAACACAGTTGGCATACCTAGAGAATGTTGCACACTTGCTATCTGAAGTTCTGGCCCGGTTATTTAGAATGTTTGACAACTGGTTTTAATGGTCCTTGAATACAATCAAGATTAAGGACTCAAATGGCTATAAAGTAGGTTCTGAAACGGCTCATCTCACAGGTTTAGCACGCTCTGCTTCGGGCTCTTGTTTCAATCAATGCCTTGAACACTTAAAGCCTTAAGGAATAGTATTCTATTAAGGGTTTAGAGTGAAAAGTTCAAACTTTCACAGGCTTTTTCACAATTTTCACTTGCAAGATGTACAAATTATCCATTTACAGACTTTATTTGAACTTTACCGAAAATCTACGCACTAAAATAAATCATTTTAAAGTATAAACATGCACTCAAAACGCAGATTAATGTACGGTATTTAAGTCAGGTAGGTACATATAATTGTTTATTACAGAAATTCCCTTTTGGATCTTTTATACCTTTAACTTAAATAAAAGGTAATCAACACGAAATTAAAATTTTATATAATTGACAGGTTCAAAAAGTGGAAATCTATAAAAACAAACAGTTCCCTTCTAAATTGTTATTATAAGCAATTGTTATTTCATTTATATTTGAAACTGACCATATCAAATATATTATACAATGACTTCAAAGTTACCAGTTGATGATAAACATATGACTTTTGCAGCATCTGAAGAGACAGTTTATGAACAACATCAAGATGTTGATTTAAATGATGTTTATAAAGAATTATTACCTACTTTAGGTGAAATTGAACAAAGAAAACGTTCAAGTCAAATAAGTAATCGAGTCAAAGATTCACAAGAATTAAATTTCCATGATCTATATTGTTATGATTCAAATAATGAACCAATTTATTTCCATACTTTTAAAGGTAAAATTGTCCTTGTGGTTAATACAGCTACTCAATGTGTTTCTTCATATCAATTAAGACAATTGGAAGATCTTTATCAACGTTATAAACATATTGGATTCACAATCTTAGCATTCCCTTCAGATTCTTTCCATCAAGAAGTTAAAGGTTCAGATGAATATGTTGCAGATAATTGTCGTTTAAAATATAATGTTTCATTCCCAATAATGAGTAAAATAAAAGTTAATGGTAAAAATCAAAATGAAGTTTTTAAATTTTTAAAAGAACAAAAACATGGTTGGTTAAATACTAAAAGAGTTAAATGGAATTTTGAAAAATTTTTAATTGGTAGAGATGGTGAAATACTTTATAGATATTCAACTCTACAAAAAGTTTCAAATAAAATTGAAGGTGATATACAAAAATATTTAAAAGATGAACAGATTAATGCTGCAAAGGGGAAAAATAGACAACATATTGATAAAGCTGATATTCATCGTATAGTGTACATTTAGATGATCATCCAATATCAAAGTGATCAATATCAAAAATCAATTTATAGAAAGAAAATTGAGGAATTAGACAGGTTTTTCCAAAAGATCGATAGCTTTTCTATGATTTAACCATTTCATCTCTAGAGAATAAGTACCCGATCAAAGTTTTTGCTTAAAACTTATTTTTACAATCGCTCTTCACGATCAACTATTTTCAATGCTAATAGAACATAGAGTTTGAGACATTCACAGTGATACCACAGTTGAGTTCAAATCAAGTGAACTGCAAGAAAAGTTAGGCTACAACTTTTCTGATAAGTGATGTCACGGATTATTTATATGCAATGACAGAGAAATGCATATTATTATTTATAATGTATTAGATTGAATATACACTGAAACAATCAAAGTTAATTATGTAGATTTTCAGGATTTCAAACATCAAGGGAAACAATTACACACATAAACACTACTATAATACTATAATGAAACAAATAATTAATTGTTTTTGTATATATATAGTACATTTATTCATAAAAAAGAATATCAAAGGTTTTCATTTTCTTCCACCTTTTGAATTTTTACCACGAGCTTTCTTTGGTTCATATTCATCATCGAATTCATCACCACCTGAACGTTTTTTATTATTAACTTTATTACCACCTTCAATTTCTTTAACAACACAAGCTAATAATGTTTGTGCCCTTCTTGATAATTCAGCAGTTGTTCTTGATTGAAAGAAAAAATCAAATCTAAATAATGGTGATGATCTAATACCATCTCTAATACGTTCAAATAAATCAACTCTATCTAAACCAAATCTATAAAGTTGAACTAATATATATCTATCTTCTTCCTCTGAGAAAACACGACGATTAGTTGTTGCTGGTGGGAATTTTAATGTTAAATCATGTAAAGGATTTGAATATTCACTTAATTTGATTCTTAAACATTCTTTTTGTAATTTACCTTTTCTAATTTTATCTTCACCATTTTCAATTTGTGAAATATAACGTTCAAATCCATCAATTTGATTATAGTTTTCCCAAAATGCCTTAGCATAATCACGAACTTCATCAATAGTTTTATCTGGGAATTCAGTTGCAATAGCACTAATTGAATTACGACCAAACTTGGCACAAACTTGAATAAATTGTGTAAATTCTCTTCTTGTCCAATTACCATAACCTTGTGTTAATAATTCTGCTTTTTCAGCTTCTTCTTCTTCAGTCAATGGTGTAGAATTCTTAATTTCCAATTGTAATAATCTTTGTTCAGCTTCTCTTTGTTCAAATTCAGAATCTGGACCTTCAGGTAATGGAACTTTATAACCAATTGTTTTTTTATAATAAGCCTTTTCACGATCAAAAATTTCTTGTAATTTAATAGGATAAAATTGATGATCAAAAATATTTGGTTGTCTTGGAGCTTTTGGTCCCTTTTTATCATTTGAAGTTCTACCACCTGTATGTAAAACATCTTTATAGTACATATCAATAGAATAATTTTCTTTACGTTCTCTCTTTGCAGGATTAATCCATGTTAAATTGGCAATCTTATTACCTGTATCTTTTTTCTTAAAATCTTCACCATTCCATTCATAAGCTGAATCAGATGCAAATTTTTGTAATTCATCTAAACCTAATTTAGAATAACGTTCTGATAATTTAGATGTTTTAGATTCAGATTTTTCTAAAATAGCATCAAGATCAAAATCATCATCACCTGCATCACCATTTGAAGTACTATTGAAAACATCTGAAGCACCAAATTGAATCATATTTAACAAATCATCTTTAGAATTACCCTTAGCTGATTGAGCTTGAGTATTACCGGCATTACGACCTTGTTGAATAACCAATTGATCTAATCTTAATTTTTGTGTAGCTCTTTCTAAAACTTTTTCTTCAATAGCATTTTCAGTAACTAATCTGAAAACTTTAACTTGTTTAGTTTGACCAATTCTATGAGCTCTATCCATAGCTTGTAAATCAGCTTGTGGATTCCAATCAGAATCATACAAGACAACAACATCAGCAGAAGTTAAATTGATACCTAACCCACCAGCTCTTGTTGTTAATAAAAACACAAATTTCTCAGAATCTGGTGCATTATATTCATCAATTGCTTTAATTCTATCACTATGATCAGTTTGACCATCAATACGACAATATTGATAATCTCTAAAATTACAATAATCTTCTAAAATATCTAATAAACGAGACATTTGACTGAAAATTAAAACTCTTGAACCTTCTTTTTTCAATTTTTTCAATAATTTATCTAAAACTTTTAACTTCTGTGCATTATAAACTAAATGTTCATCAGTTGTATATGGTGGACCTGGTTCAGCACCTTCAAAAAGATAAGGATGATTACAGCATTTTCTTAATTGCATCACAATGTTTAATAATCTTGTTTTGGATTCACGTTTACCATTAGCACCATTAACAGCATCAATATCTTTTTCTAAAATACTTTGATACCATTTTCTTTGCATTTCAGACATACCAATATATAAATTGACTTCCTTTTTAGGTAATAAAGATTTTTCAACATCATTTTTGATACGACGTAATAAAAATGGTTTTAAAACTTTATGAAGTTGTTGAACGACTTGATCTTGTTTATTAGATTCATTTGTTGCCTTATCAGAATCTGGATCTGGTGTTGCTTCATTTGATGCAATAAACCATTGATCAAAAGCTTCAGAATCAGAGAAAACATCTGGTAAAATGAAATTTAAAAGTGCCCATAATTCATGTAAATTGTTTTGTAATGGTGTACCAGTAATAAGTAATCTATTTTTTGAATGGAACATACGAATGATTTGTGATAACATGGATTCTTCATTTTTAATTCTATGAGCTTCATCAATAATGATATATTGCCAATCAAATTTTCTAAAATGAGCTTTTTCTTTAATAACAATTTCATATGAGGTGATGCAAACATCAAAATCACAAGCGTATAACTTATTTTTCACAATATCAGCTCTTTGTTCTTTATCACCTTGTAAAACGAATGCATTAACATCTGGTGTCCATTTAGCAAATTCTCTGGCCCAGTTATCTAAAGTAGATTTTGGAACGACAACTAAATGTGGACCTTGTATATTTCTGATATAACGAAGATAACCTAAAAATGAAATAGTTTGTAAAGTTTTACCTAACCCCATTTCATCTGCCAAGATACCTGAAATGTTATTTTCATGTAATGATATTAACCAATTCAAACCAGCAATTTGATATGATCTTAATTCACCTTGCACGTAAGCTGGACTTTCAGCAAATTCAGTGATAACATTATTTTCATCTTCTTCATCTTGTAATAACTCAGCATCTTCCTCTTTTTCAGTCTTACGTCTTCTATTATTGGTTGATTTAGATTTTTTAGATTTTAACTTATCTTCTTCAATTATATTTAATACTTGACGGAATCTTGGATCTTTTTCAGCTTTATTATTGATGAAATGTGAAAATAAATCTGTCAAACCTAATAAATATTTAAATCTCTTTGCAGTTTCTTCAACATTGAATTTTGATTTGCTTTGATCAACAAAATAAGTCTTTTGCTTTTCACTTAATGATTTCAAGTCAAATTCAACAGGAGCTGGTGATTCTTCGTAGTCTGGAGTTGGTAGAACTGGACCAGCAGATTCGTCTCTAGCAGCACCATTGGCACCTAATTGAACATTTTCAGCACTCATCGCGTCTTTATGCTTTGATATAATACTAATTTTGGTTTAGCGTGTATGCGATCTCTAAATAAAAATCACCAAAAAACGCGTCAAATTTGAAATCTGAACCAGCAGTGAACCGTAATATACCAATAAATTCCTCGAAATATCAACTTTCAAGTGATTTATACAATTTAACTAATAAAAGTTATAAAGATTAAATTGTTTTCTTGCGAATTGAAATTTGTTGTCGAGCGCGATGCAATTTCTATACACTGGTGCCAGAAATTACCGGATGCGGAAGTCAAGATATTACCTGATTTGGTCGAAAACATAAAGTTGTGCAATATTAGTATCATTAGAATCCTTGAATTCATAGTAGTAATTGATCACAATTAACTATACCTTCATTTTCCTAGTTAAAGAGATATCTCCAATAATAGTAAATTTCAAAACTTTTCTTTTATCTCGAAGTTTCGCGAAGCTTTTTTTTTTTTCTTTTGGTTTGTAAGCAATGCGATAAATTAATAAGTGATAAAACGAGTACTTAATTGAAACTGTTTTGCCATCTCTACAACCATTGAGAAACAATAGATTAACTCATAAAAGATGATAGCCGTCGAGACGCGGGTAAATAAAGGAATAGAGCAACTAGACAACCCACACTTGAAAGCCCCAGAGCCAGAACACTGTCCTGGTCCTGAATCAGAAAATGCTGGTAAAGGTGATGCTTGTGAAGGTTGTGCTAATAAAGATATTTGTGAATCTTTACCAAAAGGTCCAGATCCTGATATCCCACTTATAAATCAAAGATTAGCCAGTATAGATCATAAGATTTTAGTCCTTTCAGGGAAAGGTGGTGTTGGTAAATCAACTTTCACATCAATGTTATCATGGGCATTAGCTGCTGATCCTGATTTAGAAGTTGGTGCTATGGATTTAGATATTTGTGGTCCTTCACTACCCAGAATGCTTGGTGCAGAAGGTGAAACAATTCATGAATCCAATTCTGGTTGGACTCCAGTTTATGTTAATGATAATTTGGGTATGATGTCCATTGGATTTATGTTACCAGAATCTGATTCAGCAATTATTTGGAGAGGTGCAAAGAAAAATGGATTAATTAAACAATTTTTAAAAGATGTCGATTGGGGTAGATTAGATTATTTGATTGTTGATACACCTCCAGGTACATCAGATGAACATATTTCAGTAAATACATATTTAAAAGAATCAGGTATAGATGGTGCATTAATCGTTACTACTCCACAAGAAGTTGCATTACTAGATGTTAGAAAAGAAATTGATTTTTGTCGTAAGGCAAACATTAAAGTCTTAGGAATAGTGGAGAATATGTCTGGATTTGTTTGTCCAAATTGTAAAGGTGAATCACAAATATTCAGAGCAACTACTGGTGGTGGTAAAGCATTAGCTGAAGAATTAAATATTCCATTCTTAGGTTCAGTTCCATTAGATCCAAGAATTGGTAAAGCATGTGACTCAGGTGAAAGTTTCCTTGATCTTTATCCTGATTCCCCAGCTTCAACTGCTATTTTGGATGTTGTTGAAGCTCTTATAGATTCTGTTGAAAATGCATAAGTACAAATTTTTATATATTCATGGTTAAGCATATTTTACAAACTTTTTATCTTTAGATTATTTAATGTTATATATATATATTTAGGGTCATTCATAATTAATACAATGGTGTTTTGGTTTGATAATTAAATCTATTAATTGTAGAAAAGCTACATATGTGATCTATCAATAAACTTTTATAATGCTAATTGTAGATTAATCTAACTTCATTTTTATTATACATAAAATATACATGGTATCTTAAAACAGAGTTCATGCACCTTTCAAAAATCTTCCTTTAATTTCTTTCAATACTAATGGTGCAGCATAAAATTGTGATTCACCTTCACCAAGTGGTAATTTTAAAATTTGTTTAACTGGAACTTTACTATCTTTGATTTCTGCATTTGTTGTGATTTTTTCTGCAACAACTTTGGCTATTAGTCTGATAGCAACTTTAATATGGAATGTGGTTTGTTCTAATGATTGTAAATTATCAGCTAAGAATTTTAATGATTTATCAGTATCTTTATTTATCAAATCCAAATAATTTTTATAAATTTCCAATCCATTACTCCAATTTGAAATATGTTTTGATTTTGGGAATCTGCGAATGAGCTCACCTAATTTTTCTAATTGTGGTCCATTATTTATAACAGCTAATGGTGCAACATTACTAACAATTGTACTATGAGCATCTTCGTATTTACCAGCATCTAATAAGAATGAAGCTTCATCCCAATGATTACCAATATATCTATTATAAAGAGCATTAGCTTCTGATATGAGTGATTTTGGAACTCGTAGTTGATCAACTAATCTCTCTATTAGGAATGTATCTTTATTGAATACTTCAATCTTTCTTGTTAAAAGACTTTTAACATGATGTTCAGCTGCATAATCATTATTCAAATGTGCTAAAACGAAAAGTGCTTCTTCCCAAAGTTCAACAGCTTGTAATTGTTCAGCGAAAAGTAATACCAATTGATCACCAAATTCAACAGATCTCTTAAAGTTCAATTGTTCAGTTGATCTTATTAAGATTTCATATATATACCATTGGAATCTAACATCAAGTGTTTTTGATGGTTTTAATGCTGAAATGATCGAACTAATAGGATATTTATCATTAGTTTTATGCACAAACAATTTGAGTAAATTGAAATAAATTTCATCTTCACCTTTGATATCTGATGGACTTGATGCAACAAAAGTTGTGATTGAAGTAGCTATACTTTCATTGGTATCACCGTAAAATAATGAAAGACCTAATCTTGCTTTCCATGATAAACCTTCAGATAATTTGGCAATTGGATCCTTAGTTAAAACATCACCTTTCAACAGATAATAAATTTTTAGTATACCTTTTGGAATGGTTTGTAACACGGCATTTTTTTTCCATTCTTCAATTTGTTTAGCAGCACTAAATTTAACATTTGGATCATTTGAACCTAAAAGTGATATCAAAACTGAAAGATATGGATTACTTGTATTGATTGCTAATTTAGCAGCACTTGAAATATCAAAAATAACAAGATGTAAAAAGATTTGTTCTGAAAAATCTTCGATTTGTTGAATTTTGGATTTAATATCCAATTGAATTTCATTTTTAATCCATTCAACTAAATTTTCTCTGCGTTTAACTTCGATAACTTTATTAACAACCTCAGTATCATCAATTTTTGATAACTCGGCAGTTAAAAGATTATTAGTGTCAAATAATATAGATGATAAAGTCCAGATTGACTTTTCTTTGTTTTTGGAATCACCTTTGAAAGCATCAACAATGAAATCAAACGTTAGATCTGAGTTTTTAACAACTTTTGGAATTTTATTTGGTCTTGTAATGATCTTGGATAAATTCAAATGTTTTTGATAAATACTTCTTAGAGTTTCTTTATTGATATTACCAAATTCTTCATCTAATTGTTTTTCTTTAACGAATGAAGCACTTTTTGAATCTCTAACAAGTAATTTTGCTTCATTAGTATAATGTGAAAAATTATAATTTTCAAATCTTAATTCCTTTTTAATTTTTTTTTGTGCTTCAATGATCTTTTTAAAATCACCAAAGATTAAATTATCTAAATCACCAGGTGTTAACCCTCTATTCAAAGAGTCTTTTATTTGTTTTGAATTTTTGAATTCATCAGCAGCATATACTGAATCAGCTCTAGCAGAAAGCTTTAATTGTTCATTCCAATCATCTGCAACAGCTAATTTTGGATCAACTTCAAGTTGTCTGAAATCTTCTTGATCGACATCAATAGGTTCATATTGTTTTTCATCTAAAATATCTGGATCTTCATTCATTGAATAATCATCTTCACCATTGATAAATGATTCATCGCCATGGACAAGACCAATTGGAACAACTGCACCATTGTCACGGATTGTAACACTATCATCATCATCATCAGAAAGAATTGGAGAAGGTGATTCGTTTACATCTTCTGGTTTTTCTTGTTGAGTACGGATCAAATCATATGTTTGACCAGAAATAAAACTTCCTGGCATAAGATCTGTAGTATCGAAATCAAAAGAGTCATCAATTTTTTGCTTCTTGAATAAAAAAGTATCTTCAGCTAAATTTCTAGATTTGAAAGGGTTTGGGTGTTGGATACTGCTAAGTTTATTTGTATTCTCAATTGGATTAACAGATACAGCATTTTCCTTTTTGGTCTCAGCTTCTCTTGTTTGATTTTTCAAAGTTTCCACTTCAGAATCAACATCAACAACATCATCATCTTCATTAACTAAACCCCAAATACTGAAATGTTTAACTTTAAAAGTCCATGCACCTGAAAATGGATCATATGTAACAAATTCCATATCTTTCAACTCCTTTAATTTTCTAATGAATAATCTAAGTTCTAAATCTTTAGTGGTTGTATCTTCAGGCTTAGCATGTCTTCCTTTTCTACTAGTTGGGAAACATTTTTCCAAAGTGATTGTAGCAGGAACATTCAGACCTGAACCTAATGGAATTTTGTCATTTGGATAAACTTCAACTGTTCTGTTTTTGTTGAATTTGACAACGTTACCAAATAAATGACCAGATAAATCTGATGCAAATGCAGTTAAATCAACTGGAAGATCAAAACTAATGGAACCATAACCTTTTCTACCAATTGTAAAATCTGAAATTTCAGCAAGTTGTCTTAGTTGCAGGTTTGCTAATTCATCAATTGAAGGTGAACACCAATATTCGTCATCGTTAGAAGCATTTTTGATGCCTTCTGATACATTTTCAGTTTTCTTATTATCTTGATCACCATTACTTTCTTCTATTAGTTCATCTTTTTCATTGGTTTTAGTTTCAACTGGATTTTCATCATTAGATACAACTGATCCATTAACTTCCCAATCAATTGTATTTTCATCTTCACGTCCTAACACTCTAATCTTTTTGGCACCACCTGTTTCACCAAAAATTTTCAATCTTCTTGATTCACTTCTACTTGGATCAACTTTTAATTTCAAATATTCTGTTGTCAGGATTCTTCTGCGTGTAGCATTTGTAGATGATCTTGGATTATGTGTGGTTGTACTGAATGGTCTAACGAATAATTTTGTTGATGTTGCTTCTTGATTATCATTTGGGAGGGCAGAATGTAACAGATCTTTTTTTGGAGAGAAAAGCCCTTCAGAATCATAACGAGCTTGTGATTTTAAAGTACTGAATCTTGTGCTTAATCTTTCGAGAATTCCAGATCTTTGGCCTTGAGGAGCACTCACTGAAGATCCCGAGCTATTTGATGAAGTTCTCTTTCTAGTTGCGACATTGTTACTCAATGGATGTTTTGAAGCTTTTGCAGATTCTGTAATTGATTTTGGTAAATCTTTGAAATTGTATTGTTTGGCTGGTGGTGTACTTGTATTTTGGTTCAATTGATTGTTGTTTGAACCTGAAAACAGTGAAGATCCAGGTGCTGATGTATTGTTATTTGATCCAAATAATCCGGTTGATGGTTGTGTAGTTGTATTGGAATTACTTCCAAATAAACCTGGTTTTGGTGCTTGTGATGTAGATGATGAGTTTCCAAATAATGAGAAGCCAGTATTTGGTTTAGGAGCATTATTTGTAGTTGATGAATTTCCAAATAATCCACCACCAGTGTTGGTATTGGATGTATTTCCAAACAAACCACCTCCACTATTGGTATTATTGTTAGCTGAGTTTCCGAATAGACCACCTCCAGTGGTTGTGTTTGATTGTGTTGAGTTATTACCGAATAGACCACCACCACTTGCTTGATTGGTATTATTATTATTATTATTATTGTTTCCAAACAAACCACCACCAGTTTGACCAGTTGAAGTTGTGTTGTTGTTATTACCAAAAAGACCAGATCCTGTGCCACTTGTATTACTTGCACTGTTACCAAAAAGACCACCAGTAGCTGGTTTGTTAGCACTCAATGGTGTCGCGTTGTTTGAACCAAATCCAGATGTAGCATTATTTGTTTGACCTGAACCAAAACTAAAACCTGAAGAAGGTTTACTATTTCCAAAAAGACCACCTGTAGTGTTGTTATTTTGTGGCGTACTACTTCCAAATCCACTTGGTTTAACACCAAACCCAGAACCGAATCCAGAATTGGTATTTGAGGATCCAAACATCTAGTGTTTCTCTATTGATTGAATGAATATCCTACTCAGTGTTATTGTTTGAAAATGAACCGATATTATCCAGCCAATTGTGATCTAAAAATCTGAAACCAACGAGATCAAATCAAAGGGAGATAATATGATACTGAGAGTAATGAATGAACAGTCCACTGAGCCACAAGAATGTCTGACGTTTGTTGTGATATTTCAGCTTTTCTAGTATGTAAACAACAGTTTGATCCAAAGATTTTTTCTTAGCAAAGATTCGAGAATTCTAAATCCGAGGCCGCGAATTTGGAATCATTTCTATATAATCGAGGGTAGAAACAGCTGAATAACACAAAATATTGAGATCTTTACACCTAGATGGGGATTGATCACACTGAAAACTTGTAAGATAAAGGAGTTAAGATGATTCTAACTAAATATCTTTTAAAAATCTCTATATCCTTACAATTCCCATCACAATCATCAATTTCAGACTTTCGGCCGATCGCGATGAGGTTACCCGTCTGCTAAATTTTTTTTTCCTGCAGATAATAAGGTCTTGAAATTTTTTCTACCCAAATAAACAGAATTACATACATTTGATTTATAAAACCATAGCCAAATAAGGATCAGATTAGTCAATCATCATTAGTCAATATGGATATCTCCAAACCAGTCGGTTCAGATATCACCTCTGTTGACTTTGGTATTCTTTCAGCAGAGGAAATCCGCAAACTATCTGCCAAACAAATCACTAATCCAACGGTTTTTGATAATTTGGGTCATCCAATCTCTGGTGGTTTATATGATCTTGCCTTGGGTGCATTCTTGAGAAACTTATGTTCCACATGTGGTTTAGATGATAAGTTTTGTCCTGGTCATCAAGGTCACATTGAATTACCAATCCCAGTTTATAATCCATTATTTTTCAATCAATTATACATCTTTTTAAGAAGTGCATGTTTATACTGTCACAATTTTAGATTGAGAACTATAGAAACACATCGTTATGCATGTAAATTGAAATTAATTCAATATGGTTTATTACTTGAGTTGAATGAATTAGATAACATCTCTGCAGGTATTTCTCTTGATGATGATGATGAAGCTGAAGAAGAAAACTCAAATGAAGCCGCAAATCCACAAGCTGATAGAGATTTGATGGCTAAAAGAGAAGATTTCGTCAACACTGCTATTGCTAAAGCTTTAAGTGAAGGCAGAACTTCAGAAAATGGTATCATTACTGCTACTGTTGCTGAAGAACGTAAACATTTGATCCATGAGTTTTACAAAAAAATCTTATCAAGACCAAAATGTGCCAATTGTAGCATGTTTTCACCAACTTTCCGTAAGGATGGTTTCACAAAGCTTTTTGAAAATCCATTGAAAGAAAAACAAGAATTAAACAACAGAGTTAAAGGTCATGCTCGTCAAGATATGTTGAAAACGAAAGGTGGTGATAAAATGGATGTTGATTCAACTCCTGCAAAGAGAACTACCGGTTCTAAATATGTTTTAAGTTCAGAAGTTAGAAACATCATGCGTGCTTTATTCAAAAAGGAACACAACATTTTCCATTATTTATTCCATTCAAGACCAAGATCAACTGAAAAAGTTAGTTCAGATATTTTCTTTTTACAAGCTGTTGTCGTTCCACCAACTAGATTCCGTTTACCATCTAAATTAGGTGAAGAAGTCCATGAAAATTCACAAAATGAATTGTTATCAAAAATTTTAAATACTTCATTACTTATTAGAGATTTAAATGATCAAATCTCTACAGTTCAAAAAGATCAAATCACAGTGGAAGAAAGAAAAATCACTTTCAACAGATTAATGAATGCTTTTGTTACTATTCAAAATGATGTCAACGCTTTCATTGATTCTACTAAAAATCAAAATGCCAATGCTGCTAGAACTGCTGCTCCAGGTATTAAACAAGCTTTAGAAAAGAAAGAAGGTTTATTCAGAAAACATATGATGGGTAAGCGTGTTAACTATGCTGCTCGTTCTGTTATTTCACCAGATCCAAATATTGAAACTAATGAAATTGGTGTTCCACCAGTTTTTGCTGTTAAATTAACTTACCCAGAACCTGTTACATCTCATAATGCTGGTGAATTACGTCAAGCTGTTATTAATGGTCCAGATAAATGGCCAGGTGCTACACAAATTCAAAATGAAGATGGTTCTTTAGTTTCATTGATTGGTATGACTACTGATCAACGTAAAGCTTTAGCTAACCAATTGTTAACTCCATCTGGTAACGCAAGTCATGTTTTAAACAAGAAAGTTTTCCGTCATATTAAAAACAATGATATTGTTATCATGAATCGTCAACCAACTTTACATAAAGCTTCTATGATGGGTCATAAAGTCAGAGTTTTACCAGGTGAAAAGACTTTACGTTTACATTATGCTAACACCAATGCTTATAATGCTGATTTTGATGGTGATGAAATGAATATGCATTTCCCACAAAATGAAAATGCCAGAGCTGAAGCTTTGAATTTAGCAAATACTGATTCTCAATATTTAACTCCAACTTCTGGTTCACCATTAAGAGGTTTGATTCAAGATCATATTTCTGCTGGTGTTTGGATTACAAATAAAGACAGTTTCTTCACAAGAGAAGAATATCAACAATACGTTTACGGTTGTATTCGTCCAGAAGATGGTCATTCATCAAGACCAAAATTAGTTACTGTTCCACCAGCAATTTTCAAACCAGTTCCATTATGGACTGGTAAACAAATCATCACAACTGTTCTTTTGAACATTACTCCTGTTTCAATGCCAGGTATCAACTTATTATCTAAAAATAAAATTAAGAATGAATACTGGGGTCAAGGTTCAAGAGAAAATGAAGTTTTATTCAAAGATGGTGCTTTATTATGTGGTATTTTGGATAAATCACAATATGGTGCTTCTCAATATGGTATCGTCCATTCTTTACATGAAGTTTATGGTCCATCTGTTGCTGGTAAAGCTTTATCTGTTTTGGGTAGATTATTCACAAATTACATTCAATCAACTGCTTTTACTTGTGGTATGGATGATTTACGTTTAACTGCTGAAGGTAACCAATGGAGAAATGAAATATTGTTAACTTCTGTTGATGTTGGTCGTTTAGCTGCTGCTGAAGTTACTAATTTAGACAAATCTACTAAACATGATGATCCTGAATTATTGAAACGTTTAGAAGAAGTTTCTCGTGATGATAACAAAGCTGGTATTTTAGATGCTGTTACTCAATCTAAAGTTAATGCTATTACATCTTCAGTTGTCTCTAAAATTATTCCAGAAGGTACTATGAAGAGATTCCCATACAATTCAATGCAAGCGATGGCCTTATCAGGTGCTAAAGGTTCAAATGTTAATGTTTCCCAAATTATGTGTCTTTTAGGTCAACAAGCTTTAGAAGGTAGACGTGTCCCAGTTATGGTTTCTGGTAAAACTTTACCTTCTTTCAAACCTTATGAAACTGATGCTAGAGCTGGTGGTTATATTAAAGGTCGTTTCTATTCTGGTATTAGACCACAAGAATATTATTTCCATTGTATGGCTGGTCGTGAAGGTCTTATTGATACTGCTGTTAAAACTTCTAGATCTGGTTACTTACAACGTTGTTTGACTAAACAATTGGAAGGTGTTCACGTTTCATATGATAACTCTGTTAGAAATGGTGATGGTAGCTTGTTACAATTCTTGTATGGTGGTGATGCTGTTGATGTTACTAAAGAATCACACATGAACCAATTCAAATTCTGTATTGATAATTATGATGCTTTATTAACTAAATACAAACCAGGTGAATTGATTGAACATTTGGATACTGAAAGTGCTAACAAATATTCTAAGAAGGTTCGTAAGAACATGAAGAAAAACAAAGATATTCCACATTTCGCTCAATCTACTAAATATGATCCAACATTATCAGTTTACAACCCATCTAAATATTTGGGTTCAGTTTCTGAAACTTTCCAAAACAAATTAGATTCATTTATTGAAGAAAATCCAAAATTATTTACTAAATCTGGTTTATCTGAAAGTAAATTCCGTGCTTTAATGCAATTGAAATATATGCGTTCATTAATTAACCCAGGTGAATCTGTTGGTATTATTGCTGCTCAATCTATTGGTGAACCTTCAACACAAATGACATTAAACACTTTCCATTTCGCTGGTCACGGTGCTGCTAATGTTACTTTAGGTATTCCACGTATGAGAGAAATTATTATGACTGCTTCTGCTGCTATTAAAACACCACAAATGACATTACCATTATTAGATGAAGTTAATGATGATCAAGCTGATGCATTCTGTCGTTCAATTGCTAAAGTTGTCTTCTCTGAACTTGTTGATCATGTTACTGTTACTGAAACCTCAGGTGATTCTGAAGATGGTAACCCAACTCGTTCATACGCCATTCATTTCGAATTCTTTGAAAATAAACAATATCATGAAGAATATGATGTCTCTAAAGAACAATTGGAACAAGTTATTACTAGTACATTCTTAAAAACTTTAGAAGCTCAAATTGTTAAAGAATTGAAGAAACAAAAGAAGGTTGGTTCAGAATCATTACCAGAAATTGGTAAAGCTGTTCCAAAATCACAATCACAAATCACTTCAGATGACCGTGTTCCATCTAAATCCAATGATAATGATGACGATGATGCTGATGATGAAAAATCACGTACCAAAGGTAAACAATCAGTTTCATATGACGAACCAGATGATGATGAAATTGAAACTATGAGAAACGCTGAAAAATCATCAGATGAAGAAATGGATTCAGATTCAGATAATGATAGTGATTCAGACTCAGACTCAGATGATGAAGCTGCTGCTAATACTACATTCTCTGGTGAATTATCAAAATCAGCTCGTGATCGTCAATCTGCAGTTTTAGGTGCTCATAATTTGATTACTAAATTCAACTTTGATGATGAAAATGGTCAATGGTGTGACTTTAAACTAGAATTAGATGCTAAAACACAAAAATTACTTATGGTTAATATTGTTGAAGATATTTGTCGTAAAGTTGTTGTCAAAGAAGTTCCACGTATTGGTCGTTGTTTACATCCACAACCAGAAAATGGTAAACGTGTTTTAACCACTGAAGGTGTTAACTTCAATGCTATGTGGGATTATGATGATTTCATTGATGTTAATGGTATCACTTCAAATGATATTGCTGCTGTCTTACATACTTATGGTGTTGAAGCTGCTAGAAATACCATTGTTAATGAAATCAGTAACGTTTTCGGTCGTTATGCTATTTCAGTTAGTAGTCGTCATTTAGATTTGATTGGTGATATGATGACAAGAGAAGGTACTTATTTGGCTTTCAACCGTCAAGGTATTGATTCATCTACTTCAACATTTATGAAGATGTCTTATGAAACAACATGTCAATTCTTAACTAAAGCTGTCTTGGATAGTGAACGTGAAGAATTAGAAAGTCCTTCAGCTAGAATCGTGTTGGGTAAATTAGCAGGTGTTGGTACAGGTAGTTTTGATTTATTATCTCGTATGCCAGCTAATGCTTAGGTGTTTTGGTTATGATTTTGTATATTAATAATTGGTTATTGTGTATAATAATAAAGATCCTTCATTGGATTTCACATTAAAAGTATAAAAAAATGCATATAGAATTTAATAAATAAATTATTGTAGTAATTAATTGTCTGGATTTATTATTATCGACACCTTGCTACTGAAAAACTTTCATATTTTCAAAATGCATCAATACACTATGTACTTTTTTTTTACACTATACAAAATTCAAAGAAGTAAAACAAAATTATAAAACGTCGAAAGATAAAGTCATCATTTAATGTCAAAGATTGGTTTTAATGATTTAAGTAATAACCAATCATCTCTAGTAACTTGGTCACGGAATGCAGGATCTTTCAGAGTATCAATAGATCTTCTTGTGATTAATGAGTACAAGTTATCTTTTTCATCAACATGACGACCCCAAACTGGTTGAGCAGATGATGGATTTTCTAAACGCATAGCAACACCCGCACTTGTAGTATTCTTTTTAACAATATCAACTGATTTATGGTTAACTTCTAATGAAACAACTCTACCTAAAAGCATAGTTGCCTTTTGTTTTGTTTCTGGATCTATTTTAACAGCACAAATTGGTGTACCAATTCTTAAAGTACCTTCAACAACATCAACACCAATAATCATTGGATTACGTTTGTTAATGATTTGAACAGTTTTCAAGACAACTGGATAAATAGCATATTCCAAGAAATCTTTACGACGTTGTTCTAATAATTTTTGTTGGTAAGCAGTGAAAGCATCAAATAAATGATAAATAACATCAGCTGTGAACATTTGAATACCTTGTTCATCAGCATATTGTTGAGCTTCTTTATCAACTTTAACATCAAAACATAACATAACAGCATATTCTTTAGCTTTATCCAACATGGTGGTAGCTTTCATAACATCACGTTTATAAATTGGACCTAAACCAATAGACATAACTGGAATTTTCATATCTTTTAAGAAATCCAATAAGGCTTCTAAAGAACCTAAAGTTGAAGCTTGAACAGTAACACCACGACCACTAGTATCAACAGAATCCAGTAAACCGGTTAAATCATCCATAACTTCATCCATAGCATCTTCTTCTTCTTCTTCAGAGTTAACAACAATCAAACGAGAACCTGCAACAGCCTTTTCCAGATCGTTAGCAGCAATTTTAACACCTAAAGCTGCTTTAACTTCTTTATGATGAACATATTCAGATTTCAATCTTAATTCACGTAATGGTTGTGGAGTTAATAAGGCACGAACATTCGTCGCTATTGGACCATTCATACCACATAACACGATTCTATCACCCTCTCTCAAATAACCATTTGATAAAATAACATCAATAGTTGTACCTAAACCTTCAATAACTTTAACTTCCAAAATAGTAGCTTCACATTCTGTAATGTACATCAATTGTTTTGACATTCTCTTTTGAGTTAATTCTAATAATAACCATAATAAATCTGGAACACCTTCACCTGTAACAGCAGAAGTTGGAACAATAGAAACATATTTAGACATGTTTCTGTTTTGGAAATATAATTCAGAATTCAAACCTTGTTCAGCTAATGCAACTTTAATTTTTGTGTATCTATCATCGAATTCTTGTTGAACTGAACGAGTTTGTTTAGAGAAAGAATCTCTGAATGAATTGTTTGGAGTTGTTTGCCAATCATATAAACGATCAATTTTATTTAATGCAACAACGAATGGAGTTTTTCTATCACGTAATAATTTAATTGATTCTAAAGTTTGTTGTTCTAAACCATGCATAATATCAATAACCAAAACGGCAATGTTACATAATGAAGAACCACGAGAACGTAAGTTAGAGAAAGATTCGTGACCTGGTGTATCAATAATTAATAAACCTGGAACATCAAATGTTTGTTTTTCATGAGCAGCCATAACTGCGGTTTTAGTTTTAATAGCTTCAATTGGGAAATAAGTAGCACCAATTTGTTGAGTAATACCACCAGCTTCACCACCTTGAACATTAGTTTGACGAATTTTATCCAATAATTTAGTTTTACCAGTATCAACATGACCCAAGATAACACAAATTGGAGAACGTAAATCACCTTGACCAGAAGATTGTTGTTTAGAAGCCTTTTTAGAATATTTTTCAGCTTGTTTTAATTTTTCTTCAGCTTCTTTAGCTTTAGCTTGTAATTCAGCTTCTTCTTTAGCTTTTTGAGCAGCAAGAGCTTCTTTATTTGAAACTTCAGCTTCAACTTCTTCTTCTTTTTCTTCTTCAACTTCTTCAGCTTCTGGAGTTTCTTCACTAGTTGAAGCAGTTGATGGTTTATCTTCAGCAGCAGCTTCCCAATCATCAGCTAATGGTTCATCATCTTCCAAAGCCATTTTTTCCCAATCATCAACTAAAGCATCATCATCACCTTCTTCATCAGCTTTAGCAGCTTCAGCGGCTTTTTTAGCGGCTTCAGCAGCTTCTTTTTCAGCTTTTTCTTGTTCAGGAGTTTTTGTAGATTTCTTCTTTTTACCATAAACAACTTTTTTAGGTTTTGGAGCTTCAGAAGTTTCACCAGATTCTTTTTGTAAACCACCAACAATAGCACCAGAAGCTAATAATTGTTCACGACGACGTTCAATAGCTCTTTTTTCTTCTTTTTGTTTCTTGGTTAATAATTTACCTTCAGCTTTTAATTGTTCCTTTTTAGCTCTTTCTCTTTCTTTCTTAGCAGCTCTAGCAGCTTCTTTCTCTTTCTCTTGTTCAGCTAATTTTGCTTCTTCTTCTTTAAGTAATCTTTCTTCTTCTTCAATTAAACGAGCTTCTTCTTCTTCAGCTTGTTTTTTCAATTCTAATTGACGTCTTAAAGCAGCGATACCAGCTGGTACTTTCTTACCTTTAGCTTTGTTGGCATCAGCTTTAGCTTTAGCATCAGCGGCTTCTTTTTCAGCTTTAGCCTTAGCTTCTTTTTCAGCTTTTGCTTTTGATTCATCAGCTTCAACAGATTGAGATCCAGTACCTTTATTAGCAGCAGCATTGGCTTTCTTCTTAGCAGCCATTTCCTTCTTACGTTGTTTCTCTTTTTCTTTCTTCTCTTTTTCCTTTTCTTTCTTTGATTTAACAACTGGACCATTACCACCACCATTCTTTGGTTTTTCTTCAGCAGCTTTAGCCTTTTTTTCTTTATTCTTCTTCAAAGTGGCCATGAAATCACCACCAAAGTCATCTTCACCAGCTTCAGTTGGACCTGAAGGACCTTTTGATTCTTCTTCTTCACCATTGCCTTCTTCAGTTGGTGCTGGGGTACCGAATTCTTCAGCTTGAGGAGCATCGGTTTCAAAATCCTCGTCCCAGTAATCACCACCTTTCTTTCCTTTCTTATCTCTGTCAACACCAGTTAGTATTATATTATCGCACACGCTGAACCCAATGGTGATACGCACTTCTTCGCCATTTTGGTTATTAAAGCTGTTTTTGGCTATTTAAAGATCTGAATCAACCAAAAACTTCACCAACTTCACTGCTTTTTTCGCCTTTCAGTGTTCAATTCACTTTCGCACACCAAATAAAAAAAAAACATTTCAGCTTAAAATTTTTTTTTTTCGGTTATCGCAACATTTCAGATTTTTATATAGTTGATTTGCTGAAAATTATGAAAAATTAAAGAGAGAAGTATACTTTTTAGTGACAAAAGTTAAGAGGATAAGATATATTTCAAGATGTCTACTACCGTGGAGAAGGTGTGTATACTGTACTAGTGGCTCATGGGCTCTCAATACTAACAACTTTCAGATCAAAGCTATTGAAGATGAAATGGCCAAAACCCAAAAGAACAAGGCAACTTCGTTCCATTTGGGTCAATTAAAAGCCAAATTAGCTAAATTAAGAAGAGAATTATTAACTCCATCAAGTTCTGGTGGTGGTGGTGGTGGTCTTGGGTTCGATGTGGCAAGAACAGGTGTTGGTTCAGTTGGGTTTGTTGGATTTCCTTCAGTTGGTAAATCAACTTTATTAAGTAAATTAACTGGTACACATTCTGAAGCTGCAGCTTATGAATTCACAACTTTAACCACAGTTCCTGGTATTATTCGTTATAAAGGTGCAAAGATCCAAATGTTGGATTTACCTGGTATTATTGAAGGTGCTAAAGATGGTAAAGGTAGAGGTAAACAAGTTATTGCTGTTGCAAGAACTTGTAATTTAATTTTCATTGTCTTGGATGTTAATAAACCTTTAGATCATAAAAGAATTATTGAAAAAGAATTAGAAGGTTTTGGTATTAGATTAAATAAAGAACCACCAAATATTATTGTTAAAAAGAAGGAAAAAGGTGGTATTGCTATAACAAATACTGTTCCTTTAACTCATTTAGATAACGATGAAATTAGAGCTGTTATGAGTGAATATAAATTAAATAGTGCAGATATTGCATTTAGATGTGATGCTACAGTTGATGATTTAATTGATACTTTGGAAGCATCACAAAGAAAATATATTCCAGCAGTTTATGTTTTGAATAAAATTGATTCATTTTCAATTGAAGAATTAACTTTATTAAATAGAGTTCCAAATGCAGTTCCAGTTTCAAGTGGACAAGAATGGAATCTTGATGAATTATTAGAAATTATGTGGGATAGATTAAATTTAGTTCGTGTTTATACAAAACCAAAAGGTCAATTACCAGATTTTAATGAACCAATTGTTTTAAGATCAAATAGATGTACAGTGGAGGATTTTTGTAATCAAATCCATAAAAGTTTAGTTTCTGATTTTAGAACTGCTGTTGTTTATGGTTCAAGTGTTAAACATCAACCTCAATATGTTGGTTTATCTCATGTCTTGGAAGATGAAGATGTTGTTACGATTTTGAAAAAATAGGTTTGTCAAATTGAGATGTTATTTAAAAATACTTTATAATGATCAAAAGTGTTTTGAAAGTGTTCTTTTTTAGTTTGATTTGATATCCAAGAAGACGAAGGGGAAAAGGGAGATGTGATGCATATTGTTTAAGTATTTATAGTTTTGTCATATATATTGTTTAATCCATGATTTTTATTTTATTTCTACAAAATGTCTTTAGTAGTTATATATAAGAAAAATCAAATTCATAAACATCAAAAAATCTAAACAAGGAATATATATATAATACAATAGCTTTTAAATAAGAATTAAATAGTATGAAGAATGAAACCATTACAAGATTGTTCTTTTAACATTTCTTGGACTATGATGATGAATATCACCTTCTTCACCAAGAGCATCTCTTGCATCTCTTTTAATTTTAGTTGGAGTTGAACCATCATCACCACCAAATTGTTTTAAAGCTTTATTATTTAATTGAAATTTCATTAATTCATGAGCATAATAACCAAATTCATCAATTGGAGCAACACTTGGTCTAATAGATCTTAGGTAACTGAATGCAGATGATATATCACAATTATGTTGATCTATAATACCCGCCATGGCAAATGTTGATAAAACATTATCATTACCATTCAGAGAAAATAACAAGATACCACATTGAGGATCTTTTTCTTGGATTGAATGAATTAAAGTTAAATAATCTGATAACATTTTTTGAAAATCAATATTTGTTATAATTGAATTTGAAAGTTTATTATCAGTTATATAAGATAAATTATTTGAAAATTTTGAATTAAATTTCATAATTAATTCACCTTCATCTTCAGTTAATTTTTGAATATTAAAATTTGGATCAAATGAAACACAACAACTTGTATCATTTGAAAAAGATTTTAAATAATAAACACACTTTTGTGATGGCATTATACCAATAATATATTTAATATTATTTTGTGAAAGGAAAACATTTTGTGCAACTGAATTTAATGGACCTATCCAAACATTTGAACTTAATTTTTGTGGTTGTAATTGACTAATGTTGTTAGCCATAGCATGTTTATTTTGGAATTGATCCATCATCATTATATTGTATATATTTCTAGTAATAAATTGTGGCTAATACCTCTTGAGTCTTTGTTATATAGGCTTTTTTTTTGGCGTCGGGTATCAAGAGTAACGGTTTAAAAAACTGAAAAACTTGAATGTGTCAAAGCGATGGGCTTTATAATTAAAGGTAGTACGACGCGTCAAACAATGTGATTATGGGAGATAACTTTGTTATAAATGTGTTGAACCAGTTGTTGTAAATTTGTAGATTTCAAATGTGTTTAAATAATTTAAAAATCTTTAAAAGTGGGTGAGAAATCTTTCAAGTTATTGGTAAAAGTTCAAATTCAATTCGATTCAATTCAAACCGATGTTTTTTGATTTCGTTTTTTCAATTTTTGCAAATTTCCACCACTGCCAAAAACGCAAAAATGGAAAAAAATTTGAAAAAAGTGAAAAATAAAAATTGCAAGCGCCAAAAACGACAAATGGCGACAAAGGGCATAAAAATTAAAATTGCTGGTTAGCGAATTACCTAATTAGGTAATTACTCGCAAATTAATTTTTTTCTCGGTGATTATGTCATCAACTATATACACGTGACGTAAATTTCAAGTGATTACATCATCAATTACATAATATTTTACTTGACACTTAATTTTGTTAACAGATTTTTGTTGGGCCCCCAGAATTTTAGTGTGATAGCAATCGTTTAATGGTTATCAAAACATTGAAATAAACTCATACCGTGTATAATTGACATTTGAAGTTCAATTAAACACTTAGGAATCAAAGAAAAGGTTATTGAGTTACTTTTGGACTATTACATATAATGCTTTTCAACACATTCAAGTTAGCCACACGTTCCGTTAAATCAAATGGATTCGTACCATCTTTCTTAAAGAACACATCATCAAGATTATATTCATCATCAACAAAATCATTAAACTCATCAAATTCTAATATAACGACTAAATTAGGTTTATTTTTAGGTGCAAGTTCTGCTCTAGTTTTACATACTCATTCCAAAATCTTAAATGAAGCTGCTAATTTAGGTACTATAAATGTTAATACACCAAATTTTAATTCAAATCAATTACCAAAAATTCCAGATCCAAATTCATTGAAACATCCAAGACATTCAAGATTTAATGGTCAATTACATTATAGACAATTATCTTATGGTTCATTAGTTGGTTTATTCTTTGGTGTTGTTATTGGTAAATTATCTTCTGTATTGGTATTTATTAGTCTAAGTGCAATTTTATCTTTACAATTTTTACAAAGTCGTGGTATAATTCATGTTCCTTGGACTTCTGTTGTTAAAGTTGGTAAAGATAGAATTGATGTTAGACAATTGGTTTTGGAAGATCCAAGTTTTAAGATTAGTTTTGCTTTAAGTTTTTTGATTGCAGCTTTTAACATATAGGATTGGAAGTTATATCTTTGAATCAATTATATATCAATTGAACTATATATATATAATACTATTTAAAAAATGATAATTATGATTGTGTCTGGAGTAGGATACGGTTATCTACGTTATCAGCTTTCGCCACATCATTAAAACATCTACACATTTGGTTTAAATGACGTGAGAACATGATCAGTAATAACAATTTCGAAACATGATATTCATTTTCTACTGAGTATACAAATTCACCGCTTGTAGGAACAAATTCGTACTTCAAAACTGTTGTTATAATGATTTGTAATACGCAACATACAAGATCGCCGATATAACAAAAAAGTGTGGATTCTAGGTTTCTATATAAATCAATGAGATTCTGATTTGAATTCAAACCAAAAAACTATTGTCAAATTCTAATTTGCTCAAACAACTTAATACTTCAAGATGTCCAGTGAAAAATTAGAACATCAATTCGATCCAAATTGGGTCATTGGTCAAGGTGCTACAAATGATGATTGGAAAAACCATAAAAAAATTGATATTGATATTGAAAATGCTGAAGATTATAGAGAAAATTATAGATTATTTATATCAGGTATTGTTCCAAGACCAGTTGCATTTATTTCAACAATTGATGATCAAGGGAATCAAAATTTAGCACCGGCTTTTAGTTTTTTCAATATTGTTAGTAGTAATCCACCAGTTTTCACAATTGGTATAAGTAAAAATGCTTCAAGAGATGATGGTACTAAGGATACATTAGAAAATATTTTACAAACTAAAGAATTGACAATCAATATCATAAGTGAATGGTTTATTGATGCTGCTAATTATACTTCAATTCCTTCCAAAGCAGGTGTTGATGAATTTAAATTATCAAATTTAACACCATCACCTTCCAAAAAAGTTAAAGCTCCACATGTTGCAGAAAGTGCTTTTTCCATCGAAGCTAAATTATTATCAACAAATGAGTGGAAGTCTAAACATAATCCAGAACAAACTTCTGGTACTTTAGTCATTGTGGAAGGTGTTCATTCTTGGGTTAGAGAAGATATCCTAAATAAAGATCGTAAAACTATTGATATTTCTAAATTGAAACCAGTTGGAAGATTAGGTGCTATCAATTACACAACTATCCAGGACAATGGGTATCCAATCACACGTCCTGATCCTGGTTATGCTTTCACAACAGAGAAATAAGACCATCCATAGAATTAATTAGAATAAATAGAATTAAATTATTGAAATTGTGCTTATATTACAAATCAAATTGTAAAACTTGTTCGCGAACATTCTATGTATACACATTACGTAATCACCATACTTTATATTTTTCATTTATTTATAAGATCAAAATTCAATATTTGTATTTCGAATCTTGTAACATTACAACAACAACAACAACAACAAAAGTTCAGATCAAGAAAGCAAGCTGCTATAGGTAGTCAATATGTCTGTGATACATCCTCAAAGTGCTAATTATCAGTTCAAATTTGAACCATTCCTACGAACAGAATATAATTTCGGACTAGATCCTGATAGACCAGTATGTCAATTTTGGAATGGTCATGGTGGTTGTCCAAATGGTGATTTATGTCATAATAAACATGTTTCACCCATGTACAGTAATAAGATCGTGTGTAAGCATTGGCTTAGAGGCCTTTGTAAAAAAGGTGATCATTGTGAATTCCTACATGAATATAATTTAAGAAAAATGCCTGAATGTTTATTTTATTCAAAAAATGGATTTTGTACTCAAACTCCTGAATGTCAATATTTACATATAGATCCACAATCTAAAATACCTGAATGTTTAAATTATTCAAGAGGTTTTTGCCCAGAAGGTCCGAATTGTAAAAATAGACATATTAAAAAAATTATTTGTCAAAATTTCTTAACAGGTTTTTGTCCAGATGGTCCAGATTGTGATTTAGCTCATCCAAAATTTGATTTATTACCTGAAAAATTAAGAATTAGACCTGATAGACCTGTTAATTCAACTTCAAGATCAAATGAAAAAACTTTTTTGGAAATTCAATTAGAAAAAGAAGCTAAAGAAGAACAAGAAAGATTAGAACGTGAAAAATTAAATTCTGAAGTTGAATATTAAATAACATTGGAACTGTTAGTGTGTATTCTTATTGTATATTATAAAAACTAAATTTAATGACCATTGCTACGATTCAAAATCGAAATGTTCGTATATATATAAATCATCTATATTACTATTTTTTATCAACACGTAAATTTCTTGCCCTTTGTCTTTCAGAAGGTGTTAAAACCCAATTCATATCAATTTCATCATCTTCATCATCAAACCCTAAAATCATAATAACTTGTGTAACTCTTAAGAATTTATCTCTTAAATTATATCTTGATCTTGTAATTTCTCCAATTATACCACTAAAATCTCTTTCTAATTTTATTGAACCTAATTCTGTTATATTATTATCTAAAGACCAAATTTTACGTTCTAATAAGTTTGATAATGTTGTAACAACTGTAAACATAAATTTATCAAAAATTAAAGGATCAAGTGTCTTATAATATGGTGCTATTAATGAATTCCATTGATTTATAAATTTATGAACAACTGAAGTCTCAGATTCTTCATTATAATTACTTATTAAATAATCTGCATCTTTAAAACAATCAGTTAATAATATTTTCAATTTATTTTTGAAAACTTGATTAAATAAAATTTCAATAAATTCATTTAAAATATCATTAGATCTCTTAGTGAAACCATCTAATAATCCCTGGATAATATTTTTCAATTTTTCAGAATCTGTACCAAATGGATAATTATTATTTAATAATGCAAGGTTTTGATTTATAATTTTTTCAAAATAATTTGCTCCAACATTAACTGTATTTAATAAAACAACAAATGTATGTAATCTTGTTTCATCACCAGATGCAATATGATTTAATGCAGTAGCACCTCTTGAAAAAATACTTCCCATCGTATTTGTCTTTTGTTGTTGTTGCTGATGCTGTTGTTGATTATAATGAGATGTTGTTGAAGTAATATTATTTTGAGTTGGTGTAAATATAGTACCAGATCTTGGTTGGAATTCACGTAATCTTTTATAAATTGTTAAATAATAATCATTATCCAAGATTTTTTTAATATTTGTAACTAAATTCTTAACAGTTAATGGTTGTCCTGTTTCAATAGCTTGTTTTAATGATGTACTTAACACCAAGATCAAATCTTCAATTGTTGATGAAATTGGTGGATTTTCAGGTGCTATAATTTTGGAAGATGTAAGTAATGGATTTAAATCTGGGAATTCTTCAATTTGTAAAGCTTGTTCTAATGATCTTCTAATATAAAAAGTTAATAAAACTTCAAATGATGGTAATAATTTAGTTTGAATTTTTTTACCAAATTTACTTTCTAAAATTGGTTTAGGTAATTTTAATTCATCTTGTTTTAAACCTTGATATTCATTCCATTTAACTGCAACAAATCTACAATATAATGACCAATATTTTAAAAATGCTGAAAATTCAGTTGTAACATCACCAATATGAACCACAGATAAATTATCTTCAGAAGTTCTTGGTGTACCATCAAAACTTGATCTTGGTGGTGGTGTCCCACCTCTTGATGAATTTGAAGTCATTGTGGAATAATTTGTTAAAATTGGGAATTTATATGCTTGAATTTCATCAATTAATCTTGAAATTTGTCTATTATCATAAAAAGTATCACTTATTAATCCTGCTTGAGAATCTGCTTCCCTTTCAACTCGTTCAATAATACCAGTCATATTTGAAATTCCATAATATTTAGCAATGATTGTGGAATGTTGATTTAACATTGATGAAATAATTTCTAATAATCTCATTAAAGCAGCCGGATAAAACCCATATTTATCTTGTTGTGATTGATTTGTTATGATTAATCTACTTTGATTGGCAATAATATTACATATAAATTTTGAATAATTATCAAGACCAATATGATTTTTACCAATCATGGGGAAAAATGAAAAAAAACTTGTTAATTTTTCAACATCTTTAGATTCTGCAGCTTTTTGAAATTCTGTTGTAAATATTTTAGTTAATTCTTCAATCCATTTTTCCAATGTTAATTTTGGTGATTCTGGAACATCTGTTGATGGAACAACATTATTTATGAATTCACCTTCAATTGGTAAGGATCGTATTTTTTCAATAGCTCTTGAAGCCTGAGCCCAATCATGAACCTCTAGGGCAGAATTCGCCGTAAGAATCAATGCTTTCAGTTCTTTAACGTCACCAACATATGTAGCAGTTTCTCTGACTCTTGATCTTTCAGCATCTAATAAACGAACTCTAGCTGTTATTTTCGAAGCCAATGAACCAGCATTTGAAAGTAGTTCAACAAGACTACTTGAGCTTGATAACGTAGTTGATAATTCTGTTCTAGATAGCTCTAATCTTCTTTCTTCTTGGACATGAGTTCTAGATTCTATGAAATTATCTAATTCATCTTGTAACTGAGATTCTGTTTTGTCAATAGCCTTGATGAACTTCTCCAATTGAGTGGAATTTGTGACACGGTTTAGTAGTCTAGTATACCTCACCGACTCCTCATGAGCCCTATACTCGGTCATGATCTTGTGCTTCTTCTTGCTTAGGTAGGATCTGGTATTTTTTAAGATATTTGTTGATTCGATTTATTGTTGATTTCGTGTTGTTATTAACATCTTAATTTCCATCGAGGTCTTGTAAATTCGCGGTCTCTACTTCAATATTTCAACTACAAAACTTTCAAATTAACGAATGAATAAAACAAGTATAAATGATATAAATATTGGTATAATATATATGTATAAATACGGCGTATAACATGAAAGTATCTCGTACAGAAACATCATCAAAAAATCATCAAAAAAAAAGAGCGAAAACAAATTAAAAAAGCACATTAATATTTAGCATTAAAACGAGCGACAAACTCACTATATTGAACGTCTATGAGCTTCCATATTAAAAGTCTCTGGACTCAACTGTTTAAAATCAATCCCAGAAGCAATACTGGAAGCCAATTCCGAGTTTGGAATAGTTGGTAATTTTATATCATCAGTTCTGCTTTTTCTTCTATCTTTTCTTTCTTTTCTATGTTTTTCCATTAATTTGTCTTTACCCAAGACCCCAGCGTTATTACTTTCTTCTGATATACTATGTCTTCTTCTAGATCCTTCTCTTGCCCAAAATTCATCTCTATAGAGTTCCCAAGCTTCTCTAATTTCTGAATTAAATGCCCTTGGATTCAACATTAATTTAACATCTGTTGCACCAACTCTTGGTTGGGATCTTAATTCAAGAGTTCTTAATCCACTTTTTATCCATTTTCCAATCTTGGTTGATTGTAAAGGCCCAGTATAACTTAAAGCTGATTGATTCAATTGAACAACAAACATCAAAATAGCTCTTGTGATATCAATAAACTGATCACCAATTGGGGTTTTAACTTTGACTAATCTTAGGTTCAATTGTCTTAAACCTTTATTTGTTGAAGTGAAAAATCTTCTGGGTATTATAATTGTACGACGATATTCACCTGATAAATGGAATAAAGCTAATGTAACCAAAATGAAGAAAAATAAAAATTGTAAAATAACTTTGGTAAATGGGGAATGAGTTTTATCTGTTCCATATAAACTATAAAAACAGAATCCAGATAGACCAGCCAATACTGCCAGAAATGCAGTGAATTTTCTTCTAAGTATTCTCTGATCTTGTGATTGTTGTCGTAGACTTTCCTCCAAAATTAATAAATTTCTGAAAATTTTAGTTGTTGTAGATATTTTATCACCTCTTTGACCACTTGATGAACGAACACTTCTATTACTTTTCTCACTTGAATCTGATTTTCTTCTGCGACTTGAACTTCTTCCAGTTTTGGAGGATTTATTCTTATGATCTCTTGTAGATGCAGAATTTCGACCTCTTGCAGCGATGGTGCTTGTTTGAGAACCAGCATCTGAATCTGAATATATAGCAGAGTCTTCATCTCTTGAAGTCAAAGGTGTTATTTGATCCATAGCCAATAATAAAGGAGACGATGTTGGTGAAGATGGTGATAGTCCTTGTTGAGAATCAGTAGCACTAAAGTTTGGTGATTTAGGGGATGATTTGGGCGACGACATTGGTTCTTTCGCAGGAGTGTCCAATGAGATGGCATCCAACGAGGGAGAATCCAGTACTTTATCAGTAGATTCAGCCATTATTTCCTCTTCTTTTTCTTGATCTTTTTGTTTTATTGTTTCAACTTCTCCTATTGTCGTTAAATTCGTGGCTCCAATTTTCGTATTTTAGACGTCGTACGTTGGTTAAATAAAGCTTTTATGACACTATTTTCACCAACAAAGTTTGTAGAGTATCAGTGAGCCACCAGCCAGTAACCTATGACAGCAACAACACCAGCAATAAACCGTTTTCTAAAACCTTTTCTTTCCAACAAGATTCCACTGGTTTTATATGTAAAATTTCAGCACTGAAAAAACTGAAATTACTGAAAAATGGAATGCAAATCATCAAATTCGCGAACATATAACCAGATTTTAAACCAATTTGGCACTCATTATATAGCAAACTCAAGTTTAGAACATAAAGCAGCTCAGAGGCTCACAATGTACGAGTTCATGGAGTACATTCTCAAGTCTTTCTACACATCCACCGGCTGGAACGAGAACAACAGCTACGAGAACATCATTGCAACGTCACAAGGTGAGTATAGACATATTAGATTGTTTATGTCCACTGTATATTAACATTTTGTGATAGCTCTCATAGATTTCCCCATCCATTCAGATCTGAAATTCACAGTATCTTCAAAATCAACAGAAAACACAGCTACCTCTCTCTCGTTATCAAATAGTGGTACCATTAATGGATCATTAGCATACTTATACACATCAACACCTTTGAAACATGTGCTAGGAACTAAGGAAATCAGTTTACAGGATGCAATTCAAGGATACAGGGTTATACGACCTCCATTATATCACACATATAATAATGGATTCATCCCATTTCAACCACACTCTTTATACTATGGAAGAATGTATTTCCCAGGTTCAGCATTAGAAGCAATGGTTGTCAAACGTATCTCTGAATCGTCACAATTATTAGTTAAATGTGTTAGTCATGAAAACTTGAAAAACAATGGTACAATGACTTTCTATTATCAAGTCGATACAGGAAGACTTTCAAGTGAATATATTTTCAGTACAAATGAAGCTTTATTGGGCTTTAGATGTCTTTATAACTTTCGTCAAGGTGCTGAACGATTAAACACCGCCTTATACAACAACTCTTCATTATCAATAGGTGCTGAAGTTTGGTATGGTGCTTTAAATATGAGCCCTGGATTATCAGCTGCCCTACGGTACTCAACACAATCAACATACACGGGGAAACCATTAACAATGACATTAGCATGTAACCCAATACTAGGTCATATATCATCAACTTATTCAGTTAGAACAAGTGCAAGTTCAACTTTCTCATCGAGATATGATTTCAATATCTATTCATATGATTCAGATCTTTCATTTGGTTGTGAACTATGGAACTCTTCAAATCATGATTTAACAAAATTACCATTAAAACACATTGATCCAAAATTACCACCACATAGTAAACATTCACCTCAAGATCAAACAGTTATTGAAGCTTTTGAAAATCTTGTCAAAGAAACTGATTTTTCAAGTGTTGTTAAAATTGCAACGACTTTAAATGATCGTAATCTGAAATTAAAATGGGAAGGAAGATTTAGAGATTTTTTGGTTTCAACTGGTGTTGATATCGGATTAGATTCAAATTCAATTCCTTCATCAGTAGGTATTCAAAAATGTGGATTACAACTACAATATTCATCATGAAAGAAAAAACCCCTTTTAGAATTATTTATAACCTATTATATATACACATGAAATTAATAAAATATTGTATCATATTTCTTTTTTAACACGTTTCCCTTGAGGGGTTCCAGTTGTATCATCATTAGCTCTTTTTCTATTAGCTGCTTTACCTTTAATTGGATTTTCCAAAAGGTATAACCATTCTCTTAAATTTTCAGCTAAAGATTCATCTTCATATGCATCAACTGAGTACCATAGATAATGTTTTGGTACTCTAATACCATTTTTCAAGACATCCTCCATATATGGTTTAACGGTATCTAATTTATTAAAACTATTATGAAATATTTGTAAGTAACGATCTTCAATTTGTGATAACGTAAATGAGATTGCACTAAAATAAGGAATTGGTCTTTTATCTGCTTCTTCAAGTTCTTTTAATTTACGTTCTTCTTCAGCTTTTTTAGCTTTTTGAATACGTTCTTCCTCTTCAGCCTTTTTGAGATTTTCTGCATCAATTAAATCTTGTGCTTCTTTTTCTTCGGCTTCTTTTTCAGCTGTTTTTCTTGTTCTTCTTTGTTTCAATGGAGTTGTTGGTTTGGATTTTGTTTCATTTTCATCTTTCTTAGTTTCATCTTCATTTTTGGATTTATCTTCATTATCATGAGATCCTTCTTTCTCCTTATTCTCTTTTTCTTCCTTCTCTTTTTTTTCCTTTTTATTTTTTTGTCTTTGATCCCATTTTTTAATTTGATCTCTATTATGGATAATTAAAGTTGAAATCAATAATTCTCCATTTGGTAATTTTTCTATAATACTATCCTTAGGTAAATGATAACGAATATTTGGATTTTCACTAAATTCAAAAACTAAATCAGCTCCATCAACATACATCTCTTGGAAAGTTGTCAATTGCTTTTCCTTTGGAGGTTTTGGTTGCTTTGGAGGTTTGACCTTTTTAGGTGGTTTTGGAGGAGGTGGAGGTAATGACTGTTGTTGTTGCTGCTGCTGCTGTTGTTGTTGGTATTGATTATTTGGGAAAGCTTGATGATAATAAGCTGTTGGGCCCATAGCTTTTGCTCTTTGAATATAACCTTGAAATTCTCTTATTTCTTCTGGTTTGGCATTACCTGTGGCAACAACTTTCATTAATGCGTTCAATGATGGTTCTTTTCTGGCAATTGCATTCAAATTTGCAATCATCATTTGACTTTCTGGTGTTTGCATTATATCATTCTGTGCTTGTGCTGATGGCGGTGGGTTTGGTGGAGGTGGTTGAGGTGCACGAGGTAATGGTTGTTGAACTGGTTTAATTGGAGTGACACTTGGTTGTGGTTGTGGCTGCGGTATAGTATTCTGATTTGATTGTTGAGTCTGTGATGGAACCGGTGCAGGTGGTTGTGATTGTGATTGTGATATAGATGAGACATTTTGAGCTTTATTTTGATTTGGAACTTGCAAGGGTGGTAATGGTTTAGGGTGGGATGGTTTGACATCTAGTTTGTTAGGTTCTTCTGCTTGCTCTAGTTTAGGATTTGGAGTTGATATCTCAGGTTGTTTGGTTTCAACTTTGGTTTCAACCTTATTCGGTACTTCTTCAGCCTTTTCACACTGAGGTTCAGCTTGTGGGGTTGATTCTGGTTGAAATGATGTATCTCTACTTTGAACAGAGGTTGATTCATTCTCATCATCCTCTTCTTCTTCTTCCTCAGATTGATCTTCTTTATTTTCATCTTCATCTCTCACAGAGGGTGTTCCAGCTTCATTATCAACATTTTGTGATGGTGGTGCACTAGAAGGTGCTGACTGAGATACAGGTGCTCCTGGAGGAGGTGGCTGAGTAGGGTCCGATAAACTAGAATCTAAAGCTTCTTGTTTTGCCTTTTTGATTTCTCGTTGTTTTTGTTTCTCTTCCCTTTCTTTCTTTGCAGCTAATCGTTTCTCTTTCTTCTTATCTTTTTCATCTTGTCTCTTTTTTTCAATTTCATCATTCTTTAAAATGAAAAATCTAGTATCATAATTATGAGGACCGATATTGATAACACACTCACAAAATTTATTCATACGATCTCTAGCATTAACATCATTATCAAATTTTGTTTTACCTTTTGCCCAATACAAGTCAAAAATATTACCATTGGTATAAGCCTTTCTAGATCTCATCAAAGATGTATATAGCACAGCACTATCTTTCAACGACAAAGCATTATTCAAGATACTATATGATGGTTCTTCTATGGATAATGGTAAACCTTCAACTTCTTTAAATGGTCTTGGTGGTGGAGGTGGTGGTGCTTCTTCCTCTATATCTGAAACATCTTCACTCTTAGATCTCCCTCTACCACGTTTCTTACTCTTTGGTGGCATTCTTCAAGTGGCTATAATACAAACAATTGGTTGAAGGTGATGAAGAAACTCAAATGGTGAAACTTTCAAGACTTCAAATATACGTTTATTATGTTTTGATTTTGAAAGAATAAAGAAGATTCGAGGGTGAATTTATTTTACACGTGACTGACATCGTGACTCAAAAATTCAAAAATGGTCGGAAGTCGCGTCTTGGTGAAAAAAAACATTAATAACGATTTCATTATTACGCGCGTCATTTGGAATCAATATTTGCAAGTACCGCTGTGATCTGGAATGAATAGCTTGAATCAACTGTTTGAAGAGGAGCATAATGTCATTCAAGCGTGCTATAGTTGATCTCAACTCGTTTGGAGCGTCTGCTTCAAAGAAAAGAAAAACATTGGGTGCTGAAGATCTTGATAAATTTGCACCAGGTAGTATCATCAAAGTGAAGGTTAAGAATTTTGTTACGTATGCATTGACTCAATTCACATTGTCCCCATCATTGAATATGATCATTGGTCCTAATGGTACCGGTAAGAGTACATTTGTGTGTGCTGTTTGTATAGGGTTAGCTGGTTCTCCTACTCTATTGGGTCGTCAAAAGGCTTTAGCTGGTTTCATTAAAAACGGTGAAGAAAGTGCTACTGTGGAAATTACTTTGAAGAATAAAGCAGGTTTACCTGAAATTGTCATTAAAAGAGAATTTTATCAATCAAACAAGTCAGATTGGTATGTTAACAATAGACCAACATCCGAACAAAAAGTTAAAGCTTTATTGAAAGATATGAATATTCAACTTGATAACTTGTGTCAATTTTTACCTCAAGAAAGAGTTGCTGATTTTGCTAAATTGAAACCTGAAGAGTTACTTGAAGAAACTGAAAGAGCCATTGAGGTTGATTTGTTGGATAAACATCATGAACTTATCAAATTGGATGATGAAAGAGCAGTAGTAGCTGAAGAACTTGAGACTAAAACTGGTGAATTTGATAAACAAACAGAAGAAAGAACTCGTTTTGAAGAAGAAGCTCGTAAGTATGAAGAGTTTCAAAGAAAAAAACAAGAGTTTGACGATCACGAAAAACTTTTGCCTTATGCTCAAATCCAAGATATGAAAGTTCAATTACAAGCTGTTAAAGATGAACGTGACAAACTTAAAAATGACTTAGCAGAGATAAAAGAACTTGCTAGACCTTATGAGGATGCTGCTTCATCTTTCGATGATTCGATAAGAAACTATAGTAACGAAGTACATGATTTAACAAAAGATCAAAAAGATGTTCAACATTCTATTGATCAATGGAAGCAAAAACTTAGTGATTTAGAAACTAAGCATCAAAAATTATTAGATTTGATTGACCATCATAGACAAAGAGCTGAAGTTAAGAAGAGGGAGCTAAATCACTCCAAACAACAATATGAAAAAGTTGTTCATGATAGAAATGAAATACAGCTTGTGGATGCTGAAACTGTTAGAGAATATCAAGATAAAGCATTAAAATTGTTTGACCAAATTAATGAATATGGTTCAAGAGCTTCTGATTTGGAATCCGATTTAGCTAGAACAAGAAGAGAAGGACAACAGCTACAAGATAGAATAGGGCAATTAAATCAACAATTCAAATCTAAGGATAAGATACATATTTTGGATCAAAGAATCACAAATGCATTCAATAGACAAGCACCAACAGTTAAAAAGGCTGTTCAAATTTTACGTTCTCAAGAATATGCCAAATTTAGAGGACAAGTTTTCGAACCACCTTGTATTACAATTTCAACTACAAGAAATGAATATTCTGCCTATTTAGAGGAAATTGTTGATCAACAAACTGTTTTCGCTATAACTGCTGCTTCAAAAGCTGTTTATACTGATATTTCCAAAGAAATTTTCGAAAAACATAGATTGAATGTCCCTTTTAGATATTTGAGTGGTAGAAAACCAAACCCAAAAATTTCAAGTGAGCAATTAAAAAGGTTAGGATTTGATGGTTACTTAAGAGATTTTGTTATTGGACCTCAAGAAGTTATTGAGATGTTATCAGAAACAAGTTTCATTTATGATATTCCGGTCTCAATCAGAGGTATAACAGAACAACAAATTGAATATATTAAAGATTATAGAACATCTGATGGTAATTTAATGTTTAGGAAATTCATTTCTGGTGATTCTTTATTTGCCTTATCTAAATCAAGATATGGTTCTCAACAAGTTACAATTAAGACTTCACAAATTAATATGCAACCTAGACAATTTTCTTCAGGTGGATTAACAGAAGAAAGAAAACAAGAATTAACAAATCAAATCAAACAAGTTCAAATGCGTTTTGAAGATGTTAATCAAAGAAAAGAAAATTTGAAACATAATTTAAGTCAAGTTCAAGAGGATATTGCACCATTAGAAGGTGAACGTAGAGAATATGAAAAAGCAGTGAGGTCAGCCAATGCTAAACAAAATGAATATGATAAGCTGACTCAAAGAGCCAAAACTTTAAAAGAAAAACTTAATAGATTAGAAGTTGAAGCTAGTAAAGATTATAGTAATGAGATTTCAATTAATCAAAAGAAAGTGAAACTTGTTGCACAAGAAAGAATGAGAGTTTTATCAGAATTGAGTATATCACAAATTAAATTTCATGAAATTGCACAAGATATTTCACTATTGAAAGTCAAACAATTTGATGACAAAAACAAGAAAAAATCTGTTGCAGCTTTAACTGAAGGTATTAGAGCCGAAATTAATGAAGTTGAACAACAATATGATGAAGCTAAAAGAAAATATTCACTTTTGAAAAACGATGAGAAAATAAAGGAATTAGCTTCAATTACCAAACAATATTCAGAAGAATTAAAAGCAAGATTAGAGACTTTAATTCTTGCGTATTCAGAACAAGGAATATTTACTGAAAGGGGTATTGAAGATAAGATTGAAAGTATTGAGTCTGAATTAAAATTATTAGGTACAAGTTCTAAATCATCAGTTAATACATTGGAAAGAATTAATGAACAATTGGATAGATTGAATCAAGAAATTCCAGAATTACAAATGAGAGCTAAACAAATCACACAAATCATAAGAGAAACTCAATCAGAATGGGAACCAAGATTACATGAAGTTATTTCCAAGATTTCTGCTAAATTTTCCACAATTTTCCCAGCTGTTGGTATAGCAGGTGAAGTTAGAATTGCTAAAGCTGAAAAATACTCAGATTGGAGATTAGAAATCATGGTTAAATTCCGTGAAGAAGCAGAATTAAGAGTTTTAGATAGTCATTCACAATCTGGTGGTGAAAGAGCAGTTTCCACAGTTATGTATATGATTAGTATGCAAGAATTAACAACATCACCATTTAGAGTTGTTGATGAAATTAATCAAGGTATGGATTCAAGAAATGAAAGAGTTGTTCATAAACATATGGTTCAAGTTGCATGTCAAGAACATACATCACAATATTTCTTGATTACACCAAAATTATTGACTGATTTATACTATTCACAAAATATGAGAGTTCATTGTATCATGGCAGGTCCTTGGACACCAAATCCAAGTGTTGATCAAAGTTATTTAGAACTAGGTGCAACTTCAGCTTATGTATGATCAAGATATTTTAAATGCTTCTACATGTATATTTTTTAGAATTCTATAATGTTTTATTTTATCTATGTTTAAGTTTTTCGTTTAAATCGTGACGTTTTGTTTTATACTATATACAAGTTTTTATTTGCTTTTTAACAGCTATGGTTTTATTTGTATTGATTATTCGATCATTGAAGTAATTTAATTGCATGTAAAATTCTTTCATTTGATCTTTCCAAACCTAAAAAGTTTATTAGTAATGGAATTTTAAGACCTGGTATACCACCACTTAATGCAAATCTTAGTGCTTGAAAAATATCTTTTTTCTTAAAATCTTGTTCTAATAATTTATTCACTCTTCTGTCGATTTCTTCAGGTGATTCTAAACTGATGAAGTTTTCAAGTATGATTTTTGAAGAATCTTTATTTGCAGCTTCCAGGAATGTTAAAGCATATTCATTATCATAAGTTGCATTTGATAATAGATAATCATAGTCTTGTATATCTGAAAGAAATGTGAAATTGTGTTTGACTTCATTGATCAATTTAGAAACAGTTACTTTATCAATATTTGGATATTTTTCTGAAAGTAAAAGTTGACCATCTTCCACAACAGAATCAAAATCTGATTCAATTTTTTCCAATAAATAATGTTTATTGAAGTAAATTAGTTTCTTATCATCCACTTTAGCATTACCTTTTGTTAACTCACTAACAGTAAATTGATTCTCTAAATCCTTTAGGGATAAAATTTCTGATAAACTTTTATTTGCATCTCTTAATGGTGACCAACCAAACAATGCAACAAAATTGATTAAAGCCTCAGGTAAATAACCCTTTTGCTTGAAATTCATAACATCAATATCTCCTGTTCTTTTACTCAATTTCTTATCTTTAGTACTGGTTAATAATGGAATATGAATGAATGATGGTGCATCCCATCCAAAAGCATGATATAGGGCAATATGTTTTGGTGTTGAAGGTAACCATTCTTCCCCTCTAATAACATGTGTGATATTCATTAAATGATCATCAACAACATTAGCAAAATGATAAGTTGGTAACCCATCAGATTTAACCAAGATTGGGTCATCATATCTAACATCCTCTGAATTTACTTGAGGTTGTAAATCAAGTGTACCGTGTAATAAATCTTCGACTTTAGGATAAACAGATGGTGATTTGAATCTAACTGTGAATGTTTCATTATTTGCAGCTTTGGTATTAGATTCCTCTGGATGTATATGAGCACATGATCTATCATAAGTAACTGTAGTTGGAGGTTGTAATTTCATTGCAGATTCTCTTAATCCATCTAATCTTTCTTTGGAACAGAAACAGCGATAAGCATCTCCAGAAGCCAAAAGTTTATCAGCATATTGTTTATAAATATGTGAACGGTCACTTTGTCTATATGGACCATATTTACCACCAATTATCGGACCTTCATCCCAATGTAATCCACACCATTTCAAAGAATCATAAATATTTTGTTCTGCACCTTGGACAAGTCTTTTTTGATCAGTGTCTTCTAATCTTAAGAGGAATTGACCACCTGTTCTTTTAGCTAATAAATAGTTGTATAAAGCAGTTCTTAAAGAACCTAAATGAAGAAACCCAGTTGGAGATGGAGCGAATCTAGTTCTTGCTGGAGTTGTTGGATTGACATTCTTCTTTTTCAGGATGTTTAACTTTTTCTTTGGCTTGAGCGTAAGCGTACTGGCAGACCTTATGAACCTCAGCATCTTGACTGAACCTCAAGTAAAAGATCTCTACTCTTCCTTATATTTAATTCAAATTCAAGCAGTATAAAAGAAAGGTAATAAGCAAAATTCGCAGGAAGTGTGTCCCATTTCCAGAAATCAAATCTCAAAATTTTTCTGAGCTCATCACAGAAAATTGAATCAAAACAAAATCAACTTTTAAACAAAATCTTTTAGTCTGAAAACCCACAGATACACAGTGGAAACAAGCTTCAAAAGCACCAGAAACATAGGACAAGATGAACCAGAGCCAGTACAGAGCCAGTGCGCTGGGAGGGAGCAGCAACGGGGTCTTTCAACACAGCAACAACAGCACTCCAAGACTCACAAAGACCAAGCATGTCACAAGACAGACCCAACCACTATCAGTGAGCCAGCTGGCAAATATTCAGGCCCAAGAAGGTGAGTACTGTTCTTAGCTCTTGAGAAAGAAATATCGTACTAACACTCAATATAACAGCTCAGTTTGCAAGAGAAAAGCTCAGCGCTAAAAAATCTTTCAATTTAGAAGATGATCTAGAGTTCTATCCAGACCATATTGAAACAAGAAGACCAATCAACATGAACCAAAGAATGATCATGAACCCAGCGCTTTCCCCATACAGCACTCCAACAAAGACAGTTTCTTACAATGGTCAACAACAGGTTCATAGATTAAGCGGTTATATCTCACCAGGTCATGTTATCAATTCACCTCAACATCAACAACGTGTGTTGAACCATACTCAAGTTTTCAATTCACCACAACCACAAAACATCGCCATTAGAGGTAGATTGGATTTATCAAACGTTAATGCTTCACCAATGTACCAAAACCAAGCTAATATTCGTCATTGGTGATTTGTTTTTTCTCCAATTAATGGCAGCTTTTTAACGAAATCATATGAAAATTATTTTACAAAGGAACTTTTATCATATAATATTATCAAACCTTATTAGGTTATGTCTTCAGTTCGTTGTTTTCTGCTTATTATCATCATTATCATCGTCCTTTTCCCATGAACTACAAAAATTATATTCATTACATTGCATTTCTTTTCCAATCCATGATTTTAAGGATTTATAATTTATTAAAATTCTCATAAACAACAAAAAAAAATGGTTCACCATGTACATTACATTTTATTCATTATTTACACAGTCACACAAACAAGTTTCTATTCATTTATTTGATTTCATACAGTTTTTTATTTTAAATACATCCATTGCAACAGAGAAGTTGACCCATTCGTTTTATGTTTACATATTTATTTTTTTATTTTTTTTTGATATTTGTTTTATTAGATTTTTACTATAAGGAAAAAAAGGGGCATACAGAACAAAAAAAACATTTTTTAATACATCATTTTTACGACCATATTAATTTCAAAAAAAAAGAATGTGCATATAAGCATTTCATCATTAGCATTTTATATTATATTATATATACAAATACATTTTACAAACAACTAGATCTAACTTTTCTAGAAAAAACAAAACACACTTGTACACATCTATTCGTAGAAATCATTTCAATATAATCAATAATAGCACTAATATAATAACAAGAATAATAATAGTAACCCATTGTCCATTCTCTTTTGCCTTTTCACTAAAATACTTTAACCTTTTTTGACCATTTGATAAATTTGAAGTATTATGATCTAATTGAGATTCTAAATCATTCAACAAGATTGTTTGATCATCTAATTCACTATTTATATCAAGTCCTAATTCTCTTTGTCTTCTAACACTTTGAGATAACATATCTAAGTGATCATCTTGTTGTAACATTTGTTGTTGATGTTGAATAAATAAATCATGATTTGATGCACTATCTATTGAATTTTGATCTGATTGTTCATCTTCATCCCCAATATCAGCAGTAACATTATTATTCCCAAACAATTCATTTGACTCGGCTTCATCAGCTGGATCTATAACTTGATCTTTAAAAGGTTTAAACGATTTGGTTTCTTTAGGTTTAGAATATTCTTCAACATGATCATTAAATCGTACAGATTTTTTAGTATTTAATGGTTTGGGTATTATATTTCTCTTATATTCAAAATCTTTAACATCAATAGTCTTGACTTGTTGCATTAATTCTTGATAAGTATCAACTAATTCATCATAATCTTCACCATCATCATTTCTTTCTAAGAATTTTGTAACTTTTGATAATAATTTCCGTATATCATAATCATTATCTTGTGAAGATACCCCTAATGATTGGATTCTTTCTGATTCTTCTAATAAAGATCTTAGGTCGTCCAAGTATGATTCTATGAGTCTAAGATTCGACAATTTCGTACTCATACTAGCTGTTTTGGTCTTTGATGTAATTCTTTAATAATTCGTGTCTTGTGAGAGCTAAATAAACTAGGTATAATTTCTAATATACAAATATAAAATAGAGCGCTTTTTTAGTTTTGGTGTCAAAACAGGCACAGGGTAAAATTCGCGCGCCACTTTGCGTGGTTTTGTTCGCCTTTCCAATATTTTGAGTAACTTTTGAGTGCTTTGACCCTTTTAAATTAAATTATTCTGCTTGTTATTAACTCATTAGGCAGTTGTTCTGTGTGTTATTAGGATTCACAGAGAGATACAATGCAGGTGTTTGAGTGGGCGTTTGGGAAGAAACTCACGCCTCAGGAGAAGTTGAGAAAAGTATGTTATCTAGAATATGGTAGATCATGAGATATGATGGACTAACCAAATATATCAATAGAATCAAAGAGCTTTAGAGAAAACACAAAGAGAATTAGAAAGAGAAAAAGTTAAACTAGAACAACAACAAAAGAAATTGATTGCAGATATTAAAAAATCAGCCAAAAATGGTCAAATGGGTGCTTGTAAAATTCAAGCTAAAGATCTTGTAAGAACAAAAAGATATATTGATAAGTTTAATAGTATGAAGACTCAATTACAAGCTATATCGTTAAGAATCCAAGCTGTGAGAAGTAGTGATCAAATGACAAACTCTATGAAAGATGCAACTAGATTATTAGGCTCAATGAATCGTTCAATGAATTTACCACAATTACAAAAAATTGCAATGGATTTTGAAAAAGAAAATGATATAATGGATCAAAGACAAGAAATGATGGATGATGCAATTGATGATGCTATTGGTGATGAATATGAAGATGATGAAGAAGCTGATGAAATTGTTAATAAAGTTTTGGATGAAATTGGTGTTGATTTGAATTCTAAAATGCAAAATGCTCCAGATGGATTAGATACTGGTATTGTAGAAGATGAAAGAGTTCCACAAGCGGTTGGAGCTGGTGGTGGTCCAAGTGGTGGTGATGATGAAGATGATGATTTACAAGCAAGATTGAATAGTTTGAAAAGAGGTTAATATAGCTTTATTATAACAAATGTGTACATTAGATGAGAAAAAATTCATTAATTTGATTTATTATATTATATATACAACTAGTTTTAGTTAATGGTGATGTAATTTTTAGAAACTAAATAATCAACAATGATTTTAGCAGATTCTTCAACTGATGATTTATCAGTATGTAAATGAATTTCTGGAGAATCTGGAGCTTCATAAGGAGCTGAAATACCAGTGAAATCTTTAATGATACCTTGTCTAGCCTTTTTATATAAACCTTTTGGATCTCTTTCTTCAGCAACTTCTAATGGGACATCAACGAAAACTTCAACAAATGGTAATCCACTATCAGCATGTAATTTTCTTGCATTATTTCTATCAACTTTATATGGTGAAATGAATGAAGTAATTGCAACAGCAGTTGAATCAGCAAATAATTTTGAAACTTCTGAAATACGACGAATGTTTTCATTACGATCAGCTTCACTGAAACCAAGATCTTTATTTAAACCAAATCTAATGTTATCACCATCTAATCTATAAGCTGAAACTTTATGTTGTAATAAATATTGTTCTAAAGCACAAGCAATTGTTCTATTTGAAAAAAGGTTAGTTTATATTTCAAGAATTATGTTATATAATTATTACTCACGATTTACCAGATGCACTTAAACCAGTTAACCAAATTGTAACACCAGCTTGATTAGTTAAAACTTTACGTTCATCATGAGTTAAATTTGGATGCCATGTAATATTTGTAGCCATTTTGATATAATTTTGATATAATTAATCTAAAATTTGAAAATATTCTCTAATCTAATTCAAATCAAAAAGATAAGTATATACATGAATCATTATAAATCATCTTGTATTGATAAATGTTGAAAAATTGATGTAAGAGCTTCTTCGAGATTATGTTGACAGTATTTCACGTGACAAATGCAAGAGGTAATCAAAAATTTCACAGCCAATCTGTGGCTTGAATTTACAAATCAGCAAGAATAAACCAGTGATTCTAGCCACCCCCATATTAATTTTGAAGACCCCGAAAGGCTTTATTGACATCTTTCTTTGATAAGGTACCCAGTACACTCTTGACAACTATATGATATAAACACAAAATGATGAGTTTATTTGATTCGATTCTCAACAAAGAAACGTCGATTTGCAAAACTGAAAAACGCGATTGTGAAAATTATCGGACTTTTATGGATTTTAGTATAGATTATCTCCGGACTATTATAAGGGTAGCTCATGCGCGCTCCGGTTAATTAAGAGAGTATAACAGTTAACTAGGTTGATTATGAGTTGTACTTTGCTTACTAAAAGAGGTTTATGGGAGCTACGTTTGAAGTGAATAGATCTGAAACGTCTTCTCTATAATGATTTTAGGCTGATGTATAGCTATATCGAAGCTGATTTAAGTAGATCAGCTATTAACTTCTAGATCTGTTATTATGAATAAGTTATCTATATTGATCATTCTATCATTCAATATGTACACCATTAACTTGTGCGTACCCGCAATTCAGTAATTATTGGGCCATAATATATGATTCCGATATTAACCTCGTTTAATTTTATATTAATGTCGTTTGATACTAGCTGTATGATTGATGTAAATATGTATTATAAAACGTTCATTGTTCTTCAGCATTATCAATTGGAAGTTGGAAGTTGGGATATATGACTTTGACTATGCAATTACATATTCCCCCGATTCAAATAACGTATTACAACTTCAAATCACATTAATTCATTCTTTTCATAATATACATTTTATATCTAATCTATCAATTATATCACATAAATTTCACAATTGTTAAGATCTAGTTTGAAACAGCAGCGGTTAAAGCTTGTTCAATATCTTTAATCAAATCTTCAGTATCTTCAATACCAACACTTAATCTAATTAAATCATCATAAATACCAGATTTGATTCTTTCTTCTTCTGGAATACCACCATGTGTCATAACAGCTGGAACTTCTAAAAGAGATTCAATACCACCTAAACTTTCAGCTAAAGTGAATAAATGAGTTGATTGTGTGAATTTTGAAGCACCTGAAGCACCACCTTTAACTCTGAATGAAATAACACCACCACCTAAAGAATCACGATGTTGTTTTTGAACAATTTCATAACCTTTATGAGTTGGTAAACCTGGATAATTAACAGATACGACATTTTCAGATTTTGATAAAAATTCAGCAATTTTTTGTGCAGATGATGCAGATTGCTTAACTCTTAAAGCTAAAGTTTTAACACCTCTATGAGCTAACCAAGAATCAAAAGCTGATGGAATAGCACCAAGAGCATTTTGTAAAAATGATAATTTTTCATAAATAAAATCATTATTTGTTGCAGCAACACCTAAGACAACATCTGAATGACCATTGATAAATTTAGTAGCAGAATGAACAACGATATCAGCGCCATGTTCTAAAGGATTTTGAATATATGGTGATAAGAAAGTGTTATCAACAACTAAGAAAATATTTGGGTTTGATGATTCTTTAATAATTTGTTTAACTTTTGAAATATCAGTAATTTTTAAAGTTGGATTAGTTGGAGTTTCAATCCAAACAATTTTTGTTTCAGCTTTAATCAATTTTGGTAACTCTTCAACTAAATCTTGAGCAAAATCAGTAGTAATACCATGAGCACTTGCAACTTTTGTGAAATATCTATGAGTACCACCATAAACATCAGCAATTGAAATAACATGACCTCCACTAGCTAAACTTTGTAAAATGGTACCAGATGCAGCGGAACCTGAACTGAAAGCTAAACCATATTTACCCTTTTCTAAAGAAGCAATAACTTTTTCAAAATTTTCTCTATTTGGATTTTGAGATCTTGAATATTCAAAAGCACCAATTGGTTTTGAAGGAGCAGTTTGAGCAAAAGTTGTACTTAAAGAAATTGGTGGAATAACAGCACCTGTTACTGGATCTGGTTCTGAACCGACGTGAATAGCTCTAGTTTGGAAGTTGTAATTGGACATTTTGTGATATACTTTTAGTAATAATAATGATGTTTAATTGAACCCATAACTATTAAATTACAGAAATCTCATCAGTTTTATACCCTTAATAAAAAATTCCTAAATAAACCTGCAATGTCGTTATTTGGCATGTGGCTCTAACCGTAATTTATCAAAGACACAAAAATAGAGTCCCAAAGCGGTAATCACAACGACACGAGCACAAATTTAAATACAATGTGATAACAAGTAGAGTTATGGCATATTTATGATATTTTTAATGTAACTATCAAATCTAAGACCATTGAATTACACTATATATCTCTCTTTAAACTATATATTTTAGCTAAACTGTGGCTTTATATTTCTTAAATTCATGGTTCATGGTGTTTGACTATAGAGAGCCATTCTGAGATACGGAGAGTTTTCGCGGTGCTTTAAAGGGAGATTTGTAATTTGTATACAGATTTAAATCAAGTTTCAACGTATTAAATCATCACGTGTAATTGCCTAATTGTGTCAATTATGATTGTGTTGATATCTTTGTGTAATTAAATAGTTTACCTAACTTTTAAGCTTTAACCATTTTACTTTGAACTATATGATCTTTGAATCCGATCCGAAATCTGATTATGTAATATACACGTAAGCAGAAATCTTTAGTACGTGATAGTATACTTATATGGTAAACTGGTAAGAATCAAGATAAATAAACACTACATCAAACATGTTTCATATATAAAGGTACATTAAAGATTGAAATTTTATTCTAAACCAACACTCTAATCGAATAAACCGAAACCCATATCATCATCAGATTCTTCTTTTTCTTCTTCTTTTTCTTCTTCAGCAGCAGCTTCAGTTGAACCTGAGGCAGCAGCACCTGAACCAGCAGCAGCACCTGAACCACCAACTGGAACTGAAGCTAATTTTTCATTACCTTCAGCAATTAATTCTTCAACTGATTTACCTTCAACGGCTTCGAATAATTGAGAGATTCTTTCTTCTTCAACTTCGATACCAACAGATTCTAAAACTGATTTGACGGAAGCAGCTGATGGAGCTGAACCTGAAGCGTTCAATAATAAGTAAGCAGCTAAGTATTTAGACACTAGATGTTTTGTTAGTATATGGGTTTCATGTTGGTTATATATGGGTTGGTGTACATTAAGGCATTTCGTGGAAATACTTGTGTAAGTTCTGTATATGAACATTATAACGAGTTCTGAAACCTTGGTTTGTTGACACTTTCTTCTTTGATAAAACTTTATTGTCATATACATCCTTTTCTTGTCAATCTCCACAGAACTGTCCTATTCTCTATAATCTTTCATTCCTCAGTACATCCATTTATACTCTATGTTTATAATATCTACTATATTCACCCAATAAAGTCCCCTAGGAACCGATCAAACAAAACAGACAGCACTCCACGAGCACTAAGTACATTTCTTCACCCTGTGATCTCCATCCTCACTCACTTTTCCTTTACTTGTGTTGTATCTTTAACTCAAGCACCTCAAGCTTCACCAACAACTTTTCACGATTAATTCATTTTTCACGCAAAAGCGATCACTGAACACTATCCAGTGGTGATCGGATGTTGAGCTTTCCATGAATTCCGCAGTCACAGTCACAATTTTTCTTAGCAGTGCACCAAACGAACACACGCAATTTTCACAAATTTTAAAGACAACTTTTAAAAACATCCAGACATCCACAAAGTACTAACATTCGCGACGCTCTGTGTGTGATTACCGGCTTTTCCAGTTTCTTCGCAGTTTGTGTGTTGGTTTGAAAAAATATCAATTCAAGTCAAAACCATTTGGATCATAGAGTGACTAGTTTAATAGTACAACCAAAGTAAAGCAAAAATGTCTGACGGTATGTGGTGTTATTAGAAGCTTAAAGAGTATATGAGAATCACAAGGAAATGGAAAGAATCAGTTCAATACAAGGTGGAACTATTTCAAATGGATTATTACAAAGTTTTCAATATGAGGGAAAAAAAATATTTGATTGTATGAAGAAAGAAGTAATTGATGTATCAAAATATCAACAACATTATTAATAGATCATAATATTTCGTATATTCAATTAAAAATGATTTAATAGAATCACTAGAACATGATTTATCTAGTTTCCAAGTTCATATATTTACTTTTCCATTTTTGAGAATATTATATACTAACATTTATTAAAATAGCTGCTACTGAACAAAGAAGAAAGAGAACTTTCAAAGCCTTCTCATACAGAGGTGTTGACTTAAAAGATTTATTGGAATTACCAACTGAAGAATTTGCTAAATTAGCTCACGCTAGAGTTAGAAGAAGATTCCAAAGAGGTTTAAACAACAAAACTAATGGTTTCATCAAAAAATTAAGAGCTGCTAAATTAGCTACTCAACCAAATGAAAAACCAGCTGTTGTTAAAACTCATTTAAGAAACATGGTTGTTGTCCCAGAAATGATTGGTTCAGTTGTCGGTGTTTACAATGGTAAAGTTTTCAACCAAGTTGAAATTAGACCTGAAATGGTTGGTCACTACTTAGGTGAATTCTCAATCACTTACACTCCAGTTCGTCACGGTCGTTCAGGTGCTACCTCAAACAGATTCATTCCATTAAGATAGATTTTTTGTTTAATGTTTTTTTCAAGGGATCTCATGTTGTGTATTTAAAATAAAGGAAAATAATGAAAATTAAATAAAATAGTTATTGTAGTTCTACAAAGTATTTGTTTATCAAAAACATTCATTAAATTCTTTTTAACTGTGGTTCTTAAACATTATTAATATTACAATATATTCATAGCTTTTAAATCATTATCAAGTTCTTCACCTTCAGTTGGTTTTAAATTTGGAGCTTTGGGGAATCCAAAATATTTATTTAGTCCCATTAATATACTAACTTCTTGATTAACTTGTGATCTTTGTTCAACTAATTCATCAACATATTCTGGAACTCTATATGAATATTCAGGTACTATAGTATCTAATAATCTTCTTTCTTTATTAATTTGATACCATTCTTTTGTAATATCTTTTAAATATGATGATCTAAAATCTGAAACTTGTTTATAAAATTGTTGATGAATTGAAGTTCTTTCAGCTTTTGTTTTCCTATCTATACTTTCAAATTTATATTTTTGATTAAGTGAAGCAAGCCTTATTTTTTCCTCTGTATGTGAATTTATCTTTGAATAAACATTTTGTAATTCTGGATGTGATCCATTTAGACACATTTCTAATTCTGATTTAAATCTTGACATTTTATCTTCATACAGACGATCTCTCAATTTAGCAAAATCAATTTCAATTTCTGTCAGATATTGTATAGCTTCTTTCCTTTGTTTTTGTTTTTCAAGTTCTAATTCAGCTTCTTTTTCTTTAACTAATTTTTGTTCTTCTGTTAATTCTTCTTGATCTTGATCTTCATCTTCTTGTTCATGTTCATTATCTTCTTCTTCTTCTTCTTCTTGAGCTTCAATGTCTTCTTCCTCGGCTTGATTGATTGTTTCTTCAGCTTTTGTAATGGCTTCTGATGATTTTTCCTCTTCACCATTCAAATCATTACCTGAACCATTTGAATTTTTCTCTATAGCATTTCCATTGACTTCAATTTTGATATCTTGATTATCTTGATCATCAGGTTCTGGTTCATTACTTGTTGTCTTCCGTGGTTGTGATTCTTCTTCCTTTTCCTCTTGTTCTTCTGTTTTTCTTCTCTTGAAAACATCATTTGAACCATTACTCAATTTACGTTTCTTTCCATCTTCATTACCACTTCCATTACCATTACCATTACCATTACCAATGCCATTCAATTTCAAATCATTTGGTTCTTCACTATTTTTCAATTTTTCCACTACACTTCCAACATCTTGACTTTCAATATCGATATCTTCATCTTTATCTTCAGCTAATTGATCAATATAATCTTCTTTGACAACTGTGGTTTCTTCTCCTTCTTCTTCTTCTTCATGCAATGTGGTATCATCTTCTCTCTTGGAGAGTTTCTTTAATTGTGATTCACCTCCATACATTTTTTCAGTTTCTGCTATTGAGTCTAAATCACTTAAATCAGAACTTTCGTCAGATACTATGCTTCTTGATCTTTCCTCGTTAGTCAAAGTATTCGTTACTTCTCTATTGGAACCACCGTTTCTAGTGTTATTGTTGGAATGGTCTAATTCAGGCTCTTTTTCTGTGGTCATTGAAGGTGAAGAAGTTGGGAGATCTGACAAGGGTGATGTTCTTTCCTTTTCACTGTATAAATGTCTCTCTAATATAAAGCGTGTTAGTAAAAGCTCTCAGTGTATTAAAATTCAAGCAAGTAAAAGAGATCACACGTAAATATCTCAAATGGCTTCAAATTTTGTGAAACAAATAAAAATATACTCACTTTCTGGAAGGGCCTCTATCTCTGTCATATGTGATGATGGACTTGGTCAACAGGGCGTAGAACAAAAGAAAAAATCACAGGTATGTATTTGATGAGAAACTCGAGGTTATTTCGAGTCCTATATGTTGATGGTGGATGTTAGAGTAGGAGACTTTTGCTGAAATGTATCAATTCTCTGTGTTTCTAGTTAATAACTCATTCAAGACTCAATGAAATCGGGTATAGCTTAATAAATACTCACTTTCAAGCTTTTGAGATGATTTGTACTTCTCAGTAGTGTATCCTATTTGGTTGGTTGTTTCAAGGACTTGGTAGCACTCAGAGTACTATGATGATGTGTTTCTAGTGGACGACTACCGCTTTGAAAGAGTTGAACTGGGTTGAAACTGGCTGAATTCGAACTTCTTTTGTTATTGTGTGGATTTTGGCTTTAAAGATAAAAACAAATTTGCGGGTAAAAGAAAATGTGTTCTCGATCAGACTCCAAAAGGGGAAGTGGTTATGTTTACACTGGTGGCTCTCAGTAAATTAATTTTTTTCATACTAGTAAAATTGATTTGTATGCGATGAGATGAGCTTGAAGTAGTTGGAGATCCAAGTATAGAGTGGTAATTCTCAGTGGTAATATAATAGAATATGTCAGGTATTAGCAACTTGTTTGGGAACTCGAAGAAAGACGAAAGTTTGCTTGGTTTGTTCGGGAAGAGCAGTGGTCCTGTTAAAAGAGTTGATGCACAGAGAACAGTGATAAAGGTTCCAGAATCTAAAAAGATTGAAGCTACAGAAGAAGAAAGTGAAGAAGGATCTGGTAGTGAAGATGATAGTGAAAGTGCTAGTGGTGAAGGAAGTGAAGATCAAGAAGACTCAGATGAAGAAATGGAAGATCAAGAAGAAGAAGAACCAGTTGTTGAAAAGAAAAAAAGAAAAACTACAGATGAAGATGATGATTTAGAAAGTAAATATCTTGGTAAACTATTAAAAGAATCTGAAACCAACGAAGCTGAAGAAGAAAAGAAAGCTGAAGAAGAATTTGATTCCGATAGTGATGAAGAAGATGAAGATAAATCAAAAGATGAATCTAAACCTGTTCAATCTGGTGAAGTTAAATCTATAGATTTTAAAGAAAAAGAAGTTGAAAAAGCTCAAAGAACTATATTTATTGGTAATTTATCTGCTATTGTTATTAAAAATAAAAAAGATTATAAAGAATTGAAAAAATATTTCACTCAATTTGGTTTAATAGAATCTATAAGATTTAGATCAATCTCTTTCAATGAACCAATACCTAGAAAAGCTGCTTTTGTTCAACAAAAACTACATGAATCAAGAGATTCTATTAATGCATATATTGTTTTCAAGGAAAAAGATGCTGCAAGAAAATCATTAGAAGCTAATGGTAAAGTTTTATTTGATTTACATTTAAGAGTTGATTCAGTTTCACATCCTTCTAAAATTGATAATAAGAGAACAATTTTTGTTGGTAATTTAGATTTTGAAGAAAAAGAAGAAGAATTATGGAATATTTTCAGTGAATGTGGTGAAATTGAAAGTGTTAGAATTGTTCGTGATTCAACTACAAATATGGGTAAAGGTTTTGGTTATGTTCAATTTAAAGATTTTACATCAGTTTCAAAAGCTTTATTAATGAATGAAAAGAAATTAGGTGAAAAAAAGAGAAAATTAAGAATATCAAGATCTAAAAGAGTTAAACCAACACCTCAACAAGGTCAAAATGGTAGAGGTGGTCCAAGACAAGGTCAAAGACAAGGTGGTAACAATAATAATAACAAACAAAGAGCATTAAGCAACTTAACAGATGATCAAAAAACTAAATTAGGTAGAGCACAAAGAGTCTTGGGTAAAGCTGATAGATCTCAAGCTGGTCAAGTTGTTGAAGGTCAAAGAGCTAAAAAAGGTGATCGTGTCACTGGTGTTAAGAATGGTAAGAACCGTGTCAAGAAACCAAGAATCAGACAAAGATCTACTGATTTCAAAAACTTATCCAAGAAATAATGAAGATCATCATCATCATCATCATCGTCATCATCATCATCATCATAAAACAAATTCAACTTCACCTGTCATGTCAACTGCGATGTCAACCATAAAACCTTTTTCGGTAAATGCCACACAAACTTATCCCGATTAAGCGTTAACCCTTTCAGTGGTTTTTAACTGATAGCCAAAAAAAATTAGAAATCTAAAAGGTGTCAGAAATTTATATAAAAAGCCACTATAATCCATGTATTTTAATGAATTGTAATTACCCCTTTGAAGTAGAGAAACTCATTTCAACAGCAAGCTTCGTAATCAAAATGGGTTCTGCTTCTTCAACTTTGAAAGACAATAGAGATATTGAGAAATACTCATATACACAAGATGATAGGGATGATGAGATCTTAAATGAAAAATTGGGTTCTGTTAAAATCACGCCACAACAAAAATCATTATCAAACGCTACTACCAGTAACACTAAACCTTCAGTTAATAAAGATGCTGAACCAATTGTTTTAGATTCAATCAATGAATGGGAAACTAAGTTACTTTCTGATAAGAAGAACTTGTTAACAATCAATGCATTGGCACATAATTCGATTGTTAATGTTATCAAAAACCATAAGCAATTAACTAAAGATTCTGTTGATATTTGGAATACTCAAGTTTCAATTGAAGGTTCTCCAATCACTTCACAAAAATCATCAGGTAGATGTTGGATTTTTGCTTCAACTAATGTCTTTAGAACATTTTATCAAAAAAAATTTGATATTGAAAGCTTTGAATTATCACAAGCTTATCTTTTCTTTTATGATAAATTGGAAAAATCAAATTATTTGTTGAATAACATTATTGAAACAGCTGATGATAAATTAGAATCAAGAGTTGTTCAATCAATCTTATCAAATGGTCTTAGTGATGGTGGTCAATGGGATTTTATTGTTAATTTGGTTAATAAATATGGGTTAGTTCCTAAATCTGTTTATGATGATGATTTCCATGCTCAAAACTCTTCAGCTTTGAATTATGTCTTGGTTAATAAATTAAGAGAGTATTCTATTGAGTTAAGAAGATTGATTAATGAAGAACATTTATCAATTCCAGAGGTGAACAAAGTTAAAGAAAAACAATTGAAAGAAGTTTATAACATTTTGGCATTATTGTTAGGTCCTGCTCCAAAAGCATCTGAAACATTCACTTGGGAATATAAAGATAAATCTAACAAGACACATATTGTTAAGACTACTCCATTAGATTTTGCAAGCTTAGTTGATTTACGAATTGATCAAACATTCTCATTGATTAATGATCCAAGAAATCCATATAATAAATTATATACAGTTGATAGATTAAACAATGTTATTGGTGGTAAACCAATTGATTATGTTAATGTTGAATCATCTGTTCAAAAACAAGCAATTGTTGATTCATTGAAGGATAATCAACCAGTTTTCTTTGGTTGTGATGTTGGTAAATTCCAAGACAATGGTGTTTTGGATACTGAAGCATTTGATTATGAATTAGCATTCAATACCAAGTTGAACTTGACAAAAGAACAAAGATTAAAAGTTGGTTCTTCTGCAATGACACATGCTATGGTTATCACTGCTGTTCATATCGTTGATGGTGAAATTCAAAGATATAAGATCCAAAACTCGTGGGGTGATGCCGCTGGTAATAAAGGTTATTTTGTTGCTACAGATAAATGGTTTGATGAGTATGTTTATCAAGTTGTTACAAGTACCAAATATGCACCAAAGAATTTAACAGAGATTTGGAAGAAAGGTGATTATCAAGTCTTGCCAATCTATGATCCAATGGGTGCTTTGGCTTGAAACTTTGTGTATCATAACTCTCAGAGTATAGCTGGTCTACTACTTTATCAAATCTGATACTTTTTATATGCTTTTATTGGAAAATAATGATTTTTTAGTTCATTTTGTAGGCTCGGTACAATTCATTATATTGATTATGTAATTGTCACAATAGTAATGTGTCCTTTACCATTTTAGAGAAATAGTAAACACGTATAAAGAAATAAAATTTAGCAAAAAAAATGAACAGATTTTTTAAATACTCAGTTAATCAGCTTTTATTTCCACATTCATTATACACATATTGTTTTCATTTGCTTAATTCTTGGAAACCAATATTTAAATGGGAGTTTTGGCTATGTTCAACAGATTACAGATCAATATATTTTTAGGAATAATACTTCTCGCAGTTAGCATATATTCATTAGTTATACCACACAAACAAAACTCATTAATCTGTTCAGATATAGATCCAAAAGATTGCTATCCAAAAAGTTTCGTTCCAACTGATCAGTGGCAAGTCGTACGGGAAGGTCAAGAAGTTCCAGCTGGTTTAGATTTTAGTATTGATCTTGAGAAGGGTATTAAATTGGCTAAATTAATCGAACCGGAAGTTCATCAAACTAGTTCTGTTAATATTAAAGATACATCAGAAGATACTGCTGCTGCTTTGAAAGAAGCTATTAAAGAAGCACCAAAGAAAGTCGTTAGTAATTACGATTCTGAAGACGTTGAAGAAGATTCAGATATAACTGCACTGAAAATGGCTGTTCAAGGCGCTGAAACTCAAATAGATGTTAAAGATGCTTTGGTATATATCACATCAACTGATCAATCTGATGAAGTATTGAAAAGCTCATTAGATTCTTTAACTGATCATTCTCATAACTTGAAAGATGGTGTTTTAATCTCTCAACCACAATATTTTGATAGATTAGTTGAATTAGCTACTGACAAAAAGCACTCAATTATGGTTCAAGAAATGTCCTCAAGAGTTATTGCTCAATCATTAAGACATAATCCAAAAGCTCTTGAAAATGTTCAAATTACTCAAGTTTTACCGAAATTTCTTGCCGTTCTACAAGATGAAGATAATTCAGTTTTACAAAAGAGAATATTAGGTGTCATTTCAAGTTTAGTTCAAAGTGAGGTTAATGTCGCCATTTTCAAAAATTTTAAAGGTGAATCAATTTTATTGGACAATTTTAGTAAATTTAAAGAAGACTCTAAAATTAGAGCTTTAGAAATTTTAGAAGATGTTAAAAAATACAATGGATTACAAAAAAGATCAAATGAAGATGATTTACTAAATTCAAAAATATTCAAAACCATTCAAGACTCGTTATCAAATAATGAAATTTCAGATGACCATAATTTGGAGAAATTATTTGATAAAGCTGTTGAGTTGAAATCTGAGAACAAACATTATAAAACAGATTCTCAATTTTTACAATGGTTGAGTAAACAAGTTGAAGATAGAAAATTAAACAAAAGAGATAGTGACTATAACGATGAATTGCACAAGAAATTGCTCGAGGCTAGACATGTCGTTTTTGGTAATCCAAATGCCTTGAGAAAAGCTTTCGTTGATGAATTATGAACTTTTTTCTCAAATATCTTTATCTCATAAATTTAATAATTATCTCAAGAATATTAATTTTAATATAATTTATAATAAAAAAGGGAAATCCTCGTCGTATTTATATTTTTCTCTTCAAGTTCCAGATGGTAGTTTTCTATGGTTCCAGACTCCAGTTGATGTTCCCCCATACGTGTCTCAAATCTCGCATATAAAATAAGAGATCAAAGTATTAAGTTTATGGGTTAAAATTAGCTCAAATTATACCAAAATTGATCATTATTCTCATGTTTTGAGCGCCAATCAAGCCATTATTCACTCAAATATGGATTGTTTTCCAGGTATATCGTTTGACACATGGGACGAAAATCTTCTCAAAACTGATAAGAAATTGGAATATCAACCCGTGTTTTCTATATGTGCGAGTCATTTTTACCCCAGAGAGTATATTTTGATAAGAAGTTTGAGTAAATTTATGTGTCTTTGCCCTTTATGATTACTAATTACTCGTTAAATTTATGATTAGATCTCGTTACTCAGAATATTTTCATTTTGCTTCATTTATACTCATTTACACATATTGATACACTGAGAATCATGAACATTATGCCGTGTATTGATAGATATAAAACCATGGGCTTTTCCCTTGGTATAATTACAATGATACTATACTTCCCAGGTATTATGATTAGTTAAGATAATTAAAAGGCATTAAGGTATGGGGATGATAAGATTACATTCTGTTATTAAGCAGTTTCAACAAGAGTTCAAAGAAATATACAAATCTTGCATCATGGGTATGTCACCAACTTCAACTAAAAGAAAACGTGAACAATCATTCGACTATTCTGAAGAAACATGCTACCCAACTCCATCTTATGAAAAGAATGATTATTTCTCTGAATCAATTACTGAAACCCCATATTATGAAGCAAATGAACGTGTTATGAATCCATGTGTTAAGACGCCATCTATTGAAGAATCAAATGAATTTGATGCTGCTACTGTTGCACCTGCTAGTGTTAGTGCTACTACTGCACCTGCTCTTTTGACTCCACCTGATACTCCTGTTGGTACTCCCACTGTTACTCCTGTTGGTACTCCTGTTAGTACTCCTGTTGGTACTCCTGTTGTTACTCCTGCTGTTACTCCTGCTGTTACTCCTGTTGTTACTCCTGTTGTTACTCCTGCTGTTACTCCTGCTGTTACTCCTGCTGTTACTCCTGTTGTTACTCCTGTTGTTACTCCTGCTGTTACTCCTGCTGTTACTCCTGCTGTTACTCCTGCTGTTACTCCTGCTGTTACTCCTACTGCTACTTCTGCTGAAAGGTTTGTTGAAAATCATGATGATTACGCTAATGCTGTTGTGAACCCTCTTGAGACATCACCTTCTGGAGGGGATACATTAACTGATGATTACTTCTCACTTCCTAAGGCTAAACGTCGAAAGCTCTCAACACCAAAAGCATCAGTTGATAATATCAAAAAGTTCTTTTTAAATCGTTCGAATTCACTGAAAATCAAAAGAAGATCAATTCTTTCAAGACTTTCAAAGAGCTCAAAGGTTTCAAAGTCTTCAGAGACTCCAAAGACTTCAAAGAGTGATGTTATTATCAAATACACTGCCAATACAGTCAATAATGAATATGCAAATGTAACAGATTTACCTCCTGAATTACTATATAAGATATCAGATTATGGTGTTTCAAAGTTTTTAATGATGAGAGTATGCTCTAGATTTCTGGATGTCTTTGCTCCAACTATTTATACAAATATCCATGCCATATGTTGCTTGAGAACCAATAAATATGCTGATGGTGAGGACTTCACATCTTATACAAGAGGAAAAAACGGTAAAGAAATGTCCAGGTATTGGGCTTGCAAAGGTGATCAAATTGAAATTATTGAAAGTATCCCAATTGAATTGAATGCATTGGGTGGTTATAGGCATAGAAGAACGACATTAATAGCAAATTTTGAAGAATTAGTGTGGTTTTTCCAAAATGTACTAAATGGTAAATCAAGATTGAAAAGATATGTCAAAAATTTCACTATGGATTTTGCATTCATTGATAGTGTTACAGGAACAGATCTTTTATTTACAAAATTGATTGATCATGAATTGAAAAAATGGTCATCAAACACGAAGACTATTCAAGTTTTGAAATCTTCAACTTTCATTACATATGACTTCAAATATATCTTGACACATAAATTAAATGGTATGAGATTTAAATGTAAAGAGGACAAATATGATGCATTGGTTGAATTATGTCATGGATATGGATATATGATTAATGATCGTCGAACAAAACACATGGTTGTCTTGACCCAATTTTTTGATAATTATTTAAGTGGTGAAAGGTTTAGATTGTATAAAGGATTCAACTCCAAGCGGTTCCTTAGATGGTTTGCTGATCCTTTCAAATCCATACATATAAAAAAAGTTAATCAAAAAGATACACTTAGTCTTTATGAAGAATTTATTGAAAAATATGAAGGTAAGACAAGTGCTATGGAATTTCCACTTTCTTATATTCCAGATATGGATTACATGAAGAATACTATCAAAATGATCATGTCAACATTTATTGCATTACCAAAATATATAAGAGGACAAATGTTGTTAGTTGATATTGCAACCTCTAAATCTTTACCTGGTGCAGAAATTTTCCAAATTCATCAACCAATCTGTAAGATTGTTGATGTTAATTTTTGAATCAAGAGGTCTAAAATGAGATCTCTCAATTATATTTACGGAAGTTACTGATTAAACTGTATTTCATATACATATATATGAGTTGAATTTGTCAATTAATGAAAAATAATGAATTGTACATATATTAAAATTGGCATCACTCATTAAAAATACTGTTGAAAAAGTATCTGATTTATATATATAAATCAAAACCTGTATTTAGCATTTTGTATTTAATTACTTTTAGATACAAATTATTCTTGTTCATTATCTAAAAACTTTGGATCATTTTGTAGCCTTGTCTTGAATTTATCCCACCAATTATCGAAGTATTTAATGTTTATTTTACCTTGATCATCAATAAACCCAGTCAAGTAATTATACGCATGTTTAACGATTTTATTAGCCAATATTGCCGTAGTGTTTGGATTATTCGGTGTTACACTTGAATTGAATGCAGTAGCTGTCAGAGCTTTTTGTTTCCCAATTGCTTGTTGTTGTTGTGATAATGCTTTTGCTTCAGCTAATTGCCTTTCGGCGTCAGCTATCGGTTCAATTGAGATCCCCACAGTGATGTTATTTATAGGATCATTTGGTGAATCTGTGTCCATATCCATTTCGTCCATAATTTGAGGTGATGTTTGTATACTATTATTTAATTTGAAAATTGCACTTGGTTTCGTTGATGATATTGAACCAAATAATTTGAAATCTTGATTCGGTAATTGGAAGAAAATCAAAGCTGCAAATTGTGGATCTAAATCAATATTTGGTAGAAGAAATAATGTTATGTGTGATATTTTTAAACCATTTTCAATGTTGATTGCGTATTTGTTTGTATCTATCTGTTCTGCAACTTGAACTTTAGGGCATTGTTAGTATTTGAAAGATCTCTTCGTACTAAATTCATCAAAACGTGTGATACATACCAGGTCTTCCTGAGCATATTGATCCAAACATTTCTACCGTGTCTATAATGTTATTTTCCCTCTGATATTGAGCTGAATTCCAATCCTGATCTTAATCTTCAGTAACAATTCTGTGCTAAATGTGCATTTGATATAAAAATGTCAATTGTGTTTCCCGGATCGAATATTTTCGAGATTTAATTGAAAATTTTCCATCAATTTTTTCTTTATGTTTCTTGAAACTTCTTTGGTTAACTTTGGTTTACTTTCGAATGTTTAACTCATTTTTTGCTCAGTTAATTGTTTCCATTCAATTCTGCTGGTCAGCTTCTGGTATACGGTGTACACTGGTCTTTTTGAAAGGTTTCAAACAGACTAGACCTTTCATTGGGCGATAAAGAAGTTTCGTTTATATTCTGGATTGGTTGGAATGGGTCAAAGAAGTTGTTCACACGGTTCAGATTCGTTTGGATCAGAATGATAACTTTGGTCTTGCTCTACCTTTCTAAGAAAATGATTCACTGATTCGATACAATTGCCCTAGATTGACTGACGAAGTTTTTACATATTTTCCATCTTCGCGTACTTGAGTACAACTTTAGTGTGATAGATGAATATGGAAAAGATACTTCTTTACATTTTTATATATAGTATTTTATAGTTTTATTTTTGTTCGTTTATACACATTATTCATTAAAATAGACTGTTTCATCATTCGTTAGATTGTGTAATCACCCACGTTGTAGCACATCCACCATTAATTCCAATGATTGATTCATTCAATGGAAATTTATGGATCTCATTAATATAGTCAAAAGTGACAGAGTCAGTCTTATTGATCCCACAATTACCATGTTCACCCCAACCCCATGATTTAATTGATTGACCAATTTGAAGTATTGTATGTTCACTACCAACTTCAAACAAATCATATTTTACATAATCACCTAATTTTGTTAATTGACCATGACTATCGTTACCAATTGATAAAATTTGACCATTCGATTTGATGAAATGAACTGAAGACCACATCGCTTTGAAATCTATCCACTCATTGGGTATTTGAGATGTAATACTAAACTTATCTTTACCCAAGATTTCAATATTTTGGTCTAATCCACCCAATACTGTGAAATCTCTTCCAATTTCAATATTCATCACTTCAAAACCAGTTTCAATTTGACGTGGTGTCCAAAGTTTGGAAATGGCAGGCTGTCCTAATTTCCCACTTCTTCCATTACCCCAACCAAATACTTGACCGTTCTCAAGTAGTATCACTGTATGATCAAGGCAAGATTTGATCTTTTTGGTTTCAGAATTGAATGAATGATCTATTTTCTTTAGTATTGTAGATTTACTGGCTTTTTCACCTTGACCAAGTTCCCCTTTCAAGCCAAAACCAGAAGAATAAACTTCTTGTGATTCATTAACAAATACTGAAAATTCATAACCAGCACTGCAATCAACCCATGGAACACCACCAATACGAGGTACTTGGGTAAACCTTACCACATTATCACCTTCAGAATCACTCTCTAATACAATACCACATTGGCCATGTGTATTATCACCAGCAGAGAACAAATCACCATTCTCCAGTAAAATCAGCGTATGATTCCCACCACAAACCACCTTCACCGGCCTAAATGTGGTCTCAAACACCCGTTCGAGCTGGTTCAAATCTTCATCAGTACCGTTCCCTAGCTGGTATCTCCCATTGGATCCACACGAGTACACATAAAACATTTCATCGGTCCTCCTCCCTTTAATTAAGTCTAAAATGTGTCAAACTTCACCAAATCTTCAATCTAAGAATCTCGCACTCAATTTTATTTTCGCACTCAAAAAAAGAAAATTGACGTACACGCAAAAAAAAAAATATATGAAATTAAAATTAAAAATTAAACAAAATATTACGCGCGCGCTCAAAATTTAAAGCTTTGTTTTGTTTCAATTTGGTAAACATTGCAGTGATTCAACAGGTTTATTGCTGGTGATTCCAAGATATCTGAGTTTATTACGAGGTAATTTGCTGCTATACTCTGTGTTATACTACTGTGCTGCTGAAATCGCTGGAAAGAACCATTAAAATCGAGCAAATATCGTCAAAAGTCGAGATATATACTGTGAATCAACATATAAAATATGGCCTTCGCTGATTGGGACCTTGAAGAGACACCAAAAAAACCAGTGGTACAGGTGCTAGACTCATCCCCATCCTCTGAACAGTCATCATCTGCTTCTGCTCCAAAGCCAACTTATAACCATACAAAATTGTTTGGTAATGTCAAACCTAAACCAATTCATAATGAAAATAGTGAAACAAATAGTGCATCAAATCTGAGAGAGAAATTCTCATTTAATGGATCAAATTTAATGAGTCAGAATAATACAAATACAGGCTCTGTTAGAGATATAGAGATTTTACAAAAATTGTTTCCAAGTATCAATGTTAATTTCATTAAAGCTGTCTATAAATCAAAAGGTAATAAAGATCTTAAATTAACTAAACAACATTTAACTACCGTCATAGAGAAAAGAAAACAAGAAGAAATTTTGAAAAAGGCAAATACACCAACACCTATCTCAGTCTCCGAAGAAAGTCCAAGATCTGAATCATCTGAACCAAAACATATTGAAGTTAGTTCATCACCAGTGGTCTCGCCGCAAAAAGCCGCCTCATCTAAAGTTGTTCTTAATAAGAAACAATCTATTCATCAAAAATATAGTACAACTTATAAGAAACCTGCTGAAGATGATGTAACAATACAAGAAGAAGCACCAGCTCCAAAGAAAAGACGTCTTGTTAGAGGTTCAAGAAATCATACTCCTATAAGTCTTGATGATGATAGTAATGATGAAAATGAAACTAAAGATGATGAATCTTCCAAAAAACCAACCCTTGCTTCAAATATTAGAGCTAAAATTGCAATGCCAAAATCTATTTCAGCTCCACCAAGACCCCCACAACAACCAACATCTAAAACGAAAAATAAAACTGTTGATTTAGATGATGAAGAAGCTGAAGAAGAGGTTCTTAATGATGATTTCAGTGATTCTGATGTTGAGGAAGAGGACTCTGCTGTTGTGACATCATCTATTGACGATTATTATAACCAAAAAACTTTAGAATTTATGAATTCCGCTGAAGATCGTGATATTGTTGATGTTACACAATGTACATTTGAAATTGCTGCAAATATTGTTAAGAAAAGACCTTTTAGATCAATTAATCAATTTGAAGCTTTAAATTTCAGAGATGAAGAAGTTAAAAGAAGAAATAAAACTGATGGTGAAACTGTGAGTACTAAAGCTAATTTAGTATTGAGAGGTTATGCAGCTGTTGATAGTTTGGTCAAACAATGTAACAAATATAGTGATACCATTTCAAATGAAATTGGGAAATGGGGTGTTAAAGTTCATGGTGTTAACGATGAATTAGAAGTTGTTGATGTTAATATTGAAGATAGTGATGAAGAAGATGATGGATTTTTAAAATCAAAATCAAAATCAAAGCGTAATGGTTATTTCAAAGAAAAACCAAAATATTTATCTGATGAAGTTGAATTGAAAAGTTATCAACAAGTTGGTATTAATTGGTTAAATCTTTTATATAAAAATAAATTAAGTTGTATTTTGGCTGATGAAATGGGGTTAGGTAAAACTTGTCAAGTTATTGCATTTTTATCATATTTAAAACAAACTGGTGTTAATGGACCACATTTAGTTGTTGTACCATCTTCAACTTTAGAAAATTGGATGAGAGAATTTCGTAAATTTGCCCCATCATTTGTTGTTGAACCTTATTATGGATCACAATTAGAAAGAGAAGATATGAGAGAAGTGTTAACAAGTAGATTAGATGAAATTGATGTTATTGTTACAACTTATAACTTGGCCACTGGTAATAAAGATGATGCAAGTTTTTTAAAATATGCTGGGTTTAATGCAATTGTTTATGATGAAGGTCATATGTTGAAAAATAGTGCATCTGATAGATTCCAAAAATTAATGAAAATACGAGCAAAATTTAGATTATTACTTACTGGTACACCATTACAAAATAATTTAAGAGAATTAATGTCATTATTAGAATTTATTTTACCATCAATATTCGTTTCTAAAAAAGAAGATTTAAAATATGTTTTCAGTCAAAAGGCAAGAACATATGATAATAAACCAGGTTATAATCCATTATTATCAGAAAGAGCAATTTCTAAAGCCAAAAAAATGATGGCACCTTTCATTTTAAGAAGAAGAAAGGATCAAGTTTTAAAACATTTACCACCAAAAGTTAATGAAATTGAAAAATGTGAAATGGTTGAAGCTCAAAAAATTGTTTATCAAAGAGAAATTCAACGTGGTATTGAAATGAAACAACACAAGACTAAAGTTTCAAATATCTTAATGGGTTTAAGAAAAGCTGCTATTCATCCATTACTTTTCAGAAGACTTTATACAGATGATAAAATTAAACAAATGTCAAAAGAAATTATGAAAGAATCAGTTTATGCAGATGCAAATCAACAATATATTTATGAAGATATGGAAGTTATGACTGATTTTGAATTAACAAAATTATGTGAAAATTTTTCAAGTATACAAAAACATCAAGTTAAACCTGAAGAATATTTAAATTCTGGTAAAGTTAAACAATTAGGTAAAATTTTACCTGAAATTATTGCTAAAGATGGGAAAATTTTAATTTTTTCATTATTTACTCAAGTTTTGGATATTTTGGAAAGAGTATTATCAGAATGGTCTATAAAATTTTTAAGACTTGATGGTGGTACATCAGTTGAAATTAGACAAGATATTATTGATAAATTTTATGAAGAAAAGACAATTCCTGTATTTTTATTATCAACAAAAGCAGGTGGGTTTGGTATCAATTTGGTTTGTGCAAATACAGTTATTATCTTTGATCAAAGTTTTAATCCTCATGATGATAAACAAGCTGAAGATCGTGCACATCGTGTTGGTCAATTAAATCCAGTTAAAGTTATAAGATTAATTAGTGAGAATAGTATTGAAGAAAATATGTATCAATTAGCATTGAATAAATTAGAATTAGATAAAACTATGAGTGGTGAACAAATTGAAAGTAAAGCTGTTTCATATATTGAACAAATGATTTTTGAAGATAAAGATGACTTAAAAGATAAGATTAAAGATGGAAATCATAATAATAAAGAAATTAATGATGAATTAAAACCAAAAGTGGAGGAGATAAAATCTGAAGATAAGGATTCAAATGATACCAATGGGGTTAAGAAAGAAGCCAATTCAAATGAAGAAGTTGTCGAAATTGATTAAAAAGATCTCATAGATTCATAATGATAATAATATAGATATGTAAACTAGTTTTCAAGTCTTGTAATCTACATTATTTTTCAATTTTTTATAAACGTAAACCAGTACATTATATTTTTCAACTTTTATACAAAAAAAAATTGTAAATCAAACCTCATTAAAACCATTAAAAATAACCATAAATATACAATATATAATTCCAAAGACTTTATAATCTATTGAGGACGTTCAGCCATTGGAGTAATTCTATAACAATGACGAACTTCACCAGAGTTCCAATCAAAAGTTGCAGAATGTAACAAACGACGATTATCCCAAACAACAACTGAACCAGGTTCCCATCTTGCTCTAACTTGTAAATCAACAGAATGGTCAAGGAAATCAGTTAATAAGTTTAAAATTGCATCACTTTCTTCTTGTTTTAATCCAATAATTTGTCTAATGAATGCTCTACCTGCAAATAATGATTTCTTTTTGGTGACTGGATGGGTACGAACCAATGGATGAATAGAAGCTGAAGGTGGTCTTCTTTCAATACCACCTGAAGCATTAGATTGAGCTGCTTGTTCATATGAAGAATGAACACATTTTAAATCAGCAATCATTTCTTTAAATTTTGGTGATAATCTATTATAAGCTTCTTCAGTATCAGAAAATAAAGTATCACCACCAGATTCTGGACCTTGTAACATTGCAAAGAAAGTAGTACCAGGTGGATTTTTTTCATAAGTAACATCTGAATGCCATCCCTTTGTATGTAATCTATTACCAAAGACTTTTTGATATTCATTTGGATCTTTACGACGATAAGTTATATGAAATTCTGGATAATCTAATGGAGCACCTGAAGATGGATGAATATGTAAAGGACCAAAATGTTCACCAAATTTCTTATTAAATTCAAGACCTTTATCTTTTAGATCTTGATTTCTGAAAACAACAACACCTCTTTGAGCAACATAAAGAGCTAAATCATCTTTACCTTTAGAATCTAATTGAGATAATTGAACACCTTCAACTTCAGTACCTAATCTTGGTGATAAATTTTTAAATTTGATTGAATCTTTTGCAGATGGTGGGAATAAATTTTTAAATTCTGGATCAGCATAATGACCTCTATCAACAAAATCCTTGTTAAAATCTTCAGGATAAGGATCCAATTTTTGTTTTGGATCCCAAGTTGGTAACCATTCTTTATAATCAACATATTGTTGATCTTTTTCACCAACAGTTAAAATACCAGTTTTTGGATCAACAGAGTCTTGGTCTTTACGATAATGAATATCTAAATTTGTATAACCAGAGTCTTTTGCTTGTGGAGTTGGAACTGGAGCTGGTTCAGCCTTAGCTGTGATGGTAGCAGTGGTAGTAGCAGATGGAGCCATGATATACTATAATATAATATAATAGATCTTGAAATAATCTGATGAATCTATGATAAACTTTCCGGAAAAGAATGAAAGAAAGGGAATTTCATACCTCTTTTATACTTTTATAACCAAACATCACCATCAGTACTCCGTCAAACGTTTCCATGTCATTTTTTTCAACTCAGCTATTCATTAGCCATCATATTTTCCTAATCAAGATACAGTTGATGATAAATTAAGACACCACAGTTTCTCAAGTGCTGAACCACGAACCACAGTCAATTTCCTTATCGAGTCCACCAGCCGCAACCCTGGGTCCTAGATTCCCATCAGGTACCTAGTTATCCTTATCAGCCACACCGTACTATCACCACTTAGTCCTACCAGTTCTTAGACATTTCATTACCTTCACAACTTTTGAGTTTTCTGATAACTGATAACAACTGGAAATGACTTTCAGCACGTATAAAAGTATTAAAAATCGCTAATAATCTGGAGATTTCGCAGAGTGTGTGTCCCCTACTTATTTTTAATTGTGGCTTTTAATTCTGTATAAACATTTCAATTTCAATTGTGTGATTTTAAAATATAACGAGTGATGAGAAGCTGATTATAATTTGTCAGATGACATTTGGTGCTGGTGAGTGGCTAGTAATGGGTGTTTTCTTGTGCTTGGTTTTGCTCGTGCTCTCGGTTTACTAGGACTGGCCAATTACGTTGCTTTGCGAACCGAGTTGTGCAATTAGTATACAAGTATGATTTTGTACTGATAGAGGGTTGATGGAGATCTAAACCTAACTAGCCATAAACGCTATGATTGCTTGTAATATTCATCAACTTCTGGGCTTGTAAGTTGTAACGCGTGGTACGTTGAAGGCTCGAGAGAGGGGGGGGGGTTGGTTTTTGTGGCTAGAAATTATCATATCATATTTCATCAGATCTCATCATATTTGTGTCTTTGTGATTTCAAGGATTTTTGTATACAGTTATACGTGAGACAAGTATATTGCACTGATATAGAGATATCAGAGGGTATACCGTTGAGTAAGAGATTAATAGGCTGGTACAATGACAGTTGATCCTTTTGTTAGTCAATTGGGATGGCTTGAATGTTCTACAATGGCATTGAGCGTATGCTTTTATACCCATTATTTGTAATATCAATCAAATGTATATTTGACCAAAAGAGCTAACAATTATATTCATTCCAGGGAATTGTTTATTTCATAAAACATCCAAGTTTATGGTCATTCTTCTTATCAATAATCATTCCACATGCAATCATAAGTTCAATTGTATTCTTATTTATGTTTTCCACAGTTTGGGTTCTTTATTTAACAATTTCAGTTGTTTTTGCACCACTGAATCCAATGGGTCCATGGTTTGCTTGGGTTAATTTTTTACATCAAGTTGATATGGTTTCACAAATTGCTTCAGATCAATTATTATATCAAACTCCTCAACAATTATTATTTGATGCTGTTTTATCTAAAAGAGGATTTGATGATGTTGTGGTTAGAGGTAAATTATTTAGATCTGTTAAAGTTCCATTATTAACTCAAATTGAAAGATGGTTATTAGATCTACCACATAATTCAATTGAATATCCATTATGGATGATTAGTGCTCTGTTATCAATTATTTTCACATTTGTTCCACTTGTTGGTCCAATTGTCTTAGTTTTCGTTAATGCTCCAAATAGAGGTTATAATTTCCATAGTAGATATTATGAATTGAAAGGAATTGATACAAGACAAAGACTTGGTTTTTATTCATCAAGAAGATTAGAATATTTTACCTTTGGTATAATGACTGGTGTTTTACAACAAATTCCATTTATTTCAACTTTTTTCGTCTTTACAAGTGTTACAGGTGCTGCTTTATGGGCTGCTGAATTCGAAAATCAATTTGCTAAAAGAAGACAAGGATTAGGATTGAATGATGTCAAGTATAATCAAAGAAGAGATGCTATAATAATGGGTCCTTTTTTCGAATTTGCTTCGCGTGGTGGGCTTCCGTCATTAGATGAAGAAGCTGAAAGACGTATAGCTGCTGGTGAACTGTATAGAAGTATAATTGCATTTGGACAACCAGCGGCAATACCTGTGGGTACAACTACTAGTGCCATGCACTAAAAAGTTCAAGGCTCAACTTTTTTATTTAAAGCTAATTTAATACAACACTATCAACACAACCAAATCCAGCTGCAACACCACCTTCATTTGATGATTCAAATTTTGATCTTAATAACCAACCTGCATCATTATTTGATAATATTTCTCCAGATTCTTGATTGAAAACAATTGTACCAAATCTACCTAATTCACTAATAATTGGTTCATTATAAATTTCACCATCTCTAAGGATTTTATTTTGATAATGTTGAGGATGAATTAATTCCATTAATATATAACCTGCCCAATCTTTTTCAGGTATTGATTTTAAGAAATTTGGAATATCTTGTTTGTATATATTATTACCACCACCTTCTCTTTGTGGTTTTAAAACAAAATTATCTGGTGTTTCTAATGCAAGTTTTTTAGCATCTAAACCTTTTGGTGAATTATCTAATGGATAAATTGCAACGAATGTATCTAATAATTGACTAAAATTATTTTCAGTTTCAGGATTTTTTGTAATAAATTTTGAAATTATTTCTTCATCTGTTAAAATTTGTTGAATTTTTTTAGCACCTGCTAATTGAGTTAATAAAGTTGGAGCTTTAATAGCTTTTGAAGTTTCCAAAATTAATCTATTATCCCAATCTTTTTGACTATTAAAATCAGTTGGTGCATAACCAGATCTAAAATAAACAACTGAAACTTCATCATTTGTTGACTTTATAAATAATTTTTTCGAATTCGGTTCAATAAATGTTTTAGATTCAATTTCTGATAATGTAAGCCTTATTGATTTTATACCATGATTTGATAATAATGCAAATTCTAATAATCTTTGATCAAATACATTTCTTTCACGATCTTGTACAACAACTAAAACTATTGTTCCAGTGGATTTTTTTTGATTATTATAATAATAATCACCATCTGCAAGACCATCACTTAATTTTTTAATTGAATCTGAGATTGGTAAATCTTCAGTCTTGTAAAATTTTGAAGAATCTTCATCTAAACTATAATCACCATGATTATTTAAATAATTGTGTAATTCACCAACTTTTTCAGATAATCCACCAAATGAAACACTAACAGTATTGAATTCAATTTGTTTAATTTGTGGTTTTTTCCCCTCAATTTCATTAACCATATAATCTGATCTGAAAATCCCAAGGGATAAAGGTTGAACAATACCTTGATTTTTAGCTTTTATATAAGTTTCCCATAATTTACCTGTAAAATCTGAATCAAATTGTGCTAATTCATCAATAATACCAAATAAGAATTTTTCATCACTAGCGACTTTAGCATATAGTTCATTAAATAACAATTGAACATCTTTTGCGTCTTGAAATGCAACTTTTGGGAATGGAGTTGGATAAAGAGTTGTTGGAGCGCTAACTGGTTGATAAGATTTAAAATTTGGTGGATAGATTACCAATCCATTGGCCAAGGACCATTGAAGTAAGTTGTCCACAAGGGATTCTTCTTGTGACTTTTCTAATTGAGGAAATGCAGCAGTGACCATTGAGCAGTTTGTGATGTCGTTTTGGGATCTATAGTCTATTTTAGTTGTTGTTGAAGTTCAAAAGTTGAGATCAAAAATATTCAAAGATATTATAAATCCGCATCTCTATACCCGATTGAAAATCTGACGCCATAGTTAGTGATTGTGTGCGCGATTCTAATATCAATTGATAAAATCAAATCTTAAAACTTCATTAAAACTTCATTTGAATACATATTTTGGTCTCTATTTCTAGTACATAACAGATCGTTTACCTCCTCTGTTTGTATTTTTCAATTTTTACTCTCTATTCTGTGTGTTTTTCGGCAGTTTAAACGAGCTATATTTAAATTGGTATATGATCGGAAACATCATTCCAAACGTAAATTGTACACAACTCCACCATCAGAACATAGATTTCACTCTAAAAACTACTAATGATAGTCAAAAATAAGTTATTTTATCATCTAACTATGTTAAAAGTCCAAAAAAATAGCTTAAAGCAGCAAAAAAATACGGATGATTGTCTAAAGACAGTGCTTTGGACGAGTCCGGAGTCGAACCGGAGACCTCTCCCATGCTAAGGGAGCGCGCTACCAACTACGCCACACGCCCGTATTGATTGGTTTTGTAATCCGCTGAATAATTTTCATATGCTTTTTGCTGAGTCATTGCTTAGTCAGCTTTGATAAAATCTCGATAAACCTCTTAAAATTTAAACCTTATTTTACACCAAATTCCTTAAAACAATTTTAAGCACTTAGACACTCTTTCTGAGCTCAAAAGACAGTAATTTTATAATCATATTGTTGTTTTATTGTTGTATTAATGTTTTGACACAAAAATTTTGTTTACTTTTCAAAAAAACACATCTCGGAATTTTTCACCTGTGAAAAAAAAAATTATAACGTCTGTCAAAAATATCAGATCATATTTCGATAAAAATTTTATTCAGGAACCGTTAACTTGAAGTGACTAATCATTATAATCTTTACAAGTCCTCACAATATATTATACTTGATACTAAGATCAAAAAGGGGATTGATTCATAGACCACATAAAGACAACAACAAATTACATATACAAAATATAAAAAAGAAGAAAAATGACAATAAATGAAGATTCAGGATCTAGAAAAAGAAGAAACATAAGTAGAGGAGGAGGAATTTCAAGAGATATAGTTACCCAAAGACATCCTTTAAATGTCAAACCTTCAGGTAACGCATTAATTTATAATGATTCCAAACTTTTAGCGAAAAAAGCACATCAATTAGGTGATTTACATATATTTAATGATGAATTATTATTAGATCTCTTAGGATTTATTGATGATGAAAAAGATTTAAAAAATTTAAGTCATTGTTCTAAAGTTCTTTATGCATTTGTTTATGATGAACAATTATGGAGAAGTTTATATATGAAGAAAGCATTTAATGAATTGAAAATTTTCAAAACCAAAGCACCAATTTATCCATTAAATATATCAAAATGGAGAGGTTCATGGAGGAAAACAATGTTGGGATTAAATGAAGAGGCAAATTTACAATTAGAGGAGAATTTATTATGTTCAGATGTATTATTTAGACCTTATCAATGTTCACAAATTAATTATAAAGAATTATTCAAAGATTTAATATTTGAAGAAGAATTAAGTTGGAAATTGAAAGAAACTCAAAATAAAAAATATGGTATCAAGAGAATATCTGAAGATTTATTAACAAATGATTTATTTAATTCAAAACATTATTTAAAACCATTCATATTAACAACTGATAATAAAGAAAGATGGCCAACATGGACTTTAGATGAATTATGTAAAAGATTTGCAAATGTTCAATTTCGTCAAGAAGCAGTTACATGGCCATTAAATTTTTATTCACAATATTTTGCAAAAAATCAAGATGAATCACCATTATACCTTTTTGATTGTCAAAGTAAAGCTATTAAAGAATTATCAAATGAATATAAAGTTCCTAAAATATTTGAAAATGATTTATTTAAATTATTTAATACAGTAACATGTCGTCCTGATCATAGATGGTTAATTGCAGGACCTGAAAGATCAGGTTCAAAATTTCATTTAGATCCAAATTTTACAAGTGCTTGGAATGCAAATGTATCAGGTATGAAACTTTGGATAATGTTACCACCAAATATTAAACCTCCAGGTGTTGGAACTGATGAAGATGAAAGTGAAGTTACTTCACCTTTAGGAATTGCTGAATGGATTTTATCAGGTTTTTATAATGATAGTATTAAATTAGCACTTGATGGTAAATGTTTAATTGGTATAACTTTCCCTGGTGAATGTATTTTTGTACCAAGTGGTTGGTGGCATAGTGTTATTAATTTAGAAGATTCAATTGCTTTAACACAAAATTTTGTACCAACTGGTGTATTACCACAAGTTTTAAACTTTTTAAAAAATAAAAAAGATCAAATATCTGGTTTCCATCTTGATGATTTTATAAAATCATTGAAAACTTTCATTAAGGAAAATCCAAATATTGAATCCAGAGAAATTTTTGAAAAATTTTTAAATGATATTGCAAATAAAGAAATTGATCATGAAGATATTGGTGAATTATGTTCTGATGATTTAAATTTACCAATTTATGAATTTTTCATTGAATTAATTAAACAAGATGAAAATTATAATAAAATTTTACCAAATGCATTAGAAAAATTAAAACAAATTGAAATTGAAAAATTAAAAAATAAACCAAAAACCATAGTTCAAAGTAAAATTTGGGATGAATTAACCAAACAAGCTATAAAAACAAATAAAGAACCTGAATCTGCATTTTCATTTAATTTTGAAGAAAGTGATGATGAATAAATAATCTCTTAAAAACTTGAAACTTTTTCATTTTCTAAATCACCAACAATTTGATTTTTAATATCTAAAAATTTTAATATATGAGGATAAACTAATTCTTCAATATCATCACCCCAAATTAAATCTAAATGTTCATGTTCATCGATTCCAATAGCTTTTATATCATCTGTAGGTAATAATTTTAACATTTCATCAATATCAACTAAAGAATCTATTGTACCATATAATAATCTAATTGGAACTTTAATATTTGTTCTTGAAGGGAAATTTGGAGTTTTAAAAGGTTTTGAAAAAGTGTTTGTTATTGATAAATCTTCATCAAACATTTGAAAATTTGAATTTCTAATTATTTGAAACCAATGAACAATTGATTTAACAGAAGTTGGAGAATACAGATGTGAATAACTTGAAATTTTTTGATTAAAATTAATATTTTTAGATTTCCAATTAAATAAAATTTCATTTGATAAATCAATAATTTTAACAAATAATGGAGGATAAATTATTGATTCCCAAAAAGATGCAGTTGGTAATAAAGTTTTTTTACCAAAAATCAGATACATTATATTTGGTGAAGTTTTAATTAATGCATCAACAACTTTATGATGTAACCCTCTTGGAGTCATTGCAGGTGAAAGGGCAATAAATAATTTAATTTGTTTATTTAATAAAGGATTAATTGATAATGCAGCAAATGCTTGAGCAGAACCTTGACTGAATCCAATATAAGTTAATGATTTTTGATTTGTATAATTCAAGATATAATTAATTGAATCTGGAATATCATATATAGCAAATTCATCAATACTAAAGTCCCAAAATTTAATATCATTTGGTTTTAATCTAATATGTTTTGTTGAATATTTATTACCTCTATTATTACCAATAAAGACGTCAAACCCTAAATCATGTAATAAAAATGGTAAATTTTTATGTTTTTCAATATTTGTACACCAAATATCTGAACACATTAATAACCCATGATGAAGATAAACAATTGGAGCGCCTTGTTGTTTTGGTTTTATTCTATGAAGACAAAGTAGATAACCATCTCTTGTTTCCACTATATGATCATCAATTTCATAACCAAATATAGCACCAATATCTAATATAGATTCACAATTTTTAATTTGATTTCTTAATTTTAACATATCAATATATTCTTTTGTCTTGGGGATAGCTAAAATTTCTTGATCATTTGGTGAAAGGATAAAGAAAGTATAAAATTGATTTAATAAATTTGTAAATAAATGAATTATTGAATTTGGTAAACATTTTGTTATTATTGATATTATGAATTCAATATAAGCAAATAGAAAAGATATAATAACCAAAGGCCATTCTAATAGATTCAGTCTTCCCAAGAGCGGTATAGCCATGATTGAATGTGAGTATGAATGAAATGGATTTAAATGAAGCGCTTTGTCTAATGAACACTTATTATCAGGTCTTTTGTTGTTGATGTTTACAAGCAATCAAATATAAAAGATTATAAAATACCAGCCATATTTGCAAAATGGTGTCAAAATATGCTCGCGAATGAGAATTATGTGGGTGTGCTTAGCTAATCAAGAGAATAATAATTTATTTAATTTGTAAATTGATTGATTATTTTATTAGTTAGTATAGTAATTTTAAATGTAGTTAAAATGAACAAGCTATTAGCTATCTAATGGTGGTATTCATAGTGTATAATTCAGTGTTTGAAATTTAGACCTTTTTCAGTTCATCAATTTTATTAATCTCAATAATTTTAATTTTACTTTAAAATTGAAAGCAATGAAAATAGTCAAAAATTTTTTCTTAGAATTTAGACATAAAAAGTATATAGATATAAACTACAGGTCATTTACATCATAAATCATCAATTGTATCATACAAAAGATAATTATTAACTCATATAGTACTGTTTAATTAAATATGGTATAATTATTACCAATCACTTACATAATCAGAACAGCATCATTTACCCGCTCTTCCCGGCCATTTCTCATTGCTTCAAAGTTCACTGCGTTGCACACTGACATTCAACTTCCCTGTGATTGGCCATGTCCTTTCAGCTCATTTCCTCCGAGCTGCCTATTCTCCAGATTTTTACTACCAAAGATTCATTCGGTTCCGTTTAGTCACACTATTCTCATTCCGATTTTCAACGGGTTCAAACTTGATTAAAAGTATTGTGAAAAGTTGATTTTATTAGATCACTATTACCATCACTATTATCACCATCATCGTCATACAACACATACAAACATGCTATCTACAAGACTTGGATTAGGTTTATTAAAACCATCAAATAAATTCTTAACTTTAAAATCACAACAAATTATTTCAAAAAGATTTATTAATCAAGTAACAACAACTCATGAACGTGAACAAGAAATTTTAACTCAACAAAGAAAAAATAGACCTTCATCACCTCATTTAACTATTTATCAACCACAATTAACTTGGTATGTCTCTTCATTACATCGTGTTACTGGTGTCTTATTAGCTGGTGCTTTCTATGGTGTTACTGTTGCTTATGCCGCTGGTGATTTATTTAATTTAGGTATTGATTCAAATTCAATTGCTTCATATTTCCAATCTTTAAGTACTCCAACTCAATATGCTATTAAAGCAACTGCTGCTTTCCCATTCTTCTTACATGCTGCTAATGGTGTTAGACATTTAATATGGGATGCTGGTAAAGAATTAACTATGAAGGGTGTTTATAGAACTGGTTATTCTGTTTTAGCATTTACTGCAGTTATTGGTACTTTTTACACTTTTTTCTAAATCAAAGGGCATTATTTAATTCATATTTATAATTATATATAACAATTCATTCAATATTCGATAAACAATATAGTTGTAGTATACTACATTTTCTTCATTATCAATTTTCATTTATTTTCATTTCATTTTATATAATTCAAATCATTAAAAATTGATCATCTTCAAATTCATTCTTTATAAAAAAATTAACATCAAATTCATTATCATTATTTTTATTATATTCATTATATTCATTATTACTTAATTCATTATTATTATTAATATTATTATTAATACTATTATTATCATTATTATCTTTATTATTAAAATTATCAATATGTCCACTTTCTAAACAATAACAATTTTCATTCCCACATTCTTCACAAATATCAAATAATGATGTATTATTTGTTGTTGTTCTTGATAATCCATTACATTCCATTGGTATACTCATTGTACGATCTAATCCAATACTTTTAAATGGATTTGTTTGATTTTGAAAATTAGAATCTAAATGTTCAGGTTGTAATGACATTGATCTTTCTAATTTTATAAATTTGGGTTTTTTATGATGTAATTCATGTATTTCACTTAATTCATCATTAATAGTTCCTTGAACTTGTTGTTGTTGATTTGAAGTTGAAGTTATTATAGATTCTAAATTTGGTAAATTTGATGAAATTTCTGAATCTAAATTAAGTGAAATTGGACTTGGACTTTCTTCTTTTTTAATAAAAGGTAATGGGATTGGACTAAATTCATTTTTAATTTTAATTTCTTGTTTTGGTTTTGGTTTAATAGGTTGTTGATGTAATGTACTACTACTACCAGTAGTATTTTGTCCAATATTTTGTTGAACTTGAGAAGTTTGAGTTTGAGTTTGAGCTTGAGCAGCGGCGGCAGCAGCGGCGGCAGCTTGTTCCTTTTTTGTAGGTTTCTTCTTTCTATATTGACGTTTAGTTCTTTTAACTAAATGTTCTTGTTGAATTTTAGTTGGATCTATAGTACTTGGAGAAACTTCTCTTGAATTAAAATTACTTGGATTTATAGGAGTTGAAACTTCAGAATTTAAATTTGATAAAGAATCAAATTGTGATATTGGTTGATTATTTAATAAATTTGGTGAATTTATTTGAGATTTATTTAAATTTGAATTTGAATTTGTTTGTAATGATTCAATTTCTTGTTTTAATCTTGATATAATATTTTTTAATTTTTGATTCTCTTCAGTTGCATTATCTAATTGATTTTGTAAATTTAAATCACTTGTTGATTTAGAATCAGCTTCAATGTTTGATAAATCTGATTTAGATTTATAAAGATTTAATCCTGTTAAATTAGAACTTAATTTAGAAACATTTGATTGTGATTGACTTGATTTCATTGATATACTTGAAACACTTGAAGCGCCCTGTGTAACACCTTGTGTAACACTTTGTGAAACACTTCGTGAAGCATTTTGTTGATTCTTTTTTTGTTTTTCACTTGGTTTCCTACCAGCTTTTGGTCTTGGTGGTAATACCCATTGTTTTGAAGTTATAACACAAGGTAAACTTTGAGTATCAAGATTTGAATTATTTAAAGATTCATTTTTACTATTTAATGAAGTTATTGTACTTGAATCATTTGAAAATTGTCCATTATTACCTTGTTGTGGTTTTGGTGCTAAACTTATTGGAGTTGGTTTTGGAGCTAAGTTTATTGGAGCTGGTGCAATTGGATTAAAATGATTTTTATAACTTGTTGTTGAATGTGATTTAACTAATGGAATTGAATGATTTAAATGATTCATATTAATTAATAACTCTATGATTTTCCCTATTCCTTATATGTTTTTTTCCTATTTTATAATGTATAAATAATATAATTGTATAATAAAAAGCAAAATGTATGGATATAATATATGAAAATCTTGTAAATAAAACTTTAAATCATGTGAGCCATAAAACAAATAATTGAATGAATAAGTTTACCAATAATACTTTGAAGTAATATTGATACTATCTCTGTGTTTGGTTCTTCTTTAATCTTTGTTTTGATGTAAAAATTTTATGTCAAATTTTGAAAAACCTTCGAGAAATTTTTAAACTTATGCAACACTTTTTTCCTATAAAACTTGAAATTGAAAAGTATAAATTGTTGTAAACTCCAGAAGATTTTATAAAAGATATAAATTGTTAATAAATCTAATGGTATATCCCAAGCGTTGTAGTTTTAGTTTTTGTTTCCACTTTGTAATATGTTTTAATGTCACTTTTTGGATCTGACCGCGTATAGGGAATTTAGGATTCTTGAATCTTGAGCCAATCTTGAACCGTTAAAGATAATATAGACAAACGAAAGTTGTAAGAATAGATACGATATTTAATAAAACTGAACCTATTTCTTGTGAACTTATAAAAAAGATTTTTAATTAATTTAAATTGATGAGATTTCAAAATCTTATTATATTGTGAATTTATATTTCAAAGTTATTCATTTATTAAAAAATGTTCTTTTTACTCTTCTTTATATTAATTTGTAGTTTTGAACTTTTTTTTTTGCGTGGGTTTTACAAAAATTGTTTTTTGGCGTAAATTTGTTAGACGTTTGTTCCTTTTTCCGTTGAGAAACGGGATATGAATCAAGATTTAATAACTAAATATAAAGCAATTGATCAGATTTGATCAAGATTGAATTAGCAATGGTGTTAATAAGAAATGTTGTAACTTGTTGATATGTTTAATTGTTCAAAGCCAGGTTGAACGGGGTTATTACCATTTCTGATTCTTAAAAAAGGTTTAATATTGTTAAATTATATATGCCCCTCGATTCAAACTACAATTGAATGCCCCCCTAATCTCGTACTTAGTTTTCCTTTTGATGCTTTAATACCAGTAGTTTAAGTCGTTCAACATTGTACGTTGTGACTCTAGTCTTTAATAGTAATATGGTACCTCAATTCAGCCATATGATTAATGTTATATTACAAGCACAAGTACTCATTACACAACGGTTATAGGATTATTAAGTGTTTGATGTCTATTGGACGGAAGGGAGTCAAGGGACCTTGAATTAGATGGACACCGATCATAATTGATGATCGTTTTAAACCTTTAAACCTATTAGAATTTACTACCAGCGTTCGTCATTTCAATTCAAAAGCTTTCTTGGTGAAAGTAACTTTATTTTAACCGAGAACTACTTATATACATATGATCTGTATCAAGATTTCAAAAGTACATAATTTAAACCTGATTTACCTATTTTCCCCTTCTCTTATTGAACAGATTACAATACACATAGCCTTATGATCCACTACGTCTACATCTAACTGTTGTAATATCATGTTTAAATCTCATCTGTTATATCGGTTATCGTTTATTCTATTGTTTTGTATAATCTTGTTCATCCTGTTCATCCACTTGTCTAAACTCCAGAATGATGCTTTGGATCTTAAAGCCTTTAGCTTTGGCTCCTTGGCCTTTGGGAATCCTGCCTAACTTCCTTGAACCAGCTCTGCCCAAGTTTCTGCCCAAGTTTCTGCCTAGCTGGCTGCTTGTAATTTAGCAGACGCATCCCACGCATCCCACTGCACAAGAGATCCGGAGAAAATTGGAAAGGAAATTAAAACCAGAAAATTTAAACATTCCGAGGTTCCGATTCGTTTTTGATTAAATTCGCGGGTTCTTTAAATTTAAATCAAAACATAAACAAAAACAAAGATATAAGTAAATCTAGCTAATTAATAGGACACAAAAAATAATCATCATGAGACGTTCAACAATTGGTAAATCATCATCATCATTGAAACAAAGACAATTATCACATTTACATTCCCAATTAGCTCAATTAGAAGCTAATCTATCTGATTTTGATACATTAATTCAAACAACAACTTTTCAAGCTAATTTTATTAAAAAATTGGGTATAATGCATGGAAGTTTGTAAGTAATTAATCATTTTAAGAATTATTAAAGAGATATATGTACTAATATTATATGAATTATAGGCTGATTTCAAGTCAAAAAGTTTTTGAAGATGCAATAACTACTCAAGAAAATTTTGAAGAAAATTCAAATCAAAATGAAAGTGATGAATTAAATACAAGTTTTGATAATGAGAATGAAAATGAAAATGAGAATGAAAATGAACAATAAATTTTGAGCTTTGGATTGTTGGATATGATCTAAGGGTCTAATACTGGCTTAGAAGATTAGATTTAAATGGTAGTTTTATCAATAATAATAAAAAGAATGGGGTTCCTCACGTTTAAATATCAAAAATGGAATATAAGCTCGTGTTGTTCCTTATAAACTCATAAGTTCATGACAAAACTACCAAAACATTCTAAGAGGAAATGTAAAATTACTAACTTCTAAAAGTTGAGTTTAAATCATCATACAACAATTATAGAGATAGGTTTATATTAGATTGGATTCAAAGCAAGACGTAATGGGTTATAAAAGATATATAATAATATTTATACATTTCACAAAAGAAACAAAATTGCCATTTGAATCCATTTGAATCCATTGGGATATTATATTGGGAACAATCCAAAATCAAATAATATTTGGTATCATAATATTTTGATGATTATGTACAATACTTTACAAGATTATTCAATTATCTTTCTTTTGCACTATACTCATACTGTGCTGTCACTTGTGGTTTACTTGGTTCAATATATATCTTTTACAATCAATAATTAATTATACAATGACGTAGTTGTGATCTTAAAATTAGCCGCTGACAAAAATTTAGTTTAAAAATCGTGTTTGTGTAAATTATTTTTATATTTTTTAAAAGAAATCACTTGATCTGATTTTTTCTCTTTTCTTTAATTTATATATCATAAGTTATAAATCATAAGTTATAAACGGAATTTCAACACCATATCTGTTCTTTTCGATCTTTTCTGGTATTTTTTTGAAATAAAATTCATAGAAACTACACAGCTACCTGATTATTCACTTTTGAACCATTTAAATACCTGATCACTATAGCAGGTTGTCACTTGATTATTTCGAAAAACCAACTCTCTTCAAAGTTTGATTAACATTTAAAGATTTTGATAACTGTTTATATTAGTTCATAGTTGATAATCTTTTGAATGTATGACATTTTAATTGATATTTAAATAATTGATTCTTATGATCTTTCGTTTTATTTATCAATGTTTCATTAATTAGTTATGAATTTGTAGTTTTCTAATCAATTGTAAAATTATTAGCCGCTGTACCAAAACAATATAAAAAGAGTTCAAATTTCCCATTTTTACAAAAAATTAACAAGAATTTGAATGATAATATCCAGCAAATTAGTTTTGTCACATTTGATAACTTTAAATTTTTGAATATTATATCGATGAAATGGTAAATGAAATCGTAAATGTGTTTTCTTACAACAATGTTGTCTACTCCATTAGTGATCATTCTGTTAGGTGAATGATAAAATCCATTGATGATGATATTCAATTGTAATCAATAATTTGAGATATATTTGATCATATTTTTTTAAGAAGTTGATTCATTGACAATATTAATCAATAACCATATGATATTTGTGAATTTGAAAACAAACATAATCAAAATACACATTTATTTAACCATTTTTTTAAAATGAATTGTAGCGGTAAGTGGATCATAATTATCATCATGATTTATGTATATTTCATGATTTTCGCGAATGTTTAACTACGGGAAAAAAAAATGTTGATGAAAAAAAAAGCACCATATACAAAAGACATATAGTGTTAATATAGATCCATATACAACTCATCTTTATAACAATATGTTTGGTGCTTTTAGACAAACAACCGTTGCCTTTGGTGGTCTATTATGGAAAACTCCATATAAGATGTCTCAAACTCAAAAATTTAGACATAGAAAAAGACTTCAAGCAGTTGATAAAGTTATTGAAACTGTTTTCAATGGATTAAAAGCAATAGGTGAATCAAATCCAAAAGTTAATAATTTTTATTATAATTTCCCAAAAGAAAGTGAAATGACACCAAGAGATAAATATACTGTTTTTAGTAAGAAATCTAAAGGTTATAGAAAACCTGTTCATAAAGTTCCAAAATGGACTAAATTAAGTATGAGAGAAAATCCAAAATATTTTTAAGTTTTATGTGGTATAAAGTTGGTAATATATTGAATGAATCAAGGTTAATACAGAGCTATTGTGGTTTCATGAATGAAAATATTTAAAATATTTTAAAACATTGGTTATAAAATTGGTTCAATATTGATTCTTTGATTTCATTTCATTTAAATGGGGATATGATTAATATATGAATGTATATATAAAAAGTTGGTGTAAATAGTATATGATTTTTATGTTTTATTTAGAGAAATAATTTGATACATGTAGATAAAAGTGAAAACATATATGTTTTATTAAATTATACATTTATGATTCTGAGATATACTAATTTCTTATAGAGCGCGCTTGTGATATTTGTAATTTCAGGTTATAATATTAACTCTCCAATTGCTGATGGATCTGATTTGTTTTGATATCTTTTCTCTTCCTAGTCAAACCTTGAAACTATAGTATTCTTTAGACATTTAAAGTCTTTATCTTGATATATCTATTATATTATCAATTTTTTATTCAATTTTATCCCAAATATAATTTGATATAAAAAAATCACTTAATTTTTCATCACCAAAATTTAAATAATCATTAAAATTTTTTTCTTTATTATAAATAATTAATTCAGATTTTTCATTTGTTTTTATACCAAATTTTTCATAAATTGATAATTTTAATGTATTTTTATCCATTTCATCTAATTCATCAATTTTTTTTAAATTTTCTAAATTATTAATCTTGATATTTAATTCATTAAATTCATCTAATAATAAACTTAGTGAAGTTGATAAATCTTGTTTTTGAGTTGTTAATTCTCTTAAATTTTTATTTATTGATAATTCTTTTGATTGATTTTGTTTTATTGAAGATTTAATTTCTAATCTATTATTTGAATTTTCTAAAGAATTTAAATTTAAAGAATTTTGATTTAATTGATCACTTAGAAGTTTTAATTGATTTTGTTCAATTTTTAAAATTTCTTCACGTTCATTTATTAATATATTTAAATTTTCATTTATTCTATCAATAGTATCAAGATCTGTATCTATGTTGAAACCTTCTATTGTGTCTCTGATGAGTTCAGCTGGTGCTAAGTGTAACATATTTGATTGTATTGAGTTATTTGTTGATAGTGTTAATGGTGTATTTGTATTTGTTGATGTATTTGTTTATTTATGTTTATGTTTATTCGCGTAATGGATATGATGGTTTTCAGCCCTGATTAAAAGAAAAGAAAATTATCAATCAACTGATTTGAAGATTTAAACGAAGAACACATTTTAAATGGAATATAAATAAATAAAGATTAAGATTTAATTCATTAATTTAAAATCATAGAGATCATAAAGATCAGATACTCAAATACTCAACTAATCAAATACTTAAAATCAAGATACTTTTAATATGAATTCACATAGTGCTAAACTACCCGTATGGATGTTAACACCAACGGAAGAAAAAGAAGCACGTAAAAGATGGAAAGAATATGCATATAAAGAATGTGATGAATTTGTTCAAGATTTTGTTAAATGTTCAAAAGCTTCAGGATTTAAAGTATTATGGAAATGTCTTAATGAAAGAGATGAATTAAATAAATGTATGTCTGTATTACAAAAACCTGAAGAATTAGATAGACAACGTGAAATACTTATAAAAGAAAAAATTGAAAAATTAGAAAAAGAGAAGGAAAAGAAATAGGTAATGGTAATTGGGGATGGTATACTTGTAAATATTATTAATATGATGTAAATATTAGTTGCTTATATTATACTTTTATTACTAAGATGTAGTTGCACTAACCATAGATGACCATATGACCCAATTATGTCTAGACTCCAAAATCAAAACTCCAATATTTTATTACTAGTAGACTACTAGTATATTCTAGTATATAATGTATAATCTCACAGCCAATTGTAGTTGGGGTAAAGATAAGTTGCTTATCATATCAGTAATTAATTTGTAATTAATCTAGATCTAAGTCCCCACATAGATGTATATAGTAATACTAACCATCTGGAAAAGATATATAAATCGATGAATTTAACCAATTATGGATTGGGAACTTGTATCTCTTATTATATCTATTTAGTAACATACACCAAAATGTCTGGAATTTTTGATAAATATTTAAATATGATCAATGGATCAAAACATACACATGGACAAATGAATACTAAAACTAATGCTGGTTTACAAAGTTATTATATGAATTCAAAAGAACATTCATTACCTAAAAGAAGAGCATCATCAATGAGTTCAATGGATGGTGAAGAAGAGAGAAGATCAAGTTCAGTTTCTAGTCAAGGTGGATTAGATGGTGGTAATATGAATAGTAGTAATAATCCATTTCAAAATCCTGGATTGGTTGAGAATGAACAAGTTAAAAAGGTTTTGATGGAACCTAATAACAGGGTTAATTTTTGATTGGTGGTGATGATGGTTATGGTTATGGTTATTATGGTTTATAAATGCTGATTGTTGTTGTTTTATTGTTATAGTTAGTTATGGTTATGATTCTGGTTTAATATATGTTGAATGTTGAATGTTACCGGGGCGTAGTTTAGAGTGTAAGTGTGTAAGTAATATAATAGCCTCATACAACGCAATGGAATGGATTTAAATAGAACTTAATATGTAATTATAAAACATGGTATAATATCAGAATAACATAAAAGTAGAAATCTATTATATTAAAATCTACTAAATTATCAATTGTTTTATTTCTTAATTTTATCTTTATTGATCAGCTTCTTTTCTCAGTTGTTAAATTTGCCATCAGTTTCAAACTTCCGCCATTGAATTTAACCGGAATTGACGAAAACCAAAAAGGACAATTAAACATAAACATAATTTAACCAGATCAACTACATCAGATCAATCAACAAATACAACAACAACTAGATCATTGACACTATGGGTATCACCAAAAGAGTCGGAAGATCAAATAAACAACCACCTCCAAAGAGAAATGGTATCCAAAAGGCTACATTTGATGTTGGAAAGAAAAAAGAAGTTGGTGTATCTGATTTAACTTTATTAACCAAAATTAGTGATGAATCAATAAATGAAAATTTACAAAAAAGATTCGATAATGGTACTATTTATACTTATATCGGTCATGTCTTAATCTCTGTTAATCCTTTTAGAGATTTAGGTATTTATACTGATCAAGTTCTTTCAACTTATCAGGGGAAAAATAGATTAGAAGTTCCACCTCATGTTTTTGCAATTGCTGAATCAATGTTTTATAATTTAAAAGCTTATAATGAATCTCAATGTGTTATTATCTCAGGTGAATCAGGTGCTGGTAAAACTGAAGCTGCAAAAAGAATTATGCAATATATTGCTTCAGTTTCTGGCTCAAATAATTCTTCAAAACAAATTCAACAAATTAAAGATATTGTATTGGCAACAAATCCTTTATTGGAATCTTTTGGTTGTGCTAAAACTTTAAGAAATAATAATTCTTCAAGACATGGGAAATATTTAGAAATTCAATTTAATAATCAATTTGAACCTGTTAGTGGTAATATAACAAATTATTTATTAGAAAAACAAAGAGTCGTGGGTCAAATTCAAAATGAACGTAATTTTCATATTTTTTATCAATTTACAAAAGGTGCTAGTGAAAATTATAGACAAATTTTTGGTGTTCAACAACCTGATCATTATATTTATACTTCAAGAGCAAAATGTATAACTGTTGATTCAATTGATGATTTAAAAGATTTTAATGATACTTTATCTGCAATGCAAACAATTGGTGTTACTCAGGATGAACAAGATCAAATTTTTAGAATATTGGCAGCTATTTTATGGATTGGTAATATTACATTTATGGAAAATGATGAAGGAAATTCTCAAGTTAAAGATACTTCTGTAACAGATTTTGTTGCATATTTATTACAAGTTGATTCTGAAATTTTAATTAAATCAATAACTCAACGTGTTATGGAAACTTCTCATGGTATGAAAAGAGGTTCAGTTTATGAAGTTCCATTAAATATTACTCAAGCTATCGCAGTGAAAGATGCTTTAGCAAAAGGTTTATATAATAATTTATTTGATTGGATTGTGGCAAGAGTTAATAAAGCTTTACAAACTATTGGTGGTGCATCAAAATCAATTGGTATTTTAGATATTTATGGGTTTGAAATTTTTGAACATAATTCATTTGAACAAATTTGTATTAATTATGTTAATGAAAAATTACAACAAATTTTCATTCAATTAACTTTAAAATCTGAACAAGATGAATATGTTCGTGAACAAATTCAATGGACTCCAATTAATTATTTTAATAATAAAATTGTTTGTGATTTAATTGAAGCTAAAAGACCTCCAGGGATTTTCGCTGCTTTAAATGATTCTTGTGCAACTGCACATGCTGATTCTTCTGCAGCTGATCAATCATTTGCTCAAAGATTAAATATGGTTACTTCAAATAAACATTTTGAATTAAGACAATCAAAATTCCTTGTTAAACATTATGCAGGTGATGTTACTTATGAAATTAATGGTATGACTGATAAAAATAAAGATCAAATGTTGAAAGATTTATTAGATTTATTATCAACTTCATCAAATCAATTTTTAACAAATTTATTCCCTGAAACAATTGATCAAAATTCTAAAAGAAGACCACCAACCGCTGGTGATAAAATTATCAAAAGTGCAAATGAATTAGTTGATACGCTATCAAAAGCTTCACCTTCATATATTAGAACTATTAAACCAAATCAAAATAGATCTCCTTCAGAATATGATACAAAGCAAGTTTTACATCAAGTTAAATATTTAGGTTTACAAGAAAATGTTCGTATTAGAAGAGCAGGTTTTGCATATCGTCAAACTTTTGATAAATTTTCTGAAAGATTTTATTTATTATCACCAAAATGTTCTTATGCAGGTGATTATATTTGGGAAGGTGATTCCAAGACAGGTGTTGTACAAATTTTAAAAGATGCAGGTATACCAAGTTCAGAATATCAAATGGGTGTTTCAAAAGTTTTCATTAAAACTCCTGAAACTTTATTTGGGTTAGAAAGTTTGAGAGATCGTTATTGGTATAATATGGCTGCAAGAATTCAAAGAGCTTGGAGACGTTATCAAAAAAGAAAAATTGATAGTGCTATTAAAATTCAAAGATTTTGGAGAGAAAAAACTGGTGGGAATCAATATGAACAATTACGTGATTTTGGTACAAAATTATTAGGTTCAAGAAAAGAACGTCGTTCAATGTCTTTATTGGGTTATAGATCATTTATGGGTGATTATTTAAATTCAAATGAATTAAATACAAGAGGTTCATTTGTTAAAAATCAAGTTGGTATTAAGGAAAAAATTATATTTTCTTCAAATGCTGAATCACTACATTCAAAATTTGGTAGATCTTCAACAAGAGTTCCAAGAACTGTTTTCTTAACATCATCAACTGTTTATATTGTTGCTCATCAAGTTATTGATAGAAAAGTTTCTTATACTTTAGAAAGTTCAATACCAATTTCAAATATTAATTATTTAGGTTTATCAAATTTACAAGATGATTGGGTTGCAATTTCATTGAAGAATGGTTCTTCAATTCCAGATCCTTTTATTAATTTATCATTTAAGACTGAATTTATTACACATTTGAAAAAATTAAATAATAGTATTAAAATTGATATTGATACAACAATTAAATATCAAAAAAAACCTGGGAAATTTCATACAGTTAAAACTCAAATTAGTTCAACAGCACCACCATATAGTGATTTATATAAATCTGGTACAATTCAAGTTAATCATGGTAATCCTGCAACTTCAAAATCTCATGAAAAACCAAAAAGACAAAGTTCTGGTGTTGCTAATTTAGATTTTACACCAAGAAAACAAGCATCTTATGTTTCATCAGGTCAACCTAAATCAACAAGAAAAGTTCCACCTCCAGCTCCTGGTTCTGTTCATGTTCCACCTCAACAACAAAATCCTCAACCTGTTTTTAATAATAATAATAATATTAATAATAACAATACTGCAACTGCTGCCGCTGCTGCTGCTTATCATCCAAATCAACAACAACAGCAACAAGTTCAACCTTCCATCCCACCAAAACCTCAACAAAGAAAAGTTCCACCACCAAGACCTGCAAAGAAGATTGTTCCTCAACCACCACCTCAAAGACAACAACAATTTTCACCACAACCACAAGTTCAATCACAGCCTGTTCAACAACCACAAGTTCAACAACAACCTGTTGCTAAATCGACTCCACCACCACCACCACCTCCACCAGCTGCAGCCTCAAAACCAAAAGATCCAACTTTTAAAGCTGCTTATGATTTTGTTGGTACAGGTAGTGCATCAGAATTACCAATTTCAAAAGATGAAATTGTTTATATATTAAGAAAAGAAGGTAATGGATGGTGGTTAGCCAAGACATTAGATGGATCAAAAGAAGGTTGGGTCCCAGGTTCATATGTTGTTGAATGTGAACCACCTTCATCAATTTCAAATAATGATCAATCTCAACCATCAACTCAACATACAAGTTATATAAATGAAACTGAAAAATCAACTCCAATAACTACAAATTCATCAAATGATAATAATTTAGCTGGTGGATTAGCTGCTGCTTTAATGGCTAAGAAACAAGAAGAAAGTTCTTTAGCTGGTGGTCTGGCTCAAGCATTGAAAGATAGAGCTGGTAAAATGAATGTTGATAGTGATGAAGAAGAGGAAGAAGATGATGATTGGTGATTTTTTATGTATGTTTTTAGTGTTTTGTTTTTCAATATTAAATTATATTGAAATTTATAGAATTTGAGTTTTTTGAAAAAAAAGATGTGTATGATTATAAAAAATATGGACAAAATGTTTTTGTTTTAAAGAGTTGTAGCTGGTTCAACCTTTTTTTTATACACTGATATTGATATGGCGTAGTCAAAATTAACTCGAATATATCAAAACTAACATTGGATCATTGACTGTCAACTACCAACAAGAAACATACTATACCTACGGGCTATTATATATCTATAGTTAATTGTGAATACGTATATCTTTTGTCAAACAGTGTTGAAAGATTATGAAAACTAATAGAGTCATATTCAAATGTAAATATATGCAGGATCCTGTTTTCATGTTCTCCCTACCACATTGGGTTTTGAGTCCACAAAAAAATGGGATGCTACAACTCGTCAAAAAGTGCAATTTTGAAAACTAAAACTTTGAAATAAAGATGGGTACATATAAATATATCAATAAGATTGAATATAATTTATAATTTAAAGACAAAAAGTGTTTACAGTGAAGCTGATTCTTTAATATTGATTTATCCTCTATCTAAGATGTAATGATTACTAAACACACTAACAAAGATTTGTCATCATTCATTTCAAGTTGTAGCAGCCCCAGGAGATGCATGAACACACAGGGATCTATCAAAACTAATTGAACTTGGGTATTTCTTGATCAAAACTGTGGTACACAATCGTAAAATGGTTAAATGATAAATCAGAGAGAACTTAGAAGTGATAGTTGAAACTTGAAAGTTACGAATCGATGCTGATAAGCGATTCTAAGATTTAATTACATCGTTTATACGCCCGATCTACAAAAACTATAATTTGACAGTATACGTGGCGACTATAATACAATTCAACTAAACATGACAAGTTCTATCATCTATATCAAGAAAATACAAGTTAACATATAATCGGTTGCCATTACTTCATTAAGATGCTTGAATATCCAACACGGAAGATGAATAAATATACCATTAGCTAAGTGAAGTATGGTGAAGTCAAATATTAAATGCCAATTTAGCTCTGTTCGAGCCTCACTTATTATCAAATATAATAGCTCCCGTCTCGCTTCCTATCAAAAGTTGAAAAAATGTGATAAACTGTGTTAGATATCTAGTTAGTGATTACCAAATGGATGCATCAAATTGAGAATCATAACAAAATACAACCAGCTACGAAGGTCTTGAGCCATTACTGATATGAGTTTTCAACAAGACAAACCACTGTTTTATTGAGGCACGTTGAATAGAAAAGAAAATTATACCACAGTTTGAGAATAGATAAGCATAGTGATAGTTCTATTTAAGCAGGATTGTCGGCCTTTCATATGTTTATTTGATTGTTATTATGATATTAACTTGTTCACTATAAGACAGATCATGTCTTTTGACAAAAAGTTCCAAATCGATTCTGTCGATGACAAAGTTGAACAATATGATATTGGGTTAGATGATGAAAGAAACATAGGAATTGACAAAAAAGAACCAATAGCTACGGTCAGGGATGTATCAGAAGCTGAAGATTCTGATAGTTCTTCGATCTTTGGTGAGGATCGTCATCGTTTGAAAGCTTCACTTCAACAACGTCATATTCAGATGTTAGCATTGGTTGGTGTTTTCGGTACTGGTATTTTTCTTTCATCTGGTGGTGTTTTAGCTACTGCTGGTCCAGCTGGTATGTTCATAGCCTATTCTTTGGTTGCAATTATTGTTGGTTTGAACCAAATTGCTTCAGCTGAGGTTGCATCTTTAATGCCTGTAACTTCTGCTACTTTGAGGCATTTGGAACATTTCATCGATCCAGCTTGGGGGTTTGCCAATGGATGGATTGGTGTTTGGGGATCGATTTTGCCTGGTGAGATTAGTGCTGCTGCTGTGATTGTTTCATATTGGACTGATATTTCTCAAGCCGCTTGGATTACAATAATTATTGTTTTAATTATTGCGCTCAATTCATATAATGTTAGATTTTATGGTGAGGTTGAATTTGTATTTGCAATGATCAAAATATTACTACTTATCGGATTAATCATTGTTTCAATTGTTATAACTTCAGGTGGTGGTCCAAGTCACGAAACTATTGGATTTAAATACTGGAAAGATCCAGGCCCATTCAAAGAATACTTAACCACTGGAAGCTTAGGTCGATTTGCTGCATTCTGGAAAACCTTTTCAGGTGTGGTCTTTTCATTTGGTGGTGTACAATCTGTACCTTCATTAGCTGCAGAAGTTAAAAATCCAAGAAGAAACATCTTCATAGCTTCTAAAAGAATTTTTTACAGAGTCACTATCTTGATGATGGTTACAGTATTTTGCCTCACGTTGATTGTACCTTCTAATGATAAGTCAATTGCAAACTCAACTGGTAATGCTCAACATTCACCATTTGTTGTTGCTATAAATAATGCCAACATAAAGGTCCTTCCCCATATCATCAATGGTGCTGTTTTAACATCTGCTTTTAGTGCTGCTAATTTATCAATTGTTGGTGGCTCAAGAACTTTATTTGCTTTGGCTGTCAAGCACCAAGCTCCTAAAATCTTTTTAAAGACGAATAAAAGAGGGTTACCATGGGTGGGGTCTTTATTTGTTGCCATGTTCTTTCCATTGGCTTATATGAATGTCTCTTCAAGCGCTGCAAACATTTTCAATTGGTTTCAATCCTTGGGGTCAGGAAATTTATTAGTAGGATGGATTTTCATATCAGCAAATCATATTCATATGACTAGAGCTATGAAAGCCCAAGGAATCTCAAGAGATCAGTTACCACACAAGTTCAGATTTGGTCCACAAGCTGCTTGGATTTCAGGTGGTGCTTCATTATTGTTGTTATTAACTGGTGGATTCGTGAATTTTGTTCACGGGAAGTTTAGTGTTGCTAGTCTCTTCTCATCATACTTTATCATCCCATTAACCTGGGCTTTATATTTCTTCTGGAAGTTTTTCAAAAAGACTAGATATTACAGACCTCATGAAGTTGATCTTGCATCTTTGTTTAAAGATGTAGAGGAAAATCCAGAAGAACCGGAACCACCGATTAAAGGATGGAGATGGATAACATTACTATGGTCTTGAATTCAAAAACTTGTCTGTAATATAGATATACACTCGAAAGATTTTTATTCTATCATGTAGATTGATTTTAAGTTATTGTTTATTGTACTCAATCTCGTATTTGATGGTGTTGATGAAAAATATTAATTTCGCGTCAGAAGAAAGTGTGGCCAGCGTTTGTTGAACAACAACACAACAACAACCTTAACATTTATAGGAAGAATTATAATGGTTAGGCTTAGAACAATAAAGTTGCTAATTGCTTTAAAACGTACTGGGAAATTTCTTCTATAGAAATCATTTAAGGATAATAATGACTGACAAAGGGGATATCAAAACTAAAAACTGTGTCTTTCCTTACAAATGACAAAATCACACAGATTACTAATTGTGGATTTTCTAAATTATTGGATATATATCTTTAAATATGTGAAGAATTACCCATAAGAGGTCCTTTGAGACTATACAATGGCCGATGTTCTTTGATCCTTAGATATATCTTTTAGATACAAGTGTACTGAGGGCGATTGCTCCTAATAATGTCATCTAAATATTCTATGAATGTTGATCAAACTTCAATAAACGTTGATCATGAAAAGAATAAATTAAAAGCTACAAATATTCATACAGGCGAAGCAGATGATCTTGAGTTCCCAGAAGGTGGTCGTGGTTGGCTTATGGTTTTAGGAAGTGGTATTGCAAGTGCAGTATGTTTTGGTATGGTTTATTCATATGGTGTTTTTCAAACTCATTATGAAACTGAATTGTTTCCAACATTACCATCATCAAAGCTGTCGATTATTGGAGCATTGCAGACGTCAATAATTTATCTACTGACCCCATTTTGTTTACCTTTAGCTCATGCTTTTGGTATAAGATCATGTTTAGCATTTGGTTGTATCATGAAGATTATTGCACTTTTTGGATTATCAACTACTGATGCAAATTCACTTTGGAAATGTTATGTATTTCAAGCTGTATTTTTTGGGATTGGTGGTGCTTTATTGTTTTCAATTTCCATGGCTGTTCCTTCAGAATGGTTTAAAAGGAAAAGAGCCAGTGCATTCGGTATTAGCGCTGCATTTGTTGGAGTTGGTGGTGTTATGTGGCCTATTATTTTCAAGCAGATGATTCATAAATATGGATTTTCTTGGACTGTCAAGACAATAGGGTTCATTTATATACCATTGTCAATAGGTATTGTATTACTCATGCCACAGAAGATTGAAACTAAATATTTACACAAGGCTGAGACTGTCTCAAATTCTGAATTTAATCTTGATAATATAAAGTCTATACCACAAAGATATAGAGATATTTTCAAAAATTGGAGGATTGTTTCAAAAAACTTTAGATTTGTTGTGATATTACTTTCTAATTTGTTAGGTATTCTTGGATCATACCCAGCAATATTTTATATTGATTTTTTTGGCTCAACATTAGGACCAAACTTTAAAATTACGGCTTATATTACTGTTCTTTATGTTTCTATTGGATTTCCAGGTAGAGTCATACCTGCAATTATTGCTGATCATATAGGAAGAATAAATGTTTTGTTATTATGCCTATTGACATTTGCAAGTTCCACATTTTTATTTTGGATTCCAGCTATTAAGGAACAATCAATGGTTTTATATGTGATATTTGTTGCAGTTTTTGGATTTACTGCAGGTCCTTTATTCTCTTTATACCCTGCTTCATTAGGTCAATTATTTGGTATTCACGGGTCAGAGGCTAGAATTGGTTTATTCTTCTTAGTGGGATCACCTGGTCCAATAATTGGATGTTTAATTGCAGGTTCATTTATACCAACTGATTCATCCAATAGAGAGTTGATCATTCATTCATTCTACAAACTTGTTATATATTCCGGTGTAATATTGATGGGATGTGTGGTACTTTTAGGCTGTATCAGACTGTCTATAAGTAAGAAGCCGTGGGTGTTTATATAGAGCTTTGAGCCATTATTCCACATTTTATATTTCATAGTGCCTTTTAATATAATGCAATAGATATAAATTCCACTCATATATGTATTTGATGTCGGTTGTATTGAAAATTAAGATCCCCAGAAAGAAATTGCGCTTACCGTTGTGCCAACTTACAGACTCTTAGCAGCGCCTAGCGGCAGCCGAACTCTGCCTAGACAATTTGGTTATTGTTCGCACGTTCAGCCTAACCCATGGCTAACCTGCCAAAATTAAGTACCCAAGTCAAACCAACCCATTTCTCATGACAACAACAGAAGAGTGTAACCAGTAAACATCTTCTAAACAGACTCCAACCCTCTGACTAGGAACGATCTCTAGACAGGCTATTCCACCAGGAAGATGACATCCCACTTTTGACCGCTAATAGTCATACGCTCAGAAATGCCCTTTACGCGACTTCATGCGTTCACAGTGGAAAATATATTTTAAAGAAGAGTCATGAATGTATAAAGTATAACGGATTTATTCAAGTTGTAAACTGGATTTGTAATATTCTATTCGGCTCTAACTCAATCAAGTATAAGTTATAAGACCGATGTTTTCCTTAGATTTTGGTTCTTTAATTCATATCATAGCTTATTCTAATATTTCTTATGTTCATAATTATAAGAGTGGTACACCATGAGTGAAGATATAATAGAGAAAAATCAAGAACAAAATGACTTCAACACCAAGTCTAATGATTATGAAGAGCAAAAACCTATAGAAAATCAAGTAGCTGAAGGTGGTAGAGGGTGGTTGGTTATTATTGGTACTGGTATAGGAGCTATGATGGGGTATGGTATGATCAATTCATTTGGTACTTATCAAACTTATTACAAGAATGAACTATACCCTGAAACTTCATCACAAAGTTTATCACTAATCGGTGCTGCTCAATCGACATTTATTTATATTTTGAACCCAATAATCATGCCTTTAATGTATGTTGTTGGGCTAAGGACATTGTTAACTTGTGGTTGTGCTTTGATGATTGTCAGTTTCTTTGGTCTTTCCACTGCAACTTCAGATTCAAGATGGAAAATATATGTATTTCAAGCTGTGATATATTCTTTAGGTCATTCTTTGGTTTTTGGATCAATTATACAAAGTCCAATGGAATGGTTCAACAAGAGAAGAGCTACTGCTTATTCAATCTCATTTGTGTTTAGTTGTACTGGTGGTGTTATATTTCCATTGATTTTTAAAAATATGATTAATAAACATGGGTTCAAATGGACAAATATGACTATTGGGTTCCTTTATATTCCATTAAGTATAGCTGTTATATTTCTCATTCCACAAAGACTTAAGCCTGAACATATCCATAAACCAGAAACAATTTCAAATGCACAATTTGATATACATAAATTTAAAGAATTACCTTCAAGAATCATGTCAAATATTCGCAGTTGGAAACCAGTACTTCGAGACTGGAGATTTTTGATGTTTTTATTATCAAACATCATTGGTGGATTTGGTATTTTCCCTGCTATTTTCTTTATGGATTATTATGGTGAATTAATTGCACCAGGTGCTAAAATTGTTTCATATTTAGTTATGATGTATAATGCAGTGGGAGCACCAGGAAGAGTTATACCAGGTATGTTAGCAGATAAAATCGGTAGGGCAAATGTTTTATTTATATGGTTATTCGTTTGTGGTCTTTCAATTTTTGTATTTTGGATGACATCAATTCCAGGTGAAGATATGAATTTATATTTGGCATATACTATATTCTTTGGGTTTTTCGTTGGTCCTTATTTTTCATTAGCACCAGCTTGTTTAGGTCAAGTATTCAGTCACATTGAAGATGCAGATGCTAAATTGGGACTTTATTTGTTATCATTATCTCCTGGTCCATTAGTTGGTTGTGTTATTGCAGGTTCTTTCGTCCCAACTGAGTCTGGTGATAAAGAATTATTATTGGATTCATTTTATAAATTAACTGCTTTTACTGGATCAATGATTATTGCTGGTTCACTGGTTGTATTACTGGTGAGATTATCATTTACTAGAAAGATTTTCACGTATATTTAATTTATTTGAAGGCAAGAAGGAATTATAATAATCAAATGAACACTTCTAGACGCATATACAATATATACAATACAATATATACAATACAATATATATACAATACAATATTATATACAATATACGAAAGAACTTGCATGAATTATATACATTCTAGGTGTAGAGTTATTGAATCGTATGATGAAAAAATTAACGTACTTAATGCTAGGGAATTATATATTAAAAACTAACCAGATATATTGACTTCTTTTCATATACTAACCGATAGACCGACTATAAATTACTGCCAGGGAAATCGGGACACCAATTTGTTCGATAAGCGGCTAAACCAATATAATTATGCAAAACTTTGGGGTACAAATTTCAACAATTAATTTTAATTAGTAATGCAAAATAGCGGTCAATACATTGCGCTTTAAATTATTTTCATCTTTGCTTGTAACTTGTGATACTTTAAATGCGCTTCCAGTCTTCCATTCTTTTTTGATTGTATGAATAGAATCAAATTAATGAAAATGATCGTGGGGGTTTCTTTATATAATAAGCTTCAATTCTGAGAGTATAAACATATGATATTGATAATATCCATATGATACATACTAGTGCTTGGTCACATATAAACAATTGATATTTGTCAACCTTTGATGAACAGATCTATATACTAATTGTCTCTATTAGCCGTTGAAATCTTCATCATGGCTACAATTAATGAATATTCAGATCAAGATCAGTATGATGATGATATTCAATCAATAACACATAAAGAATGTAAAGATTTTTCATCATCAAATACTCATACAGGGGAAGCAGATGAACAAGAATATCCAGAAGGTGGAAGAGGATGGCTTGTTATATTAGGTTGTGGGATTGGAAGTCTTTTAGGATTTGGTATGATCAATACTTATGGTGCTTTCCAAACATATTATGAAACCGAATTATTTCCAAAAACTTCTTCACAAAGTTTATCATTAGTTGGTGCTTGTCAAGCTTCATTTTTATATTTCTTTACCCCATTGTTTACACCTTTAGTCCATGCATTTGGAATAAGACAAGTCTTGATTGCTGGTTGTTCTTTAATGGTTATTGGTATTTTCGGATTATCAACTACAAATGAAGGTGAATTATGGAAATGTTATCTTTTCCAAGCTGTATTGTACTCATTGGGAAGTGCATGTGTTTTCACAAGTGTTATGATGAGTCCATTGGAATGGTTTAAAAAGAAGAGAGCCTCTGCATTTGCAGCAAATTTTATTTTTGTTGGAGTTGGTGGGATTGTTTGGCCATTGATTTTCAAACATATGATTAAAAGTTCTGGTTTCAAATGGACAGTAAGAACAATGGCTTTCATTTATATTCCATTAAGTATTGGCGTGATAATTTTAATTCCACAAAGATTAGATGAAAAATATGTTTATTGCTATAACAATATATCAAACTCACGTTGGAATAATCAAAAGATTAAAGATTTACCAAATGCGTATCTCAAGATGCTTAATGATTGGTTTCTTTATGTTCAAAATTGGAGATTTGCCTTGATGTTGTTATCTAATGTTATTGGTTCATTTGCAGTATATCCTGCAATATTCTACTTAGATTACTTTGGGAACATAATAGCACCAAAAGCCCAAGTTTCTTCGTATTTGGTTGTACTATACAATGCAATGGGTATAGTTGGAAGAATTGCCCCAGCAGTATTAGCGGATAAGATGGGTAGAACAAATGTTTTGATGATTTGGATAGGAATAGCAGGGGTTTCACTATTAGCCATATGGATTCCAGCTATTCAAACGAGATCAATCGATATATATGTTGGATTTGTTACATTATTTGGATTCACAGTGGGTGCTTATTTCTCTTTATTTCCAGCATGTGTAGGGCAATTGTTTGGATTGAAAGGATCTCAAGCAAGATTTGGTTTGTTTATGATGTTGGCAACCCCTGGACCTTTGATAGGTTGTCTAATCGCAGGGTCTTTCATTCCAAAAGGATCAAATTCAACAACTGAGATAGTTGATGCTTTTTACAAGTTGGTGATCTTTTCAGGAGTTATGCTTATGGCAGATGCTTTCGTTCTTTCTGTTGTGAGGTTATCAATCAGCAAAAAATTACTAGCTTTTGTATAAAATAATATTCTTTTCACGATACTCATTTAAATGGTGCTTACTTTAAGTAGATATTTTCTCCTTTAGATTGGCTTAGATCAAGACTCCAACCATCTAGCAACAAGAAAGTTACCCATACGAGAAAAAGCTACAAAATGTCAGCGTCTCAATACCGGCTATATTGCAGTATACTTGATATACGTATTAACTTTACAAATATAGTTACCATTATTTTATTATATACTAACGTTTTATTTTAGTTATGATGAAACACACGTTATATAAGCTGTGAATCCCAGATCCCAGATCTTATTATTATTTAGTTATGATTAAGTGCTATTTATTTTAAATCGGCAACAACACGACTCCAATTTTTATATTCTTCATCACCATATTGAATCTTTGAAATCCATTGAGCAACAGTTCCTGTTAATTCACCAAATTGTTCACCTTCAAGTAATGGAACATTAATGCTTTCACCGTTGAAAGCAATTTCTTTAATTGGTGAAACAACAGCGGCAGTACCAGAACCAAAAGCTTCAACTAATTCACCTTTTTTAGATTTTTCTGCAACTTCATAAATAGTTGTATAACGTTCATTAACTTCCCATTCATTTGAATCTAATCTATCTCTTGTTAATGCTAAAATGGAATCTCTTGTAACACCTGGTAAAATTGTACCATCTAATGGGGCAGTAACTAATTCTTTTTTACCAGTGGTGGAATCTTTGAAAACAAAGAAAACATTCATAGTACCAACTTCAGTAATTGTTTTTTCTTCACCAAATAACCAAAGATTTTGTTGGTAACCTCTTTCAGCAGCTTCCAATTGTGGTTTGACAGATGGAGCATAGTTAACACCTAATTTTTTATCACCAACACCACCTGGCCAAGCTCTTGTAACATGATCAGTAGCTTCCAATCTAACAGCTTTGAACCCAGTTGAGTAATAAGGACCAACAGGACATGTAATAACATAAAGCAAAGCTTCAGTTGGAGTATTAACACCTAAACCAGGAGTGGTACCAATTAAAGTTGGTCTAATGTATAAAGAATAACCTTTTTCTTTTGGAATCAAATGTTTATCTAATTTAATCAATTCACTGATAACTTTAATTAATTCTTCTCCATCAAAAGCTGGTAAAACAATTCTTTCAGCAGATTGATTCATTCTAATCATATTCTTATCAGGTCTAAACAATCTAATTTGATCATTTGAATCTCTATAAGCTTTCATACCTTCAAATAATTCAAAAGCATAATGGAAGACAGCAGCAGAAGGATCTAAAGATAATGGACCATAAGGAACAATTTGTGGAGATGCCCAACCTTCTTTATCATTCCATTTGATTTGTACCATATGGTCAGTAAAACTTTGACCAAACACTAATTTATCATTTGGTAAAGGTTGTTTTGGATTAGGATTTTTAGTAATTTGCAATTTTGAAGCAGTCAATTTGGCCCAATTTGAAGCCGAAGTATAAGTTTGTGCTAACTTAGAAGACATTTTAATATTGGTTGTTGTGAAAAATTTCAATTGATCAGACATTTGATGAAATGGTTGAACTTATATATACAGCTACCGATAATTACCGAAGCGGGATACGAGCTCCATCAATCCAATCTTGATAAGTTGGTTACTCGATAAACTGATAGGATCATGATCATGAGTCATATAAAGGGCTCAAAAACTATAAACGATAGATACAATAACCAATTAAAAGCCATATTTAGACGAATACACAGCTCTAATACTATTGGTTTTAAAGCTCAAAATTAGTTCGGACTTGAATCGTTATACCAATAAAAAAACATGTGAATATGGATCCCTATGAACCTGCATTAGAATATTGGTAATGTATTTGATCACTAATTAGTATCTGTGCTCATTAATGATAATCAATAATTCGTTTCGATTCATTATATTATTGCGCTCACTTTTCACTAATCTCGACTATACGTTCAATATTATTGCAATTATATTCGATGCTTCACTTTTATATGTATCAATTATCTTTTCAAGCTATAACAAAATCATCAATATTAATTCGACTTCAGCTCATTTATGTATATATATTGCCTCTTTGTTTTAAGGTAAAAATACTGCTCAATTCATTCCAATTATTTCAACATTACTGCAGGAGATTTAATAAGCTATATGTGGGAAATTACCCAAACCAAACACTTATTTATCACGTCAGTTGACCCAGTTCCTACATGATCATATTTCATTCATATATACACAACAGCTTGATTATTTATGAAGCCGAGTTTATAGATTAACTATCTGCAAATTGAAAGAGCTAATCCATAATGAACGTTTATTGAACGCAATCATGTCATCGCGTGTTATTAATTGAATCGACTTGTATATATGTGGAGGTGAATTAACTAGCTAAAACATCATCCAGACCACAATATTGAGCAAGATTTGGATTGTTTATATAATGATGTTGGATAAATCTGTATAACCTTCAAAAGGGTCATGTCTTACTACACCGGGTCTAGCTGACGTTGATGCCTTCGACAAGTTGGTGATTATTTCAGGAGTTATGCTGAATATGATGGATACATTTGTTCTTTGAGGGTTTCAATCAGCAAAAAATTACTATATAGCTTTTGTATAGAATAATAGATAATTCTAATATCAACCAGCTACTAAATATCTGTTTTTTTAATAGAGATCTTGCCCATATATATGAAGGCTCTATTAGCTATTAGCCCAACCAGTGAGCACTAATGACGTCGCATTACATTTCGCGGGAAACGAAATTGCTAATCAAAGATAACGAATGACACAAAGGATGCTCACTTTAAGGGGCGTGAATTTAACTCAGCTTCTGATATCATCAACACTCAGTTAATACGGTTATAACTAAATCCATCAGTAAAACAATCAATGATATCAAAAGTAATCCATCACCAGCAGCAGCAGCACCAATTTCTAAATTTACTTATTGTCACAAAAAATGGCACAATTGGCAAAACGAATTTCCCAATCCGTATCTGACTGCATATAAATTAGTGTCATTCCGGTAAACGCAACATCATATAAAATTCAAAAGGGGAAACGAAATCGCCACTTTGGAAATTTTGGTGGGCGCTGGACAGCTAGTTTTAATTTGTGGTTTATTATATATAGATTTTGCCATCCTCCAGATTTTGCTCTTTCCTTCCAATTGCACATTTCAGTACAACAAACAGCTTTGGCTTCCAATCCATTCCACTCATTTGACATCCCAGACAAAGGAGAACTAGGATCCCAAAGACAATTGCTTACACTTGCACTTTAGAAAGAAACAATAAAACATGAAGTTCTCTGCCTTATATTCATTGGCGGTTGCCCTTTTAGCATTCACAGAAACAACTGATGCTAAAGTTCACAATGCTAAAATCCATAAACGTCCTATTGATGATCAATTGAAAGATGCTACATTTGAAGAGCACGTCCGTCAAATGGGTCAAAAATACATGGGTCTTTACCAAAAAGCTTATCCAGAATCTAATGTTCCATTTATTGATGGTACCCATGAAACCCCTTTAACTAACTACTTGAATGCTCAATATTATACTGAAATTCAAATTGGTACTCCAGGTCAACCATTTAAAGTCATATTAGATACTGGTTCTTCCAACTTGTGGGTCCCAAGTACTGATTGTTCTTCATTAGCTTGTTACTTACATTCCAAGTATGACCATGAAGCTTCTTCCACTTACAAAGCCAATGGTTCAGATTTTGCCATTAGATATGGTTCAGGTTCATTAGAAGGTTATGTTTCCCAAGATACTTTACAATTGGGTGATTTAGTTATTCCAAAACAAGATTTTGCTGAAGCTACAAGCGAACCAGGTTTAGCTTTTGCTTTTGGTAAATTTGATGGTATCTTAGGTTTAGCTTATGACACCATTTCCGTCAACAAAATTGTTCCACCAGTTTATAAAGCTCTTAACTCTGGTCTATTAGATGAACCAAAATTCGCCTTCTATTTGGGTGATGCTGATAAAACTGAAGATGGTGGTGTTGCTACATTCGGTGGTATTGATGAATCCAAATACACTGGTAAAATCACTTGGTTACCAGTTCGTCGTAAAGCCTACTGGGAAGTCAAATTTAACGGTATTGGTTTAGGTGATGAGTTCGCTGAATTAGAAAACACTGGTGCTGCTATTGACACTGGTACTTCATTAATTGCCTTACCATCAGGATTAGCTGAAATCTTAAACTCTGAAATTGGTGCTAAGAAAGGTTGGTCAGGCCAATATTCCGTTGATTGTGAAACTAGAGACAGCTTACCAGATTTAACTTTCAACTTAGATGGTTACAACTTCACAATTGGTCCATATGATTACACATTAGAAGTTTCAGGCTCATGTATTTCAGCTTTCACTCCATTAGATTTCCCAGCTCCAATTGGTCCATTAGCCATCTTGGGTGATTCATTCTTACGTAAATATTACTCAATTTATGATATTGGTAATGATGCTGTTGGTTTAGCCAAAGCTGTTCAAGCTTAAGATCCTCAATCCTCATTTCAGTTCATTTTTGGCTAGGTAATATTAGCTTTTTTCTATATCCATATTTTTTTAACCTTCATTTTTTACTATACAACTCCATTCAAAAAACACAAAACCATTAACAAAATAGGCGTTTGTTTGACAAGAGGATAAACTATACACTATGGTTTTCATTCATCTTTATTTTTATGATATTAAATTAATTTTATGATATGTTTCTTTCTATTGTTTATGCGTGCACATTGTAGAAATTCCCAAGTTTCCGGCGCGAAAACCTGAGATTTACCCGTTTGTTTACATTTCCATTGATTTTTTAGAAGGTAGTATCTTTAAATCCCGTTTGTTTTTTATTGTGGTATAATTTAATTTAAAGAGAATCTTCACTGCAGTTATCACTATCGAACTCAGACCAGGTGCATACTTATACTTTATCATATAGCTGAACAAGATGTACTCACGAAGTCAGACACCAAGACGTCAACCACATTCTGCATTACCATCTACACCAAATCTTAGACCAAGTTCAAGACCAAGCTCAAGAGCTAACACACCTTCAAGTGCATTCAGACCCCCAAGCACAATATCTAGATATGAAAGACCATTTTCACCTTTAAGAGAGAGACCAAGCTCTGCTATGTCACTGGGAAGCTCAAGACCCCAAACTCCATCATTTGCTACACCTCAACAGCCTTACACCGGTACTATATCCGTTGCAGTAAGAGCTAAACCTTCAGATACATTCATTAAAGATCCTTGGTTTTTAACAAATGAGTCAATCGAACATAGTGAAGTTGGTGAATTCAAATTCGATCACGTTTTTCATCCATCAGTTAGTAACTCTGAAGTTTATGATAAAACAGTTAAAAATCTGATTAATCAATTAATGGATGGTTATAATGCTACTGTTTTCGCTTATGGTATGACTGGTTCTGGTAAAACTTATTCAATGTCTGGTACAAAACATGAACCTGGTGTTATTCCATTGTCTGTTAGTGAAATCTTCAGACATATTGAAAATTCAGATAAAGAGATTTATAAACATGAATTAAAAGTTTCATACCTAGAAATTTATAATGAAAGAATATTTGATCTCTTAAATATAAACCAAATAACAAACCCAACTTTGAATAATAGTGCTCAAAGTGACTTAAAGATCAGAGATGTTCCAGGTTATGGTGTTAAAGTTCTTGGACTGATTGAAGAATCTGTCAAATCTGAGCAAGAATTACTCACTATAATACAGAAAGGTGATGTCAATAGAAGAACAGGGGAAACAGACTTCAATAGCAGATCATCACGTTCGCATGCAATTGTTCTTGTTAGAGTATCAACAACAAATACAGTCACAGGTATTGAAACTATGAGCACATTATCACTGTGTGATTTAGCAGGTTCAGAAAAAGCTACAGCTCAACAAGAGAGAAGAAAAGAAGGTTCTTTCATTAATAAATCTTTGCTTGCATTAGGAAGTGTCATTGTTAAGCTATCTTCAGCATCCACTAGTGTTGGACATATACCTTATAGAGACTCCAAATTGACAAGACTTTTACAACCTGCGCTTTCTGGTGATTCCCTTGTGTCAGTGTTATGTACCATTCATACAAGTCAAAGTGCATTAGCAGAAACTGTTAATACTGTTAGATTTGCTGCAAGAGCTAAAAATATTAGTTTAAGTGTAAGAAAACATGAAGTTGATGGTAACACAGAAAAGGATAGAATCATTGAAAAGTTAAGATTGCAAGTTGAAAAACAAGCCGAGGAAATACAAAGTTTAAAAGAGAACAAACCTGTAAATGCTGTTTTCAATAGCTCAAGGGAAGGCTCTGTGACACCACCAAGTCATTCTCAAGAAGAAATGAATCAATTGTTGGCTGAAAATCGTATCTTGATTGAAAGGTTAGAAAATCATAAGAGATTAGTTGATGAAAAAAATGCTGAAAGAATTGTATTGAAAAATGATATACTGAATGATATTTTCACTAGATTAAGTGAACAAGATATGGGAGTTGATGGTGAACAATTAATCTTGAAAGTTGAAGAACTGTTCAAGAAAACATACGCTGAAATTGAAGAATATAAGTCATACATTAATCATTTAGAAACTCAATTGAAACTCGAATTACAAAAGAGAGATAATGGTAATAATGAATTAAATGTTATAAAAAGAGGCGATGGTGCTTATTCTCCAAGTAAACATGCCTCAGAAAATGAAGTTGATATAATAATGAAAGAACAAGAGGATGAAATATTTGAACTGAAAGAAGAACTGAAAAATAAAGAGAAAGTTATCAGAGCTTTACAATCTGCTAAAAGGGTTAGAGAAGGGCTTATGAGTACAATTAATATGAATGAATCAAGAAGAGAATCAGGAAGACATGAATCTCTCAGACCTTTAAACGGAGATAATCTGAGTAATTTACCAGAAAGCTCCAAACTTAGACCAATATAATGAAACCCCCAAATGTAATATATAAACAAATAACAAACTTATACCCAATTTATAGATGAACAATTTTAATGAATACAAATATTTTAATTCTACATATAATTTCAGTAGCCCTTGAATTTAGATCGCTATTCTTATGAATGGATCCTTATATAATGCAAAAGTTCTATAAATAACTAGTTGTTTAGCAGTATTATAAGTAGCCTAGTAGTCCAATTCCATGACTTCATCCTTCTTTTCTGGAACTTTAGGTGTGGTCTGTCTATTAGACCTAGCTTTATATTCATTAGTAGTATCTTTCTTAGTCTGAAATTGCTCTGCTTCTTTAAATTGTGAATTGTTATTTAAATTATTAAATTCAGCAGATTGATCATTGGCTGTAAGATTTGTTGCATTATAGTCAGGATGTGTATAATAATTTTCTGGCATGAATTTATCACCCCAAAATGCAGTAATACCTTTAATGAACCCACCACAATAAGTATACAAAACACGACATTTTGCTTCTTCACCAAACACTTCTCTTGTAACTTCTGAAAGTCTTTCTAGATTTGAGTTTCTAGGTAAAAATAAAACTATATTTGATGAAATTTCTTTGAATGAGATTAATAATTCTTTGATTGGTAAGGGTAATAATAAATCTAGATCGAAAAAATCTTTACCTTTATATGCAGGTCCACCCCATGGTGGAGAGCAGAATACCAAATCTACTTCATCTTTCAAGTATTGATAATATTCAGTATCAATCATCTTTATCCAATCTGCTTGTACACATTCAACTTTATCTCCTACCCCATAAATTTCACAATTTTTCTTTGTACAATATAAATTATCATCATTTATATCAAGGGCAATAACTTTTTCGAATTTTCTAGCAAATTGAATTGAATTACCACCACCTCCACAACATACATCTGCTATAGTTTTCAAGTCTGGATTACAAGCTTTAATAAATTTGGCAACAAATAATGCAACATCTTCAGGTGTAACTGAATACCATAGTTCAGAAGTCATAAATACACCTTGATCAAACTTTTTAAAAAGACTATAACGTTGCTTCCAAAATTTCTTAGTATCTTTGGGTAGTCTATCATATGTCAAATGATACTTGTTTTCACTGTTGAATTTCTCATACTCTGCTTGATACCAATTATAAGTTTGTTCATATCCTTCTTGATATCCTACTTTGTAACCCTCTTCATATCCTTCATTATAAGCTTCATCATAATCTTTATCTATTTCTCCTTCATTTTCATCATCGGCATAATCTTCATTATAATCTTCATTATTGTCATAGTCTTGATTCTCTAATGCTTCACCACCAGTATGATCGGTGTTTTCTATTTGCTCTTCAGTACCAAGATTGTCATTTGTAGGATCATGATATTCACCTTCCAAAACTCCATAATTATTTTGATTTTCTCCATACCAAGCATCTTGATTATTAGGAACTTCATAACCTTCCATTACTTGATCAGTAGTACCATAGGCATTTGGGTCAGCTGTATAATAATTTTGATCGTAATAGATGGCATTTCCGTTCTCATCATAATAGTATTGTGTATTATTATCATAGTATTCACCGTTTGTATGAACATCATATTGTTGATTGTTGAATGGCGCTGACTCCTTTACATAGGGTGTTTCTTCTGGTGCGTCATTATCTTCCGTAAAGCTTTGATTATTCCGTATCTCAGCATATTCAATTTCCTGGAGATTACCATTGGAAGCATCATTTATCACATTATCTTCATTTGAATTTAAAGGGGATTGATCTACTTTTGATTGAGTTGGATCATTAGGTATGTCTGGTATATCTCTACTAATAACTGCCCCCATTTTGACAAGAAAACAGCCACCTTGATCTTCCTAAAAGCCGCAAGAGATGTAGTATATCTTAATTGAAAAACTGATAAAGGAAATCAAATGATCTCTAGCTTCCTTTTATTGCCAAATATGCCTTATAAAAGTGCATCAAATGCTATCTAATTATTGTTTCTATATTTTCATAAAATGTCATTTTTGACGTCCCCCAACCGATGCGCCCGGAACTTGTTATTATATCACGTGAATATCACATGGGGGTAATTTGAGTCCTCGGAAATCATTAATATAATTAGCCAGCCGCCAGCCATCTCTAAATTTAAGTCATACATGAAATGTTAATTAAACGTCTGCTAGCCATGAAAAAGATCGGGGAGATAGTCAGAAGATCAGATCAGTTTCCATTTTTGGTGGCTGACATGAATGATGAGGTTAATGAAAGGCTTGCAGGATGAATTGATCTTATATATATCTTGATCTGGTTCCATTTCCTAACGTTTTTTAGTTTCTTTCAAGAAAGTTTACACCATCAAGTATAACAACAAGGTATAATACATTCACTCGTTATTTCGCCATGTCTAATACTGCTACTGCTAAGACACACAGAAGGGCTGATACTTATGAAGGTCCTCAAATGAATTTCAAATTCCCAAGTGATGAGGATTTTCAAGCTCAAAACATCTCAAAAGATGAAGAAGTTGAACTTACCGGTCCAAAGATTGAACCATACTATAAATATGAACAAATTTATCCTAAACCTTCTTCTGAAAGGTTAGATGAAGGATTTGATCAAGAAATTTACAAACATGACCAACGTCCAACCTTAGACCCTGCTCAAACTCAAGAATTTAGTGGATTAGGTGCAACTGGTACAATTCCTGAAGATGGTGTTCCAGATCATACTCAATATTTAGCTGCTGGTAATTATATCCCAAATCACACAAAACAACCATCAAATATAAGTTCAGCTATTACTTCAAATTATACAACTAATGCAAGCTCAAATAATGATTTCCAATTTTCAATTCCAACTCAAGACAATACCTCATACCAAATCACAAACAATTTATCGGAAGAAAGACTTGTAAGATCACCACCTTCATTATCCCTTTCAACCTTTTCTCGTGGGGAATCTTTAAGAAGAAAAAATTCTGTTAGAAGAACCAACTCATTGAAAAGAACCAATTCATCATTATATCGTAAAGCATCATTGAAAAGATCTAAAGCTGTTAAATACAAGATTGGTTGGTTAACAAGATTGAAACAAATGGGTATCAACATCAAAAATAAATTGAAATCATGGAGAAAGATTGCAGTTAGAAAAGCATTCAATACTAAAGGTAAAAAATTCAACAAACGTTCAATGACAATGAGAAAGAAAAGAATCTCAATGCCATTAGAAAGAGAAAGAGCCAAAAGTATTTCTGAATTGAAAAGAGAAATCAATAACTGGTATGTTCCAGAAAGAAACTTCACTGTTGGATCATTTGTTGAGCCACCACCACCATCAACCGATAGAGTTATTTCAAATGGATCAAAAATTACAGATAGAATTGTTTCTTCTAACTCAGAATTCTCATTTAAGAGAACTCCACCTCCATTACCACCACACCGTGTTGCTTCATCACCAATGCTCAAGGCACACATTGAATCTGATAAAAGATCAAGCCATACACTGAACAGAAGTTTTTCAACTCCAACAGGGACAGAACTTTTACAAGAAAAACCAAAAGTTCAACCATATTTATTACAACCTGAAACCAAGTCAAGTCATCCATATCATCAATTAGCTTCAACTGAAGATGTTACAAGTCCACACATCACTGGGGTAGTATATGATGAAGATGATGATGAAGATGAATTTTTTGAAGAAGATTATTATCAAGCTAAAGAAGAAGAAGATAATATTCGTGATTTATGGAGAACTTATTTAAGAAGAACAATTGCTGCAAGAATTGAATCTAAATTAGAAATCCATAACATTGCTCAAATTCCAGAACCAGATGCTGCACAAGAATATGCTGAGAATGTGTTTGGTCTTAATAGTGATAACGATAGTGCTCGTGAAAGTATAAGTGATTTTGATGATGCTGATAATGAATCATTAACATCTGTCTCAGGTAGTGAATTTAGTGATGCTTCAGTTTCAATTTCGGGATCCGAAGTCATGTCAGAAACAAGCACAAATTATTTCTCAACTTACAGTGATCCAATAAGTTCACCACCATTACAATTAACTAGAGAATCTTATAATTTTATTCAAGCACAACTAAGAAATGTTAAAAGATCATCTACATTACCAAACAGAACTCCAAATGATAGATTAAGTCATTACAGAGGGATGGCACCAATGCATAACAGATACATGTCTGTAACCACATAGGACAATACTGAATTAATATATGTTTAATTATATGAATACCAACCAATCGTAGCATTAAATGATAATAATAATATATAATTATAATTATAATTATAATAAATTATAATTATTATAATAAGCTCACGCATTACCCGCAATGGCGTGATGACAGAATAAATCGCGCTTCGCGAAACCGGAGATTCAAATTTTGGTCATAAACAATATTAAATCTCGATTTCAACCCTTTGAAGTATCTTTTGATAACCAACAACACACGTCACAACTGTTCAAACTCAATAACTACTAGGCTATACGCTGATAATGAAACTTCCTCAATTTAAGATGCTCTCACAGCTCACAAAGAGATCTTCTGCTGGGTTCTTGAAGAGACATAATACTCTCCAGATTGCCACTGTTAGATACCAATCAAACAAGACAGCATCATCAGATGAAAAGACCAAAGCTGAAGTTGCTGCTAAAGTCGCTAAACAAAAACAGTTAGACAAGTATAATGCTCTAAGTAACCAAAACCTAATGAAACAACAAAAACAATCAAGTTCACAAAATAGTACACCAAAAAAACTTAAAAAAGTAAAGAAGGATTATTCAGCAATTCCTAAAGTTCCAAGTACAAAATACTTTACATATCATGAAATTGCTTATGATAAGTTAATGAATGGTCATAGACCTCTTCTGTTATTCCATCGTCATACCGATGAACTTTCAGCTTTAGATAATTTTTTCAAACCACAACATTTCTGGAATACAACTGCTGTTGGTTCAGATAAATTATCAGAATGGAATAATGTACCATATGATTCTGCTTATAAATTAAAACCATTTACTCCACCATCATCACCACAAGATAAAATAAAACAAACTGAAGAAGAGTTAACAGGATTCATTGATAATATGGAAAATTCTACTCCATCAAAGAAATCAAATGCTTCAAGAAGTCTTAAAAAGGGCAAAGCTAGTAGAAGAGTTAAAAATAGAAAGACAAGAGGTAGAATTAGACCATCTTATGATTTTGATTATAACAATAACCCAGATGATTATTAAATCACTTCATAGCATCAAAAAAATAAGAGCGTCCCAATACTTTAAAACTTTTATGTCGTTATGAAAACCAGTTCCTTCTCCAATTTAATCAATATCATCTCAATCTCATTTCTCAAAATGAGAGGTTGAGTTGATAATCTTCTTGTATATATATTACAAACCTGTCACCAACGAATCATTCGCATTTGAAGTACATTTTGCTGTTTGCTTCTTATTTTTTTCAATAGTTTCTTATTACGTTTTATTTATGGTTTTATTTTCACATTTTAAGGTTTTTGGGCATTTACATATGATTTATTATGAATTTAAAGATAATTTTATGATATGTTAATTGTAGTATACATTTATTTTGAGACAACTATTGTACATTATTTTATATTTTATACTATTTAAACTTTAACATCACACATTTCGCTACGACGACTTGTATCAGCTTTCATAACTTCTCTTAAAGCCATAGTTGCATATGCAGAAACATCTAATTGAAATTTCAAAATGATTGCAGTTTTTGAACCACCTTTTTCAGGGATAATTTGTTCAATATCTTTATTTTCTTCTTTTGCTTTCAAATGTAATAATTCTAAATCTGTATAAATCAATTGTTGAGTTGGTTCTTCATAATGTCTAACGTGATATTCAAGGCCTTTAACTTTACCAATTATATTACGATAAGAACCTGCAAATGAAAATTCTTTAACCTTTCTAGTCATATCTTCTGGATCTAACCCATCTTTTGACATAATTGTTTTATAAGCTTCTTTAATATCTGGAATATTTGGATAATTAATATCAAAACCTGGTGTTGGTAAAACAATATCGTAGATTGAAAATTTACCAGATTGTGCTTCTTCTTCAGTAACATGTCTTGCTCTTTTGAATTTACCACTTTTGACATCTTCTTCAAAATCGTCAACATCATCTTGATCTTCATTTTCATTTGATGAACCTTCTTCAGATTCAACAAGAACTAAATCACCAGGTAAAACTTTTAAACCATGTTTTTCATTACGTAAACTTGCAATAGTATTCCAGATATAACTTTGATAAGCATGACCATACATAATTCTTAAATTTCTTGGGATTTTCATAATTGCATGGAAATACGAATGTTCTCTATAATCACCATCTTCACCTTTTTTTTCATTTGATAAAAATCTTAAAATTGTTGATTCTGCAACACATTTTCTAGGCATATTATCTTGAGCTTTGACAGCATCCCTTGTTTCACTCCAAATCTTTCTTGAAGCTCTAGATTCTGGTAAGGCAAATTCTTGATCTGATAAAATTAAATCAACAACATTTTTCCAATTACCTAATAAGATTTCTTTACCAATTGTATGAGTTGAAACAGAAAAAGTACCAAATCTTTGCATACCATAATAATTAATAAAACCTTTTTCTTTCAAAGAAGTGAATGATTTAGCTGCAATATCTTCAATTGATTGAGTTGAATCAAGACCTTGAACATCTCTTAAAGTGATTAAAAATTCATTACCATGTAAATCACCAAGATTCAATCCCTTATCTTCATATGAGAAAGAGCCTAATTTTAACCCACGAAGAGTTCTGTTCAATGCATTGACACGTTCAACTCTCATCTTTGGGATACAAACTTTTTGAACAGTAACACCACGACGATCTTTTGTACCTGCATACCTTATTTGTTTTGGAGGTAATCTTAAGAATTTTGCTAATAAATTAGCAGCTTCCATTGTATCTTTATTTTCTTTAAATAATTTGAAATGTAAGAATTCTTTTAATGGACCTAAACCATAGTTTTCAACACCATTTTCATCTCTTGTGTCAATTTGTTGTTTTGGTTTATTAAATGATCTAGTCTTTGCGTTTGATAATGAGAATTGGAAAGTATTCTTTGGTGTTGTTTTGGTTTCAAATTTACCTTGGAAAGCTTCTCTGAAAAGTTGATGAATTTGACCACGAGATTTTTTGTCATCAAATACTTTAGATGATTCGAAAGTTGAATCAGACTTTAGTATAGCTTCAATTTGAGTTAATTCAGCTTCACCGAAAATTTCTAACAACTGAATTCTTTTCGCTGGATCTAATTGAAATTCTTGTGGTTTTTCTTCAACTTTTTCCTCTGGTTTAACTTCTTCTTTTGGAGTAGAATTTTCACCTTGTGTTTCACCAGATTCTCTTTCAGATTCCTTTCTTTCACGACGACGTTGCTTTTTATCTGGGAAACCTTCATCAGTGAAATGAACGACATTATCTTCTAAATCGATTTCATTGACCAAGAAATCAGTGTATCTTTGCTTTAAAGTACCAGTGAACCCAGCTAAATCTTGTGATAAATAATGTGTAATACCAACATCTGTCTCCACGATACCTTTTGATCCAATTTTTGGGGTATCTTCCAACTTTGGTTTTTTGGAGTCTTGTTGAACAGAATCACTTTCAGCAGCTCTCTTATTATCAGACATCTTGAATAGAACTGTATACTATGAACAATATAAGGGATCTGAATTTGTTATGCGTTAAATTTAAAGAAAGCGATGAGGTAGAAATTAAATTTTCAGGCTGGTTTGTAGCCCTTCGGAAATCTTTAAACACTTTGAAAAAAACATGAAGAGTATAATGTTTTTGAACTATGCTAAAAGGTAAACATCGAAATATCTCATTAAATTAGTTGCTAACTGGCTCAAAATGGCTTTTACAGGTGACCCACAGGTATGTTTGTTGTCATATTACCACTTTTCCCGAGTTTTTTACTGACTTTTTCACTTTAGACTGCTGTGAATATACTGCGTGATAGAACATCGGCTCTCTTCCAAGATACAGAAACAAAATTATTCAACAACAACGAGTATGTATGAATTTAGAGTCAGTGTTCCCAAAGATTAGCTACTAACAGAAATTAGAGAGAGTGATTATGTACAGACACGCTTCAACAAGGAATACAAAGATTCGAAAGAACTACCCAAATACCTACAGGATAAAATCAATAACTCAAGAAATAAGAAACCAAGTGTGAAATTAGAAGATGAAGCAGAAACCGAGGAAGCTAATGATGAACTGGTGATAAGGGAAGAAAAACCAACAATAGAGTCTGTTGCTAATGCGTCAAATGCAAACCAATTAGTGATTCATGATCCAAGTATAGAACACAATGCTTCAAGAGCTTTAGTACAACGACAACAACAACAATTCTATGTACCTGATAAACCTGAATGGCATGCTCCTTGGAAATTAATGAGAGTGATCGGTGGTCACAAAGGTTGGGTCCGTACATTGGCGATGGAACCTGAAAATAAATGGTTTGCCTCAGGTTCAAATGATAATACGATTAAAGTATGGGATCTTGCATCAGGTCAATTGAAAATCACATTAACTGGTCATGTTATGGCAGTGAGAGATATTGCAATCTCAGATCGTCATCCTTATATGTTTTCATGTGGTGAAGATAAAACTGTCAAATGCTGGGATTTAGAAAGAAATAAAGTCATTAGAGATTATTATGGCCATTTATCTGGTGTTTATTCCCTCGATGTTCATCCAACACTTGATGTTTTAGTTACTGGTAGTAGAGATTCCACAGTTAGAGTTTGGGATATGAGAACAAGTACAGGAATTTTCACATTGACTGGGCATAAACAACCAATCACAAATATTAAATGTCAAGCTACAGATCCTCAAATAGTGAGTACATCTACAGATAAAACTATCAGACTATGGGATTTAGCAGCAGGGAAAACACAAACAGTCTTAACTCATCATAAGAAGTCTATTAGAGCTTTAGCATTACACCCTGAAGAATATAGTTTTGCTACAGGGTCACCAGATGATATTAAACAATGGAAATTCCCAGAAGGTTCATTCATGCAAAATTTTGTGCCACGTCGTGAAGCTATTGTCAATACACTATCAATTAATCAAGACAATGTTTTATTTAGTGGTGGTGATAATGGTACATTAGGGTTCTATGATTGGAAATCAGGTCATAAATTTCAAGAATTCCAAACTACCAAAATGCCTGGCTCTTTAGATTCAGAAGCTGGTATATATACAAGCACTTTTGATAAAACAGGTATGCGTTTGATCACAGGTGAAGCTGATAAGAGTATAAAGATATGGAGAGAAGATCCAGATGCAACACCTGAAACACATCCAGGAATCCCATTCGATCCAGAGAATTATAGACAGAGATATTAATGAACAGAGATGACTTTAAACTTTTGTGAAATTAAATTTGTAGTTTCTTTATATTGTAAGAGTTTATACACTTTTAAACGTGGTGTTCGGATGTATACTAGATCTTTATATTTTTTTCTTTGGTGATGGAAACAAAAACAAATAAATTAGGCAGAAACGAATTAGTAAAGACATTTGAAAGAGAGGAGTTCAACAACAAATACAAGGAAAATGGGATCCACGACTACAGCTGACAAGGAAGAAACACCGGCTGAACAACAAGGGGAAGTCAAAATTTGCACAGCTGAAGAATTAGTACTTGGTTGTAAAGTTTATGCTGAAAAGGAAGGTGAACATAGATTGGCAGAATTGTTATCGATCCATGTGAAGAAGGGAAGAAAAGTGTTTTATGTGCATTACGTTGAGTTCAATAAGCGTTTAGATGAATGGATAGAGCTCGATAGAATAGACTTCACGCGTCCTGTTACTTTCCCTAAACCTGAAGCACCAAAAAAGGATAATAAATCAACAAAGAAACAAACACAAAGTAAGAATAAGAAGAAGAAGAAAGATGGGAAAGAAACATCTGCTACTCCATCTGGAGCTACTCCAGCTGCACAAGGTGATGATGTTATGGATTTAGATAATTTGAATGTTCAAGGTATAAGGACTGAAGAGATTTCAAGAGAAGATGAAATTGAAAAATTAAGAACAAGTGGATCTATGGCTCAAAATTCAGGTGAAGTTGCAAAATTTCGTAATTTATCAAAAGTCATTATGGGGAATCATGAAATCGAACCATGGTATTTCTCACCATATCCAGTTGAACTTACAGAGGAAGATGTGATTTATATTGATGATTTTACACTACAATTTTTTGGATCTAAGAAGCAATTTGAAAGATTTAGATCTAAATGTACATTAAGACATCCACCAGGAAATGAAATTTATAGAGATGATTATGTTTCATTTTTTGAAATTGATGGAAGAAAACAAAGAACTTGGTGTCGTAATGTTTGTTTATTTTCAAAATTATTTTTGGATCATAAAACGTTATATTATGATGTTGATCCATTCTTGTTTTATTGTATGACTAGAAGAGATGAACAAGGTCATCATTTAGTTGGATATTTCTCTAAAGAAAAAGAATCAGCAGAAGGTTACAATTTAGCTTGTATTTTAACATTACCTCAATATCAACGTATGGGTTATGGTAGATTATTAATTGAATTTTCTTATGAATTATCTAAAAAAGAAGGTAAAGTTGGTTCACCAGAAAAACCATTATCAGATTTAGGTTTATTATCATATAGAGCTTATTGGGCAGATACAATTATTAAATTATTAATTGAAAATGATAGTGATTATGTTACAATTGATGAAATTAGTGCAAGGACATCAATGACAACTACAGATATTCTTCATACAGCTCAAACTCTTTCAATGTTGAAATATTTTAAAGGTCAACATGTTATTTATTTAAGTGATCAAATTGTTGAACAATATGAAAAAACTGAAAAAAAGAAGAGACGTTCAATTAATCCTGAACTATTAATTTGGAAACCACCTGTATTTACAGCTGCTCAATTAAGATTTGGTTGGTGATTTGGGGTATGTTGTATATAGAAGTATTCAAAAAAATAATTTAACGAAGTTTATGACCTATGAATTGAATTATTTTGTAAGTTAAAACATAAATATTAATCAAATGGGATTGGTTTGGTCTTTTCTGATTCACTAGCAGCAAATGCACTTGGAATTTTAATCCCACAACAATCACCCCAAGTATGTTGATGTAAAGGCAATCCTTTATCTGAATCATTATCTTGATGTTGTTGATGATCATGATCACAACCATCACCATGTTGATGAGAATCTGATGATGAAGGTGATGAGCAACCTTCTGGAGCTTTCAATATTGAACCAAAGAAGAAATGTTGAATAATTGGTAATTTCCCCAATACTTCAGCTTTATACATTTTTATCATACCTTCAGATACTTTTTTCCAAGTTTTAACAATACTGATATCATCCAACATTGGTGAATGCCATCTTAATGATGCAGTTTTAATAGAATTAATAAAATTAATACATTCCAAGTATAAATATTTCTTGTGTAATTCTTCAACTAATTCTTTATTATGAATAGATTTTGGACGTAAATATTGATGAGTTGATAATTGAGCTGCACCAAATAAGAAAGGTAAGAAGTGATAATCATCAAGACCCCAAACACCATGAGAACCTGCAGGTTCTAACCAATATTCCTTTTGGAAAACTCTCATTAATGAAATATAATTTTTGAAAATCTTAAGTACAATAGCTGAATAATCATCTTTATTGAATAAACCAATCTTGTTTAATGTAAGTAAAAATGCTAAGAAATTTAATTCATGACCTGAACCATAATCTATACGAGTTCTATTTCCCCATGATTCATTGAAATATATTGAGACTTCTTCAGTTGCACCTTTTATCTTGGAAAGTTCTGGTAAATCCTGATTTATGATCTTGATTGAATTATCATTAATATCATCATAAACATCTCTAAATTCAACTTTACCAAAACGAGTAGTGTTTTTATCCTGTATCACTGGATGATTCTTCACAATATTATGTACAGCTTCCAATATATCTAATACACCTTGAGTTGATTGTGAAATGTGACACTCAGCATCATTATCTTTACCATTGACTGAATCAGCTAAATCTGTTGTGAATTGAATAATTTCATCATGAGTGGCACTAGATTGCCATTTTTCCATATCTTCATTTGTAAGGATCCTTCTTTGAGGGATCTGGTACTCTGTAGCTTCTACCATCGTTCTCTGAATGTATAATAACCTATAACCCTGAGTAGAAGATCTTGAAGCAATGAACAAACAATAAAATCACTCGTATTAAATTGGTACCTTATTAACCTCAGAATCCGGGTAAATTAATAAGTCTGCCATTTTTATCAGTGCACCATGAATTTCTTCGCGAATGTGTTTTACAACTGTTTTGTTTTTTTCGCGAAAATCGTGGTTTTTAATTTTTGGCTGCACTGGTTTTCGAATTCCAATCAAAATTAAAAGGGAGAAACTGCTCAGAAATTGTAAGAGAATCAGCTAAACATTTGCTTTTAACTAGTTCAATTGCTTTGTTATTTTATCATTTTGCTACTGGTGCTATATTAATCCATTGCTAGCTAGATAAGGATGTCAGAAGAAGCCATTTTCCGTGAGTATCGAACCATCTGATGGCACCATCTTGCTTGTTATTATTAGAGCACTTTTTTGGTTACAAAAATATATAATGATAAGAGAATTGAATGATGATGCTCAATATTAAACACTACTGATGTCGGTTGAATAGTTTTTGAAAATGTGTACTAACAAACTCTTACTATAGGTTCTGCGGACGTTAGTTTGGTGCAACTTTATATCCCATCAGAAATTAGTAGAGAAGCTGTTTATGCATTAGGTGAAGCTGATACCATTCAATTTAGAGACTTGAATTCTAAAGTCAATACTTTCCAAAGATCATTTGTTAATGAAATCAGAAGATTAACAAACGTTGAAAGACAATATAACTATTTTAAAGAACAATTAAACCATCGTGGTGTTCCATTAAAACCTGCTCCTTATATTGAAGATCAAGAATTTACACCAGCTGCTAAACCAAGTGATATTGATGAAAAAGTTGAAAGTGCTCAATTATTAGAAGAAAGATTAAGTCAATTGGTCGATGCATCTGAAAATTTAGAAACTCGTAAAAAGGATTTACTTCAATCAAGACATGTCTTGAAAGCTGCTAATCAATTTTTCAATAAAGAAGCTGAACATGTTCAAAGGCAAAGTTTTGATTTAATTGATACTGATGATCATGATATTGAACAACAACAACAAAATCAAAATGCAGCTATTAGTGAAAATTATGTCACTGGTGTTATTCCAACTGAAAAGGCCAATATTTTAGAAAAAATCTTGTGGAGAGTATTGAGAGGTAATTTAATTTTGGAAACTGTTCAAATTGAAGACCCAATTTATGACCCAAAATCAAAACAATATATCAATAAGAGTGTCTTTATTGTATTCTCTCATGGTCATGACATCATTTCAAGAATTAAAAAAATTAGTGAAAGTTTAGATGCAGATTTATATGAAGTTGATACCGAGGAAAACAAAAGATCTGAATCTTTATTAGAAGTTAACGGTAGTCTTGAAGATTTAAACACAGTTCTAGAAACTACAAACCGTACATTAAACACGGAATTAATTGCTATTGCACAAGAATTATCTAGTTGGGCTGCAGTTATCTTGAAAGAAAAATCTGTTTATCAAACTTTAAATTTATTTGATTATGATCCAAATAGAAAAGTTTTAATTGCAGAAGGTTGGGTTCCAACAAATGAAATACCTTCATTAAAAGAAACATTAGACTCTACTTCAACAGATGTTAGTTCTGTTGTTAACATTCTTCAAACAACTAAAACTCCACCAACTTATCATAAGACCAATAAATTCACAGCTGCATTCCAAAGTATTGTTGATGCTTATGGTATTGCTGAATATAAAGAAGTTAATCCAGGTTTACCAACAATTGTTACTTTCCCATTTATGTTTGCCATTATGTTTGGTGATATGGGTCATGGTTTTATTTTATCATTAGCTGCTTTATTTTTAGTTTCACATGAAAAACAATTTGCTCGTATCAAGAGAGATGAAATTTTCGATATGGCTTTCACTGGTAGATATATTTTATTATTAATGGGTTTGTTTTCAATTTTCACTGGGTTTTTATATAATGATTTATTTTCTAAATCAATGACTATATTTAATTCAGGTTGGAAATGGCCAGAACATCATGAAGGTGAAACTATTTTTGCAGAACAAACTAGTGTTTATCCAATTGGTTTAGATCCAGCATGGCATGGAACTGAAAATGCTTTATTATTTACAAATTCATACAAGATGAAATTATCAATTTTAATGGGTTTTATTCATATGACTTATTCATATTTCTTCTCATTAGTTAATCATTTACATTTCAAATCAGTTATTGATATCATTGGTAATTTTATTCCAGGTTTATTATTCATGCAAAGTATTTTCGGTTATTTATCCATTTGTATTGTTTATAAATGGTCAATTGATTGGATTTCTTTAGGTAAACCAGCACCAGGTTTATTAAATATGTTAATTTCAATGTTTTTATCACCAGGTACAGTTGAAGAATATTTATATCCACATCAAGAAAAAGTTCAAGTTTTCTTATTAATTATTGCATTAATTTGTGTTCCATGGTTATTATTATTAAAACCATTATATTTTAAATATAAAATAGATCAAGAACATAAATATCAAGAATTAAATGCAGATCCTGAAGCTGTTCAAGATTTACCAAGAAATCCAGAAGAATTACAAGCTATGGAACATGATGATGATGATGAAGAAGGTGAAGAAGGACATAACTTTGGTGATATTATGATTCATCAAGTTATTCATACAATTGAATTTTGTTTAAATTCTGTTTCTCATACAGCTTCATATTTAAGATTATGGGCTTTATCATTAGCTCATGCTCAATTATCTACAGTTTTATGGTCAATGACTATTCAAAATGCATTTGGTGCCACTGGTATTACAGGTGTTATTATGACTGTTTTCTTATTTGGTATGTGGTTTGTTTTAACTGTTGTTATTTTAGTTATTATGGAAGGTACTTCTGCAATGTTACATTCTTTACGTTTACATTGGGTTGAAAGTATGTCTAAATTCTTTGTTGGTGGTGGTAAAATTTATACACCATTTAGTTTTAAATCAATTTTAGCTGAACAAGGTGATTTAGAATAAGAGTATTATCACATTTTTTTTTTGCATATTATACAATATCTCTGAGATAAGAGATCTGTACCATAATTCATATTTAATAAGATTTTAAAAAGACACTTGATACCTCAATTTATAGATCTCAATATCAAGTGTTTTTGAAAGAAGGAAAAAAAGAAAAAACAACTAATTTAGTTTACATAAATTTTCTTTGTTATAAGTTTATATAATAAAATTGATATAAAAATAAAAGTTTCATTAATTTTAATTCTAAAATAAATATATAATCTATATAATAATATTATTATTATTCCCAAACTTTAACAGTTTGATCAGTTCCACCAGAAACAAATAAACATCTCATATTTTCATCAATTAATTTTTCATCATTAGTTGATCTATCATCAGGATTTTCAAAAATAGAAGGAGCCCAATTAATTGAATTTATAAATCCCTGGTGTTCTTGTAAAGTCCTTATACAATCCCCATTTTCTAAATCCCAAAATTTAATTGATTTATCATCTGAACAACTTATTAAAATTTTACCATTTGGATGGAATTCTAAATCTTTTACCCAAGATTTATGACCAATTAAAGTTTTAATTAATATACCTTGAGGGTTTGAAGATGGTATTGGATGATTATGAGGTCTTATTATGGGTAGTGGTAATAACCAAATTTTAATTGTATCATCTCTACCACCACTAACAGCATATTTAAAACCAATTTTATTATAAGTTTCATCATCAATTGGATAATCTAATTGATTTAATTTATCAACATATTTATTTGACCTTATTGGTATAAATTTTACAGTTTCAATAACTTGACCATGACCAATCATTATACCTAACCCAGTACCAGAATCACCATGACTTAATCTTATACTTTGATCATTTGAACCAGATAATAAATATTCACCAGCTGTTAAATCTAAAGTTCTTACCCAATCTGAATGACCAATAAATGATTTTATACACCAACCATTTGTTAAATCCCAAAGTTTTATAGTTTGATCTCTTGAACAAGTAAATATATATCTTGAATTTTTTTTGAAAACAATTGAAGAAACAACATGTTCATGACCTGTTAAAGTTCTTAATAATTTACAACTTGTTGCATCCCAAACTTTCACATAAAGATCTGAACCACATGTTACAATAACATGGTTCTTGTTGTTAAAATCTAATCTATCTGGAGATATTACCAATTGATTTAAAGATTTTGTATGTGCATGAATTATATTTAAAGGTTGAACTAAATCCAACAGATTCCATTGTAAAAAAGAACCATCAGATAATCCAGTGAATAATTGTGGTTGCATAGGATGAATAGCAACAGAAGTGACAGAATGTTCATTATTCAAAGTTTTCTTAACTTTTGAAGGAGCCCAATTTAATTTTATTAAATCAGAATTTGTAAATGATGCAATTTGTAAATATGAAGAATTTGTTGATTGTTTTGATAATTGATTTACTTGAGATTCCAAATCCAATATTTTCTTCTGTAGCCGTATTATAGCATTCCATTTCTTAATTAATAAATCATTATCATCCTGTATATCTGTAATATTTAATTCATTTTGTAAGTTATTTAAAACATCAGTTGAAACCAAAGGTTTAAGATAATTTAATATGGAATTGTTAAGATCTGTCTTCTGTTTTTGAGATAAGAATGACATTCTAATAGCAGCATCTATGAAGACAGTATACCAAATCAAATTCAATACAAGTTGATTATTCCACAAATTTAAGATTTCAAGTATTTATCCGCCAAAAGTTTATTGTCCAAAAATGAAAACAAACCCAAAAGGTGAATTACGAGGGTAAAATTAAATACACGTGATGTGTGATTATGTAATGATTAATTCCGGTTCAAGATTAAATTTTTTTACGAGATGCTTTAATTTTACTATGAAGAAACGCGTATTTTATTACTTTTAGGATCAATGTTGTTCAGATGTAATTAGATTAATGGTTGTATGATCAAATATAGGATAATATAAGTCAATATATTAGTACAAAAGAAGTTCATGGAGTTTAACAGTACATGTGGGATCACTTGAGTCTTAACCTGGTTTAATGGTCAATACGTAGTTTTAGTAGCTTCAAATCATCATCAACATTAGAGAGTCGAGACCCTAATCAGCCCTAAAGTTATAGCCGTTCCTCGTGTATGGCTGTTAATGATCCATTGTAGCTTGTTCGTAGTCCCTTTAAAATCAGTGCAACTTGCTATCTCATTAATAAAAATATAACTTCTCCATTATCGGATTTCTATCGATTCGATTCAAATTTGCTTTCCAAAACATGTCAAACTGATTCAGGAAAAAAATAACCATCGCGCAAAGACGGAAGCGACATGCGAGTAGTTAACAAGTGAACTGTTTGATAATATAAATAGTGTGCTATACTATCACTGATATGAGTATGCTCTCAGGCCATCACCAGGCCCGTACTATCATATCAATGTTGTCTGGTCTCCTGTGTTGTCAGTCACCTGTTACTCTCCTGTCTACACGTCGCGTGGGTTCCTTCTAGAAGGGAATAATCTTACTATTGTCTCTTTACGCCTTTTTAAGCGCTGTCAAAGTTTCCTGGTTACGCTGAGAAGAACTCAGCTGCGCAAATTACATGGTGTTCTCTCCGGAGAATCTAACCGGACAAGCAGTGCTCCTGCCCAGAGCCTGCCTAGATCCTGCCTAGAGTTTACCAGGGTCCACCAAGCACTAGGCAGGCCGGAAGACATTGGGAAGAGCGGAAAAGACGGCATACTGATTATGTGCATTTTTATGCCAAAAGTACAAATAAACAAAGCGCTAATGACTCTTGAATCTAGCTAATAAAGCATCAAGTTTTGAAGTTTTTTCACATAAATAAAACTGAAATTGACTTGTTGTGGAATTGATGGATTCTCAAGAGTACAAGATCACATTTCAAAGGGCTGTTACTGATTATAATAATCACCATCTGGTTATTTACCATCTCCACAAGATTACACAAAACTGATCAGAGGTTGCTATCGAATTGATTAAGTGGATATTAGATTTATATAAATATATTTGAATCCTTGAATGCCGCTATAGAAATAACTCTTCATTTGCACTTTTACAAACCATCTTCATATTCATTCAGTTTCATAGAGATCATAAAACAATACTCATGTTAACAATGCCCAAAAGGTTCACTTTACATGGGAATAATAGTACAAGTTCATCTCATTCTAAAATGGGAAGTCCTAGTATAAACACCAAAGGAAGATCATTCTTTGGAATAAGTCTAGGGAAACATGATTCATTAGATTCAGATCAAGTAGAATCACCAACAAGTTCACATCATTCTGAACAACAAAATCAAAATCAAGAACAAGATCATCATTCACCACCTTCTTCTAAAAATTCATCACCACCAAATGATAATCATCATCATTCAATGTTGGAATTGAAAAGATTCTTTAGACCTAATAATAAAAAACATAACAATAATAATCATCAAAGCCCCAATGGTTCAAATTCAACTTCAAAATTATCTTCCGCCCTACCAAGTTCAAGTTCAATTTCTCTGTCAAGACCAGATCCTTTCGATGCAGATGGTTGTTTAGTACAAAAATATGGTAAACTGGGTAAAATCTTAGGTTCAGGTGCCGGTGGTTCTGTTCGTTTATTAACAAGACCTTCTGATGGTGTTACATTTGCTGTAAAAGAATTTAGAGCTATAAGACCTGGTGAACAAGCTAAAGATTATGCTAAAAAATGTACTGCTGAATTTTGTATTGGTTCAACTTTACATCATCCAAATATTATTCAAACTTTAGATATAGCTCATGAAAATGGTCATTATTTTGAAGTTATGGAATATTGTCCAATTGATTTCTTTGCCGTTTTTATGAGTGGTAAAATGACTAGAGGTGAAATAAATTGTTGTTTAAGACAAATTACTGAAGGTGTTAAATATTTACATGATATGGGATTAGCTCATCGTGATTTAAAACTTGATAATTGTGTTGTAACAAAAGATGGTATTTTAAAATTGATTGATTTTGGTTCTGCTGTGGTTTTCAGATATCCATTTGAAGAACATTTAGTTAAAGCTCATGGTGTTGTAGGTTCTGATCCTTATTTAGCTCCTGAAGTTCTTTGTCAAAGAGAATATGATCCTCAACCAGTTGATATATGGTCAATTGCAATCATTTATTGTTGTATGACTTTGAAAAGATTCCCATGGAAAGTTCCTAAATCAACAGATCCATCATATAAACTGTATTGTATGCCAGATGATGAACCTCATAATTATTATAAATCTGCAGAACAGCACAAGATATTATTAGCTAAAAGAAGAGCTGAAAGATTAAAATTAAATAATGGAACTTCAAATGATCAAGATTCAAAAGTTGAAAAAATTACTGAAGTCTTGAAAGATACCACAATTGAACCAAATCAAAATATTCAAAATAATACAGCTTCAAGTTCAGATAAATCTTTACATTCAATTACTGATCCAAAATCTGAAGTAAAAAATTATATCCATAATAATAATAGTAAAAGACCATCACCACCACAAGAACAAAAATCACATCATCGTACCATACATGGTCCTTATAGATTAATGAGATTATTACCTCATGCAGCAAGACCAATAATATCAAGAATGTTAACAGTTGATCCAAATAGAAGAGCAACTTTTAAAGAAATTTTCCAAGATGAATGGTTTAGTACAATTACACCATGTACAATTAATAAAAAAGGTGAAGTTGTTCATGCTCCTGGTCATCATCATACATTTGTTGAAGGTGATGAAGCACATTTGGATAGTTATAAACCTAATGTTTCAAATCATAAACAATCTGTTGCAAATCAAATTCAACATGTGCATTAATTTAAAGTGATCATATAATAATTACACTTTACACAATAATATAAAGAAATTCTTAATGAATATGTCTAATGAAGTTACGTCAAAAAAACAATAATATTTAAACCAAATTCGCAATCAATATTACAATATAGTTTATGCTAAGTACAAATAATATTTAATATGGTAATTTATGGGTTATGAAACATGGAATAGTTCATATATATAGCTACTTATATTATACAGGATTCCTAGATACAAAATACAACTAATAATATATTAACAAGTAATGTAAGATATCATATATACGATTCTAAATTCTAATTCATCTAATCTATTTAACAGTTTCATTATCATGATTTGAATGTTCAATTTCAAATTCAGATTTATGATCATGTTGCCACCAACTATAAACTTTATGAGCTAATTCATTATCAACATTTTCGAAATATCCAGAACCGGTCAATCCAATTTGATTTATACCAAATTTTGAAATATTACCCATTGATTTATCTTCATTCCAAAAGGATAAATGAAATAATAATCTTATTTTTAAGTCATGTGAACCTAATTTATATAAATCATCTTTTGTAAAATCTATTAATCCTCTTTCTAAACATGATCTTATCAATTCACCTTTGGAAACATTCCATAAATAATTACCATCATTGTTTAAAGATTCATTAATTAAGAAATTATTATCAATATCAATTTTAGTCATATGATTTTTTAATCTTGATTGTAATATAGATATTGGATATAAATTTGTTGGTAAATATCTTGATTTTAAATTTAATGATTCAACTAATAATCTTAATTCATCATTTGGTATAGTATAAATACTTTGAAATGGAGTTTCATTTTTTAAATAATAATCTAAATAACGTTCTTTACGTATCTTACTCAATTCATGAGTTGCTTTAGTTGCAGAATTATATTTTTTCTTTAATAATCCAGGGAAAACACAAGTTGATGGAGCTAATTCAGGGAAAATAAAACATATAACTGGTGTCATTTCAGCGAAAATAAGGGTTATAAGAGCAAATAATGGAATTTTGAAAAAATCTTGTTCAGTTCTAATAATTTTTAAATATTCTTGTCTTGAAATTTTTAAAATTGAAGTCTTATCAAGTTTTTTCAATGTTTCTTGTTCAACAATTTGAAGTGCTTTTAAATTTGAAAGAATATTTGTTAAATCTTCACCATTTCTAAATCTTCTTTTAATAACTTGTCCATGTTTATCAACACTTTCAACATAGAATTTCTTTTTAATAGCACTAACATCTCTTCTATTTCTCCAAACATTTTGAATACCAACTTTATAAAAATGAATAACAGATTTTGTATATGCTGTATATTGTTTAATTTGTAATCTTAAACCTGAAAGTTTTGGATTTTCATCAACAACACTTTTGAAAACAGCAGGTTTTGTACGTAGTACTATGGGCACCGTTGATGGTGCATTTATCTCATCTGGTTGTGGTTTTGAGTAAGGAGCAGTCCATAAATATTGAAGTGTATCATTGTTCTTTATTGAGTTGAAGAAAAGTTCATGGCTTTGAAAATTCAATTTCTTGGATGACAACGTGGAGTTCAAACGACAAGGTACTTTATATGACAATGGCTTGAACATACTGCAATATAATTTACTCAACAATAACAGCCAATTTCGTCTCTTTGACTCTATTCTCCAAATTGTTTATGTATAGTGAATCGAAATTGCTGAAGATATTTTTTTTTCATCGGAAATAAAAGAAGGCCTACATACAGAAATCAGATTAGACTATAGACGAAAAGAATGTTAAATTATTGCTGAAATCCCTTGGAATAGCGTGTTCTGTACCTTCAAATATTAATACATGGTTTTTCTGTTGGGTCTTTTCCATACCATGCAGTCCATTCCGGATATTTCTTGCGAAGAACTGAATCAAGATTATCAAAAACTGCTTTTGCCTTAATGGCTGATTCAACATCGAAATAATGAATGGCAATACAAAGTCTTCTTGAAATAACTGGTGTAACCTCCAAGATTTCTCCAAACCTGCGGAAATCACGTCTCATTTCTTCAAAATCCATATTGGTGTAGAACACTTTAGGTGACGGATAATGTCTTGATGAAGACGTTTTACTTTTTTTAACTTGATATTTGTTTTTAATAATCAAACAACGACGAGCTCCACTAACTTCCATTTCTTTTATGGTTGATGAAGATGGTGGTATATGATAGCTGGATTGCTTTGAGCTCAGGCTTCCGTGGGACTCCGCCCATTGTACTTTATAATGGAGACCATTGACAAGGAACATACCAGATTGGCTATAATGCATAAAACGATGAGCATCCTCAGTCTTTATAAACCAAAGTTCTAAAATACAATTCTTCAAATTTATATAACTGGTCAAATCAGTATAGGTAATTGAGTTGTTTGAACCTAATGGGTGAATCACAATCTTTTCCAATGGTCCACCACTTATTTGTGTGATGACTGATTTCAATCCAACAAACGAATTGAAGTTTTTAATTTGTAATACTCTTTTTCCTGATTGTGTAACAGGGCTTAAATCTTTTCTTGATTTATTATATGAAATTATCTTGTTGAGGTTAACATCTTCTTGATTTTTAGCAACAACTGTAGATGTTGATACTGATGGAGAAGATTTGGATGAAGAAGCTTCAATTGAATCTTTCAATGTGAGTAACTTGAGATTATTTAGCTCAGTTATCATTCCAAGAGAAGATGGTGCCCTCATCTTGTCAACTATTTCCTTTGCTTTCTCAATATCGGTCTGAATCCTATCTGTATCTTCAGAATACCGTCTTGCAAAATCTGGATATTTGTTTGGACTGTTATACGTAGTAGAAACTTCTATAGTTGACTCATCTCTATTGGAAACATTTGGATAAATAAGCGGAATTGGCTCAGAGACATTATAATCTTCAATAGGAAGTATAACGGGTGTGTACTTATTCTGTTTCTTGAATTCCAAATTTTGCTCCTCCTCCTTTGGTTCTGGTATCACTTGAGGTTTTTTTGCCTTCGCATCTGTAAAAATAGTTATTGGTTTAGTGCTTGTTAAATTATGCACAGGAGGAACTGAAGGTAATGAAAGATATTCAGATTGTTTTGGTGTTGAGGGAAATGAGTGTACAGCTGGAGCTCTTGTTGATTTGATTGCATTTCTGAAACGTTGACTTTTGCTCTCTGAGAATTTTGGTGTAGTCAATCCAGGACAATCTTTAACTTCTTCAACTCCTTTAATTTTTGTAACTTTTGTAACTTCTTTAACTTCTTTAGCTTCCTTAACTTCTTTAACCTCTTTGAGTTCTTTAACCTCTTTGAGTTCTTTAACCTCTTTAAGTTCTTTAACTTTTGATGTATTCGTATAAGTGTCATCTTGAGCATCGAGTGGAGCATTAAGTGGAGCATTGTGTGGATCATAGTGTGAACTCGTTGGATAATCCGGCGCGTCATAAGACCCTGAAACCTTGGAGTTGTTGTATCCCTTATTATCAATAGGACCTTTGAAAAATGTTGATATTTTTTTGATTATTCCTTGTGATCTAGAGCTATAACTATATTCTGAACCTCTCAAGCTACTAGCACCATGGAACCCATAATATTTGTACTTAAGGTCATCTTTAAATTCATTGTAGTCAATACTAGATACACTGTGCAGGGCCGTATTATAGTAGGTCATATTTCACCAAAATTTAATATTTTATGATTGGATGTGATTAATTTGAACACCTTGTAACTCTTAATGTCTTGTAAAAGTAGCTAATTTGAATAAATAAAGCAAATAAAATGTGTAAACAATAGCTATAGACCTTTCTTTATCTTTAGATCTGTTAATGTTATAACTGTTATTAAAGCTAATTATTACAAAAGGTGGTTATCAAGTCTTCAAGCCCAAAACTTATATTCTGCATCCTGGTACCATATCTGTTTTTGTGTCAAGATTTATGAACCTCTTTTTGTGGCAACACTATAATGTAATATCAAAACAAAACAGCTTTCTTTACACTGATCTTCAAGACGTCAACCTTCCAGTTAGACCAATGATCATGTCGTAAATTTCTTTATTAGACTGTGATATCTTGCCCTCTCATCACCGCTGTGCCAAAAGTTTCCATACGAATCAAATTTTGTAAACATTTGTTGACTTTATATACAACACTGAGTTTTTCCGAATGTAAACAAATCCGATTAATCCCCACAAAGCCGCCAACTTCGCAACCTGTTTGTCCGAATTCGAGATTTTAATTTTCCACCTTTGTATAAAGAAGAGCGCAATTCCTAGGTTATAATTGACACATTATTAGTTGAATTCTCATCTGATCAATCAATTGCTTCAATTAACTACATATATTAAAAAACAATATCAATAAAAAATACTACTAAAATGTCAGCAGATCTTGATGTGCAAAAGTTAGCCGATAGTGCTTATGGCTTAGAAAAGTTGTTAGAATTAGAACAAGTTTACTTGAAACATTTTGATGCCAAAGTTGGTTTTGAACTAGGTTTGAAAGCCAAAGAATTAGTTGAAAAGCTATATCCAGAGGCTAGTGCTGCAATTGATGTCGCTTACATCACTGGTACTACTGTTTTCAGAGGTGTCATTGGTAACATTCAAGAAGCTAATGAATATTATATTGGTGTTAAAAAACAAGCTGTGAAAACACACGGCAACTCAAGTTGGTATTTCTGGGAAAGAAACCATGCACTAAACAGAGTTAGAGATGGAAGAAGTACCACTGGTGAACCATTAGTCTTAGCTGGTGGTTCAGTTCCAATCAGAATTGAAGGTGCTCCAGATTTTGTTTTGGCTACAATCACAATTAGTGGATTGAAAAATCATGAAGATCACTATTTATCTCTTTCTGCCTTGAAGGCAATTGCTGAGCAACAACAACAAGAAAAATAGGTAAAATAACTACAGATATTGAATATACATAGTCTTCTCTTTGATAGAGATATTGTTTATTGTCAATATATTTTAAGTTCATAATTACCAATCGATCTCTTTCTTTAACCTCTTTCTATCTTGTACTGCAGCCTCCAACTTCTTTCCTTCTTTGACCCTAGTGTAATAAACTGGACAATCATGTGATTCACAGGAAACAGAATGACCTGAACATGATCTGCATACTGTCATCAAATCTTTCATCCTCCCCTCAATCTGTTTCATTCTTTGATTTAAATTTAACACTGTTTTAAGCTCATCATTTCGGCAGCTTTGACATAGATTTGATTTCGTGGGAACGTTGCAAGATAAACAAATAGAATTGTAAATTGAACTTCTTTTAGCAGGTCTCGGTAGTTCATTATACCATGGTTTGACATCAACACCAAGAAGATTGAATATCCTCTCTAAAGGTGGTATCAACGTCTTGACAATATAATACTCGGCATCTAATTTATAATTATTCTCGATAAATTGTTCTGGTGTCCTAGCCCTTTCTCTTAAAATTGAACCGGTTTCTTGAATAATCACATACGGAACTCTTTCTTTGTATTGTGGTTCAGCCCTTGAATCTTGTTCCATTAGTTTTGTACTAACAACAGCACCTGGTGGTGGTTGTTTATAGGTCCCAATTTTCACTTCTTTGGCAAAACAAAAATCTTGAATAGATACTTTATTGTATGTAATTTTATTGAATTGATCTTGAACAAAATTCTTTATTTGTGAAATATCATTAGTCTCGAAAAGTATTCTAAGACATTTTTCAACTATATGCTGTTGAGCTGGATGTCCGTCTCTTCTGACGGTCTCAATACCTTTTGCATCAAATTTAACTGGTGAATTAATATTTTCATAAGAATAACCCACATATCGTTTCTTAGCCATCAAAACACATGGATGATAAACCTTTTCAAACTTTAAAGTTACAGGATCTGGGTTGCTCTTTGTAACTGCATCAGCCATCTCTTTACCAATTCTGAAAGCATCATCACGACTTCTGCCTGGTAAATAAACAAATAAACTATCAGTATCACCATATACCACTTTCGCACCCCAACTTGATTGTCCTTCAATGATATCAACTGCTTTATCCAAAGTTTCTCTCCCTGTTTGCACAATAGCATCAGCAATATCAGAACATGGCATTCTTCCCGAAAACGAAGCTGAAGTATAACCATAGGTAACATTAGCAATTAATTTCAAAGCTAATTGTCGACTATTGTACAATTGTTTCATATTCTCGTCAAGAAACTTCATGGTTGATTTCACCATAAATCTTGTGTCTAAAATCTCTTCCAACATCTTTGCCAATAATGATTTCCTAACTGATGATTTAGCAAACATTAAACCGTTCGGTGAAATATTGATATCATTTTCAAGTAACTTCAAAAGCCCTGGTGGATGTTTGACATGACTAGTACCAATATGATTAGGACCATTTGAGTAATTTCTCAATCTTCCCAATAATGTTGAATAACAATAGTTATATGCGATAACAATTGATGGGTATAAAGATTGAAAATCAAGAACAATTAAAGGACTCTTATAGTATGCAGATATAGGTTCCATCACTAATGGTATACATTCCAAGGGTTTTTGTTTTCTGACTTGTCTCTTACTTGGTGAAAATAACATAAAATTCTCAGCTTTTGCCATCCTGACCATGAACGATTCAACTTTGTACTGTGATCCCCTATAATAAACGTCATTAAAATCGATACCAATCAATCTAGCTTCTTCCGCCGCTCTAGTTATCAGTTCTTGAGTATCTATTAATCTTCCATCGATCTCTAGCTTCTTAAAATAATGACTAGATAATGATAGAAAATCGTCTTGGAACATCTTTGTCAAAGTCTTGTTTGAATAATGAGGTAAACGTTCATGTAACGCATGATAAGCAACATTCTCAATGGTGTACTTTAGTAAATTTAGCCTTCTCAGTGGTCTCCATATATTCAAAACTTGTCTTCCACAAACCTTGATACTTGACGTATGTGTATACCCCCAATGATCACCCATTTTATTATGAGCCTTAAAGTGGACTCTTGAAAGCTCAGGGACAAAATCAAATTCATATATAGCTCTTGCTCTTTCAATCAAGTACCCCCATGATCCTGATTGAACTTCAAAACCTGATATTATATCAGGGTCAAATTTTCTGACAAATGTTGTGAAGCTTTCAAACATTTCAAGTTCACTTATGAAATGTGTGACTTCTTTGTCGGGGACAGGTTGTTTGACATTTAAAAGGTAAACACCCTCCCTGTGTGTTGATCCATTCATAGTTTTCCAAAAAATTGCAGAAACCTCATCATATTTTGGGTCTGGCCTTAAACTTTCTCTCGTATTAGAATGAACCTCGACTATTAAGACTGTCATATGATTTGACCCATCGGGTCTTCTTTCATTGGTTTGAGGTGAAGCAAACTTATGCCTTTGAGTAACACCAATTTGAGATTTGATCTGGCTTCCATAGACAAAATTCTTAACTTGGTTGAAAGATGGTGGTTTTTTAATATACCTCCACGACTTGAAAGTATTCTCCTGTAACACAAAACCTTTCTCAATTTCTTTTGATATTGATTCCCCGTGTACCTCTAATCCATCAAGATCCTTTGGAGCTTTTGATTTCAAATTGAACTTCTTCCCACCAAAAACGAATGGCTTGGGTTTTTCTTCAGTGTAAAACGGATCATTATAGTCTATTTGAGGTAGCCCAACTGCTCCAAAATCCAAGTCAAGTGGTGGTGCCTTGCTATAAATAAATCTTGATTCGGCAAGCTTAGGAAACTTATTCTTCACTTTGGTAGAAGAATCCAATGAGCTCAGTACTCTAGAAAGATCATTATTTTGGGTAAACTTTACATTCATGTTTTGAGTGAGATGAATATCAGAAATATCTGGAGCATTTTGTAACTTTTCTTGAGATTCACTTAAGAAAAATTCATCACTACCTTCAAAATCATTAGGGTCTTCTGGTTCATAGATACCGGGAACAGCATTCCGTTCGTCATCATCTCTAGCGTTTTCAAAGATTTCTAAATCATCATCCCGATTCATAACAGCCGGGCCTTGATAATCATCTAAAAGAAAATCATTTGGATCATATTCATCTTCTTCACCAGAATGTTCACTCTGTATTGTCTTTTCGTGGTCGGTGTACAAATCTGGTTCATGAAACATTTCACTAACTGTTTGGAATGAGCTTTTTAGATCGTTCTCCCATGAACCTTTTTTGATAAAGTTGCTAAAATCTGCAGTTGTTTCACCATTAATCTTTTTTGCATATTCAAATAACTGATTCAACTCTTCCGTCTCTACCCATTCGACATTTGGGCTTCTTAAAGTTGATTGAGGTGTTGAGTACTCGACTTCACCTTTAGCTTTCCTTTGAAAGTCACCGTCTTTCCATAAATCTTTTGTACTTTGAATGTAAATATCAGAAGATGGTGGATTGAATTTTTCAATAAAGTCATGGTGTAATTCACGTTCTTTCAGATCAAGTCTATTCAATATATCTTGAGCACAAACATCGATTTCCAATGCACTATACCCTGTTCTTTCAGCATCAGTGGGTTGGAACCCCGTTAAATATTCAACCAGTTCATCTGTCTTTAATGAATCATCTGAAAGTATAGGTGATCTTAAATATAGGTTTTTCAATCTAAGCCAAGCACAACCAAATAAATTAAAATCAGATAAAAATTGTAATACATATGGAATATGAACTTCATAGCAGTCATATTTTTTACCAGTTGCTTTACCATCACGGAGCATTTCAGCTAACCTATTACTATAAGAAGGATTAAGCAGATATATTTTGTAAAATGCTTTATAACCAACATTATACCCATAGAATGGAACACCTTTGCATAGTGATATATGGGCGATATATTTGAAGACTTTGGATTCCTTATGGTTATCATTTGTATTTTCATTATCACTTTTCTTTCTATTCAGAGATGAAGCTATAGCTGCTTCTAAAACTTGCTGTAATCTGAAACAATCTTGGTTATCATATGGGATGTAGATATATGGATAAGCTCCATGGATATGTGCAATGATATTGTGACCCGTTGGGATGGATCCAAAGACTCTAACAACGGGTACGTGATGGAATGAAAATTCTTGTTCTTTATTTATAGGCCCATCTCTATCAAAGATCGATGGCGTTACCTGGTAATGATCATATGTGTTGATTTGAATCTTGAAGTCATCCTCCACAAACGAGTCACTTTTAGTTGCATAAAAATCATCTCTGTTTCTTCTCTGCATCAAAGCATCATCCCTTGACAGTGGTAACTAGAGAGTTATATACCTTTGTTTTGTTTGTTTATACAATATTGATGATTTTTAATTCTAAAATTCGCGTGAAGGTTTTATATGAGGGACTTGACATTTTCCTTATTGAATAGAATCCTTCATTAAAATTGAAGTACAATGGAAAGCCACAATGACTATCAAAAGAACAGTCTATATCAAGATTCCTCGTAATAGAGATGGCTTTGTTGATCCACCAAGCGTATGTACTCTAGTGGTTGAATTACAAATGGTCTATATGGAACCGAATTGAACACTAATGCAGTCACACTATAGATAAGATGGAGTGAAGACAAAGAAAGGAAACTATGGAAAGTCTTGTCGAAATCAAAAAGAAATGACTTAGACTGTGAGTATAGATTTTGCATACTCCTTGACTAAAGATACTAACTGAAAGTGAAAAGGGAATGGATTGTGAGTTTGATTGAATTTATATGACATTCTATTGATCACTAACATCAAAAGATCCGAACAATTTGGAGTACCTATATCATTCCTTCAACAACAAGCATACTGGCTTTATGAGAGTGAACTGGAACAACTGAAGAATGAAATGCAAAGAGGTCAAACGGCTGGTACGTCTTCTAAAGAGCCATCACCGCCGAAATCAGAACCAAAATATGAAGTCAAGTCTACACATAATGTTAATGAATTATCAACGTCAACAAAAAGCTTCAATATTTTCCAACCTAGACAAGTGAGGAATGAGTTAACTTATGAACACTCAAATGTTGAATTTTCTGCTGATCCAAATGCTACACTAAAGCATGTCGACTTCGATAATGATATTTATCAAACTACTGATGGAACTGATGAAGATTCGGATAATTCATCGTCTTCTTCAATTGCAAATCTCAACCAAGAATCGGTATTTCTTCATAGATCAAGAATTCTAACCAAACCACCGCCTACTTTTGATGATTCCGATGATGATGAAGAAGATATACCATTACAAGAAGATCACGAAGCTCCAACAAGAGAATTTGAAAATGTAACATTGAATGATACTTTACATAACACCTCAATTGGGAAACCAAAAGTTACTACAGAATCATCATTATCAAATATATCATGTATGTATGCAAATTCTATGAGTTTTCTATGGGGTTAAATGATACTAACATTTTTATCAATGCAGCGTTTAGTGTTAGTAAATCTGCTTTGGAGGAGGCTTTACTTGATAACTCTCGGATCTGAATTCTTCGTCACATCTATCACAAGCACATTCAAAGAACCAGTTTTTACTCAAAACTTCTTGTCTAACCATCAGTGATTCATCTAACATGTGGAAATAATCAATACACATTTGTTCACCTTTAGCAATATCAGCAGTTGTTTGGAAATGCATTCTATTGACTTTTCTATATTTCTTTAGATTTGGACTGCATGAATGATTGAAGAAAGATGCTTCTGGGAAAAGAGAGTAACCCAAGAATTCCTTATTTTCAGATGATTTATCATCAACTAATTGCCAAGTTCCAAATGAGTTACCATATTCTCTACCAAATATTAATCTAATCGTTTCAATGGTTAAAAATGGTTGTAAATAATCTGGTAAGATAGTTTTCAAAACTTGGTATATGGAAGCTTGTGATCTTAATAGTGCTGGGAATCTACCAACTTTTTGCAATTCATTTGTTTGAAGTTCTTTAAAAGTTTCTAATGATTCATGATTCTGGTATATGTTATAAAGTGCGTGAATTATTAATCTTGCACCAGTATATTCATCTTCATCGAGATATGGTAATTTTCCTAACAATTTAGTTTTTTTCATCTTTGAAGCCTTTGATTCCCAGTCTTCAATATCTTTCCAATATAATTCAATATATTCGGTGGTGATTTTTGGATTGAATTCAGTTGTTTCCGGAGCTGGTGATTTTGTTTTCGTTTGATAAAATTCAAGAAATGTTTCAAAAGCTTGTGTTAATTCACCTTTACTGTCAAATTTCAGCCAGTCTTCCATACATTTTTCTGAACAAAACCATAACCCAGCACCTCTAAACTTTTTATTTGATTTAAATTCGGGAAGATCTGTCAATTTAACTTTACAATACTTTCCGTATTCATAACCAAAACATGATGAACAGACTTCTTTCCTGAATTCATGCAAGATGACAGTGGCAAATGGTGAATTTGAGATTAATATTTCAACCCCTTTGGGTATATCTTGAGAGGCAAAACATGCTCTACCATATTGAGTTTGTCTAACTTCAAAAAACTTTGAAACTTCTATACCAGTTGGACTTCCGTCTTGGCTCATCACTAGTGTAAATCTTTTTGAAAGTTGGTTCTGTTATTTGAATTCTTGATTTATAGCACAGATTTGAAGGAAATTATTGTATAAATAATCAAGATGTTCCTTGAAACACAGTATATATCAACTTTAGAGTAATGATATGTTTTGAAGATTTGCCAATTGATTTCAGATTACTTTAAAGTTAAAAATTTTGACAGATTCTAAAGAAACGTTTTTTTTTTGAAAATTTTCCGAATGTGGTAATTATCCGATTTGAGAATATTAATGACTTGATCGATGACTTGTTAATTTGTAGTTTAATTACCCAGAAATAATGAAGTACTGGATTCTGATCAGGGTCTAACCCAGCTGGTGCATTACTCAGCTAATTATATATGAGATCTAGTATTTTATAAGCTATAAACGTCAAGCTAAATTCAATACGACGTTGTGATCTAAACTCCACGATCTATGGCTTCTATACATTCACATGTCGATGTCTTTCTCGCGCGATGTCTAGCAGCTAAACCATATTAACATATAGAGCTATGTGATGTCTTTTCGCTTGTTAGCTAGTATGCCAGGAGCTATCGACAACAGAATTTGTAATAGTGAATAAAATTTGAACATTTGTATACAGTATGAGTATTCCGTGATATACGCGTGCTTACAAAGCTCGGTGTGAGATGTGAGATGTGATCCTTATCAAATTATCAATACATAGCACTGACCAGACCAGATTCGTGTGTCCCCCACTATTTCTGGTGCTTATTACTCGAGGTTACGTTGACTGGCAAAAGTTCTGCACCCATTTCTATCACAATAGAATTATATCTTGATCTATAAGAAACTTCACAGATATAGAGATTTGGACAATTAGTTCTAAATTATAGAAATACAAAACTGACAGTCCCTACAATGTCTAAAAAAGCAATTCAATTATTGTCACCGTACTCTTTCAGGGGGTTATTGAGTTCAGCAAGACAAGATGCAAGAGTAATTGCAGTTGATGGCTCATGGTATATGCCAAATAATCCAAGAAATGCCAAAGAAGAGTTCGATAATCTAAGACTTGAAAATTCTAGGTTCTTTGATTTAGACGCTGTGAAAGATAATAGTTCACCATATCCACATATGCTACCAAGTATTGAAGAATTCAATCAAAGTGTTAGAAAATTGGGAATTAAAAATTCAGATAAAGTGATTGTTTATGATAAAACTGGTAACTTTTCAGCTCCAAGAGTTGTATGGACATTTTCAGTTTTTGGTCATGAAAATGTGTACTTGTTGAATAATTTTCCAGAATATGAGAGATACAAATATCCTGTTCTTAAAGATAATGATCATACAACTCCGGAACCATCTGATTTCGAAGCCAAAAACTTCGATAAAGATGCAGTGATATCATTTGAGCAATTTGTGGAAATTGTATCTAATGAAAATCTTAGAACCAAGTATAACATTTTAGATGCAAGATCTCATGATAGATTCACAGGTGAAGCTCCAGAACCAAGACCTGGTCTTCCAAGTGGACATGCTCCAGGTGCTAAATCATTACCTTTTGGTAAAGTCTTAGGGGAAAATAACTTGTTTTTGGATTCTAGTACATTAACAAAAATTGTCGATTCAATTGGCGTCGATCCAGAAAAACCTACAATTGTTATGTGTGGCACAGGTGTCACTGCATGTATCTTGAAAACAGCTTTAGATAAAATTGGATATAACAAGAAGGGAATTCAAGTTTATGATGGTAGTTGGACGTGAGTATAATCATTTCAAATTTACATTAATAACAAAAGAATTAGTATACTAACAACTTTTTAGTGAATATGCACAAAGGGCAGGTCCTGAGTTGATCGTCAAAGGTCAAGCATAGAGTATATAGGCTATTTTAACAGCATAATAACACACATTTTATCCCAATCATTTGTCAAAGTATCCTCTCGATCACTGTTTAATGTAGTAAAGTTCTGTGGACTTCATATTAATGTTGAAAGTCGTGCTTATACCGTAATTATCAATTTCTCGAAATCAAAGAAAACAAAATAACAGATCCTTCAACTTTTGAATACTTTATCGTTCATAACAAAGAACAACCAGTGTTATATCATTAAATAAAATGTCACTACCTGGATTCTCTGGATCAGAGTCTACCGTAAGCTACTCCTTACCCCCATATACCTAATACCCGTCGCCTATGTACTAACAATATCAAAAGACTAATAAGCCAAAAGAAGAAATTGAAATAGGGCCAAAATCAGAATGGAGATTTGAAGTTGGATTTGAGGAAAAAGTTATAGTAAAAGTATGTTTTGCTTTCGCTACAATCATATTTGAATATGTTTTTACTAACGACTTGGTAGGTCATTGAAGGTGTTGCTGAGATTTTTGGTACAGAATTGACAAATGATTATGAATATACATTCACAGGTATAAAATCAGCCATTTATTCACTTGGAGGGGCAAAAATCGAATATACAGGTGAATTATCATCAGAATATATCTCAGAAGAAACACAAATGGATGCTTATATCAATTTACATTTTGCTTTGGAAAATTTAAGATTTGAAGCTTCAACAACTACAAAGAAAGGACCCAGAGTATTGATCTTAGGTGCTAAAGACTCTGGTAAAACAACATTAACTAAAATACTAGCAGCTTATGCAAATAGATTGGATCATCAACCATTAGTTGTGAATTTGAATCCTGATGAAGTGAGTATACTAATTTCTCTGGTTGAAGATATATGAAAATTTATCGTGTTACTAACTATATTCAATAGGATGTTTTTTCAATTCCAGGTACACTCACAGCTACACCTATTTCAGATATATTAGACGTTGAGCATGGTTGGGGTCAATCGTATACAACAGGTCCAACACTGCTACATCCAAAACAACCAACTGTGAGATATTATGGTTTGGAGACCATTGAAGAAAATGAAAAATTCTACAAGCATAATGTGTCAAGATTAGGGGTCACTGCTTGTAGTAGACTAGAAGAAGATGAGATTGTAAATAAATCAGGTATGATTATAAATACACCACCATTGAAGATTAAAGATGCTCCTCTCGTGGAAGATATCATTTCAGATTTTGAGGTTGATGTTTTGGTTGTTGTTGGTAATGAAAGATTATACATTGATTTAAGAAAAAGATTTAAGGAAAAAGTTACTATTGTTAAAGTTCCAAAATCTGGTGGTTGTGTTGAAAGAGATGATACGTTTATCAGACAATGTCAACAAAAGAGCATTAGAGAATATTTCTATGGTACTCCAAAAACTGTTTTATCCCCATATACCGTTCATGTTGATTTTAGTATAGTTACTGTTTATAAACCATTTGTTGAGCAAAACAATTACATTTCTTCAGTTTTACCAATTGGTGAGGAAGGTGAAGAAGAAGAAGACAAAAAGAGTGTGAAATTGTTGGAGAAGATTGAACCATCTTCATCAGCGCTACAAAACGCAGTTGTTGCATTTTTGCAAGCAGATAAGACAGATGAAGAAGACATTGTACTAAGGAGTGGTGTGTTGGGTTTTGCAGTTGTGTAAGTACTACTTAAAATACTGAAGATATGGGAAATGAATTACTAACAAGTGTTCTAGTACTGATGTTGATGACACAAAAACCAAATTAAGAGTTTTGATACCGGTCCCTGGTAGATTACCAGATAAGGCCATGATTTTGGGTGCATACCGTTATGTTGAATGATCTCTAATGGTTTCAAGTATCAAAAGTTTGTGTATAGATTATAAAAAGTTGTACGTCTTCCGACTAATTTAAATAATCAGTAGTAAATTAAATTTGACATAAAAACAAATCGTGAAGAAAAAAAATTAATCCCGAATAACAATTTAGCACAACTAATTGATAACGCAGCGCTTAAGCGTCTAAATGATCAAGAAACTTATAGACAGATACATGGATGGAAGTGGCTGATGAATAATAATAAATGCCAGAGAAAAACGGGATCATTCAAAGGTTGGACAACGATGTCGCTGTGGTTCTTCAATCACAAGTTTTGATCAGTTCACTACCAGATGCTTTAAGAGAGGTTATTCAAAACAGTCTAGATGCCAACGCACAAAATATTGAAGTTGAAATAAACTTTGAAGAGTTATCATTCACTGTCTATGATGATGGATGTGGCATTGATCCAAGCAATCTATCACTTATAGGGAATCCACATTACACATCTAAATTGAAGTCATTAAATGATCTAAGGTCAATAACAACATTTGGTTTTAGAGGACAGGCGCTTCATTCATTAAGTTCGATTTCAACATTAACTATAATCTCGAAGGTGACATCTTATAATTCAAGCTTTAGTACGGTAATTGGTAATTCGAAAAGACTTTTCGAACCAAAAATGTTGAGTGAAGATTCAGTTTTTTATCCAGTTCAGCCCAATCACCATGGCACCATTGTATCGGTTAAAGATTTATTTAAGAACATACCAGTGAGACATGGCCAAGCAACAAAGGTACCTGATCATAAGATTCTGGAAGATATAAGGGAAATCATACTTCATTGCGCTATTACTTTTCCAAAGGTTCATTTCAAAATATGGAAGAAAATATCAATATTAACTCGATCACTTATATGTGATCTTAAATGCTCTGATGAAAAGACTCAAAGTGGTCAAATCACCTGTGCTATGGATAATATATATGGGCTTTCTTTGAGAGACAGATGTCAAAATCTTTCAGTTGAATTTCAAGATTATAAAGTTTCCTGTTCTATTGGTAAACTTCCAGTTCAATCTAAAAATTATCAATTCATATTTTGGAACAATAGGTTATTAAAACAAAAGGATTTGAACAAAGAAATTAACAAAAATTTTCAAAACTCAGGATTTGGGTCTCAAGATGATGTTCTGGTCTCGTCAATTTCCAGGCATGAAACATCACCAAAGAAAGGAAGATCACCAACAAAGGCTGCATCAAGTGTTGGAAGTCCATATTCCAAGTATCCAGTTTTTGTGATAATCATAAAGGGGAAACTATCAACATCTGATCTTATACAGGATCCTTCAAAGAGCCTTAATTGTACCAAACATATAAATGTTGTGACGCCATTAATACTTAAATTGATTAAAAGCTTTTTGAAAATGAATGGATATTCTACGGGAAACGGTTCATTTCTTGGTAGGACAAAGAAGCAACAAATTGGCAAACATCTCACATTAACTGACGATCATGATGATGTAGATGGGTACTCACCAACACAAATGAACTTTTTATTGAAATCCAGACTTGGGATAAAAAATGCTTCAAATAGGCAAGTTTCAGGAATGTTCTCTTGTGGACCAAAAGATGATTTAAAACGGCCAAACCATAAACAGGTTGATCTCAAAATACGAAAGCTTTCATATAGGGATTCCTCTAAAGATGAAAATCAACACCTACCCAAGCCTAAGAAACGACTACTTGATCAACACAATGGAGATTGCTCACATTCTCATCGTTTTGTGGAGGCAGAAGAAGTAAAGATACTTAAAGATTGGCTTCATAATATTTCGGTTATAGGACAAGTTGATGATAAATTCATTCTTGTTAAATTATCTCAACCTTCTAGTAAATTATTCATTATAGACCAACATGCATGTGATGAAAGGATAAAGGTTGAAGCGCTTACTGCAGAGTTTATTAAATCAGTCTGTGATCCATTTTTTGACTTGGGTATCTCAGTCGAGGATCGAAATATACATTTGAAATTTGATAACTCAGACATAGATCTATTGAGGCAATATCAGAAACAATGTGAAGTTTGGGGGATCAGATATTTTATTTTATCCAATAATATCGTTCATATAACGCATTTGCCTGATCTTCTAGTGAGTAAAATTGATGAGGATAAATTATTTTTGAAAAAGTGTTTGAGCCAATATATCAATGATTTGAGTTCTCATAAAAAATTGAAATCACTTTCAAAAGATTGGTGGTCTAATTTACAAGCTATTCCAAGTATCATTATGGATTTAATTAACAGTAAAGCTTGCAGATCTGCTGTAATGTTTGGTAAATCATTATCTAAACCAGAGTGTGAACAATTAATAAAGGAATTAGTCAAGTGCAAACAGCCATTCCAATGTGCTCATGGAAGACCATCTATAGTGCCACTTTGTGATCTCAGATTACTACAAGATATCAATGAATAATTTATTATTTAATGCATTTTTAATTCTATTCGTTAATCCTGTACAGCCATCTCTTGAATAATTCTTTCATCTGCAGTTTGTAGTGATTTTTCAGCATGCTTTATGAGATCTTCATGGTTTATTTTCTTTCCTAAAGTAACTTGTAACTCTAGAGATCTTTTAACTTCTTCAAACATTGACATTTTTTTGAATCCATCAATTGATCTTTCAATGTGGCTTATTATTAATGTTATTTGGTCAATACGTTGTTGTTTAAGTAAATTATTTCCATCATAAAGTGCAATTAATGATTTAGCAAGAAGTTGATGTGATTTAAGACCAATTTCATGATTTGGAACTTGTTCAAAAAATGGTGCACAGTCTAAAAGAATATTGTAAACATCTTGATCTTGATCCAAGTGTTGAAGTATTTGACAAAGTATTTTAACTCCTCTTAACAACAAAATAGTAAACCCAGAGCGTAGGGAAGATTGAAGACATTTGATGACTATAGATAAAGCTCTTGTAGGTACTGGACCTTCACATAAAATTTGACAATTCAAGAGGGTGAATGTAATAAACCAGTATTTGTTGTTTGGTTTTTTAGCAAAAGTTGATAAATGATGTGATACTTTTTTATATGCTTTATGAGCGTTCCCCTTTTTCAATTCTAATAATATTTCTAGATAGTGAGTTTGACCAGTGATATCTATATCAGTATGGTCTTGAGATAAAAGTCTGCTCAAGTAAAGTTCACCCATTTTATAACGAGAACTTCTGATACATTGTTCAGTAAGTAATAACAACTTGTGACCAACTAAGTCTTTCTGTAAGCGGATATCAACAGCTGCAAACGGTTTTTGGTCATCTAGAATTTTAAAAGCTTCATCAATGTTATTATTGTCAAATTCAAAATAAGCCTTCCTTATATTTAGGAAAACTTTTTGAGAAACACTAGCACTTAAACCAACAGGTATATCACTGTAAACTTTTGCTAAGTCAAAATTCCCAGTTCTGAACCACAATGAACTAGCTAACGCACAATGACTTGTAAAAGAAGTTGCGTTATCATTTTCCGTTAATGATAAATATGCTGATTTAGTAAGTGACTCAAGTGCAGAATTTATTGAACCACCTTCAAGCATTATTTGTGTAGTTTCTGATTGATAAGCAGTGGAATAAGAAAATGAAGGTGCATCTGTAGCATTTGCTTTTAGATATTGTAACAACTGATCAGCTGAAACATAAAAGTCATGTTTTAAATTAGGACGATCTTTCATAAAGTTGTAAAGCCAAGATAACAAAAAGTGTAAACAAGAAGAATCATTATTCTCTCTAGCAACATCAATGGATTCCTCTATAGCTCTAATTGCCTCTGAATCACAATTGAAAGATGCATGTAGGGTTGCTAAGCATAATAAAGCGTAATGGTAAAAAATTGTTTGTCTGTTACTCATCATATAGTCAAAATAACGGTGTAAAGCATTGAATGCACCTTCATAATTTGCTTCATTCAAGCATTCTAGATATTCAATATAATAAATTGAGGGAACTCTGCTTGCCTCTGATTGAGTCATCAATTTTAAAGTTTGTCTTAATTCTGTTGAAGTTATGGCACCATAATTTTCTAACAAATGTATCTGATGATTTACAAGTTTTTCTAGATCCTCCTTGGATATCAGTCTATATTCTTCTTTTGTTTCTTCATTTTCAAAAGGTAAGCTTTGAAGCGCTTTGGCGAAAACGCTAAAATCATCTGTATTTTCCGTAGAACCAAATGTATCACTTATATCTGGTATTCTTTTCGAATATTTTTTGGCCCATTCAGATTTACTAGCACCTCTAAATGTAACAAATGAATTCCATACTAATTCTATATCACCAAATTCACCACTGTAGAATGAAGCAACACACTGAGTGACAAATTGGCCTAGAAAACTTGACCTTGTTAATAAATAATCAGGTAAAGAGCTTGAGGACAGTTTTTCTATAATTTCTCTTCCATGTCTATAATTATTCACTAATAGTGATTTTGAACGATCAACAAACGCATGAAGTGAATCAACAGACTTCAATGACCATAATGCATGTAGTAATCTTTTCTCTATATCATCAGCGTAATTAACACCTTCTTCTGGATCTGTTTGAAGACATGTTTGCCTAATTGAAGCAATAATTCCATCAAGTGAAGGGGGATTAGCCGAAGCACCACCATTGTCGGTATCAACCAGTGATTGAGGACCTTCAATATATTTCACAATAGTTGCAAGTAATGGTCTATGAGTTTTCTTTGGTAATACACCAGCACAATATGCAGCGATCAATGACAAAATGACAACTTTGTACGGTGCAAACGACGGTGTTAAAACAACTCTGACATTGGGCTGTGTCATTTTGGATCTAGGAGTAGTACTTTTATGTCTTTCAATGATGTTTTGGTTTCAGTAGTCTATGAAGCGCCAGTACAATAGATGTATTTTAATTTATCAAATGTTTAGATCCAAAATCAAAACATAGCGCGTATATTTCCGACCTTTTGCCCTCGGAAAAGGAACTTCATAGGTAAATACTAAATTGATAACTCATCTTTGCGTCTGTATTTATTCAGTTTCAACTTGTTTAAATAATCTATAGAGCTTATCCAAATGCAACTATGTTACAGTAGCTGATCACAAGTTCATTGTTCTTAGCAAAATGCTGGTTGATTTCATGTTAGTAATTGATCCTCTTAAAATGATCTGATAAAGATTTATACTTACTTTATGTAAATTTCCAATAATCTCATCTGATGAAGGAGCAAATGAATTGTTTACATAGCAATGTATTGTATCGTTCTTATCCTTCAAGCTTTTCCTTAGCTTTTTATTTATGAACTTGACTAAAGTTCCAAATGGTTGGGTCTCTGATATTTTAAACACAGTGGGGCTTAATTGAGGTGTTGATCCAATTGGTTGACATCTTATCGTTACTATTATTTCATGGTGTTAATATCTTATAATCATTGTATGAAGCTGGCCTATTACTTACTTTTTATGGTAGATTCTTGTGTAATCTTTTGAACGACCTGACTTTGACTTGGTGGGAGTCTATTCAATATTACTGATGCTGATGTGGTTACTTTGTGCTTCTGAGTTTGACTTTTGATAGCTGGTGTATCATTTTGACCTAAAGGTCCTGGACCATTATCAAAATCTTCTTCATCTTCATCTTCTTCCTTTTCATTTTGATTATTATCTGAATCACTATCTTTGAATTCTGTTTGTTGTATATCTTCAGGGTGTATTATCCCTTTTTTATCCTCCTCTACACCATGTAGTCTGACGGACTTCATTAGCCTTGTAGCATGGACTGACTCACTACTAGATGAATCATCTTCAGATACCAATAAATCCATCTCAACTCTTAATTTTTCCAAAGTCTCTCGAGTTTCTGTGTATTTTTCCACAATTGTGTCAAATTTTGTGCCAAAAGTTCAAAATGGTCCTCTTTGAAACTCTTCGCGCGGTTTAAATAATGCGCGACTGATCTTTTTTTCCTGAACCAATAGAATCAAAATCGAATGTAATCATATTTTATCACTATCATATAGCTCCATTCTAAAGAACCAGTTTGAAATACTGATCTTTGATATTAATACTTGAATCATGCCCGATAAAAGTATTGCAAGCTTGAGTCAAGCATCACCTATTCCTATTGAGATACAAGAAGATGATGGGAAATCATTTGGACCATATAGAAAATCATCAAAAATTATACCAATATTGAAATCTGTTCAAAAATATTCATCATATACATTCACAATTTTCTCTTTTTTACATGGTGTTAATGTACTAGTTGTACCTTCAATCTCTACTGGAATTGCAGAGGAAATATTATCAATGAATAGATCTATATATCAAGCAACTGGATTAGAAAATATATTAGTTTGGGGAAGTTTATCTGTGCATATTTTATCTGGTGCTTTAATGAGAATTATAAGGAATTGGAGATATAGAGAAAGATATGGTGGCTCAAGAGCGCATGATAATAAATTGAAAAGGAAAAGAAGAGATAGCCATTTAGATCATGAAGTTATTTCTCAAAATTATGAAGGTGAAGTTAATATTAATGATGATTCAGAAGTTGGATTAATGGGAGGTTTAACAAATTATTTTGGATTTGGTTTCAAAAAAAGTTTAATATTCAGATACTTTGGATTATCACCATTACAAGCAACTGGATATTTATCAATTCCATTGGTTTTATATCATTCATTACAAGTTAGAATCATTCCGAACATAGTTGAAGGTGATAGTAGTTACATAAACTTTGATTTCATTTCATATTTATTCAATAATAACAAGCATTATTCAGGTCCAATTTTAAATTGGATTATATACCCAGCATTAATAAGTTTCACAACATATCATATAATATCTGGTTGGATGAAATTATTAAATGTTAGAAGTTTAACAAAACGTAAAATTGGTGCAACTATAGTGAATATAATAAGCTTATTGGGGATTTACAGTCTTTATACAATCACAAAGATAGATTGTCATTCAAGTGTTGCACAGTTTATTCAAAAACGATTTGATATGTACATTGATTATTTTTACTTATCATGATTGACCATGTATATAGAACTGATGACTGGTGGCAATTTAAGTACATAGGCTCTTAAAAGTATATATGATCAATCGGTCAAATTATTTATTATTTAATTATGTATATATATATGGCCTGTGGTTTTTCGCTTATCTGGTTGGGCTTAGCTATCTCAAATCAAACATCTCAGATCAAGTATCTTTCAAACATCTCAACTCATTCCAACATCTCAAATTTAACATCTCACTCAAACACCCCAGCTCTAACTTCTCAAATAAATTATCTCAAATAAAATATCTCATGTCAATGAGTGGCATTATTGGTTATATTTTCTATGAGTTGTCTTGTATAACTAAACTTCTAGTTCCACTCGTTTCAATGGTAAATTTATATCGTGAGGCTTATAGATTTATTTGTATCATTATCAAGACGATATAATATTTGGATCATCTTATGCCATATATTCAACAAAAGATAACTTAACATAACCATCATTAAAGCCATATATTAATGTGATTTACAACGCTAAATTTCAATCATTTCGACTGATATCTACACAATTATTTCCATATTATCTGTATCGTATTTCTTGTACAAGTACAGTATGGCAATTTCTCTACCATTTTAAAGTCTGATTATGATTAATAAATCATTAAAAGGTATCAATTTACTAATTTTTTCTTGCTCGCTGGTATACTAGCTACTATAAGTGGGCGCCGATAATATCCGAGAAACATTAATTATGAGAGCTTTCAACCAAAAGAGATAAAATAGCGTTATATATATATATATTATTAGAGCTTAAATTGCTTCACTATACCCTCAAGTATCTTTAAAATTGATTTATTTGGAATTTTTTTTTCATAATTTTTAATTTCAAAAATAAAATGTACCAGTAAAATTTTATTTTTATTTTTAAAATTAATTAAAAAACTTCAAAATTTCAAACCAGCTTCAAAAGGATATAAAAAGTATATATCAAAAGAAAGAGAAATTTCATTAGAGTATGATTATTAGCTAAAACTATGGGGTTTTAACTTTCAAAAAGTTGAAATCCAAATAATCATAAATCTACAGAAATATGAGTTTATCCGAGTCCGGGATATCAGTTTTTCCGTAAATTACCCCGGAAAAATTCCAAAGCCACTTATAATTAGGTTTAATCAATTGACTGTAGTACAATTTCAGGATTTCAGTACGTCTGTTTCATTGAGCCATAAAACTTCAAGTTCAAACAAAAGATCATATAGCTGCAGCCTTTGATACTCTAAAGCTATTTTTTCGGTATTCAACTTACATATAAGTTATAGTTCAGGTAAGTTTTCATAGTTAATCCGTTAATCGGTAGTGGATTCCATTCTTTTTTCGACTAATCCTGCAATTACGCTGAAATACACGAAGAAGCACCTATAGTTATAAATACGATGGAGCAATTGATAGAATTATAATTGTGTATGTATAATATTTAATTATTTAAAAATTGTTGAGAATATTTTGGTGATTATAATTTGTAGAAACATCGATTTTATTGAAGTGAGGATTTCTATCCGAAAACCAACTGCTTATAATTATTGAAAAAGATCATAATTGTGATGTATTTGTATGACGTTGAAGACATTGTACTTCTAAAATTAGCAGCTAGAAGACTATTTATAGCAAATAAATATATCTCTTTCACAACAAGCAGGAAGATAATAATTTGAGAAACAAGCGCTATAAATGTGATTCAATTATGAGAACGTTGCTCTTTAGCCACTGTCAGCCATATTTAAGTTAAATTTGATGTATAGACTATCTTTGGTTCTTTTATAAACATGATATGACCTCTTCATTTTCTAATTCATCATCCCCATGATCTTGCTGGTCATCATCATCTTGTTCACTATCAAAATCATCAATATCCCAATAATCTTCAGGTTCAAAACACCCTGAAATTACAGCTTCAATAAATAACTCAGCTTCAAAATCACCTTGAATGGATTTGTCTTGTAACTCTACCAACATGTTTATTTTCTTCTCTAGAGATTCTTGATGAGTTTTGAGCTTTTTTTCATACTCTTCACAATCATTAATCTCTTTGACTACTTCCTTGATTTTATCAATTTTTGACTCCAGCTGTTTATCTAAAAGATTCTTCGTTTGTAACAAAACTGAAAAAAGCTCCAAATTAGCTTCTAGTTTCTCAATTTTAGCTGTATTACCTCTTGGCTCAATCATATTGAAAAGTTTATAACACAACAATTGAATAATCAAACAATGGCGGCTGCCGCTATAGGTTAATAAAATTATAAAGGAACTTCATTGTTTACTAAATCAAAGAAATCTTGATTTTGAAATATATTCAGAGCTCTTAACCCCTACCAAGTAATTTAAAGTTTATTAAAGTCTAAAGTTTAAAGTTTAAATGTACCAGGGTATATATACTATATATATAGGGTATACTATAGTGTATATAGTGTAGGATCAGCTATATTTATGCTGCCCAAACCACAAATCGCGGTGTCTGGGTGTGATTTCTTCGTTGCACCAGGCGGTGACAAGTCAGATTTCAAAATTTCAAGATAAGACTCCGTGGCCAAGTTGGTTAAGGCGTGCGACTGTTAAAAAAACTAATAGTTATCGCAAGATCGTCAGTTCAATCCTGACCGGGGTCGAATACCTACTTTTTTGCCATTAACATTTTTGATATTATTTTTTATGATAACAAAGACCCTTTATTTAACTAATTATCATTTACAATTATACAACTACCAAATATATTGATGAAAACAATTACATTAAATTAAAATACTTTCATATATACCTTTAGTTATACGAAGAAATGAAAATCAAGAAAAATAAAAGCCACAAAATACCATGAGGTTATTTCACATAATTATACAACAAGAATTTGTCTTTTTAGCTTGTTTGTAAAAAGTTTTTGAACTTGCAGATAAAGCTTCACTTTTATCAACTAAAGAATCTAATTTTTCACCTCTTTCCAAGACACCTTCAATAGTTTTATGTAAAACAATTTTAGTTTCATCTAATTCTTGTTGAACTCTCATAATTGAATCAGCTTGAGAAGGATCTTGATATTTTTTAATATAATTTTCTAATTCTGGTAAATTTAAACTTGAATTTGTTTCTGATAAATTTTTCCATTGTAATGGAGGATGTTGAGTTAAAAATTCATCTAAAATTTTATTTATTAATGTATAAGCAGGTCTAACAGGATAATCTTTATCTGTAATTAAAACCCCAGAAACACCTTCACTTCTAGTGAAAGTATGACCAACATATTTATTTTCTTCAACACTTTGTCTTTTACCAGCTTCAGTTCTTTGTGCAATTGTAGTACTGAAAAAAGTCATAAATTGTGCAACACTACTTCTTTCAAAGAAACTAAATTCTGATAAATCTTTAGCATGAGTTAATTCAATTGATTTTGAATCTGGAACACTTTTCAAGATACCAATGTAATAGATCTTCATTTTAATTATTCTTTGATGTTGATGATAATGATGTTATTGATAATGTTATTTGATTGCTGAGAATGAATATCTGTCACTTTAAATTAAAATCAAAACAATTAAAATGAGTGGAATTTCCGCGAAAGTGGTAGCCTTTCAATTGAGAACAATGTTGTGTGTACCGATTGGCCACTCGCTTAGTCAATGAATTAGGATTTAATTACACTTTTATTTAGTTTATAGAGTGTGATTTATGGAATAAAATATGGTTTATATATTTAATTGATTTTATATTACTTGTTTCTTAAGAATGTTGTTAGTATAATCACATTTGAACATGGCCATATAAATTTCCTCTCGAAGATTCCAATTTCCTTCCGTTTTCTTTTGTAATCAACCATGCGAAAAATTAAAATTAAAATTTCCGAGAGTAAAACCAAAATTGTATAAGTATAATTTGTCATCTTAACTTTATATCTTTATATCATCTACAAAACAAATATCCAACAATGTTTCAAAGAAATATAATAAATTCATCATTACGTTTATCAAGACAAGGCTTAAGACAAAACATTAGAAGAAACTTTAATTCTTCAAGTTTTAAATCAAATAATTCAAATTTATCAAAATGGATCTTATCAACTTCAATCTTAACTATTGGTTTAACTTCATATATTCAAAATCCATTAAAATTAGAAACTAAACAAGATAAAGCTCCTGAAAATGCAGAAAAGGCAGCAGAAAAGGCAGCAGAAAAAGTTATTGAAAAACCAAAAGAATCAGAATCAAAAGAATCAAAGTCATCAGAACCAAAAGAAGGTGAAGATTCAGATCCAGAATCAAAACAATCAGCTTATAACCCAGAAACAGGAGAAATTAATTGGGATTGTCCATGTTTAGGTGGTATGGCAAATGGACCATGTGGAGAAGAATTTAAAGAAGCTTTTAGTTGTTTTGTTTTTTCAGAAGCTGACCCAAAGGGAGTTGATTGTATTGAAAAATTTCAAAATATGCAAAATTGTTTTAGAAAATATCCTGAAGTTTATAGTGCAGAAATTAGAGATGAAGAAGATATAAAAGAAGATGGTAAAGAACAAGTTAATGAATCAAATGTTGTTGCTAATAGTTCTACTTCTACTGAATCTATTCCAAGTGCTGATACTAATCCAACTGTTACTGAACAAGTTACTTTAACAAAAGAATAGATTTTTTGAAAAAAGAAAAGTAAATAGTTATTATTATTAAATTTGTACATATTATTTAATTAAAAAATTTGTTATATATAGATTAATTGTAAGTTTTTAATACAGTTTGTTGTTGATCATAGCAAATAAGTTTTTGCTTGCGCTGTTTATAGTGTCTTGTGAATTATAAGACGTTAATTAACGTGTATTTTGATTGCTGATTGCTATATTAAACGATAAGGTATATATGATGTAAATACGAATGAATATTTATGACGTATTTATAAAGTATCCTATAAACGATAGATTTGATATTTCAGATCTAGATCTAGATCTATAAAACTCAAACGTTTAATAAAGTAATATTAATTCATAACAATACACTACAATATAAATTTTAAATTACATTAAAACCATTAAACAATATTAAAACATTATAACAAATATATAAATATAATGCAAACTTTATATACATATAAATGCAAATTAATATAATTGTATCCCATTTTTTTGATCTTTTTTAAACATTAATTTTTCTCATTTCATAAACATCATAAACATTAAACCATGACCTCTTTGTATAAACACAAGTTCAGATATCAACTAACTGAATTATAGCTAGCGCTATAATTGCAACCAACTAATTATAGCTAGCGCTATAATTAGCTTTTTTAAAACCTTGTTAACAAATCCCCTAAAGAAACCGGTTCAAACTTTTCCCCTTGATCTTTAACCCATAAAACATCATCTTCAATATATCCAACAACACCACCTTTCCCTAAACCTTTATCCCCCTTAATTTTAAATAATGAATGACCATTAGATAAATCATTTTTCAAAGGAGTTATAAATAAATTATTCCCAGTACAATAATGCTCAACCACGTCTTTAAAAGTGATTTGTAATTTATTTATTGGGATTCCTTTCACATCTTTTGAGGAAGGTGGTGTTAATGCCCTTTGGATGATTTTTTCAATTGTAGTTTCTTGATGGATTGGTATTAGGTCACCAGAATCAATGAATTTATTAATCATTCCTAAAGAACGATAAACTTCTGTAATGATTATATCTGAATGTTTTGAATGGGTACGAAGACAATCAATCCATTTTTCAAAACCTTGTGAAATGATTTCAAATGATGTGGTTTGAGATTTTAATGAATTGTATAAGTTTTTGGACCAATCATTGAAAAATGCAAATTTTAAAAGAGTGTTGAATATATGATTTGATAAAATATTTTCCCAAATGAAAAAAGAATCTATTATAGAAGTATCTGGTTCAATAAATGATTTTGTTGAATTAAATAAATATTTTGTCAAGTTGGGAATTAATTTCTTATTAATTAATTGATTAAATTCTTGATCACCAATAATTTCTTTAAATGATCTTAAACCTTCAATTGTTAATTCTGAATTTATTGGCCAATTTTCCAATATAGGTGTATATTTTTTAATAAATTCCAATTTAATTTCATCCATTGATTCATCATCCAAAAATGGAATATATTCAAATATCCAAACAAATGGTGCATTATTTGAAGATTCTGTATTAATAATTTCCCAACTTTGGATAGCTTTTATAATTTTTGGTTTGATTATAGTTATTGTTGTATGATCTATAATTGATTTATCTAGGACTTCATTCCAATCTAATAATAATGTAATTGCAACATTTGGTTGATCAACAGACCAATCCAGGAGGGAATCATGAACCTTGGGGTACCATAACGTGTATAATAAACTTTGGAAATAATTTAATTCTTCGGGGTAACTGATTGTATTATTATCATCTGGTAGCACATTTTTCAATAAAATAAGTTCTTCAAGAGTTGTATCATTTGTAAAATCCAGTGGGTCCCATTCATTAATTAAATCATTTATAATTGGTTTTATTGCAATGATTATAGTTTTTTGTATATCAATTTCAGTATCATTATTATTAATTTGTTCTAATTTTTGCACTTCATCTCTTAATATAGAAGCTTTTGTTGATAAATCTTGACCAGAATCTATAAATAATTCAGATAATGAATCAATAACTGTTGATAATTCTTCATAAGCAGATAACATTGATGAAGTTTCCCTCAATGTATTTTGTAACTCATTTGTTGTGGTGTTTATAATTTTATTTTTGGATTGAATTTTAGTCAATTGATTAATTAATATACCTAATTGTAAATTTAAATTATCAATAATTCCATCATGTTCTATGTTGTTAAGAGCAGTTTTAGTGGGATTTATTGCTTGCTTTAAATTGTTGTAAATAACTTGTAAATGATGTGGTATTGTGATACCATTTGATTGTAATGTAATTAAATTATTATAAAGCAATTCTTGTGGTGATTCTCTATGTATTTCTGTTTCTTCATCACTTGTTAACTCCATTAAATCATTATTCGCATGTTTTTGTTTTTTATTCTTTAAAATTCCATCACTTTTACTTTTACCGCCCAAACCAACACCACTAAAACTTTTTGGTGTTTCAATTGGCGCTGTGATTCCTTGTAAGTGTAGTCCAAGCCCAAGACCTTGTTTAAAACCCATCTTGTATAATAGTTTAGCACCAATACCATATTGACTGTGGTTGTTGTGATTGTTAGATGATGTATTAGTATTAGTATTAGTATTGGTTGTTGTTGTATTGTTATTATTATCTGTAGTTGTTGTATTATTGTCTGTAGTTGTTGTTGTACTAGTTGTACTTGTAAATGACATTGGTTTGAATCTTAATGGTTGTGTGTTACTATTACTATTACTATCATCACTATCACTATCACTATCACTCTCATCACTATACTTGTCACCTAATTGTCCAAATGGTGTTGAATGTTGATCATATTCATATTCATATTCACTTGTATTCAACTTCCTCTTCTTGAAACTCATTGTGTGTTGTATTATACTATTGATGTTATAGTATAGTAAGTATAATATAGTATAGTAGTATAGTATAGTATATTGTTATTGTATAATATATTATAGTATAGTGCTTATCCAATTCAGTGTACAATATGTATATCTAATCTTATCTCTTGATCTTATCTTATTATCTTTATTATGTTGATCTCAATCTCAATAACTTTTACTTTTCTTCCTCTTTATATTCTTTCTTCCTATTCATTTCACTTTTCTCTTCTTTTCTCTTTCTTTCTATAAATTTAAATCCGAATATTAAGTGTACCATAACCACACATCAACACATAGAGGAATAGGGTTAATATGAACAAATCAACTATACAACAATGGGTTAATGATGCTACTACTACATTATCACAAGCTCAATCCATAGGAAACAATGCTAATACTTATTTAAATAATACTAAATCAATATTATCTCAGAATAACATTGTGTTAAATAATTCAAATTTTATATTGGATAGTTCAATACAATTATTAAATTTATTAAAATTGATAACCAATTCCATTGAATTAAAACAAGATGATCTAGAAAATGATATACAATTACTGGAGAATGAATTGAATAACAATATATCATTTTTAAATAATGAATTCAAGAAACTATCACATATAAAAATCGATTCAAATTTATTACATGATACTACTACTACTCCCACACTATATGATTTCATATCAAATAATATTCAAGATTCATTATCAATTTTACAACAAAAATTAACTCATGCAACTCATAAAACTCAAATATCAACTCAAACCAAAAAATTAACAACAACTTTATCAAATTTTAATGATTCATTCAATAACTTGGATTCAATTTTTAATAAAATTAATGATGAAAATTCCACATTAATATCAAATTTAATCCATGAAAATAATTTAATAGAATCAGATATTGCTATATCATTAGAATCAATAACTAATCATTATGATCAATGTAATAAAGCATTGGGATTAATTGATTCAAATGAAGATCATCAAGATTTCTTCAAAGTTTTAGAAAATGATTCAATTGAAGTTTTTGAAGTTTTGAATGACCTAAATGGTTTATTTGATGATTTAAAAGAAAATTGTAATAAGATTAATGGATTTTATCAAAATTTAAAAGGAAATTATGACAAATTGATTAATTTTATTAAAGACATAACTCAATTTCAAATTGAACTTGAAAAAAAATTGGAATTAATTGAATCAATTATTTGGGATTTTAAAGAATTAGAAAATGATATAAAGACCAAATGTAAAGAATCTGAAATCTTTATCCAATATATTAATCAATACACCCAGGCTTATTATAAATTAATCCTAGAAATTAATAGACAAAACCAATCACAAACTTATATAAATAATATAATCATGGAAACTCAGAAAAAGTTAAAAAATTTACAAAATGATGATTATCAAAAAAAACAAGAGTTTAATAGAGAGTATAATAAATTTTTACCTTTGGAATTAAGACTCCAGGGTATTGATAAACCTTTATATGATTTACAATTTGAATTACAAGATATTATGAAATTAAGTGAATCAAGTGTATTGAATGCTAGACAAAAACTTGAAAAATAAACAGGGCGGCTTATTTATTTATGACTATATACATGATCTATTTATCTATCTATTTATTCATCTCTGATTTATTTATTTATAACTCTTTTCTAAATCAATAAAAAAATCTCTAATCTCACCTGATTTCATAACTTGTAATTTCTTTGAACCAGAAGATCTAATAGCCAATTCACCACTTTTAACTTCTTTATCACCAATAATTATAATATAATTATAACCTTGGGTAATAGCCTCTTTAATTCTTTGACCAACAGTTTCATTTCTTTTATCCAATTCCAAAAAAAACTTATAATCATTTAAATTTTCTTCTTCACCTTCATTATTAATCTCTTTAGCCATTGTTTCTGCATAACTTATATGTGATTCATTTATTGGTATTATAACCGCTTGTCTTGGACTTAACCAAAATGGCCATTTCCCCTGGTAATGATCAATTAATATAGCTAAAAATCGTTCTAATGATCCATAAACAGCTCTATGAATCATTATAGGTTGTTCCAAAACACCATTTTCATTGGTTTTATATTTCAATTGGAAATTATGTGGTAATTGGAAATCTAATTGAATTGTAGCTGATTGATGTTCTTTTCCTGTGGAATCTTTTAAAATTATATCTATTTTTGGTCCATAAAATGCACCATCCCCCTCGTTAATTTCCCATGGTGCTCCTGTGGATTCTAATACTTCTCTTAATGATTCTTCTGCTAGGTCCCATTCTTCTAATTTCCCCATATATTCTTCAGGTCTTGTTGATAAAAATAATTTATAATCTAAAATATCAAATTTTTTATAAACTTTATCAATTAATTCTAAAGTTGATTGAATTTCTTGTTTAATTTGATCTTGTGAACAAAAAATATGTCCATCATCTTGATGAAATCTTCTAACTCTAGTTAACCCAGACAAAGATCCACTTGATTCATTTCTATGTAATGAACTAAAATCTGATAACCTTATAGGTAATTCTTGATAAGATCTATCAAACCTATCAAAAATTAAACAATGTCCAGGACAATTCATAGGTTTTAATCCATATTCTTCCTTCCCAGTGTCTGTTCCTTGGACTTGAAACATATCATCTTTATAATTTAACCAATGTCCAGATTTTTCCCATAATTGTTTTTTATATATTAATGGTGTCATAACTTCTTCAAATCCATGATTACGTTGTTGAAATTTCATGAATTTTATTAATTTATTTAGAATTCTTGTACCATGTGGTAAGAAAAAAATTGAACCTGGTGAGATTTCATCAATTATATATAATTTTTGCTTTTTAGCTATAGTGAAATTTGTTATTGATGTGGATGTTGTAGGTTCAGGTTTTGTACAATAATATCTGGGAAACCTTAGAAATGGTGATTTATTTAGGAGTCTTAGACTCATCTTTTGAAAAACCTTTTAGCCTTGCTTTTATTAAATCTTTTGGGTTATTTAGATCTAACTGATGTTTTTAATGGTTTAGTGAATTAAAATCAACACCGGGTAAAAATATGAGTTTTCGCGGGCTCTTTTCTGAGATGCGCGAACTTGTTGAAATTAAATCAATGGAAACTTCAATCATAAACAGCATTCAAAGAAACAACAAAGAGCTAGGAAAGTTTGTTTGTAAAAGGTTATTAACGCCCAAAAGATGTCCGATCCATTAGAATTATTGAAAAAAGATATTTTGAACAAAGACCAACCAATTCTTGTAAAGCAAAATGGTGAAGATTATCAAGAAATTAAAGATATAAATGAAGCTACACATTTATCATTACAAAATCAAAAAATAAAATTAGATCTTAATCAAGAAACTAAATTTAAAATTGATGATAAACCAATTGATTTAAGAGCTGTGGCTTATAGTTGGCTTAATAAAGATTTATCAGCTGCTGATTTATTAACTGATTCTCAAGTGAAAAATATTCAAACTTTAACTTTTTTACAAAGATCAGATTTAATTAATTGGTTAAGTGGTGAATCAAATGAATCAGAATTTATTCAAAATGATAATACCAATTTAGAAAAAGATCAAGATTCTTCTCAAACAAATTCAACAATTAATGATGATCCTCAATTAATTAAAATATTAAACAATGAACGTCATTTAATTAATCATAATACAGCATTAAGAGGTTCAAAACCAGTGGATTTTAGTAGTGTTGGTCGTGAATGTGAAATTAAAATCGTTAAAGTATTGAAAAGAAAAGGTACAAATCCAACAAAATCCACAAGTACATCAAAAGATCAAGAACAAGATCCAATAAAGAAAAAAAGACGTCAAAATCCAATTATTTTAATTTCTCCAGCTGCTTCTGCACTTTTACAAATTAATAACATTAAAGCCTTTTTCGATGAATCGAAATTTGTTAATCCAATGTCCAAGGATCCAAATGATCAAGATTTATTAAATTTCCAAGGTGATTTAAGAAATATTACTCATACTTTCCCTAAAATTGGTAAACAAACTTTCCTTATCGTTAATAATACTGATAAATTTACTAAAGCAGAATATTGGGATAGAGTAGTTGCAGTTTTCACTACAGGTCAACAATGGCAATTTAAAACATATAAATGGACAGATCCTCAACAATTATTTCAAAAAATTAAAGGTTTTTTCTTCCATTTTAATGGGGATTCTATACCGCAACAAGTTAATGAATGGAATGTTGAACAGATTGGATTAGATAAAACTAGAAGATTTAAAGATATAGAAGTTTTAAATCATTTTTGGGATAGTTTAGAAAAATCCATGCTTGCAAAAGGATGGAATTAAGTTCTTTTAAAATAGAACAAAAAAAGGGAAGAAAGAACAACAACTTGTATAATAAAACAGAAATAAAGTTAAAATTAAAATTAAAATGTACATCATATGATTGATTTATTAGTTTTCACTCGTATGATTATTCTTAATTAGTATATAATTCGTTTAAATTCATGGTTGTTTTTTTTGTTAAAGCCCGAATTTTTTGACAGAACATTAGCAATTTTTTTATAACCTTGTTAAATCCATAGGGTGAGATTTGAAATATAACAAAATCATCAACTTAAAACAAAAAGATCGATATATTGGGCATACTAGTATTGCAATTAAAGGATCATGTTTGCTTTTAGGAGCATACGATCTCAAGGGATAAAATTTCCTCCTATATGGAAACGAAAGTTTAGTTCGCCTTTGAATCAAGCTCAAATTTCAAGAATTTGTTTAAATCAATCGTTATATTATAAAACAAGAAATTATACAACACATCATAAAAAACCAATCAAAGATAGCATAGATACTATAGAGCCAAACACAAAGTCAAAAGAGTTATTGGAATCAAATCAAATAAGGTCTACCCCACCAGCAATAAGTACACCCAAATCTAGGAAAGATGAATTATTAGCTAAAACAAATAATTTTAGTCAAAGATTATATATAAGGTTAAAATGGATCTTAAAAAGAAGTATGAGACCTTTTAATGTTGATGATTTTAGTGCGTTCTTTTCATGGTTAGTTATGGGGAATCTAATTTTAATTTTATTAGGTACTACAACTTTTGCATCTTTAATTATTTATTTAATGAATACTGTATTTGCTCAAGAATTAGTTGCTCAAACATTGGGGAATTTCATTACAAAAAACACTGGAATGACTGTTATTTTTGAAAGTGCTATTGTACCAGGTTGGAGAGATGGTAAAATTTCATTTAATAAATGTTTTGTCTCTAAAAGACCTAAAAATGGGAATAAAAATAAATTTGAAAAAGGTTCACAAGCTGATGCTATTGCAAAAGCTGCCTCAAAAAATGAGGTAGAAGATCAAGAACCTATAGATGATGGTAACTATACTCAATTTGATTTGACAATTGATCAAGTTAATATTTCATTATCTGTTAGTAAATTTGTTAATGGGAGAGGGATATTAGATGAAGTTGAAGTTAATGGAATGAGAGGTATAGTTGATCGTACACATGTTCATTGGGATCCTGATGATGATGCAAGAAATTATAAAAATATTCATAAACCTGGTGATTTTGAAATTGATAATTTTAAAATGAATGATGTATTATTTACATTAGCTCAACCAAATGGATTTAGACCTTTTAATGTTAGTATTTATAATTGTGATTTACCTGTACTAAGGAAAAATTGGTTATTTTATGATTTTTTAAATGCAAATAATATATCTGGTGCTTATGATGATTCATTATTTACAATTCATAAACGTCAAAGAATTAATGATTTTAATAATTTGGAAAAGGGCCCAGATTCAAACGATCTTGGTTGGAAAAGAGTTACAAGATGTAGAGTTGATGCCTTAAATGTTGATCATTTAAATACAGGTCTTGAAGGACCATTTGGTTGGATTACAAGTGGTGACGTTGATATGATTGGTGATATTATGGTCCCTGAAGATCAACAAGTTAATATGACAGAAATTGTCTCTACAATTGCAGATAGTTTTGCTAGAGAGGCAAGAAGAGCTAAGATACTCAAACCTAAAAAGAATGAAGATGATCATGAAGATGATGATTCAAATGATTTTTCAAAATATTTTATAATGGATTTACAAATTAAATTAAATAATGTTAAAGCTGCAGTACCAATCTTCACAAATGATTTATCATATGTTAATAATGCATTGATTAGACCTATTGTTGGATATATAAATTCAAGAAAGACTTATATTCCAATAAATTGTCGAATTGTTAAGAAATTAAAAGATTTTGATGGAAGTTGGACCGTATATGATTCTTTATTAATGGATGATATGAGTATAGAAGTTTATGATGCATTTGCAAACTATGTGGCAAATGAAGAAGTTAGAACTTTAAGAATGAAAAGAGTTGGTTTTTGGACATTACAAGTTATTTTCCAAGCTTTATTAATGAGTTTAGGTGCTATAGCTTGAAGCAAAAAAATGATCAACTATGATCTTGTATATATGTATATATGAACTTAGATGCCATGAATAGGGAACCTCTATGAATTGGTGTATATTTTAATGATATCGTTATGATAAATATGAATTTAAAAATTTGTAGCTTATCAATGGTACTAATAAACTAATTTTCGCGGGTATTTATATTATACCTTATACAATATATATTATACAACATTGAAAAAAAAATCAAAACATCAACATAAACAAACATTTTACGACATGGATTTAGTGCTCACCAAAGCTTAAAATGTTTTCAAATCGTCGTGATAGTGCTTCGACATCTGTTGCCCTCAAAAATAGTCAACAATTGGATATAAGAGGTATGAAGAATCAGATGATTTGCTTTTAAATTAATCAAATATTAACTTCAATTCAGCACAACAAAGAACTTATGATGGAGCATATACAAGAGCATCTATTGCAACTTTGGCATTTGGTAAGTCTAATGGTCCATAGTAATAAAATACCGGATACTAATTATGGATATAGCGTTATTAGTTACCAAATTATTTTCAAAAGATTTCTTACCAATTGGTACAGTTTATACAATTTATGGATCGATAATTTTTTTAATTTCAATTCATAGAACTCATCAAATGAAGGATTATTTCACTGAAAGTGATAAAATTTTATATTATAAGACTAGTGGAAATACTGTGATGTTTTTAGGTATCACGAGTATTTGTTGTTATATTGCATTAGTTATATTAATTTTAAGATTATCAGATTAAAAAGTACATGAATTGATTTATTTAATAAAGAACGTTTATTTTTTTAATAATCTTATATGAAAACATCTAGCAAGAACTAAAAAAGAAAGATAAGAATAATTTTTTTTTAAAAAAAAAAACACCAAAAGGGAAAATCTCATAATTTCATAAGGATATGGATTTAAAAAATCCTATGTTTCAACACATAGCAAAAAGTCAAAGCAAAAAGTCAAAGCAAAAAAAGACAAAGCAAAGGTGTATTGGGGGTATATCATAAGCTATTCTTAAATGAAGTTTCAGCATCACTGGTGAAAGGTTCTGAATAAACAGTTTCAGTAGTTATATCACCCACAGTGGTATCAGCAACAGATTCTTTTGGGAATGCATTATTTGTTAAAATTGCAGTAGATTTTTTATAAACTAATTTTTTTGATGGTGAAGTGGAAAATTTTTCCAAGATTGAAGATTTTGAAGATTTTGAATCTAAATTTATTGAATTATTTATTAATCTTAATGAAAATTCATCATCTAATAAATTTTCATGTTTTTCAAAAGAATCTTCACTCTTAACAGGTGGTGAATTTGATGAAGAGTTTTGATTTGATGAATTTCCAGTTGATGAATTTGAATTTGAATTTAAGTTTGAATCAATGGATTGATCTAATGGAGCTTCATCTATATCTAATGGAGTTGATTCAAACATATCAGATAAATTAGAGTTATCATTTGAAGAATTCAATCCATTTAGTTCACTTGAATTTATTAAATCATTAATATTATAACCATATTTTGTTAAAATTTCTTCATCATTTGAATTTTGTAAAATTTCAGTATAACTATTTAATAATTGTAATTCTTCTTCATCACCTTTCCCAATACAAATTGGAATTGTTTCTAAATTATAATCTTTAAACCCAGCTAATGCATCTTTTGTTGCCTTTTCAGTCAGTGCTTCTTTTGGGATTATTGTTTTAGAAGGTTTTTTGGTGAATTGGTTGAAGAAAAATTTGAAGATTTGTAATATGATTATAATTGTTAAACCAATGAATAAATTATTTAAAGGTTTTTCATATTTATCTAGGAAATTAGAAACTTGTTCAGATTTATAAAATTCTAAAAATTGTTCTTCAATTGATTTCAATTGTTGTGGTGAATATTTATCATGAATTTCCCAAAATTGCAATTGAATTGATGATTTAGATTCATTGATGAATTGTTTGAAATCATGTAACAAATAATGAGGATTTTTATTCAAGATCAATAAAGGTAATGGTAAAGGAGTAGTAGTAGCAGCATCACTAGCAACATCAACAGCAGTAACAACTAATTCATCATCTATTGCCACAGTCTGTATCTTTAATGGGACATCATTGATATCTAATTCTTCAACGTTCAAATCAGATTGACCTAAGAATTTATCTTTATTATCGATATAGTTAGTATTCATAGATCATATAGATATAGTCAAGTCATCTTGTGACATTACAAAAACTCACAAAGTTGAGCACTCAACAAAGGCAATTGATCATTCACAATCAGAGCAATGTGTGGGAGGAAAAATGTGACAGCAACAAGAGCCAACAAAGGAAGCAGGATCATTGTCTTGAGAATTGCTTTGCTTTTGCTTTGTGTTTAATTTGGTGATGATTTAGTTCTTTCAATGCTTTGTTTTGATCCTCATCGTTTAATTGATTGTTTTTCGCGGGTATATTGGGTACACTGGTTGGTCAGAGCTTAGTCAGTGTTGTCATTGATTAGTTTGTTGATTAGTGGTTTAAAGTGTTGTTATTTGATTGATTGAGTGTGTTTATTGGATTCTTTGAGGTTTGTTTGGGTAGAAGTTGTGTTTTCAATGGGCTACAATAGATTTGGTAGGGAATTTTGAAAATTGATTGTTAACATTCCATGCGATGAGCTTGGACAGAGGATAAAAAAGATTAGGCAGACTAGGTAGACAGTGGGCAGAGAATAGGTAGAGAATCCACAGAAAATACTAAAGGGAATCTAGTGGGATTAGACAGAGCACCTACTAAACATCCTCAGTTATTCCCCTGGTTCATTTAGTCTCCCTTTGGTTCTTCCCTTTAAAATCTTTGTTTTGATCTTTTCTTATTGTAAAATTGTTGATCCAAAAAAATTCCGTCAAAAAAAAAAAATTTGATCAAAATCAAAATCAAATTAACCGCTGACATCAAAGCACAAACAAAAGATCCAACAAAGGACAACCGCTAAACAAACTTGCTATTTATTATGGACGTCCAGGCTCTCTACCAAACGTTCTGGAACTCGCTCTCGGCTGACCAGGCAGTCAGACAACAGGCTGAAAAGACCTTGCGTGAAGCTCAAAGAGCTATTGGGTTCCTTGGTGCTTGTCTTGATATTCTAGCTACAAAAGAAGTTGATTTACCTGTTAAAAAGGCTGCTGCTGTTTTTTTCAAGAATCGTATTGTTCGTCATTGGTCTAGTCGTAATGGTGATGAAAAAGATGAAGAACAAGTTGATAACGATGAAAAACCAATCATTAGAGATCGTTTATTACCAACTTTGGTTAGTGTTAATAACCAATTAAGAAATCAACTTGTTCCAGTGTTACACACCATTATAGTTGCTGATTATCCAAATCAATGGTCTAACTTGGTTGATTCTGCTAGTCAATTATTATATGCTCAAAATTTAGATTCTGCTTATACTGGGTTATTATGCTTTGCAGAAATTTGTCGTACTTATAGATGGTCAACAAATGAAGAAAGAGCGGAATTAGATCAATTAATTAATTCTCATTTCACCGTTTTATTAAGTGTTGCTGATACTTTATTAAAAGAAGATTCTCCTGATGCAGGTGAAATGACTAAATTATTATTAAAAGCTTATAAATTTGCAACTTATCATGATTTACCAATTCCATTACAATCAAATGAAAATATTACAAATTGGGTTAATTTCCATATTGCTGTTATAAATAAACCTTTACCAAATTATATTGATGAAACTTTAGAAGATTCTGAAAAAAATTTAGATCCTTGGGTTAAATGTAAAAAATGGGCTTATGCAAATCTTTATAGATTATTTACAAGATATGGTTCTCATTCATTATCCAAGAAATATAGTTATAATGAATTTAATGAAATCTTTAATGAAGTTTTCATTCCACAATTATTAACAATCTTTTTGGGTCAAATTGATCAATGGTGTAATAAAAAATTATGGTTAGGTGATGATTCTTTATATTATTTATTAAATTTCTTGGAAAATGCAGTTACTCAAAAGAGAACTTGGCCTTTCATTAAACCTCATTTTGAATTATTAGTTTCTCATTTTGTTTATCCATTGCTGTGTCCAAATGATGATACTCTTGATAGATTTGAAAATGATCCACAAGAATATATCCATGCTAATTTAGATATTTATGATGAATATTCTTCACCAGATTTAGCTGCTATTGGATTATTAATCACATTAACAACAAAAAAGAAGAAAACTACTTTAGAACCAATTTTAAAATTTGCTTATAATTTATTAAATGAATTAAAATTACCAGCCAAAAATGATTTAGAATCTGCTAAAAAATTAGAAGGTGCCTTACGTTTAATTGGTTCAATTTCTGATAATTTTGTTAAAACATCATCTCCATATTATTCACAAATGGAATCTTTCCTTGCTGATTTAGTTTTCCCTCATTTTGAAAATAATTTTGGCTTCATTAAGGCAAGAACTTGTGAAGTTACTTCTAAATTTGCAGAAATTGAATTCCAAAATCAAGATAATTTAGGAACTTTATTCCGTGGGATCTTAACTTCATTTGAAAATGAACATTTACCTGTTCAATTAGAAGCTTCATTAGCTTTACAAAGTTTCATCAGAATACCACAATTTCAAGAAGCTTTAAGCTCTGTTATATTACCAACTATGCAAAAATTATTAACTTTATCAAATACTTTAGATGGTGATGCAGTTTCTGGTGTTATGCAAGAAATTGTTGAAGTATTCAGTGAACAATTACAACCATTTGCCGTTGAATTAATTGGTAATTTAGTGGAACAATTTTTAAGATTAGCAAAAGAATTAAATGATGCTGCTAATGCTGATGTTGATACACTTGATGCTGGATTTGATGATTTAACTGATAAACAAATGGCTGCATTAGGTTTATTAAATACAATGATTACTATCTTGTTATCATTTGAAAGTTCAGGTGATGTTATTTTCAAATTAGAAGAAACTTTTGCCCCAGCTGTGGAATTTGTCTTGAGAAATAATATTGAAGATTTTTTCAAAGAAGTTAGTGAATTAATTGAAAATTCAACATTTTTGGTTAGAACTATATCACCAACCTGTTGGAAATTATTTGAAATTTTAATTCCAACTATTCAAAATGGTATTGCTTTATTATATTTAGAAGATTGGATTCCAACTTTAAATAATTTCTTGGTTTATGGTTCAGAACAAATTAAATCAAATCCAATTTATTCAAAGGCATTATTTGATTTATTTAAATTAATTATAACAAGTGAAGATAGTTCAACTGAAGATTATGCATTTGCAGGTGAAATTATTCAAAAATTAATTTTAGTTTTAGAAAATTCATCGGAAATTTATTTAGGTGAAATTTTACCATTAATTACAGATAATTTAATAAATTCTGAAGAAATGACAAATTCTTATGCTATAAATATGATTGATACAATTGTTGCTGCATTAACTTATAAACCATTAGAAACTTTAAAATTTTTATCAAGTAGAAATTTTACATTAGCTTTTTTCAAATTATGGTTTCAATATATTCCAAAATTTACAAGAGTTTATGATTTGAAATTATCAACAATTGGATTATTAAGTATTATTAATTTAAATTCAAATGAAATTTCAATTTTACAATTACAAGAAGTTTTACCAGAAATTGGTATAAATTTTTCAATTTTATTAGAAAAATTACCAATGGCAATTCAAGATCTAGAAAAACGTAGAAAAGATTATGATGCACCAGCTGATGCTGATGATGGATATGATTTTGATAATGGTGAAGGTGATGATGATGAATGGGAAAATGAAGATGCTGATGAATTGGCAGATGCAGCAGCCCAGGATGATTATTTAGAATTTTTAAATCAAGAAGCTGCAAAATTGAAAAATTCTGGATTTTATGATGATGAAGATCAAGATGTTATTGAAGATCCATTAGCAAGTACAGTTTTAGATAATTTAAACGTTTTTGCAACTTTTAAAGAAAGTATAATAAATTTACAATCTAATGATTCCCAAAAATATCAAGTTTTATTCCAAAAGTTGAATGCAGAACAACAATCAAGTATTAAAGACGTTCTTGATTTATAAGACATGTACAAAACATTGAATTATATATATATAAATATTTAAAAGATTAAAATATAGATTGTTTTATTGTTCATAAAAATTCGTAGTTGGTCTGTCATCGTCCCCGTGTCGATACTTTTCCGCGAATAAAATTTTTAATTTACAGGCTAAAATTTTTTTATATATTTTATATGGTATTAAGGTTAAGAGAGCTCATCACATCAAGATTTATAATAAGAGTTTAGATATAAGAGAAATCATGAGCATATCATCTGGGAAATTTGATTATTCTGCTCGCTTCTATGCCACTAGAACTTCAAAATTAGGTAAAAATGAAATTCATATCTATCCTTTACAACATAATCAAAAAAATCAATTAATTTCATCAAGTTCATTAATATCATCATTTGAAATTGAATATGAAGAAAATTTTGTTTCATTTGATTGGATACAGCAAGAGGAATCTGCTAAATCCAATAAGAGATCTAAAAGACGACACTCATTGAATGGTTCGAATCATGAATCATCAAATACATCAAGTTATTTAGCTGCTTCATTTAAACAAGGTAAAATATTAATATATTCACCTTTCAAAAAAGAAGTTATTAATGAATTTAATATTGAACATAAGAATGAAATAACTGCATTAACATCATCATTATCAAATGGATTTTGGGTTGCCTGTGGGAATGAAATTTTGGAATATACATTAAATGATTCAAAACCTAAAAATCAAATAATTTTACCAAAATCAATTAGAGAAATTACAAGTTTAAACTTTGTTCATATTAATGGTCAAAATTATATGTTGATTGGTGGTAATAAGTTAATCATCTATGATTTACAAAATGATAAAGTTTTAAAAGAATTTACCGCTTCAAAGGGTAAAAATAATAGTATAAATTCAATTACAATTATTGATGAAATTATTGCAATTTCAAGATCAAATTCTTCGGTTATTCAATTATATTCATTAAAAGATAAAAAAGAATTGGGATCAATTAAAACATCATCAAATATTTCTAGTTTAAAAAAAATTGGATCTTCAAGTCTGGGGTTAATTAATAATAATGGTGTTATTGAAATCTATAATGATTTAAAGGCTTCAAAACCATCCTTCAGTATTAAATCAAATCATGAAGAAATTGGATTCACAGAAATCATCTCAAATCAAGATGAATTATACATTTCATGGTTTGATTTTGAGCCAAAATTCAAATCAATCAAAATTAATAATCAACAAGATGATATAATTATTGATGTTGAACATACAGTTAAAAATATAAATAAAGGTAAAAAAACTATTGAAATTGAAGATTTCCAAAATTTAAAAGCTGATCCTCAACTTGAAGTACGAGAAATTGAATTAGCACCAGCCATTGAAAAGCAACTAAAACAACAAGAAGAACCATTGACTTTATTATTATCAAACCCAGATTTAAATAAAATTAAATTTGCATCATCTGAGTTATCACCAGAACATGCAGTGGAATTATTCAAAATTTTGAAAGAAAGAGTTGAACTAAATCCAAGTGAATCTGTTGTTTTCAATAATTGGACAAAATGGTTATTATTATTACATACTGATTCAATCAATTCATCTGTAAATATCAAGACATTAACACCTGCAATTTCCAAGAGTTTAAAACAATTACCAGATTTATTAAGTCTTCAAGGTAGATTAGAAATGTTACAATCACAAATTAAATTAAGATCTCAATTATCAAGTGCTGAAGAAGCTCCATCAGTTGGTAAAAACTTAATTGAACAAGCTGAAGAAAGTATTGTTTATGTCAATGGTGAAAATGATGAAGCTGATGATGAAGTTATTGCAGCTGGTGGTGAATCAATTGATGAAGATGATAGTGAAGATGAACAAGATGAAGATGATGGGGAAGAAGAAGAGGGAGAAGAAGAAGATACCGATGATAAATAATGATTATAGAGATTATAGTGAAGATCCACTAGATCAAATAATATAAAATTACTTGCACTTCATTAGATTTAAGTATTAATTTTGTATTTTAATTATCCGAAATCTACGGATTAATCCCAATCCGGTAATCTCATCGGTTTCCACACGCACCTCGTAACTGAAAAAATTTCAATAATAAATTTATTTATCAATGAATTTTGATACCTATCAGATACCTTTGTTCAAAAAAAATCCTTTGTTCTTATACAACTTTTTATTGATTAAAAATGTCTGAACCAGAAAAACTTTACTTTTCTTATAACCATATCCATAAACTTTGTAAACAAAGTGCAGTTGATATTAAAAAATTTGCACCTTCATTAATCATCAGTATTGGTGGTGGTGGTAATATTCCATCAAGAATTTTAAGAACTTTTTTAAAAGAAAAAGGTCAAAAAAACATTCCAATTCAAGTTATTGGTTTAAGTTTATATGAAAATTTAGGTACCACATCTGAAGATGATCAAATTGGTAAAGAAGTTATTCGTACTCAATGGTTAGATTTTAGTGCATTAGGTGAACATTTTGATTCATTAATTGGTAAAAATATCTTGATTGTTGATGAAGTTGATGATACTAGAACTACTTTACATTATGCTGTTTCAGAATTAGCTAAAGATGTTGCCAAAGAAGCTGCTAGATTAAATAGAAATGATACTACTAAATTTGGTATTTTCGTTTTACATAATAAAGATAAACCTAAAAAAGCTCAATTTACTTCAGAAATCTCTCAAGAAAATTATTTTGCTGCTTTAACTGTTCCAGATAAATGGTTATGTTATCCATGGGATGCTGAAGATATTGATGAACATACTGCTAAAGCTGTTGAACAAGGTTATATCTAAGATTCTTTAATTCTTGTATATATAGAGTTTTTGTATATTTTGGTTAATTAGAATTTTGTAATTTTACATTGTAGTATCTATATCAACTTCATGCATTAAGTATTAAATGAGGGTTATATATATAAAACAAAGATATGTGATATGTGTTTTTTTAAGCTTTATCAGCCAATTGTTGAACTTGTTGACGACATAAATCTTTCCAATCTTGAATATCAGCTTTTAATTCTTCAACTTGTTCAGATTTCTCACCAAGAATTTCTAAAGCTTTTTCATGACGTTGAGTAATACTTTCCACAGATTCTTCTAATTCTTTAATTTTGATTCTATAATTTTCAACATTTTCATTATCTTTCATTAACTTAACAATTTCTTCATTTGCATCTTTCATATCTTTTGATAATTTTTCTAATTCTTCATCTTTTGTGCTTGATTCAATTTGTAAACGACGAATTTGACTACTTAATTTACCTAATAATTGAACAGAAGAACCACCATTGATAGCAGATGATGAATTATTTTCAAATCTTGAATTACCATTATTATATGCCGAGATCGGTGAATTTATAGTATCATTATCATCAAAATCACTAATATTTTCTGCAGATTCATCAAACGAACTATTATTTTGATTATATTGAGGAATGGATAATGCACTTGATTTACGGCTTTGTCTTGGTGTTGTTGATGATTCACCTAATCCAATTTCCCAACTATTACCACGTTTAAAAGATGGTGTTGAACCTGTATGTGGACTACTAAAATCTAATGTATTAATATTATTTGATGATGGGACTGAAAGATGTTGTGGTTGAATTGAATCTTTAAATTGTTTTTCTAATCCTTGAATTTTATAATCTAAAGCAGCTTTTTCCTTATTAAAATTTAATTCTTTAGTTTCTAAAGTTGAAATTAAATTTTTATTTTCTTTATTTAAAGTTTCATTTTTAGTTTTGATTAAACTTAATTCAGAATTTAATTTTTTCAAATCATTTTGTAAAATTTCAATTTTTTGAGATTTTAATTCAAGATCATTAATTAAAACTTTATTTTGTTCTTCACTATCATTTAATTGAGTTTTAACTGAATTTAAATCATTTTGTAATGAACTAATACGATTACCTAATGAAGCTTCAATACTTTGCCAATTTTCTGTAGCTGAAGTATATTGATTTTGTAAAGTATCATGTTGTCTAATTAATTTTAAATAACCTTCATCTTCTGTACCAGTTGAAGCTTGAGCATTTTCATTTTGGAAACGTAATTGTTCAATTTTAGTTTCAAGTCTATTAATTTCAGAAATATTATCTTGTTGAATTGTTTTCAATTTATTTTTTTCCTTTTCCAATGATCTTTTCAATTCATTTATTGTATTTGAAGCATGATTTTTTTCTTGAATTAAAACTTGACTTAATTCTTCAATTTTGGAGGAAAGTTCTTTATTTCTTTTAATTTCATCTTTTAATGATTCTTTTTCATTATCAAGTTGGATTTGTAAAGTTTTTTTCTGATTATTTAAATTTTGTTCAGAATTTGTTAATTTTTTCAAATCTTCTTTTAAATTTTTCTTTTCAATTTCCAATGATTGATTTTTAGAATTTAAATTTTTAATTTCCTTTTCATTTTGAGATTCATTTGATTTTAATTTTTTAATTGTATTTGTATATTTAAGTTCTTTCATTGATAAATTTTCACCTTCTTTTAAAAGTTGTGCAATTTTATCATCTTTATCTTTGATTAGTTGACTTGATACACTAGATGATTGTTGAGAAGTTAAATTTGAATTCAAATTTTTAACTTTTTCTTGTAATGATTGTTTCTCAGTAGTTAAAGATTCATTTTTAGATTCTAAACTGGAAAATTTAATTTCTGCATCAGATATTAGTTTATGTAATTCTTCTATTGGAAGTTCTTTAAAAGTTTTAGGGAATAATGATGATGATGATGATATTGTCGTTGGTGGTATTGGATCTGATCTTTGAATATCAAGAGAAGGTTCTCTAGTGGAAGGTAAAGTTGAAGGTTTAGGTGATGATATTTCTGGATTTTTAATTTCTTCTTGAGGTTCAATACTATTCTCTCTTGTAGATGTTTCTGATGCAACATTTGTTTTCGTTTGAGAAGTTTCAGAATGAGTTGTTGATGATGCTGATGTATTTCTTTTTGGTTTACCTTTACTTTTAGCGGCAAGTGCTAATCTTTCTTGTAGTGTGAGTCTTTTCTTCGGTACCTGAGTCTCTGGAGCAGGTTCAGAAGATGGTTCTTTCGTTATTGTTTCTGCATGTTTTGTATCCTTTGCAAGATCTGTATTGTCTTTGACATCATCTTGGTGTTCTTCTTTGGTGTTTGATTCGTGATCAACGGGTGGTATGCTGCTCTTTACTGGATCTGTATCGATATTGTTTTCATTTCCACCCTCAATAGCTTCTTTTGGATGTGATTTTGTAGTTTCTTCAATTGATTCCTTCTTATCTTCCACAATTGGTTCAGATGTTTCTTCCCCTTTCTGTGTCTCTGTAACAGTCTTATCCTCCACTGGTGGATTCTCTACCTTTTTGGATTGATCTTTAGACTGATCTTTAGATTTGTTGTTCTTCTTTTTAGCCATTATGAATTGATCAATATATCAATAACATGTGACGTTGTGAGGTCTGGATCAATAACAATTGTATTTGGATCACCAGCAATGTATCAGCAAACTTATCAGCACAGCGGTTCCCTTTGTTCCACCTGGTTCCCTTTGGTTTGTTGGTCAATGTTCAGCGCTTCCTAGTATTTCGTGATCTTTCAATTCCCTGTAATCAAAATCAAAATCAAAAGGTGTGTTGGTGTTTTTGAGGAAACGTCGGTGGTGTTATGTAAGCAAGAAGCCAACAATCAGGTACATTAAAAGACATTGTTTACTGGGGATATTTGATGGACTGGGTGGGTTTCTCTTCTAATAGATTCTGTTCTTGGTGGACACTCCTTCTACACTGGTTCAAGCTGTGCCTTCCCAGAACTTAGGCTCACCGCTCACCACCCCCAGTTCAGCTGTTCAGCTCAACGTATTTAATCTCAGATTTTTAATTTCTGCGTATTTGCCAGGCGGATCCCCGGTAAAGAGCGAGTAATTTTTTTGTGATTGTTTTGCAAAATAAATCTTGATTTTTACAACTACGCCCTTAATTTTATAATAAGGAACAACAAATACTACCATCTTAACCGCTGTGATAAACTTGGTTTAGTTTGAGAGAAGCGTGTGTGGCTATATTGGATATCAAGGGTACGCTGGCTGACTTGACTGTTGTTTCTAGATTATTTTTGCTGCTTTTATTGGTTTATTTCTATTGTGTGGAGGCGCTTAAGTTCAAAGAAAAGGAGAATTCATCAAAACATCAACATGGACGTGATCACGGCTCAAAACTTCAGAGAAGATTCAAATGGTCCTTCTAAAATCAAGAGAAGAAAGAGAATCTCATTAACTTGTACCACTTGTAAACAAAGAAAAGTGAAATGTGATCAAGGGAAACCTTGTAGTTCATGTGTTAAAAAAAGAATTCCTGCCCATTTATGTATATATGAAGATTCTCCATTCATACCAACAACTTCAGATTCAACAAATCCAACTGAAACAATTGTATTGTTGAAAGATGAAAATAAAAAATTACAAGAACAATTAGATGAATTGAAAAAATGGAAAGAAATCGTTTCTGGTGATCCAATGCCAATGAATTCAAATGCAAAAGTTAATCTTTATCATAGTGTTCATGTTAAAAGAAATAAAACTATATATTTCGGTCCAACAAGTTGGAGAACTTTATTAGATAAAGAAAATAATTTTGCTGATTTAATAAAATCTGCTAAAAATTATGTTTCAAATGTTAAAAAAGAATGGAAAGTGGAAAATAATATTGATCATATACCTTTTGAAGAATATAAAGATGTTAATGTTGATTCTTCACAAAAATTATTAACAAATTTAGAATCTTTTTTACCAAATTATGAAATTGTTAGAGAATATCTAAAACTATATGCTGAAGGTTATTGGAATCATAAATTACCAATTGTTGATCCTGAAGTTTTATTAATAGATTTTAATCAATTATTTATAAGAAATGGTACAAGATTCCATATTAAAGTTTATAACAAAAGTATTGATTATGCTAAAATTGCATTGATTGTAATTATTGTTAAATTTGTTGTTACAAATATTAATTCATATGATAAAAATTCAAATAATGATCCAAGAGATCATTTATTACGTTATACTGAAAAATTATTAGAATTATCAAAATACATGTCAAAATCAACAGTACCTGCTTTACAAACATTAATTATAATGAGAAATTTTAGAAAAATGAATCCAATTGATGGTGATGGTGGTGATTCAAGTGAAGGTGCTTTATTACATAGAACTGCTATAAATATGGCAATATTATTAGGTTTAAATAAAGATGTTGATTCCTTATATTCAAGATCTTCAATAATTACAAGAAATGTTTTAAGAAATATTTGGGAACATTTATTATTTCAAGATGCTGTATTATCATTCCATCTGGGGATCCCTTTAGCTATTGATGAAAATTATATTGATCCTTCTTATTTACAGAAAAATGGAACTTTATTATTTATTGGTGGTATTTTAAGAGATGCAATGAAATTATTAACAAAATCAAGTCAATGTGATCAATATGAAATTCTTCAATTAATTGAAAAATTAGAAACTTATAATGGAGGTGTATTATTAACTTTATCAAAAGATATTAAAGAATTTTCTAATGCTGATTATATCTTGAAAGATTATGATAATATGGGTGAAATTGAATTAAAATTATTTGGTATTTATATATTACATGTTCTTTATGATGTTTTATATCGTGGTGTTGATAAATCAGATCCAAATGTTGATATTTATTATAATGGTACTATGAAATATGGTTCTTTATGTGTTACACATTTCATTGAAGTTTTGGCAAGATTAAATAGATTTTGTGTGGAAAATAGATCAAATCCTGCTAAATTATTTAAAATTGTGGAAATTTGTTTATCAGTTGTTGGTGCTTCAAAATTTGTATTTATCAAGATTTTTTGTGCAATTTGTACATTTGAAGTTACAAAATTATTTGAAAATGAAATTAATTCTTCGTCATCAACTTCAAATTCACCTTTAAGAGATTTAAATTTTAATTTAAGTGTTACGGATTTTGAAATGTTAAATCCTCATGATAATTCACAATATTTAAATAGATCTTTTAGATCACCAGCCTTTTTACATGGTTTAATGACATTAGCATGTAAATATATGATGAAAATGAAAAATGATTCTTTTGAAAAAGTTTTCAATTTAAATTTTTGTTTATTTGTTGTTTTAGCATTATTTAAATATTTTGAAAAATTTATTGAAAGAAAATTAGCAAGAGAAAAACATTCTAGTGCAATAAATAGAGTTCAAGCAAATGTTATTTATAGTCCTGCTTGTTTAAATGTTCAATCTTCAAGTCCATTTAGTGAATCTTCTGGTTCAAATATTTCCACAGCTCCATCAATCCCATTAGATAGTAAACAATTCCCATCACCAAATACATTAGATTCTATAAATCCATATAATAAAGCTGAATCAACAACAGGACAAAGTGCTAATACACCAAATTCAAATTATTCAGTAACATCTTCATCAAATACAGTTTATAATCCAAATAGTGAATTGGTCGGTAATGATTTAATTGATGAATTATTTAAAAATGTATTTACTGATGATAATTTATTTAGTTCACAATTGGATACAAATTTAAATAATTGGGATTTCAATGATTTTATGTCAACAGGGTATGGTATGTTTTATGAAGATAAACCAACTACAAATCAACATCAACAATAAATAAGCTTTTGAATTCTTTATCAATTCTCATATAGATACGTACGTTTATATAATGGTTTTTCAAGTTCGGAGATGGAAATTATTTTTTAATGATCTAATGAATTTATATATGATATTTTTTATGTTAATCCCGCCAAAACACCAAAATTAAGTAGCTGAGCTCCCTACGATCTAAATTAATACATCAAAAAAATATATAATCTATTCAAAAAAAGATCAAAATTCCTCTATTTCATACAAAAATTTGAAATAGGGGCAAAAAAAATAATAATGAAGGATGCGAGGTTCGAACTCGCGCGGACAATCGTCCAGTAGATCTTAAGTCTACCGCCTTACACTCCCTTAGCGGCCAAAGATCTCCTCCAAAAACGACATTATATAAGCTTGAAGTTCATCATCAGTTCCTCTCCTTCGTCATTAATATTGATTCTAGATTTTCGTATACCCATTTCGCGAATTCATTTAAAATTTCGCGAAAGTTATCACCGAAAATCCCCATCAACCAAATACAGAAAAAGCTTCTCATTTCAACAAGAAACCTTATTCTTGGTTGCTATGAATCAATCGTTAATGACGAGATTCGAACTGATGATGAATTTCAAACTTGAATCGCATGTCATGCCGCGAATAAGCCATCAATCCATATCACCTTTGTTTATAGCTTTTGAATTGAACTGGAGATGCTTTATTGATTATCTAATCATCGCGTTTTTGCTTACTTAATTAAAAGGATTTAAAAAACTTTTATAACATGTACTGCATCCCCTAAGGTATGAAATACATCAAAAAAATTATAATTCATTCAATGAAGATCCTATATCCTCATGATTTCATACAAAAAATTCGAAATAGGTACAAAAAAATAATAATGAAGAATGCGAGGTTCGAACTCGCGCGGACAACCGTCCAGTAGATCTTAAGTCTACCGCCTTAGACCACTCGGCCAACTCTCCTTTTTTTTGTTTTTCTAAATCCATACTTTACGATGATATAATATCTTGGCTTATCTAAGAAATTACTCATCAAAATATTTTTATATCACATTTTCACATCAATTGTTCAATATCCAAAGCTATTTGGAAAACCATCTCCAATTCCAATACACCAAATTAATATATTAACCAAATATTATAATACAAGAAGAAGTACATCTCACTTATAAACCAAGCTAATTATCTTTTCCATATATACATAATGCTACAGAGCTGCCGGAAGCTGCTCAATAATTCGCGAAAATAATATTTGACCGCGACACAAACAATTTTTCCTTCATCTACCTATAGCATATCATTAACATTCAATCTTCCACAGCTTGTAATGGAATGAACGCAAGAAAAATTCCTTTCATCATAACTCATGCTTTGATATCCGTCCAATATCGGCCTTGTTAGACCACTCGGCCAACCCTCCTTTTTGCTGTACAAGTAAAGCACACTCTTTGTCAGGACACTAAACTTTACTCTGGTAGGAGCCACACGAGAATTTTTAAGATCAAAATAAATCTTCAATTTTGTATAATATAGATAGGTTTTTATTGGTTTATAATTGTTATTTCGTATTGAATTTTATTATTAAAGGTATAATTTACTCAAATTCGAAAAAAAAATAATTAAAACACAAACGACGGAGATTTTGTTTTTCTCCTAGCCAAAAAAAAAGGGTCTGTAGACCCAAAATATTGATTATATAATAAGGTAGACAAAATCAAGACCGTTTTTGAGTTTTTTTGTGGACTCGTTGGGAGTTTGGGCCTAGGTTTTTCAAGAATCAAATGGAGCCGGGTAAGCCTTCTCAAGAATACGAAGCTGTAGGTTG